ACAGGAACAGGAACAGGAACAGGAACAGGAACAGGAACAGGAACAGGAACAGGAACAGGAACAGGAACAGGAACAGGAACAGGAACAGGAACAGGCACAGGAACACGAACAGAAATAGGCACAGGAACACGAACAGAAATAGGCACAGGAATAGAAAAGAAGTCGAACGTCCCATCTCACAAATCGATGTAAGTTACAATGTGAGGAGCGCCAACAAAGCTTACCCGGGACCCAGACCGGCGACAACCATGATGACGGGCGAAGAGTCCAGCGGTCCAGCCATGACCTATTTCGCAGAGGAAGACATTCCCTGGGAGGAGCAGACGGCCATGAGCCGGCGCAAAGTCCTGCGGCTTGAGGAGGACCTGTACGTCGCCATGGTGCAGTGGGACGCCGGGTTCACGCTGCCGGTGACGGACCACCATGGAGGCGAGGAGATTGTCTACGTCTTGAAGGGCACCTTTGTCGACCAGTATCGCAGCTCCGGCCCAGGGAGCATCATCCGCGGTGACCCGGGAAGCTCGCATCGGCCCAGCACCCCTGACGGTGTCACCTTCCTGGTCACGCGGTCCTTGATCCCTGGTGAGCGTCAGCGCATTGCTCCACATTGGACGCGACCCAGGGGGACCTCGTTTCGCGGCTGAGGACTTGGATTCCAACCTGGGTCCGTCGGTCAGAAGCCTCGCATCTCTGTTTATATACAATTGGCTATCTCTGAGGACGAGGGGAGAGGATTGGCCGTTTGCAGATAGAACCGGAACACTTCAAGTCCGATGTTTCTCAATCATACATATCAAACCTGCCAGATACTAAAGGCCGAAGAATCGATTTTACTCGAATCCATGTTCGATTTGTCTAGATCTCTCCAAGAAGCCCATGTCTCAGACCGCCGTACTGACAGTTCCATTGTTCTCCGGAGCATCCTAAACTCTAGCTCCTCTGTGCATCGATTTTTCCTGCTTCGAGATCCCTGGAGGTTAAGATGTGAGTTCGATCATTCCTCGTCTCTTCCCACTCCATGTTGGAGGTGTCTGATTCAATTGACTCGTTCCAAAAGCTCCTGATGCGATAATGATTGGCTTTGTGCAGCGGCTGGCGGTGCCCAATTCCGAGGGAGCTGGTCGGCGGGACTGGATTCAGTCCCGGCAAGAGGGTTGAGGATATCATTGCGGAGCTCGGGGAACTCATAGAAGAAGCGGGAGTCCATCGTCCAACAATTTAGATCGTGATAATATTGGTCGAACAATGGGTTGGCTTTGTACGTATCCAGGACGCTGTTGTAGAAATAGGTGTCCTCGAAACTAAACGGCCATTGAAACTTAAAGTGTATTAGGAGCGCGATGGAAAACTTGTGTTCGCCGATGCCGCCGTAGCCTCGAACGAACCGTTCCCGGAGACTGGGCCACGGGAAGAAGTCGACGAGAATCGGATGTCGCTTCTCACGCTGGACAGGGCTGGGCAGGTCAGTGAACAGAACGTGAGCGCCTTGTCCGAGGAGCTGAACGTTACCTTGGACGGAGCCAAGCTGGAACTTGTTCCAGAATCGAGTTGTCCCGGCCCAAATAGTACTGCTTCCCTTAGTCTGTGTATATGGTAGGTAGGGTGGTGACCTTGCCTACCTTGATCAAGGCCGCGTTCTTGAACGCAATCGCTGCTCGATTGACCTGGTCGGTAGTGACACTTATCATGTCATCGTACTCCCGAAGGATCTGGACCACGGGATTCTGCTGCATCGTCATGTCCAGTGCCTCCCATCCCTGCCGGATGGCCTTGAAAATCACATCATCTCGGAAGTCTTTTGCCAGACTTGCCTGCCTGGGAGGGAGGACGAAGATTTTGGCGTATACCGAATTCGACCAGCGCCAGAAATCCAGGCGACAAGGGTCGGACAAGAATGAGTTGAACCGTAAGCTGGTCAGGGGATGCGGGAAGGTTTGATTGACTGATGATGGCAGTCCTGGCGCCGTGCTTTCGTGGGAGGAGTAGGAGGTTCCCGTCCCCTCGTTACGGGCTACAGGCCATTCTTGCGGCTGCGGGTACAGGGAGACCGGAGGTTGCCAGGTCATGTCATACTCTGCCGGGATTGTCTCTGCGGCGCTGAGCGCCGGCGGTGGTGTGACTGTCAGGTAGCCTTCGTGGCCCAAGGTGTTCACGGGCGTGATTGCACTCGCGGAACCAGCTGAGGCCCAGTCCTGCGGAGGTGGCATCGATACAGCATTGGAGAGCTGGTTGATATCCGATGTGGTGTCATTGGGTTGGAAGGAGCCCAGCTCGAGCTGGAGCGAGAAGAGAGTATCGTTCAAGATCTTGCGCAGGCGTTCTTTGGCCTCGTATAGCTCGTGGTTTTGTTTCAGCAGTTGCCCGACCATGGTCGTCTGGTTCACGGCGGAGCAGGCATCGACCGTCTGCTCCAGATATGCAATATAGTTCTTGGTCTTGTCTCGGAAGGCCTGTTGGGCTTTCCTGTCCATCGCGCGCTTTCGCGCCTGCAGGGAGCTCTTGCTGGCCTCGCCCACGTCCCTCGGCCTGGTCTTTGAGCCTCGAGCGGAGGGCGCTGACTCGAATGTTTGCATCGAGCGAGCGTGTCTAGGCACTGCATCATTGCGGGGTGAGGACTGCAGGGTTTCCATAGTAGTGTGCTTTGCAGAATGGGCGATGGGCGATGGGCGAAAGTGTCTGGCTGCGCATGAGGAGGAGGAGGAGAAGAGCATCAATTTTCCCACGGGGCCTGGTTTGGGGGTCTTGGGGTCTCGGGGCCTGTGGAGAGAAGAATCGCGGGGGTGGCGAGTGCGGTCTAGCGCCCAGGTTGTCGCCCGAGACTGTGGACGGCTTGGGGAGTGTTAGGCTTCGGGGCCTCGGACCCATAGCACTCAGAGCCCATGACCGGGGTTCCGGACTGCTTAGGCCCGTGTCATTATTGGGGTTTGGCGCCAGGGCCGCCTAAGCCTCCAAGGCCTTAGCCCATACAATCAAATCAGTTGAGGCTGGATTAAATTACCCTAAACATAATTCCAAGAAATATAATTAATTAATAGTACGAACGCTGTTTTCCGGCGGCCTTTTCATTTCACCTCTCTGTACTCCGTAATTACTCCGTACATGTTGAGATATAGGTACCTCTCTGTAGATGTAAGACCGTACTCCGTAATCGGATGCGGGTCGGAACAACCTTGTTCCGACAACACAGAACACGGCTGAGAGCCCCTGGACGCCTGACAATGGTCCGGATCATCAGCATCTCGATTCTTGCGACAATTGGATGAGCAACTCTGATCCTGGTCTACCCAGCATAGCACTCGGGGAAGGGGCATGGGGGCAATACTACGTCTGTACGAGCCTCCCCTGGCTTTCCTTCCTTGCGAGTCCCAAGTCCTCCCTCCCGTTGGTCCTGACCCTACCCTGGCCATAGCAGATAGCAGCAGATAGCAGGTTTCTGGTACCAGCGATACATCGAGTTGATTGGCTCCCTTCTTGTCGATGCCAACAATTTCGGCGCCGTCGAATCGATTCGACAGAGACAATGGCGGCTAAGCGCCGGTTAGATTTCAGCCTCATCCTCAACATCAATATCAATCAAGACGGGTCGGGTCGACTTTCGACTTTCTGCGGCTGACCCTAACCCATCTTCCTTGGAGCCTACGAACGACTCACACTTCCTCGCCTTTTTCCCCTATAACTGTCCCTATCATCTGCAGCCATGGAGGCTCTGTCCTTCGTAGCCTTCGTCACCGTCGTCCCGATTTTGGCGAAGATAGTTTTTTCCCATGGATCTGCGTATCGCACTCAACGCTTCGGCTTCATCTGGGGCACGATTCTGTACGTTAGTGCGCTGGTTGATACCGACACTTTGCAGCAGAAACACTGGGATATCAACTTCTGGACTGACGCCGAGGTAATTGCTTGGAAAAAGTCACATCTGGCCTTTTGCAACGCGATTACCGTAGCAGTACGTATTCCCTTCAAGCAGTTCACTGAACCATTGCGAAGTTGGCCGCCTAAAGTGGAACAACAGGCCGCCATCTTTGCCAGCATCGGGCTCACCGCACTTCAATTGCCCAACATGGAAACGGTGCACTGGTCATCACGAGCGTGCTGTGCTTCAAGCATGGTATTGGGCGTGGCATCAGTATTCACCGCTACGAGGCAGCACTTTTCCGTGGGGATGCTAAATTCACCATTGCAAGTTCGATTGTGGCTCAGCCGGGGTAGACCTGAGTCGTACAGGGGTTTTGTGGCTAGGATGGTTGGTTTCGGAACCATACCCTTCCCTATGAATCGTCTCATACCCTACCCAGTGACCACCGCTACCACTCAGAGGAAGTATGCGAACATGAAGGCCTATCAGGATATGCCCCTGGAGAGCGCAATATCCGCGGCCAAGGCGGTTGCCCTCCCGAGCCATCTCCTGTATATGACGGTAATCATCTTTCTCGTCGGATTCGGGCTATATATTCTTTTCCGGTGGCTTGAGGATGTCGGAGGAGCGGTGTCATATCGCAACATATTCATTGTCTTCATCATTACAGCAGGATTATATGCCGGGTACGACATTCTCATTGAGGTGGCGAGATTGCTCGATAGGGACAAACGGTCCCGCGAGTTTGCAACTGATGGAATAGGGGGCCTTCGAGGACAGAGACATCTTCTTGCTCTTCAGCAGCGTCTCCGCACTCTGCAACAACGTGTTGAAGACGAGTCTATCGACGGGCAAGATCAACATCAGCATCAGCATCAACATCAACATCAACCAGGACCAGCACCGCCGCACGCAAGTACCGCACCCACAGGCAGGCAGACACCCCATCAAAACTCTCCTACCACAGCCTCTCGGATCGATCCTGACCCGGATGTTGACAAATACCAAGCCTGGGAAAGTTACATCACCGCCTACATACAACGGCTCGGTCGCACCGAGCAACGATCGACTTTGATGATGAAGATCATGGAACTCAAGGGCAGTTTGGAGGCCGAATGGGATAGTGTAAAGGCGAGGGAGACGGTGCATGGGGAGCAAAGCCGCACAACGGGAGGTTATGTAGCTAGTCCAAGCGACATGCAACTGCCATAAAATCAGGGCACGTAGTAAAGCAGGAATCGGTTGGGTTTTGAGAGCGGAGAGAACGAGCAAGGGACGAGAACTCGTACTTCCTGAGGTCCATATAGGGTAAAGGACAATCTAGTTACCTAATTTAAGATATCGAGGTATATCTATCTACCTAGTACCTAGTACCTAGTGCTTAGGATACCGTACTCTATGGTCCGTACTCCGTATATAAAATAAAACCAGACACAGTTTGTTGAAGCGAGACTCCATCGCGCCCCCAGCGATGTGACAGTGACAGTGACAGTGACAGGATCGCATACTTGACATTCGCATCAGCATCGCCCACAAGCTCTTCCAGCTTCAAAGCTGTAGTGTTGTAGCCGCATATTGTTGTGTGCAAGTGCAACTCAACAACGGGACGGATTTGTCACAGGATACCGACCGGCAACAATCGTGGGTCGGCAGATGTTGCAGGCTCGCGGGGCTCACGTCGTCGCCGTTGCCGGATAGACTTGTTCCCAGATATCCCTGCCAAGTTAGTCCTCGAGAGTGGTGGTTCTTCAGACAAAAGAGGAGTTGTGAGAAGGATATAAGGATGAGGGAAGGAGGAGACAAGTGAAGGAGGAGAGAAGGGAAGGAGGAGAGAAGGGAAGGAGGAGAGAAGGGATGGAGGAGGCAAGGGAAGGAGGAGGAAGGGAAGGAGAAGAGGGCGAAGTTTTGGAAGGTCCTGGCTTTGGGCGGCACTGCCTGCATCCGAGGCTGAGTTCGAGATGGCGATGTCGCGGGATGCTGGACCGATCGTTGCCAGAAACAAACATCACAATTGTAAAAAATACCGCGCATGGCTAGTTGGTCCAGCACCATCGGTATGTGATGTGGGAGTCCTGGCTTTGCGCGAGACTGTGACTTTTGCTTCAGGTAATGTCAATCTTGGGGACCTAGAATCTACTATTCTTATGGTGGGAAAAAGAATTCAAGAAAGAATTGAAACAAAGCCATAGGGCAATGCGGGTTTGGGTTTGGTTCATGTCATCAAGGATTGAAATGTACATGCTACCTGTAGGGAATGCCCCCAACGACTGCCAGCGTCGATATCCCACTGCTCCAGCTCCAGTCGCAGCCTCAGCCTTTCGGAGTCAGATAGTTCTGCCCACGTCCTCTTCACTTCCTCCCCAGTCTCCCAGCTTGCGCTTGGCCAGACGGTTCAGAACAAGATGCAATCAGTCATCCTCCAAGGATGATTTTTTCTGTTGAATTGCCGTGAAATCGTGTCCATGTCCGTCAAGACGTTGTTCGTCGTAAAAATGCGTGAGTTGAATGGAATGTGAAGCACATGGTGACATTGACTTTTCGTTCGTACGCAAGATCATGCAGGATGGCACAGATAAGTTGGACATCTGGCCACCATAGCCTCCCAAGTTTCCCATTTTTCTCCCAGAGTGTTGAGTCTCTATGCCGGCATGGAGCTGTACAAAGTATTGTTGTTACAGTTCGTAATGTGTTGCGTTGTCATAGGAGATGGGGGTCGATCTAATGGTAAGATCCGCCGAAAAGTCCAGCCATGCGGCGTAGATGTCCATGAGAGTGGCGCTTGGCTTTGCCCGGGAGTGTTACGAAGGTGTCGGACACTCCGGGTTGGCACTTCATTCCTGCATCCATGGCGAGCGCGACGCTCCAAGTGCCACTGGCGCAACGCTGAAAGCTGGACCCATCCGCGGAGCATGACCAAGCGCCTTCGTCGGTGCAAGGCCCGGATTGAGTGCCAGTTGTGGTCGTGGTGGTAGTCGAGCTTGTTCCGGTGGCGGCGGGAGCAGCGGTGCTGACGGGAACAACCTCGGGCGTCTCGGTGGTGGTGCTCGGAGAAGCTGCGCCTGTGGCAAAGACTCCTGGACCGGAACCGCCTGTAGGCTGCGAGTCCACCGAACCGGCAAAGGTAGGCTCGACAGAACTAGCACCGGCGTCTCCAGTTGCTTGTGTCGCGACTGATGTAGCTACAGTGGCAGCAGCCGATCCAGATCCAGCATCTGGGCTCGCAGTAGGTTGCTCAGCGGCGACGCTTCCCCCAGCAGCACCGCAAGAAAGGGTAGTGTAAGGGCCGGTTCCTGCCGATTGCACTACTTGGCCTGGGTTCGGGTAGACGTAGTCAAACGACTCAGGAGTGGTGCAGTCGTTGACACTGGCCAGATTCGCCACAAACATGTCAGGGAACGAAGTTTGACGCTTGGAGATCTTGGGAGCGGGTGCGTATCTCTTCTTCTTCGCGGCAGTAACGGTTGCTGGGCCACAATTCATGTAGAACTCTCTGTTTCCAATCTTGTTGATCCATGACCATGCAATGGTGTATTGGCCTGGGGATATGCCTTCAGGGATGGTGTATTGGAAAGTGCTGGCACCATCGCCGTTGGGGTCTGCAGGAAGGTTGCCGGCGACGGAAGCTGGACAGCCACCTTCGATAGACTTGATGACCATCCATTTGGAGTCCTTGGTGGGCTGTAGATCGGTGGTGAGGCTCACTTGGCACGAGCCACCGCCATGGACCGCACTGCCGGTGAAGCTCAAAGTCTGCGGTTCACCGATGGCGAGGACGTTCTCGGCACCTTCAAGATCGTAGACACCAGTCCGCTGCTTGCAGGGAAAGTCGGAGCCATCCGCGACAAGAGGCGAGTTGTTGAGAGTAGACTTGCCATATGGGACTGGGCTCTTCATTATCATATGGGCGTCAGCCGAAGAAATCATGAGGACGAGAGTGGCCGCAGCCATGGTTTTGATAAACGAAGCCATGGAGAGCGTGGAAGATTTGTGTGGGTGCAGTGTTGTGGTGGTGGTTGGAATGAGTGTGTTAGGCAGGGCAATAGCCAGATCGCGCTGTATGATGGTTAGTTTTTGGAGTCAGAGATGATTTCAGTTCTTTTGTGGTGCAAAATCACTGTTGTGTGGACTTCGGTGTTTGTAATAGTGATGGGGAGATTTGATAGATCGGGTCAAGAAAGCCTTGAATTTGTACCAAAGAAGCCGCGATCCATGTGAAGAGTGTAAGACAACCAATAACACGTGCTAGTGAAACTGCCCTACAGCCTTTTGTCGGAGCGAACAAGGGCACCAAGCCGAACAAGCAGTGCAAGGCGAGGCAGTGTGATAGGCAGCGTGATAGGCAGTGAATGGGTGTCACGTACCTTTCTTCACGGACAAAGGAATGGTCGTTGACTTGAGATGTTGTGGTTGATCTAAGGGAGTGTATTGTCTGCGCCAGGCACGACAAAGGGAAAGTCAACAAAGGAATGTCTAGGGCTAGCCTGCCACAGTTGGATGTGTCTTCGATGGGATGAAATGAGAGTAGTTGTCTGAAGGGATTCAACATGGTCTGGAGCAACCCGGCGGGCTTCTATATAGGGAGCGTACTATGGAGGCGGGCTGGCAGGAGGTGAATGACAGCTGGGGTGCCCTGCAGGCATTCAGGGAGTGGCGAGCAAGGGGCATTTGAAACATTGGCATTCTATTGGCAGAATACACCGCGTTCGCCCGCGCGTGGCAGTGTGGTGGCTCACAGGCCATCCCGTCGTTCGAGACTTCAGCTTGAGCTTGAAGCTCACGGCCAGTCAAAACGCTATGATCACCATGTTGCCGTAGACCTACTGGGACGTGTTAAGCCGATTTGCAGGCTGAGCTTCGAAATGGAGTGTACGGAGTCCATGGTGGTTCGAGGTTGGAGCTATACCTGGCAGCTCGTAAAGGGAGCTCCAGATACGGCCATCGATTGGTCGTAGGGGTGTCTTTGCCCTGGAGAGGCCCGAGTGAAGCGTGGTGGAAGGCTGGGCCGGGATGACGAAGCAGAGGTCAGAGCGGCCAGCTTCTGGATAGACAATGAAGCCCCTGGAGGAGGCTGAAGCAGTCCATCGCGGAGGTGGAGCGCAACCGAAGGCGATCAGATCTCAGGGGTTCCAAAGACCAAAGAGACAGCTGGGAAAGGATGTGAAGAGTGTGGTGATGCGGCGGACGCAAAAGTCAGGGGGTTGAGTGCGGTTAGCGGCAGCCAATCAGCCAGCTATAACAGCAGGTCGCTATGCCCAATACGGTTAGTGCCGGCGCTGGAGAAACAAAGGACCCGACGAGGCCAGCATCTGTTCTCGCTCAGTGGCCACCGCTCCTCCATCGTGAAACCGCGTTTCTGTGTTCCTGCCTAAGATTGCTTGCAACCATCCGCTGCCCACCGGACTCCTCCTCTTCGAACGTCGTCAACATACGCAACGCCTCTTCCAAGATTCGATGTGCTGGTCGCCTCCAGATCCACCGCTGATGCCAGGTGACAAGATGGTTGGGAAGGCCTGTGCGCGCGTGTCTACGGCGTGGGGACAAGATACGGAGTACTGTCAAGCACGGTCAATCGTCGCACTGGCCCAAAGAGGCGTCCTCGTCCGCTCGGATACGACTTTTCTTTTGACAAAAACCTTCCGCAGTGCATGCGGCCAGAAGAGACATGGTGTGATGGGTTCTAAGCTCCCAGAGACCCTGTGTGGCTGTTGCCGGAAGGCTCTGTGAGACTGGTCCCCATGATATCTTGCGATTTCTGGGCTTTTGTGTATCTAGGACATCTCGTGACGGACGTAGGAAAGCGAAAGACTGGGATGCTGCTTGTTCTTCATTTCCACCTGGCCCTGCAAAGCCACCCCGATCACCCGAGGAGAACAGCCCAAGCTTCCATTGTTGCTCACTTTCACAGGCAGACGGAATACTCAGGGTTTCCTTCGGCCAGCTCTTCCCGGCTGTCATCCCACCCCAGCCTCCTCTGACACCTCGCGAGTTCGACGACCCGCAGCGCCCACTACAAACCCTTCCTTAGTTGGCTGTAATCCCTGTTGGCCGCTACAATGGTCACATCGCCCGCGGTACTAAGTGCAGGCATTGCTCCCGATGAAATGGTACGGGCTAAGAGCTGTGGTGAGACGCTCTGCGGACTCAAGAAATTAAGACTAGACATCGGCATATATGAAAGTGTTTGTCATGAAAACATGGGGTATCTCTCTGGTCGTGCTTGAAGGACTTTGCCGCAGCATGAACTTCCAAAGAAAGCTGATACTCGGAGCCGAACCCTGCTGCGTGTCAGGCTCCAACCTCTCTGTCAACGTCAACATGGACCCAAGTCCTGCGCGCGTCACTTGACAGGAGAGGGACTGAATATGTTCGCTTGACACAGGTCAGTGACAAGTCCTGTGCGAAGACTCCATACACCTACTGTCAACGAACGCAAAGAAGACGCCAGTTGCATAGTTCCACACCAGCAGGCGGCGGTTCAAAGGAGTCCACAGGCGCAGACGCATGACGGGTACACATCTATTTGGGATAGGCGGCAGTATTGCTTTTCTCTTTCGTTCGCGCCTGTAACTTCGTATCACATGCATATGGTAGACAATCCCAATCCCCAATCCAACTGGCCGAGGTATCGCCTCTAGTGGCAGCGCTCTTCTCCAATGAGAGCCGGCCAGCTGGAGTCCGAAGGCCCCTAAGCCTCGTGGAGAGAGAGGATGGAATGAGAGACTGGATCAGCATTTCAATTTCTTCTGGTTCCAATTTTGCCCTTGACTTCATCTCATACTTACTATACATTACATTCGTTAAGCACATAGGTTGAGAGACGACGCATGCGGTGTGGGACGGAGGACCTAATATAAGCCTGAGGGACCTGAAGATTGTAAGGAGTACCGACACTAGTAACCATCCACGGAACTGGTTCCGATCTCATCAGTTCAGCCTCAGCCTCAGCCTCATCATCATTCCGAACTCTAAGCACGATTTTCACCCGCCCTACGATGCCGATGCCGACCATCTCGGTGTCGGTGCGATCGCTGGCCTCATGGCGGACGGTGGCGCTCGTGTTTGCTCTGCTCAATCTCAAAGCGCTGCCGCTTGCATGGCACTGCCGGCTGTTCTACCGCATGCTGAGCAGCTGGTACACGGAGGCGCGGGTCAAGCGGCTCGTGGCGAGCAGTAGCTCATCGACGTCCACGTCGAGCGCGACGGCGACGCACCATCCGATCTTTGAGCCGGTGTCGATATTCTCGCGCGCGCCCCTCCTCGAGACGGACTACAACCTGCACAAGAGCAACAGCACGTACTTTTCCGACCTGGACGAGAGCCGGACGGCGCTGATGACGCGAGTGCTGATCCCGGGCCTGAGGCACGGCTCGCGGGCTCTGGAGCGCGAAGGCCACAAGGGCAGACTGGCCGTCATCCTCGGCAGCGTGCACACGTCCTTCCACCGCGAGATCCTGCCCTACGAACGCTACGAGGTGCGCTCGCGCCTGCTGGGATGGGACAGGAAGTGGATCGTCGTGGGCAGTTGGTTCGTCCGGCCCGCACGGAATCACAAGCACAAGGAGAAGGGGAATGGGAAAGAGGAGGAGCCCGAGGTGCTGCTCGCCTCCGCCCTGAGTAAATACGTCGTCAAGAAGGGCCGCTTCACCGTCTCGCCTGAACGCTGCTTCACCGCCGCCGGCTGGCTGTCGCCTGGGGACCACGACTGCGACCACGCCCTGCATGTCCAGTCGTCTGATGCACAGACGACCGAACACCGCTCCGATCACTTGGACAATGTCCCCGTGTCTGAAGGGATCCCTGCCGCTGTCCCGGAGGCTGCCGCCGATGTCACCACCGAAGTCGTCGAGAAGCTCGAGACCGCGGCCGAAGCCCTCTCGCAGTCGCAGTCGCCACCGGCCGGGCCCCTGGATTCGCACACGACTCCCGCCCCGACGGGCAATTGGGACTGGCATCGCATCGACGCCGAGCGTCTTCGCGGACTCAACGTCGCTGCCAACTGGCTGGCGCTGGACAAGGAGCTGCTGGATGAGTTCCTGCGCGGCTAGTATGTAATATTGAGGGACTGCACTGCAGAACTCGAGGGATTAGGAATTCGGGGTTCGGGATTCGGGCCCCGGTTTGCGTTGGCTCTTGTCCACTATAGAGCTCAGGTTAGATATATTATAGACGAGCACGGCATTTCGCCAGACACTAGACACTAGAAGCTAGAAGATAGAAGCTAGAAGCTAGAATTAGAGAATCACATGAGCTGCGGCTCTGTATATCACTGATGATCAACAACGGCTTGGACGGAGGAATGTACAAGCCCACACCCTATTCATTGATCCTATATACAATACAGTACCGAAGAACGAGGAATCCAGGCTAAGAGTCTGCACATAGGTAGCTGTCATTGCAATATTTGCTGCGTCCAGGACCTCGGTTCATAATTACATATAGATAGAATATCGTGCTACCATTCGTCCTGTACCCATCAAGTGCGAAACACACAAGATAGCCATCATATAGTGACCAATGCACCATTAAAGCATTAGACACGAATGACAAGGAACACTTTATTGTATACCATTATGTCTGAACCGTTGCTATATCTCTTTCCACCAGAGCAGTCCTTCCAACTCCAGGCAAAGGCTACAAACCCAAATAAACGCGTGGTGTAGAAGAAACCGTCGTAAACGCCGTTTCCATGCTGTTTGAAATGTTAGGCGGACAACGAGGAGAGAGATGACAAGGACTTGGCTTCCCAGTCAGAGGTAGATCCGTTGCACATGGTATTGTGATTCGAATGTGCACCGGGTAACGTACACGGGATGGTAGAGGATGGCGGCGCAGGTTGATGGAGCGCCTGTTGGTGGAGTGTCAGCAGACAGGGAGCATGTGTCTTGGTTCTCTGTTGCAGAGTGCGAGTCACCACAACGGTGGTTGGTCATCGAGCACGTTCATCCGACATCAGTCTTGTTTTTTCACTCATGGGTCTCCTCCTTTTGGGCCTTTTTCTTTCCATTGCCATTGTGCCTTCGCAAGTACTCTTTGTGACGAGCTTCGCGTTCCTGAAGGCGCTGCTCCTCTGCAGCAACCATCTCCTTCCATAGATCATCGTTGCCGTTGCCAATGCCCTGGCTGCCGACCTCGCGTTCCACCTGTTTCTCAAGAATGCGCTTATGCTCCGGGTCGGAGGGGTCGATGTACCGGACGGTCTCATAGCGACCCTCTTGGTTGTGCGAGTCGGAGATCTCAAAAGCGGCCGTCAACACCAAGACGCCCAGGGTCAAAAATTGGGCGTACACTCGGGCCTGGACGATCTTCTGTTGGCCGGTAAGATACTTGTTGCGGTTAACGAGGGCGAATGAGGCGGCGATCGACGCCAGCCACGACCCGGCCACGATCTTGTATCGCTCCCGCCGGCCAAAGTCCATAGCGCGCTCAGTGAACGTCTTGCCCGCCCGCTCGGCCTGAGCCTTCTCGTTCTCAAACTGTCGATATTCCATCTGGATCGGGTTGGACTCGGCCTCAAATGCGCGCGAGTAATGATCTGCCGTGACGATTCCGGCGAACGTACCGCTGCTGGTGATCAAAAACGCTTTCAATGGAATGGTCAAGTTGCGGAAGAAATGATAGCGGCGGTGGGCGGCCACCACGCCCACCGCGCCCACCGCAAGACCGGTGAAACCGCCGATGGCGCCGCCCTTGAGCGTCGCACGGTAATGGGCTTGTTCTTGTTCCTTGGTGAGGATCTTCATTGTGGCAGTAGATGGGTGATTGTAAGCTGTGGGAGGGACGCAGGGACGCCGGAACGAATAGCTATGGCAGTAATGTGCAATTCGGAATGCCCGGTACTAGATCAGGGAGGGAGAAAGGAGTTCGAAGGCCGAGTAGGAAGCGTTCAGGTTGTTATATTGTTGGTCAATTCCTGGGGCTGGACTGCGATGAAGCCGGGAAAATTTGTGGGCGGAGATGGAGAGCCGGCGGACGCTGGTAGTGATTATTGTTGCTGCTGGTTTGAGGTGAACGTAGTTGATACTACTGGCAAGCTGGGAGCTGTCGGAAGCTGCCACTCGTGTGTCAGTTATTAGTCAATGATATATACACTGTACACACAGGATGAATTCACAGGTTGGTGGCTCGACGACTAGTTATTAATAACAAGCCCAATGGTCTTATCGAGCTCCGGTGTTTGCTTCTTCACAATGACATCACATCAGACGCCGGTAGCATAGTTGCCGTTTGCGTGAAAAAACTGATCCGGCCAGACACTGGTGTTCCTATTACTATTACCCCATCAAAGTGCTACATAGTACACACCACCAACACTCTGGAATCCAGACCAGGCCACGGTTAGGGCCTGTTTGGCATCAGTGCGCGCGAATCAGTGCTGGTTGAATGAATGAATGATGAATAACGAATACTATTTCCCGGGCTAAGAAGGCTCCTGAATAATCAAGCATTCAGCCCTTTCGCCGTCTTCCTCCGACTACCCGGGCGCAAAACCACCTGGGAAAATGTTCTGCCGCAGTGAAAGCCTTGCCCGTCCGGATACAATCAATTGACTCTTACTATTTTATTAGGGAGTTAGGCATGCGGTATTTCCCATCTCCACGGAGAGCTCGATAATTTCATTGGCATTGGCATTACGGAAGCTCGCTCCTCATTACTCGATTTGATCTCATTCTGGCCGAGCTCCCTCAGACGACACTGCTATTCAGTCGTCGATCGTGTGACATACTCTGTACAGCTCGGAACTTTCCATATCATCCAGTGACTCTCCTCCTATGCTCCAGGCTGTTCATCCAGGTGACCAACGCGCTGCCAATGAAGGAACATTCTCATGGTCCCCAACGTCAACCCAACTGCAGCCCGGTGAAATTGGTGTGGGTGTACTCCTCCAAGTCTTCATCTTGGACTCGGTACACCACAGTCCCCGCCACTGCCAGGTGAATTGTGTAGGTCCTCTTGTGCTGGACCACTTCGGACCCCTGCACCAATGCCTCCAATCTTGTCTTGTTCCCTTCTTCATCCACCCTAAGGTAAAATGCCCAATCACCAGGTATGAAGCGCACTTCCACAATCAGATCGCGCACTGGAACCATCCTCTCTCGCCCATTGCCCTCCTTGGGGATCAGTTTGTACACGATTTTCGCGCCGCCTGGAGCCTGAGGCTGGCCATCTGCTGAAATCCATCTGAGGCGTCGTTCGATAATGAAGACGTTGGGCGCGTCGAACTGGTGAGGGTTTGGGTATTTTCCGACCGAGTTGGGTTCGGCAGTGCATAGCTGCGACATGTGCATGATCGCCGGGCTGATGGTATCCGAACAGAGAACACTGTTCCCACGGCTGTCGAGCAGATAAACGTGTTGACCGACTTGGAATTTCTCGGGTTCAGGTTCAGGATTCGTGATGGGCGCAAATGGTGCCTGCATCTCTGAAAGCGGTATACCTCTGACGATGGGACTGGAGAAACTGTCGCTGGCAGACTCCTCTCCATTCTGTCCACCCAGTCCAAGACGTCTCATGGCCTTGACCGGCGTGGCCGGTGGCAGCATGCTGGGCAGCATCTTTGGCGACGGCGTGACGGGTGTCAGCGGGGTTGGCTGAGGTCTGGAAGCACTGGCCGGCGTTGCTGGCGGTGGCATACTATTAGAGAGTGTTCTCTTTCGTTCCGGCGTCAACGGCAGGTCATGAAGCTTCTGCTGACTGGTAGACGCTGCTTGGTGTTTTGGCTTTGCCGTCGAGGATTGTTCGGCTTGGACATGCGTCTCCTGGAGATTTGAACCTGAGATCAATCTCACTTTCACCGGCCCTGAGTGCAGTCGACGAGGACTTGGCTCTTGCAGAGTACGGGGGAAGGCTGGAGGTGTGGCAAGGTAGGATGAAAGAGACTGCGTCGATGCTGATGCTGATGCCAATTCCGATGCTGATGCCGATCTGGGCAAGGCCGAGATCTCAGGATTGTCGGGTACATTCTGGACAGCGCGTCGCGACCTCGAGGTTCGCTCAGGGTTGTTCAAGTCCGCCATTTTTCTGCCAGTACTGTCAGTGTGTGCAAGGCCTGGTCACGTGCGAGGCTGTGATATCAGAGCGGTGAGAGGTGGCAGTAAGTAAGATGGAGGACCGACTCTGAGAGAGAAGTTGACTGACACCGGTTCAGGTGTGGAACAGGTCAAACTGCGAATGCGCAAGGAGAAGGTGAAGGAGATCCGTGATCGAATGCGAATGCGAATGCGCAGGCAGAGCGTAGTGATCAGATCGTATGGAGGCAGGGAAGAAAGCGTGACTTTGAGGAGATCCTACAGTACGGAGGTGTGAGGCAGCTCACCGCTGTAGGATCAAAGACCTATGTTGTGCTGAAGACGGATCTGCATGGAGCAAAGAGGAGAAAGACAAGACAAAAGCTACCTTATGTTGTTGTCGTTCAGATTTTCGTGAAAGGTCTTCGTTGTGTGCAGCGCTCCCTCGCCTTAGGCAACCTCTACTAGGGGGGCACGGTAGAACACTGTTTGGCAGTTTTCAAATGATTTTCATTGCTGCATGCTGCTGCGCTCCTCAGTAGGCTCCTCCTATAAGAAATCATGGCAGCACAATGTTTGGCACGTTTCGCCCATAGCCTATCCCGTTGATACACTTCCCAAAACAAGCTCTCCTCTAACGCCGAACGATGGTCGAGACTTCTGGTACGATGGTGTAACTAGTGGCTCCAGGAAGTAATCTTGCCCGATTGCTTGCCTTCTGGCCCGGTGCAAGGTTATTCTTGGCCTTTGGCACAACCGTTGGATGGATGAATTCGTCTCTCCTCTTGGTCGGGTCATAAGTTGCCCTTACCCAGTTCTTCTTGGTGTAGTCGTCGCTGCGTTGCAAGATCGGCCGGGACCATTCCTCCATGAGCTTCGTGGCTTGTCGTTTGATGGCGGGCTCAGCTCTTTTGGACTTGCGGTAGAACAGTATGACTTTGCCAATCCCAGAAGAGATCAAGGTCTCTTTATTCATGGGAAGTTTCGCCAGCGCCGCGAATAATTCACGTTGAATATTATAAGCGGGAAGGCTGCCGTCGGTGAGCGGCTCCAGAAAGAATCGGACCGCTTCGAGGAGGTTCGTCTCAGGGTCAAGGATTGATTGCACAATATTGTTGCGGTTGAGCAGGCTGACCACTTCCGGAAGCATCTTGAGTTTCTGGGATGCGGGTAGACCTTGTCGGACCAGGTCCCCATCCGTCTCAGCTGCCGCAATCATTCGATTTCGCAGGTCTTCGATTTCCTGGTCCGCCGCTTGCTCCAAGTCCTAGGGGAAAGAGAATTAGAGACACGATCTTCTACCTTGAAATTTAGAACTCACAATTTCACCCTTGCGGATTCGCTTTCCTGATGACTTCTTCACCGCTGCATCCATTGCTCGGTCAAGTGCTCGTCTTCTGCGCTCCTCGGGAGTAAGATCATCTTCGTTAATCTCGATCCGAGCAGGTCTCGGCTTCCTTTCTCCATCGGCAGCTGTGGACTTTCGTGATCTCTTGCCGTCAATCTCCTCCCCACCCGAAAAGCCATCATCGCTGTCTTGCCTCCGACGATTGTTTCTGGTCCTTTCCCGCGTCCTCTCCTTCTTTTTCTTTGGCGTCACATCTTCGCCATCGGTACGCTTGCGTTTCTTGACGTGGATGGCTTTGTTGAGGGTGTCGAAGTCGGGCGCGACTTGCACAGCTGTAGGATCGAAATCTGCAAATTGAGCCTCGTCGACTTCTGAGAGAAGTGACTCGTCGTCCGAGTCGTCAGGGTCGGGTTGCACTGTTTTGGAGGGGTCGTTGAATTCATCATTCAGGTCGTCGAGCTGGTCTTCATTCTCAGATGGTCGATCGAGACCTTCAGCATCTGCTGGCGGTCGTTCGTCTCCGTAGTCACTCATGATTACACCGTGATTGGTTACCCCACGGGATAGTAGGTCTGAATAGTAGGTCTGAGTTCAACGACTGAAGGACAGGCGAGGCAATGTCGATGAGGGTGTCGATCCTGCAGAGTCACGTTGGCGCGCAGGGAATGCGAGGGACAAATACAGAGTACATGATACTCAGGATGCAGTTGACAGTGAAGTTGGTGCCAAGTGGAGACACCGATTCATGCAGTCACGTGGTATTGGACTTTATGACTCGTGCCTTATTATACAAACCCAGACCCTCTACTCCGTATGGATCAGGCTGCCACCGCTTCAGGTACCTACTCCGTGTCCGTGTCCGTGTCCATACCATGATTTTAAAGCATAAATAGCGAGCGATGAAGGTTGTCTTTAATCTTCGACTTTTCTTCCCTTTAACGGATTTTCCTTTGCTTTAACACAATTTTCTTTCCGAATCCCTTATCCATAGTTACTCCAGTCATGGCAGCAGTACACAAAGTGGCCATTTTTGGCGTATGTATCCCATCTACTGACATCTAAACAGATCACAATGCATTCTGAATACCTCGACTAGGCTGGAGGCACAATCGGCAAATCAATCACCTCTGCGCTCGTCACGGACAAAAGCTTCGATGTCACAATCATCAGCCGTGCCGACTCTACATCGACATTTCCAAACGGGATTCCCGTGACACGGACCGACTACACCGTCCCCGCGCTGACTGCTGCTCTCCGGGGCCAAGATGCCGTGGTGTCTGCCGTCGGCGTAGCCGGAATATCCAAGCAGAAAGACATGATGGATGCGGCCGAGGCAGCTGGGGTCCGCCTCTTTATCCTCAGCGACTTTGGCTATGGGCCGGCCCATCAACATCTGCCTGAATTCGACACAATCGGAAAACCACGTCAGGAGGTGCTGTCCTACGCCAGCGAGAGAGCGAAGTCAAATCCGCAGTTCACATGGTCGGCTGTTGCCATAGGAAATCCAATCGATTGGGTAAGAGTGCTGGATGACCTGGGATCATCGTTGCCAACACCAGAGTTCGAAAAGAACTAATGGTTCCGCAGGCCCTGAATGCATTCCCCACCTTGGGCTTCGACTTTGTCAATCGCAAAGCTATCATCTACGACTCTGGAACCGAACGATTCACCGGCACGACTATGAACGGCATCGCAAATGCAGTCGTCGGTGCCTTGAAGCACCCGCAAGAGGTCGCAAACAGACATTTGCACGTGCGTTCCGTCGAGACGTGCCAGAACGAGTTGTTGGCTGCTGTGGAGGAAGTGACGGGCGAGAAGTGGCCGGTTGCACACGAGACGACCAAGGATCTTCTGGAAAAAGGGAGAGCGAAGCTAGCCAAAGGGGAGCGTGGGTGGGTTTTGGATCTGATTGTTGCCCAGCTGTTGGAAGAGGGAAGTGGTCGCTCAATTGTGGTCACCCAAGACAAGGCCGACAATGGCCTCTTGGAGATGCCAAAGGAGGATGTGTTGGGCATGGTTAGAGGGATTCTGAAGGGGTGATGGGGATCCCTGTACCGTGGACATTTCAAGGACTACTAGCGAGATACCAGAAGTCCGAAAAGAAGCAAGCAGCTGCAGGGACACGATGATCTAAAATATAATGTTGGAAAATTCCTGGTTCTCTATCATAGGGGCCTGAGGGACGCCCTGATTATATAGAATAAATAGTGGAGACTTGTAAACGAGGCTGGGGAATGCTCCCCAACATGTCATTGTGCATATTTGATCAGGCTTGATCATGAAAGGAGACTTGTTGGGCGCTCAGAGACAGGAGGAGTTAGCAATCACTCTGTTATCATGAAATAGTAATGTTACAAGAGCTGAGAGACAAGTTCGACTCCCTTTGCACTTTGGAGTCCAATTGTACACCACTCCGACTCCGAGTATCCCGAGCATTTATACTAGTTAGTGCTCCGATTGTGACCAATACTTCGAATGAAGAAGAATTGGCCCATTCTGTACTTCCTTTACTGAAGGCTTACGCGAGGGGTTAGGAGTTGGCAGGAGTCGTACTCAATATAGTATGGGGATGAATGATTGCCAACACTGTCATTGATTCTGAACTAGATAAATTATCTTCAACGCCGTTGCATTCAAACCCTCAGCACATCCTCAGTTTGCCACTGGCGAAACAAATAGGAAAGCAACTTCCTGGAAAACCGTCAAACTGGAGCAGTGATCTTTTCTCTTCCCTTCCAATCATTGCGAAAGCATTGCACTGATGCAGGTGTTGCACTGATATCCTTGCGATGTGCCATTCTTCAGCCAGCAGTTTGCGTTGCCAGAAGAGTTACTCTGCGCCATCTGGTAGTTCCAAGTGACGCCTTTGCATGTCTGCATATGGTCTTGACCCCACTGTGAGAAAAAATGTCTGGCATTTGAACACGCGTACAGGCAATCCGTGATGCTATAGGCGAACAAGCCTACAAAGTCGGCAACCACCAGCGATGAATCGGTGAGATCTGGCACGCCGCTGTGAAAGTCGATACCGCAGTAAAGGCTGAAGGCATTGCTGTATTGGACCTCGATTGTCGACGTGTCCTGTGGGCAGCCAGGGTTCTCCAACGTGCCCACGTAGTATGGCTCGGGGGCGACAAAGTTTTTAAGAGAGGAGGGAAGTGGAAGGCTAGAGGTAGCCGTCGATGCTGAGCTTGCAGAACTGGCAGTTGCAGTGATTGTGACGGTTGAGGCTGGAAGACTGCGGAAAGTCAGAAAAGTACTCTGGCTCCGCCTTTTTCAGTTGTACTCACTCCGATGAGTCGGAATGTTTGTTGGACATTGCGCCAGCAACTCCTCCGCCCACTGCACCACCGACTATGACGGCCGTCACTGCCGCGACGAGGATACCGAACGCGAGGGGCGATAAGCCCCATGGATTCAGTCTGCGAGGCGCCGGCGCCGTCACCGTGTCTCCTGCCCGAGGTGGTGGATATCCAGATGAATATTGGCCATAAGGCTGATTCTGCTGCTGAGAATAGCTTGGATTCACTTGATGGTATGAGTTGTAAGGATCTTGTTGGGTTCCAAGCACAACCTCCGGATGATTCTCATGATCCGACACCGCAGGATACTTGTCCGAAAGTCCGCTCGAAGGTTGTATGGATGACACGTTGTTCGATGAGGCTGTAGTCGGATTGGTAGTCATGTGGGACATCTTTCAAGCCGTGGAGGCTCGAGCTGTGTTGCGTCTGTGGCAGCTCCTCGTCACAATGATGCTGCAAATTTTCGACAGACAGGATGTCAGGTAAGAAGAATCGCGAGATGGGCATTGAGGGTGTAAGGAACAAATGCAACAGTCGAGCCATCGACCCCCGTGTGGCAGCATGCCTGTGCCTGTCCCGAATTCAGGCCTCCAACGACAGTCTCGAAATTGTTAAGCCACTGGCCCCAAAGATCAGAAGGGCCAGACCGTATTAACATGGGAGCATGCCGCCGCTGATGCACAAGGTCCAGGGCCAGGCCTGCAGGCCCTCAGCCCGAATTTCTTTGTGCTCCGGCATGCTGGTAGGTGGCTGGGTGTCGGTTTCAGGCATGCTTGTCGAAATTGAAGGTCGCAGCACGGAGGCTCCGTACAACTGCGCAGGGCGCCTACCGCATGGGGTCTGCTTTAGAGCGAGACCAGTCAATGCCACCGTCTCGAAGGGAGGTTGAGGCAGTGAGACACTGACTAGTAGCACAAAGTAGAACTTGTGTAACAGCTCTGCCGTTTGTCGTACTCTCTAGAGTCTATGGAGTATCCCCCGTACTCCGTAACTCTGTAGTTATAGATGCCGCTGTGATCGGCTCAAGCAGGGTACTCTGTACATTTACCGCCACCTAACCGGTGTACGGAGTATTGTCAAACTGCGCTCACCAGGACCATGCCGCTTTAACCTCCCTGCGATTCCCTCCTCTTGCCTCGACTCATCTTTCGACCTGCCCTGTACCTCACTCTCGCCCTCCTCCCAAGATAGGATCTACCATTGGAACCCCGTCGGTCCATTTCTGAGTCTTGCTGGTTGATTTTTTGCCTCTCGTTTCTTCGAAGGGATGCTCGGCTCTGGGCTGGTCCCGTCACACCGGAATCGCCTTGTTTTGCAAATACCTTAGATACGAGGCTCGACCTCTTCAAATTCTGGCAAACTATGGTCCTTGATGAAATTGTAGACCATGGCTTCAAAAGGTGGATTCGATGGGATTCTGCGGGGTGGCTGTAGGACCAGAAGCGTGAAAGGCGGCACGGTGAATGACCAGGTTCAAGTCTCCGATTTCAGGCGACATATCTGAAGCTCCTTGCCGCTTGTTTCTCCTCATCAGGGATGCCGGCGATTGCATTATCTGGATCGCCTATCGGTACTTCTTCTCCATCTGAGCCACGTTCAAGTCTCCTGTTGGCGTGTTGGAGGATGACGCGCATAGCGAGAGCAAGCACAATGGCACCCATTGCGCACGCCGAGTTCAGAGACATGACGATAACATAACGAGGCGCCGCTCGGCTCGGGTACAGAAGGGACGTCAGGATCTGCAATATGGTCAAATCAGCCTGGAATCCTTTCCCAGAACTCGATTCTGCGCAAGGACAGACCAGGACGTACCTGCGCAAGAGTGCCGGTGGCATTGATGAAAGCAAGAGTGCAAGCGCGCTTGACTCGTGGTCGAATCATGGTCTTTTGAGCCCAAGAAAGGACGATCGCATTGGCACCGTGTCCGCCAGCGATCATGAGGATCATTGCGAAATATCGCGGCCAGGTGTTGAGTGAGGCGGCGCAGATAATGAACCCAATGGTAGCCGCTGCAGGTGGCCAAACAACATGGAAAGAAGAGTTGCCAGTGCGATCGGCTGACCAATTGTTGAGGACAGCAACGAAAATTGCCACCAGGTAAGGAGGCGCTGCGAGCAGCAACGTGTTCTTGTGACCAAAACCTAAAGTCTGCACGATCGATGGAAAGAAGTTGTGTACGGACGAAGCCATCGACAGGAGCAGGAACATGGCAGCAAACACATAGACTCGCCAGTCTTTCCTTGACATGTTGAATCCGTCCTTCCAATTGGCGACATCCTCATCAACTTGACCAGCATCGCGAATCAATCTCCATTCCGCGACTGCGCGCTCGGTTGGGGATAGCCAATGGGTGTTAGAAGGGAAGTTGGGCAGAGAAAAGAAAGAAAGACAAGCGACCACGAATGTCGAGGCCCCTCCGAGCATGAATAGCCATCTCCATGCCTCTAAGGAATACGCTCCCTCAAGTCGATCGGCGAGACCAGCAGTAATCGGACCAGAGACTGCACTGCCCAGCAATGGAGCCGACAAAAGAACAGCGCTCCGAACGCCCAGCTCCGAGCGCGTATACCATGATGATATCAAGAACAGGGCCCCAACGGTGAATGGAGCCTCGACGAAGCCAAGAAAGAAACGTATGAGATAAAGATGCCAGGCCTTGTGCACTAGGCCAGTGCATGCCGAAATAATACCCCAGACCATCATACATGATGGCAGGTAGATCGAAGGCCGTAGCATGGTCAAAACCATATTTGATGGCACTTGCATCAGGATGAGGCCGACGTAAAGGATCCCAACAGCGATGCCGTACTGCGTCGAGTTCAAGTGCAGCGATTCTTGGATGCCAATAATTTTGGCAGCTGCTATAATGCACTGTATAGTGGCATATCAATGACTGCCACTGTTCACGGCTTGAAAGGAGACTCACCCGATCAAAATAGTTGAAGATCAACATCACCCAAGCCATTCCGAGCAGGCGTCTGTCCATCCTCCGCTTCACTCTATGCTCTGCTAGACGGAGCTCGTCTCTGCCTATCTCTTGCACTATGGCGAGGCGGCGTGGTGTCTGTCTGTCTGCCTGAGGTAAAAAAAGGCCGACATCTTCGGGCCTGGATGTAGCTTCCTTCGACCGGATGATAGTCGCGAGTTTGGGATCAGGGGCCATCGCATGCAGAATCAAGACTGAAAAAAGTAGTGTAGAATCTAATGTAAGAAGCCTACCTGGAGAGAAATGCTCGAAAATGGCAAAGAATTTAAGTCTGAAAGAGGAGGACGTTCACCCCTATGTATGACCAGACATTCTGCAAAACCCGGAGTTGAAGACTTATCAAATGAAGCCAGGCTGGTGTCAACTAATGCGTCTCAACAGGTTCTGCATTCTCTATCATACTTTGGGCGCGCAAGTTCCACCTAGAAGATTGGCAGCGAGGGCCGGATCCTGACCGACCATTGGATGTCCCAAACAATTCTTTGAAGGTCCTCGTTGGCACTGGCCAGATACAGGCATTTCCAAACTTACCTTGTACCTACCATGCGCGGAATCAGGCTTCAAGCGCCCCACGTGCGAGATTCATACGCCCGGGAACTGCGAACCAAACACTGTGCTTTGTAAAATGACACTCGACTGCAGGTCGATCGTTCAAAAGTGGAAGGTCGAATAACTGTATCAGGTGTGAGCTGGCGAGGTGGTTTGTTTAGACCGCTACGACTCGAAGGCGTATGCTTCACCGAACTGCCTGCGGGAGAAAGTTCATCTTGAAAACGCGGGTGAACTCCAAGCACAGCAAGGGCACCAGTTTGAATTTCGCAACTCTTTTCACATTATTCATTCCTCGCCGTGAATCTGTCTTCTTGACCAAGGCACCCGGCTGATCAGTCTGCTGGACACTTCTGCGGCGATTTAATAGCCGATTCCACAACCTCACAGACCTCACAGACCTCACACGACTCAGTCGATATGTTCGGCGGCCGTAAGTACATTCGGGGAGCGGAGCCTGTTAGGAAGATATGTCTCGATTCTGACTGTATCGTCCACAGCACAAGAGCATCTTTCCGAGAAGGAAATTCGCGAAGGCGAAAAGAAGGCTTTGGTCGAGGTTCAGATCTTCACGACCGCATGCGCCGTGTTATGGTTTTGTATGTCTACCACTCTCTTCCCTCTCTACCTGGCACACTTGACCTTGCATGATTCTCCAATGGCATCCAACGTGCTGACAGTACACGTATACAGCACCGCATGTTGTGGAATGGGCACGAAAACTCTTCTAGATCCTACACCCCGACAGAGCGAAGGATACCTTGTGGGATGATACCAGCGATAGATCAATGATCATTGACCACATCCAAGAGAGCTGGTAGCCCTTACACTGTACTAGGGCGAGAAGAATGGACATTTAAGAACCGCGGTTCTCTGTTGTACACTATCTTGTACAGTATTTGCGGAACATGGTGCACATGCAAGCCTGCCGTCAAAGGATTTACTTTCTGTAACAAACTGTTCTTGGGATTCTCATTTCGCCGGCGGCGATACCAATCTGCCCAATTACTATGCAAGACTGGCGGTGTTGGTCCTTGTCATCCCACAGGCGTCCAAAAGATGGATGAGACAAGCCCCCCAGGTCAGTTGTTTGGGCCTATCTCCGTCGAGGAGCATCGTTGTCCCTGTCCCTGGATATCTTGTCCCAATCTTCAAATTCCTGTTGGACGAGGTCCAATTCTTTCTGCAAGTGTCGTAACTGTATGTCGTATGCCTCTAGTGTCTGTAATTATAGTCAGCAATTTGGCCTGCTCTAAGATCTTGTCGCGACATACCTTTTTGGCTGCTTTGATCGTTTCTTCGTCTAGTGTGCACTCATCTTCGTTCGCAGATGGTGCAACCTTTTCCATCTCCACCTTCAGTCTCTTCGCTCGTTCTCTGATACCCAACATCCGGGCCCAGATCTCTTGCTGTCTGGCCTCGAGACTGGGATCAAAGACTTCTCGCTGCAATTTCTCCAACTTTGACTTCAATTCTTCCTCTGCGTTGTCCATCACATAACCTCGATTGCGCAGAATCTGGACCTTGACTGCCAATGCAAGGGTTCTCTGCGCTGTTGCGTCTTGTCTTCGCTTGCACTCTTCGAGCCTAGTGGCAATATTCTGGCGGTGCTTATCGAGTTGGACGTCGAGGGATGTGTTGATCTCTTGAAGCATCATGTTGCACCTCTGAATGGCCTCCATTTGTATTTGAGCCTTTCTTCCCAAGTGGAAAAACCCTTGGACGAGTAGGGGTACCCACTCCGGTCCGGGTCGTTTTGACAAGGCCTCCTCCCATTTGTCTTCGTCCTCTCCTGGGCCAGGTCTGTATTTCAATGCCTCTGTCTCAGTTTCGACGTGCTTATAAAGATATGTCCGTAGGGGCGACGACAGGTTCTGAGGATCCCATTTGTTTTTGACAATATTCATCTGTGCTGGAATTGATCTGAAAACATTGAGGCCTCGACCTTCTTCCCACAATGATTGAGACTGAGCTTCGCCTTGTTGAGACTGTCCAAACCTCAATGTTTGATCCAGAGGCCGCTGTGGAGGCTGTTGTTGCTGCTGTTGTGACTGCGACAGCCCAAAAGCGCTCTGTTGTTGCGGTTGTGCTGAAGTCCCGAATAAACCTCCGTTTTGCTGCCGAGCCTGCTGGGAAGCGCCAAAGAGCCCTCCTGTCTGTTGCTGAGGCTGCTGGGAAGCGCCAAAGAGCCCTCCTGTCTGTTGCTGAGGCTGCTGGGAGGTGCCAAAAAGCCCTCCTGACTGTTGCTGCGGCTGCTGGGAGGTGCCAAAAAGCCCGCCTGATTGTTGTTGAGGTTGTGCGGTTCCAAATAAGCCTCCGCTTTGCTGGGTCTGATTAGGAGCGCCAAAGGATCCTCCCGCCTGGGCAGGCTGGGATTGAGTAGTTCCGAAGCTGAATTTCGGTGCATTGCTTTGTTGCTGCTGCTGCTGCGACGTACCGAACAAGGATGGCTGGCTGGCGGGCTGACTGGCTGGCTGGCTTGAGGAAGGATTGGAAAAGGAGAACAGGCTCGGCTTCGCAGGTTGAGACGGGTTCGCCGTCGATGATGCAAAGAGACTCATGGTGAGGTCGATATTCCGCTCTTACTGGCTGCGAGCTTGCGCAGGGAAGGCTTCCACGGTGGCGCAGCTGGCCAATGCATGCAAAGGAGAGTGTCCTTACGAAACTGTAAAGAGTGGCGTTCAGCAACAACAACGTCCGTCTTGTACCTGACTACCTGGCTGAAGGACAGAATATTGTTTCTACCCCAAAGAGAAGTATTGACGCGCAGAGGACGCGCGATGGCTACGGTGGAGTTGGTCGATCAAGACGCAGCACTGAGCAGCCTTGGCGACTCATCAGCCTCGCATTGGACTACTACAGCGTCTCTTCGTGCCCATGAGATCCAAGGCAATCGCGAGACTAGACGCTGTACCTTCTAGAGCATCGCTGATTAGTATCCTGCTCGTATGATCTCGCCTGTCCACCGTGCGGTTTCGCCATAATTTGCGACCATCGATCAAATCGTGAGTACAGCGGGAGCAACTTATGTCACAGCCTGTGCAATCACAACGGCAACGGCAGCGAAAATGGTCAGCGAAAGTCCGGTCTGGATGCAATACTTGCAAAATCCGGAGGAAGAAATGTGACGAGACAAAGCCACACTGTATCAGGTGCCTCAAGGGCAAATATACATGTGATGGCTACAGTCCGCCAAATACCTGGCTTTTTAGTCCCTCGAAGAAGATACTGAATTTCGGTGCTAGCAGGTCGCCCTCTCGATCGCTTGAGTCGCCATTGTTACTGCGTGATGATGGTGGACAGTTGTTGACCATCCTGCAGCCACGTTCAGACGAAATGGACATGGTTGTCAAATCCGACGATTCGCCCAGCTTCACGGTCGAACCTTCCAGCTTCTTGTCCACAGAATTCGACAGGAATTACACTCAATATTTTCTACGGAAAGTCGTACCACTCCTCTCCACGACGAAGCAATGGAACCTGTTTTGGTCGTCCATCGTCCCCCAGGCCAGCTGGCACAATCAATCAATCCACCATGCAATGGTTGCGCTTGCAGCTACTTACGAGTCTAGCATCTCCGGCATCAATCGGAGTAACGAGATCATCCGTCAGAGCAATCTCGCAATCCGTGCGTTCACGGATCGGCATGTTTCTCCCGATATAGCGCTGATAATATGTCGCTTATTCTCCTCCATGGCTCAGTGCACAGGCAACTGGGAAACTGCATTGATTCATATGCAAAGCGGCGGCAAGATACTTATGGAAGAGAGCCAGATCAGTAAGACGAACGGTGAGATCGCGAAACTCATGGCGCCGACATTTCTGTGTGTAACCGAGAACAAGATTGGTTACTTGGACGCTCTCGAGAGAATTCCTTGGACCAAGCGGGCATCACTTTCCGATCTTGAGACTATTCACTCCGAGTACGGGAAACTATTACGCTCGCTGGGGAGTCAGAAACATTGGCGCAAGATCGGATCGTCCAACACATCATTCCTACTCATCTCCTGGAGCATCATGACGCAAGTAGTCTGCTCTATGATGTACCCCGACATTGTTATGTTCACCGCAGAGGATCCGATAGTTCCAGCTACACAAGTTGGGATCAAGTTACTTGAAGCCGGAGCGCTACTGTCCCTTGATGAACTCAAGACGACTTCACGACAATTATTCGACGATTTGCGAGACTTTTTCAGACAGTGTCAAGATGGCACCGTCTTCTGCGCAAATCACAAACCTCGACTGAAGAGATGTGTAGAGAACTTCGTTGTGCAAGCCGCCGAGGTCGAACCTCGGATGACTGCAGGCACATTCTGGCTCGAGGAAGGGGAGGAGGCATGTGCTATCGACGAATATTTACAACATGCTCACCCCGGTGCAGACGTTCAAAGCCGGGCGGGAGGCTCCAGGTGTCGCGTCTCTTCACTGTCCCAGATAGAACGCCCACCAATTCGGACAGAAGATTCGTCACGGGAGCAGAGAGAATATTATCTCGAATATGTCTGCCCCTACAGGAGCGGCTTTATACCGGCATTCACAAACAGGACTTGACATACTTGGGTTTTTGGATGGCTTAACATGGCATGCAGAACAACAAAAGAGGCCGAGTTCGCCGACCACTTTAGTTCACCCCAGCGCCGTAAACGAAGCAGATCGCGTCATGGACCGGATGTGCAGACTGGCGTCTCCTTCAAGACAGGTAGAAGAGACAAGAGCGTCATTTTGAGCCCCTAGTCTGACCGTCTCCGAAAGGACGATGAGGCTTACTTCTCTGAAACTGGACATGACTGCTACGGGGCTGTCATGTGGCCATTGCAACCATCACACTTACTTATTTAGTGCGGCAATACAACTGCCCTATGGCGACAATGTTACTCTCGTGTGTCGAGACCCATCTCCTGCCTTGCCACTGGATTTGCACAGACGGAGACGGATCTCAACTTCAACATCAAGTCTAGAAAGGGCCTAAGGCTCAGGCCAACATACGCCCTAGCCAATCGGGAGCAAGATAAAACGGGTGGAGCCGTCTTTGCCTTAGCATCTGATAAGATCCGTGGCACCCAAGGCATCAGATCACTTTACTTGCTGTGAATTGCTTTCTAGCCTCCACAGAAAGCCCAAACGAGATCAAAAATGCTACTGTACGCCCTGGCTAATCGTGTGCGAGCTTTAAGACGTGAAGAGTATATTTGTTGGGCAGCCGCAGAAGATGGATTATCTATAAGATGGCAAGATTGGAGACCTGTTCCCAGGTCTTAACGTCTTGTTGCAAATACTACTCTGCTTCATGAAGACCTCCAGCGTGGAAGAAGTCGCCGATATGCGGTCCAAGAACACTGAAAAGACAGACGGGATCCCGATCTGCCACTCTTCAGATCTCAACCATGACGAGGCCATCCTCAAGGTCAAGGTCGAAGACACAGCTCCAACAGCAGATGAAGACACAGCTCCAGCAGCAGACGAAGACTTCCTGGTCGCCTTTGCTGAATCTGTCGACCAAAGAGCACCCCCGAAACTGGCCAAGTGTCCGAAAGTGGATTGTGACGGGTGTCCTGTCTGCCACGGGCTTTAATCGCATCATGGTCTCGACCATCATGGCACCGGCCCTCTCTACTATCGATGCCAAACTCGACATGAACAGCGTCGAATCCGTCATGGCAATGTCCGTCTTCCTCCTCGCCACGGCATTTGGCCCGCTGGTCATCGGCCCTCTTTCTGAGGTTTATGGCAGAAAGCCCATGTTACACACAACTAACATCTGGTTTTTGCTGTGGAATGTCGTCTGTGGGTTTGCGCACACAAAGAGTCTGCTCATCGCCGCTCGGCTGCTCGCTGGCTTTGGCGCAAGTGCCGTATACGTGCTCGCCGATGGTGTGCTCGGAGACGTGTGGCCGTCCGAGCAGCGTGGAAAGTCGCTCGGAATCTATCTTCTCATCCCGTTGCTCGGCGCCGCTGTTGGTCCCATAGTTGGAGGCTTCATTACGCAGGGGACGACATGGCGCTGGATGTTCTGGTCGACATCACTTCTCCAAGGCGCAATGATCCTGGCTTCGATCCTACTCTTCGACGAGACCTACGAGCCGGTCATACTTGAGCGGCGGGCCGAGAGACTTCGAACCGCGACCGGTGACCAACGGTTCCACACCAGAGCTGGAAAGCTGAGTGAGGGCCGCTCGCCGCTGTGGGTTATGCAGAGGAGCTTGTCCAGACCGATCCGCTTACTCTTGTTTCACCCAATTGTCCAGGTCCAGACTCTTCTGTCCGGCTTCAGTTACGGCGTCCTATATCTCGTGCTCTCCACGTATTCGGACCTCTGGACGTCAAGATACAATGAATCCATATCTATCAGCGGCCTGCATTACCTCACCATATGCATAGGCGAGGTTGCTGGTGCCCAACTGGGCGGACCACTGATGGATCTTGTATTTCAGCGGTTGCAAAATCAAGCCGGTGGATCCTCAATCCCTGAGTACCACGTCCCATTGATGATCCCCAGCGCTGCCATTACAGCATCTGGTCTCCTGCTGTACGGCTGGACAGCCCAGGCAAAAACGTTCTGGCTCCCCGTCGACCTGGGTGCTGCAATCTTTTCATGCGGCATGCAGATCAACGGCATGTCACTTCAAGCATATGTCATCGACTCGTATCCTGTACACGCTAGCTCGGCGTCGGCTGCGTCGCAGCTCCTGCGCAGCTTGGCCGCTTTCGGATTCCCTCTCTTCGGCCCCAGGATGTATTCGGCCCTAGGTTACGGTTGGGGGAACACCATGATGGCTTTGGTTTCCATCGCCGTCAGCTTGCCTGCGTCGATGTTCATTTGGTCATACGGTGCGAAGCTCCGAAAAAAGGCGCTCGACAGTTATTGAGGTCCAGGAAAAGAGCGTGTTGGATGTGGACACGGACGGGCTGGCTGGCTGGCTGGCAGTTTTGAAGAATGGCAGGAGATTGTTACATTCTGCTCTCGTCGCGAAAGTATACTGATCTGTCGAGAATTTCTAGAAGAAATAGAATCGACTGATAGGGGAAGAGCGGCCAGTAGTTGAGTTGCCAGCAAACCAGAGCAAAGGTAGCTTTATGATATCGGCATGGCTTGCTAATGTCCAAGTCGGGATCTCACATAGTAGTCGTAGTCAAATCCGAAGTGTCATCGAAACCCATGTCTTTATCATCGGATTTGGGTGCAGCAGATCAGCTGTGAGAAGTCAGAGTCCCATTTCTATCGGGGGTTGGACCAAACTGATTCCGAATGAACATCTGGCCCGGATGTACTCGTAAGGTAGGTACGTATAACCTCCTATCCGTACCATTATATGCTGAACATCTTTCCACCTAAGCCTGGACCCACTCAAGAGGGAGCTTAAGTATGTGTGCAGTGCCTAGTATTCATATAGATAAGTAAGTACCCTAGGTACATAACCTAACCAACAAGTTCTAACGGTATACCATCCATGCTAATTACTACCTTAGTAATCCTCATCCTCGGAACAGGGCGACAGTCTCCCAAGACTAGCCTGACCGTCGAGCAAACCACGCCATGGGGATTGTCATCGACACAGTACTCAATCCTACTACGTACTAATAGTAGTTTGTAAACGGTCTACTCTGTGATGAAATCCAACAGAACCGAGTTTAGCCTGGAAGATACACCTCACTGGCTAATAATGGCAGGAGAGCAGGAATGTCCAGGTTCATTCATTGTTCGAATAGGAACTGCCTTGACCGCCTGCTTAGGATCGCGAGGCTCTCGAAACTATGGTAAGAGTGTGGACAATTGTGCGTACCTTCGGTGGGGAGAGATACTTTAGATTCAGATTGCTCTGGGATCCGGCTGTTCTTCGTCAAACGACGGTACCTCAGGTACTCATTAGTTTAGTAGGTACCTAGCATCAATCACTGCAATTGGTGGTCCTCTCCCTAAATGCTCTGTTCAGGACTCATGGGCACATTACACGTAAGTATTTTACAGAGTACAAACCTCTGAGCTCGTGAGACTTCATGAGCTGGGCGAATGATTCGCTTAATTGGCCACGACTTTTCGCACTTCCTGCTGTTGCCGTAAGTACGCATACTTGGTACGCATACTTGGCCAGCGTGGTTTTTCCGTGGAGTCTCGTCAGGCTTGTCCTGGAAGAGGAAAAGCTAGCATTATAACATGTCACAATCCGGGTGGCACCGACGTTGCCCGACAGCAACAGGCAGTCGATCTGCTAGTACTAGTGCTCCGTACAATAGTGTACAGAGTAGCTTGTTTCTTGCTAGGACTGGTGGACTCTGGAAAAGCAAACGCACAAAGACGGCTCTAACAATAGTTTGTGGGACACCCTGGAAAGAATATGAATGCTTTCGAATCAAGGCAACAGGACCGGGACGCTAAGTTAACCAAGGTGCTCACTAACGGCAGATCTGGGTAGATGAAACAAAGATGTACAAATAACAATTCCAGCATTGGTGAGATGCTCAAACTTGCATTGCTTGTGTGGCTCGTCGCCCGCATGCTCCGGCGCTGCCCCACCGAGCCCTAGCAATTCATGGTGTCAGGGTTCGCAGCTTTTGGTCCAACGGTCCAATGAAACAGGCCAGATTAGAATGCGGCTCGGGCGACAAGGCGGGAATGTCATGCAGGGCTGGAGGAGCAGGGTGCCTTGCTGTCCGCGTCCGACTTCGGCAGGGCCAATTTAGTTGCCGAGCGAGGGTGGTGCGTCCATCTCATTAGTATCATTGAAAACAACAGCTTGGTTATGAGCACACGGATATTGGTTTTGCTAGGGAGCCACTCTATACGGGTAGTTTAGCCATTATTTCTCCGGGCCTGACATTGAACCCAGAGCACTGACTTTGGGTTCGGCTGCAACGAGACCGAACTATGTCGGTGTCGTAATCCCGTCTGCTGCTATAGTAGGACCTTGGTCGTATTTTGGATCTTTGCGCCCTGCATAGGTACCTACTCCGTATGCACCCGTCTGACCAAGGACTGCAATCTCAGCCCGGGGTGCAGCTCGCCAACGGCTCGGGGGCCCTATTCCTGGAGAGCCGTATGAAGGGAGCCATTTGCTCTGGTGGGATGATATTGGAGGAAAGGAGGACGTATGAGTACTTCTGACCGTTGTCCCGGAATGTTGGACGGCTCAAATCGACCGCCTTCTTCGTAGAGGATAGTTTGCCTGTTTTTGTGTCAAGGAATGATACCAATCATATCCATACCCGTGGTGACTAGAATTCCCACAGCCATGGGATCTTGCAAAAGCAATCAAAGGAAAAATTTTCTCTCACAAATGGATGCAAGCCGGGCAACCCCGGAAGGGAGAGAACAGCAGAGGGGGACGTCGTCAGGTGCCAGTCAGGGCTCATTAGTAGGCGAAGTGTAGACCAAGGTCGCGGTAAAGGCCGAGGCGGCGACTGCGCACTTCGCACCTGCAAGCAGCAAACCTTTGTGCGAATAATCACGACTACAACCGTGTACTCCGTAAGCGAGGAGGACCTGAGGGGCTTAGGCCTGACTTTGGCTGCAGGTGGAGTGCAGTTATGACACACAGTTTTCTCCGGTGCAAGTGCAGGCAGAGGGCCTGGGAGAGCCCAGCAGAGTGGTCTGGCTGGGTGGTGACCAGCTCTGGCGTCTTGACACTGGAGCTGTCCAGCGTAGAAGGGTAGAAGGGCGCAGAGGCTTTAGGCTCAGGCTAGGGCTCAGGTGGCTCTCGGGCGCCGGTCGCGGCGTGAGCTTCTTCCCTGCGGCGATTGTAAAAGGTAATCGATGCCTAAAGTCACGACGGCGATTGGACACAGACTCCTTATCAGCACATGCAGCATGATGGAGATGCGAGCCATACACAGGCACGAATGCACGCTGCGACAAGGATCCTCCAGACCTCCCCACCTTCACCCACTTCAATCGTCCATCTGTGATGCGCATGGTACGTTACTCTGGCCTCGCTCCCAAGAGAGCGTGTGTCTTCAGTTGAGATCAGGATCTGTGCCCTAACATCCTACAGAGCCGTAGTGACTGACAGTGCGCGGACTGTGACACCCGTCCCCGACCATCACTGTCGAGCACTCCTCCCGACTGACTCTACGGGCTGCGGCCCATTCACTGCTTTGACGGCCGCTAGCCACTAAGAGCAGTAGAAAAGTCCTGGCAAAATCGAGGCTCCAAACCCCACACCGTGCGACCCAATTTCTTCTTTTTCTTCCTTTCAGTCCACACTCTCCCTCCATCCTTCTGTTTACCCTTCCAAGCTCCCAGTCAGTCTGTCCCTCTGTCGTCCCAGGCTCGTAAACTCTCGTCGGAGCTCAGTCACGCTGCCAGCCAACCCTGCCGCCTACCCTTGGCGCCGCCCTCCATACCGCACGGCCTCGTCGTGACCGGAGCGCATTCGCCACCAACCTTTCATCCGACTACCTGGAACGTTGTCGCCTGTCGACCCTAGGATGGGCCCTGTAGTGGAGGAAACACACATTCAAGAAATCGAAACATCTGAGGTGCGGGAAGAGTACACTCCTTATCAGGCCCAGGAGGGCTATGGATGGGGTAAGGCTTTGCCCGAGAAGCAAGGTCTCTATGACCCTAGCCTTGAGAAAGATGCATGCGGTGTAGGCTTTGCTGCGTAAGAACCTCCTCTGCCTTGAAAAGCTGTACCACGGGCACTGACGATCATCCAGCCATATTAAGGGCAAGCCAAGCCACAAAATCATCAGCGATGGTGAGTTTTCTACTCTGGTCTGGAGCTCTGCGACGTCATGGTGTGTCTAACAGCTTGCAGCTCGAAACCTCCTCTGTAACATGACCCATCGTGGTGCGGTCGGTTCAGACGCACGAGATGGCGATGGCGCCGGTGTCATGACATCCATCCCGCACAAATTCTTCGTTAAGAACTTTGCCCGTGAGGTTGGCGTGGAGTTGCCACCCTTGGGTCAATATGCCGCCGGGAATCTCTTCTTCAAGCCAGACACTGAGATGCTGAAACATGCCACTCTTAGCTTTGAAGAGACCGCCCAGTCTTTGGGTCTGCGCACCCTGGGCTGGAGAGAGGTTCCCAGAGACTCAACCCTTCTCGGCCCTGCGGCGCTTTCACGCGAGCCCATCATTCTGCAGCCCTTTGTTGTCCTGGCTTCCGCATATGGCACTGGCAACAAGCCTGAAACCACCGACCCGGAGCACTTCGATTCCATCGAATTCGAACGCAAGTTATACGTTCTGAGAAAGACAGTCTCCCATGATCCTCGGTGGAAACCATGGTTCTACGTGTGCTCGTTGAGCAATAGAAACATTGTTTACAAGGGGCAATTGGCGCCGGTGCAGGTGTATCAGTACTATCATGACCTTGTCTCGGTCGATTACGAAGGTCATTTTGCTCTGGTCCACTCACGGTTTTCAACAAACACATTCCCATCTTGGGATCGGTCACAGCCGCTGCGGTGGCTTGCCCATAACGGTGAAATCAACACCCTCCGCGGCAACAAAAACTGGATGAGGGCTCGCGAGGGAGTTTTAAGCTCCGAGCTTTTTGGTGAAGACCTGGCGAACCTCTTCCCCATCGTCGAAGATGGAGGTTCCGATTCCGCGGCTTTCGACAATGTCCTCGAGCTGCTGGTGATGAACCGTGTCCTGTCCATGCCTGAGGCCGTCATGATGATGGTGCCTGAAGCGTGGCAAGGGAATGCCGCCATGGATCCTGCCAAAGCAGCTTTCTACGAATACTCGGCCTGCCTGATGGAGCCGTGGGACGGTCCCGCCCTATTCACCTTCTCAGACGGTCGTTACTGCGGAGCAAACTTGGATCGAAATGGTCTGAGACCCTGCAGATATTACGTGACTGATGATGATCGAATTGTCTGTGCATCTGAAGTCGGCACCATTGCCATTGAGCCCGAGAGGGTGGTTATCAAGGGCCGTCTGCAGCCGGGTAAAATGCTCCTAGTCGACACCCAAGCTGGGCGTATCATTGATGATTCCGAGCTCAAAGCTACTGTCGCAAACCGACAGCCTTTCCAACAGTGGCTTGACAAACATATCCTGAAGATGCCTTCAATCTACACGTCCCTGGCTAAAAAACTCGACTTGGGCTTCAAACTCACGGAGGAGAGTGTCCAGGAGGATCCCAGACTGCGCGCTTTCGGTTATTCATACGAACAAGTAAGTCTGTTGCTCGGTCCTATGGCAGCCGACTCGAAGGAGGCCCTTGGCTCCATGGGTAACGATGCTCCGTTGGCGGTGCTTGCCCAGCAACCACGACTGCTGTATGAGTACTTCAGACAGTTGTTCGCTCAGGTTACCAACCCACCTATCGATCCGATCCGGGAAGCCATCGTCATGTCTCTGGAATGTTATGTCGGGCCCCAGGGCAATCTTTTGGAGATGGATGAGTCTCAGTGCGCTAGACTTCTGCTCCCTTCGCCAATTCTGGAGATAGAAACTTTCAACGCGCTCAAGAATATTAGTCAGTACAACAAGGATTGGACTGCGCGTATCATCGATATCACTTTCGAAAAGTCCTCTGGTATCGATGGTTACATGAAAGCTCTCGATAACATCTGCGACGAGGCGACTGCTGCCATTGAGGAGGGTGACAAGATCATCATTCTGTCCGATCGAGCCACATCTGAGAACAGAGTTCCCGTGTCCGCGCTCCTTGCTACTGGCTTGGTCCATCACCATCTTGTTCGTAACAAATGGAGATCTCGAGCTGCTCTCATCGTGGAAACAGCCGAGGCCAGAGAAGTGCATCACATGTGCGTGCTTGTTGGCTACGGTGCAGATGGTATCAACCCATACCTGGCTATGGAATGTATCCTGAAGATGAATCGACAAGGGCTCATCAGAAAGAAGCTTACTGACGAACAAGTCATTGCTAACTACAAGGCCTCCTGTGATGGAGGCATCCTCAAAGTCATGAGCAAAATGGGTATCTCTACTCTGCAGTCTTACAAGGGCGCTCAGATCTTCGAAGCTCTCGGTATCGATGATTCGGTTGTTGACCGATGTTTTGCCGGCACAGCCACTCGTGTACGCGGCATGACTTTTGAGCTCATCGCCGAGGATGCATTTGCTTTCCATGAGAGAGGATATCCCACTCGTCACATCCGCGACATCCCCGGATTGTCTGAGACAGGCGAATATCATTGGCGTGATGGCGGCCAGCCTCACATTAATGACCCTGTGAGCATTGCAAACATTCAAGACGCCGTCAGAACGAAGAACGACAAGTCTTACGAAGCTTACTCCCTCTCCGAGTATGAGCAAATCAAGAACTGCACTCTGAGAGGCCTGCTTGATTTCGACTTCGAACAGCGTCAGCCCGTGCCGATTGATCAGGTGGAGCCATGGACAGAAATCGTCCGACGATTCGTCACTGGCGCCATGTCGTACGGTTCCATCTCAATGGAATCGCACTCCACTCTTGCTGTGGCTATGAATCGTCTGGGTGGCAAGTCCAACACCGGCGAGGGTGGCGAAGATCCAGAACGCAGCTTGAAGATGGAGAATGGTGACTCGATGCGATCCGCCATCAAGCAAATCGCATCCGGCCGTTTTGGCGTGACGTCCAATTACCTGGCCGATGCTGATGAACTCCAAATTAAGATGGCCCAAGGCGCGAAGCCTGGGGAAGGCGGTGAGCTTCCAGGTCACAAGGTCACCAACCCGATCGCCCGTACCAGACACTCTACTCCTGGTGTCGGTCTGATCTCGCCTCCTCCTCATCACGACATTTACTCCATCGAAGATCTGAAACAATTGATCTATGATCTCAAGTGCTCTAACCCTCGAGCTAGAGTGTCCGTCAAGTTGGTGTCTGAAGTGGGCGTGGGTATTGTGGCTGCCGGGGTTGCGAAGGCCAAGGCTGACCACATTCTAATTTCCGGTCACGATGGTGGCACTGGTGCCTCAAGATGGACTGGCATCAAGTATGCTGGTTTGCCGTGGGAACTCGGTCTTGCTGAGACACATCAAACTCTGGTGCTGAACGACCTCCGTGGCCGTGTCATTGTGCAGACCGACGGCCAACTCCGGACTGGTCGTGATGTGGCTATTGCCTGTCTGCTCGGTGCCGAAGAATGGGGCTTTGCCACCACTCCTCTCATTGCTATGGGCTGTATTATGATGCGAAAGGTAAGAACTCTACAACTGGGTTTGGAGGTATAAGCATATACTAACTTGTCGGTTTAGTGTCATCTGAATACTTGCCCGGTCGGCATTGCCACTCAAGATCCCCTCCTTAGGAAGAAGTTCCAAGGCACTCCTGAGCATGTCATCAATTTCTTTTATTATATTGCCAACGAACTGCGCGCAATCATGGCGCAGCTTGGAATACGAACCGTGAACGAGATGGTGGGCCGTGCTGAGCTCTTGAAGGTCCGCGACGATCTTCGTACCCCGAAGACACAAAACGTCGATTTGTCTCTCATCTTGACACCGGCGCACTCGATCCGTCCTGGCGTTGCGACGTACAACGTCCGCAAGCAAGACCACAAGCTGCACACCCGTCTTGACAACAAGCTCATCTCAGAGTCTGAACTTGCCTTGGAGAAAGGACTCCCCTGCCGAATTGAGACCGATATCGTCAACACCGACAGAGCCTTGGGCGCCACACTGTCATACCAGATTAGTAAACGTTATGGCGAAGCTGGTTTGCCTCAAGATACCATTCATGTCAACATCAGGGGGTCTGCTGGCCAATCGTTTGGAGCCTACCTTGCTCCGGGGGTCACTTTGGAACTCGAGGGTGACGCCAACGATTATGTCGGCAAAGGCCTCTCTGGCGGTCGCTTGATCATCTATCCCCCACGCAGTGCAGTGTTCAAGGCCGAGGAGAACATATTGCTCGGTAACGTCTGCCTCTACGGTGCGACAAGCGGCACCTGTTACTTCAGAGGTGTAGCAGCAGAGCGATTCGCGGTCCGAAACTCCGGCGCCAATGCTGTTGTCGAAGGTGTTGGTGACCATGGTTGCGAGTACATGACTGGCGGCCGAGTTGTTGTGCTTGGTGAAACCGGTCGGAACTTCGCTGCCGGTATGTCTGGCGGTATCGCTTATGTCCTTGACATGAACCAAGACTTCCACTCTAAGATCAACATGGAGATGGTGGAAGTATCCGGCGTTGAGGAACCTTCCGAAATCGCCTTCCTCCGGGGCATGATTGAGGATCATCACCACTACACGGGCTCGGAACTCGCAGCTCGGATTCTGCTCGAGTTCAATCGTGCGCTTCCTCGCTTTGTCAAGGTTCTGCCTACAGACTATAAGAGAGTGTTGGCAGAGCAGAAGAAGAAGGCCGAAGAAGCGAAGAAGGCAGAGTATCCCCTGCCATTGCTCCCTGGCAATCCTGTTCGCAACCTCCACCAAGAACAGCGTGATCGTGCCAATGACAAGGAGGCCGCCAAACCAAAGAAAGCCGACATGCTTGACATCGAGGAGGGCATCAATGGTGATGCAGACAAGGCCAAGCAAAAGGCCGCCCTGGTTCTCGACAAGACTCGTGGCTTCATGAAGTACTCCCGTCGCAGCGAGAAATACCGCAACCCTAAAACTCGAACCAAGGACTGGGCTGAACTCTCAGCGCGTCTCAGTGAGGACGAGCTCAAGTATCAATCAGCACGATGCATGGATTGTGGCGTACCGTTCTGCCAATCGGACACTGGCTGTCCGATTTCCAACATCATTCCTAAATGGAATGAATTAGTATTCGCTGTAGGAGCCCTACAACTGGCACTGGAGGTATAAACATATGCTAACTTGTCGCAGGATCAATGGAAGGATGCTCTTAACCGCCTGTTGATGACGAACAACTTCCCCGAGTTCACTGGCCGTGTCTGCCCTGCCCCTTGCGAAGGTGCATGTGTTTTAGGAATCAATGAAGATCCCGTCGGCATCAAGAGCATTGAGTGTGCAATCATCGACAAAGGCTTTGAGATGGGCTGGATGGTTCCTACGCCACCCACCGAGCGGACGGGCAAGACGGTTGCCGTCATCGGATCAGGTCCGGCTGGTCTTGCCGCCGCAGATCAACTCAACCGTGCCGGACACACGGTTACAGTTTACGAAAAGTCTGACCGTGCCGGCGGTTTGCTGATGTATGGTATTCCAAACATGAAGCTCGACAAGCGCATTGTCCAGCGGCGTGTGGATCTCATGGCAGCCGAAGGCGTCCAGTTTGAGCTCGGTGTCATGGTTGGTCCGGATGAGAAGATCAGCCTGCAGTCGCTGCGTGACAGCCACGATGCCGTTATCATCTCTACCGGGGCTCAAGTTCCCCGTGACTTGAAGATCAAGAACAGAGAATCCGAGGGCGTTCACTTTGCGATGGAATTCTTGCACGCCAACACCAAATCGCTACTCGACTCTGGGCTGGACGATGGCCACTATATCTCGGCCAAGGATAAGCACGTCATCGTCATTGGAGGCGGCGACACTGGCAACGACTGCATCGGTACCTCTCTTCGACACGGCGCTAAGTCTATCACCAACTTTGAGCTTCTGCCACAGCCTCCGGCAGAGCGCGCCCGCGACAACCCATGGCCTCAGTGGCCTAGAATCTACCGTGTCGATTATGGGCATACCGAAGTCAAACAGCACTACGGCAACGACCCTCGTGAATACTGTGTCATGACCAAAGACTTTGTGGTGGAGGATGGCAAGGTGGTGGGTATCAACACCACTCGAGTGGAATGGACCAAGGGGGCAACTGGTGCTTGGGAAATGAAGCCTCGGGAGGGCAGCGAGCAGTATTTCCCTGCGGACCTCGTCTTGCTCTCCATGGGTTTCCTTGGACCAGACGACCGTCTTTTCAACTCCGAAGTCGAGCTTGACCCGCGCAAGAACATCAAGACACCCAAGAACATGTACAACACCAACATCCCTGGGGTGTTCGCTGCCGGCGATTGTCGTCGGGGTCAATCGCTCATTGTGTGGGGCATCAATGAAGGTCGCCAGTGCGCTCGACAAGTGGACTCCTTCCTTCTGGGCGAAAGTTCCTCCCTCCCCATCACCGGCGGCATTGTGCGTCGGGTTGCACATGACGCTGTCCCCAAATCGAAAGAGTCTAAGGCCCACAAGGAAGGTGACATGGCACATGCCACAGAAGAGTTCAAGCGCACTACCGACGTTAAAGCTGCTGCATGATGGGACGTGGGTGAGTATGTTCGGCCAAATTGAAAAGTATCAACTGTTACATGGGTGGCTTCCTCGATGATTGATGGTCTGGGACGACATGATGAGTGCAGATTCACAGCGAGCCGATAACGCTGACAGCCTTATGAATGGAGGGCGGTCACACACCAGGGGCTTGCATTACGATGGCTCATGTCTTGGATGCTTACGATCGTTTGCGAGCGGGGAGTTTTGTATGTATGGCATCCAAAATCTTCCAGTCGTTATGCGTGTTGTGCACGGTAGAAAGTTTGAGGAGGTTATGGAAATAGGAAAGTGATTTTGTCAATGCCGGTGTCTTTAAAGGGTCCGAGACTGGCTCAGACTGCCAATTGGGATGTAACAACATAGCCAGCGGTAGATAGCAGAATCAAGATAACCCTTCTATGAATTCGGGTGCTCGGTTGCACACTTTCAAGGCACTGTCGTTACCAGTCCTGATTACTATCTCATTCACAGTTCATGTACAGAGTACTCCGTACTCAGGGTTAAACTCGTTCAAGTTGTTGACATATTGCCGTTTTGGAAGTCTTGGCAGGCCGCGGAGGTTCACCAACTTCAAGTTCGGCACCAACAGTACTCGTACATACATAGGAAACTATTGATTGCCCACGATCACCAGGAAGGTGGCCATAGCACTGTCACTTGACACTCGTCAAGTAGTACACAGGCACCTTACCTCGCCGCCGGCACATGTACGCATATACCGACTATCATCGCATCAAAGTGCCACAGAGCGATAGGTGGAGGCCAAGGCTGCGTGTCCGGGCATAGGCAGTGCAATTCTTGTGCAATCCACCGGGAACAGCGGGCCTCGAAGCTCTACCACGAGTTCGACGCGAAAAGGTGGCACTCAACAGCTCTGGCGCGACCAAAAGCCACTGCCAGGGACCCAGGCGGCTTTGCAACCAGGCAATTACGATACCAAAAGCGGACGATAATACTGTGGGATAGACATTCTCTGTCATTCAACTCTCTAAAGGAGTCGTCACCACCATGTTCTTGACAACATCTCTCCCGCTTTTACCTCCCCCGTCAGCATCTCTTCTCCCACCCCTCACCAACGCCTCGTCTGATAACTCCGCTTTAAACCAAGCTTCAGCTCCTCATCAGCATCCATCTCGTCGGCAGAAGGCGCATGCCATGGCTTTGCATCGTAACAGTGCGCTCGCCACTCTTAGCGCTGACGAGAGAACCATTGTGCAACGCAAAATGGCCATAGCCATGTACGGATATAGCTGGCTGAAGCCGGCAGGGTGTGCCAAAACGATGCTGGGTAGGCGCGAGGAGGAACTCGAGAGAGAGGAAGTTGAGAGGCAGCTGAGGGAAGTCGAAATGCAGGAGAGAATCCAGCAGGAAGCCGACGAGCAGGAACGACTGGCTAGACTTGGGGAGATGGGAGAGCCGGAAGGAGAGCGAGATCTGGATGAAGACATCCCTGACGCCGACCCAGATGAGGAGGGGGACGAAGATGAGGATGATCCATACGACGACTTTGAAGAGGAAGCCGAGGAAGACGGCATGGAGGGAGATCTGGACGACGAGATCCCAGATGCCGACGAGGATGACGAGAATGACGATGAGATCATGTCTCCTGACCCCGAAACCGCCAACGCGGACTGGATCTATGACACACGTCGAGAGCCAGACACGGACGAGGAAGAGGGTGCTTTGTCCCCGGCCCACCCCGGTCGAGCCAGGGTGCACGCAAATATTAGCGTCGCTGGTGTCTACATCACTGACCCTGGAAGTGGCTATGACTACGACGAGCGAGATGCAGAGGACTTGGCGGACGCAATGCTTGACGAGGATGAGATATTCGATCACCAGAACGCCGATCCAGGCGAGCGGGATCTAGATGAGGAAATTCCCGAAGCCGAGTCGGAACAGGGGTGGGAGCATACCGACACAGAACTTGAGGCAAGCGAAATGGACATTTCCATGCTTGCCAGTGGTCAGATCCATCCGGCGGAGCCCGCGAGCCGAGACTCCTCGCGGCGTATTTCTGGCAGACACGTCGCAGATGGCTCAAGAAGGGCTTCAGGACGCAGAAGTTCAGGGCCATGGATCACGGGTCTTTCTAGAGCTCAAAGTCCAGGCCAGCCAGGGCTCGACTCGGCGCGTTACAGCCGGCCCACGCCCGCCTCTGTGCACGTGGAGCCGCGGGCGAGGGTCATCTCTGGGAACCGCGCTCACGCTCACGCTCACGCTCACCAGCAGCATCAATACATTCAGACGCCGGTAATGCTGGATAGCCCGCTCGAAGTTGACTTGGAACTTGACGGTGAGCTGGATCCCTTTGTGTCTAGTAGGAGAGCCACCACGACGAGAAATATGCGCCGCGGCATGCCTAGGAGCGTTACCGCCACAGCGGGACCAGATTCAGCGGCATCGAGTAGGACCGACACAGCAGGTCTGAATGTGAATGTGAATGAAAACCCATCGCGCACAACCGCGGCGCGGAACTGGCTCGACGGTGCCGCCGCCGCGGTGGGCGGCAGTGCAAGGCGGACGTTGTTTGGGCGAGCCGTGAGAAGGGCCAATGCCGGCACGGTAAACACGGCTGCTACGGACACTACCGCGGCGTCGAGTGGTGGCCTATTCACACCCTCGCCTGCCACAGAACAACCGGAAGGGACGGCGCAAGACTGGGAAACACCCGTCAGTGGCCAGGCAAGCCAGGAGTCGGGTCAAGGACGGGACCAGCGAGAGACACGCACCCGGAGTGGACGCTTTCTGAGCGGAAGGAGAAGAGAGCGGTAGCTCGTCTCCACGATACTTGACTTGCAACGAGAGAGAGAGAGAGAGAGAGAGAGACAGAGAGAGAGCACACGGCACATGTGAAAATGGGGGCGTATGATCATAGCTCATACGTAACAAATTACCATTAAGATATATTGCCTTGTCTTTTTGCTCTCTTTTGCCCCGTTTCGACGTCCCTGCCCACGATTCGTAGGACGAGGGCCAGCCACGACTAGTTACCATCTCGGCACTTTTTGGAGCGCCAAATTGCGGACTGGACTATGAGAAGGAAGCCCATTCCAAGTCAAGTAAAGCAAGCACATGGATTCAGCTTGGATACACCATGTTGCCCGGCTAGAATCTACCCTCACCGGAGTGCCCAGATAGCCGTCACCCAAACGAGACCCGGGCACCGTAATGCCACTGCAAGGCTGTTCCATTCCTTCTGTTGTGCCATGGCCCAAAACGGCCAACCGGTGAAGCCCACCATGTACCGATATGTTGTACAAACAGTCAACCGTCGTGAAAGGGACAAGCGTGATAAGTTGGGTCTAGGTCCCAAGGCACGGTATCGCAACATGACTCCAGGGTCGAGAATCTGGAGGAGAGTCCAGATGCGAGTTCCAAGCTCATGGGAGTCTGCATTTGCCTTGCGGCAGTACCTGATCAAGCATGCCTCGGGGCGGGGTTCAGGTGCGTGACACGTGCTCTGAGGGTGTTCTCACGGGTGGCCTGGCGCGAACCATCAGCCGCGGGGACTAAGGTCGAAGTGAGCTCCCAGGCGATGTATGTAAAAGTGTATAAAATCCGGTCCTCTGAGGCTAGAATAGCCAGACGTATGCGAAGATGGCCCAGACGGCGATGAAGAACAGCACCCAGGCCTTCCACCCGACGCCGGTCCGTTCAGCCATCCTCAGCATCCGCCTCATTGTCCCCCGTAACCTGACTCCCGTGTTCTCGAACGAGTCGTTGATTTGGCTAGCGAGCGCACTCGAGTCTCTGATCTCGTCCCCGATGGCGATGGTCAAGGATTTTAACTGTGACACCTTTTGCGAGAGCACTGTCGTGGCGGTGACCTCATTCTGAGATTCTAGTTCCTCGAGAACCGAGGTCGAGTACTGGCCCTTTGAATTGGGGGTGGCGGAGCGGAAGGAATGTGTGGACTCGTGTTGCGTGCCGTTTGCGTTGGAGTACGGGCTCAAATATGGCGACGACGACGGTCGCCCTTCGGCCGTTGACGGGTAGGCATAGCTCGGGCGGCTGGAGGATGAGCTGGATGGCCGCGAGCCAGGATAGTCTTGGAAAAGGGAGGATGATGGTGCAGTGCGCCGGTTTAACGCAGAGTACCGGTTACTAGGAGTAGTGAGGCATGATTAGCAGAGATCAGCTAGGAAGAAACATGACACGTGTCTCAGATGTGTCTTCAAGGAGCAAACACACTTGGACATGGTGCTGGTTTGTGTTTATTGTAGAGAAGTATCCATGAGATTGGCCGTTTGTCGCATCCACGTCGCTATCCAGATCCCGGCGTGCGAATCTGTCCCTGGGCGGTGGAGGCGATTGTGCGGATAGCTGTGCTGGTTTCGTCAAAGTATTCTCTCCGTTGGCGACGTTGTGGTGTGTATTGAACCTGAAATTTCATCAGGGCAAGCGAGGGTACATATACCTCAAGGGCAAGATCGAGAAGACATATCCGTACTGCAAGGTGGCCTGCGGATCGGCCACATGGCCGGATTTACAGACGGAAGTGCTACGCTTGGACAGATGCTCGTCTAGCGCAAAATGCAAAATACGGGGAACACGGCTTGGAGGTCCTTCACTTCCACCATCTCTTGATCGTATGGTCTGATGACTGAAACTCACACACCTCTGGGCACGCTCGCATTGTGGCTTGGCAAGCTTGACGTCGCTTGGTCTGGGCCCTTTTGTGATACCCCTATAGCGGTGGCTGCAAGATAGTCCGGTTCCAGCGACACATCAACGAGGCTGAAACACACGGCCTTGTGGGACTTAATTTTGCGGTTGCGGTCACGGTCGCGCAGTGAGCAAGACGCGCCATTTCACCGCGCAACGCGTGCATTCCCTGGTAGGTGCACTGGGTCTGTAAACTGCATAATTGTACCAGCATAGACCAGAACAATGGTACTGGACACTGCTAACACGGGTCTAGATCATCATCTGTCTCTCTCCTAGCGTCTCTCATGTTTGTACTACCCTGCGCAGTTCCGCAAAATGGCTCCCCGCCGACAAAACGATAGCTTCGGCTCTGTTGGCGAGACCGATCCTGAGATTGTGTCCGAGTTGAGGGAGCGGCTGACAGAAGCCACCATCAAGTGCTCGGAACGCTGCTTATACCAGTCGGCGAAATGGGCGGCGGAACTCCTAGACTCTCTCCCCGAAGACCACGATCCCGATCATGATTCTCACATGCAAGACACGAATACTATCCCATCATATCGAATTTTCTCGACGAGTGATGATGATCCAGTGGAGGCGGCGTTAGAGGCAAAAGAGGCACCGAGATATCTCCTGGCAAAGGCATTCTTCGATACGAAAGAGTTTGACAGATGTGCTGCTGTGTTTCTGCCGCCAGCCATCCCAGCTGGCGGCCTTGCCATCTTCGACAAGCCAAAAGGACGCACACCCACGTCTACACCGACTCGAGCCAAGGGCAAGTTAAAGCAGAACGAATCCGAATCAATCAATCCATTTCCTGGTGTCAGCCAAAAGTCGCTTTTCCTCTCGCTGTACGCTCGATATCTGGCCGGGGAGAAAAGAAAGGACGAAGAGAGCGAGATGGTGTTAGGCCCCGCCGATGGTGGACAAACCACGAACCGCGAACTGGCGTCGCTGGCAAGGGGGCTGGAAGCATATTTCAAAGCGAGAGATGCTGCAGATCCACATCTCGAACGATCACAAGGATGGTTGGAATATCTGTACGGGGTTGTGTTGGCCAAGTCGAGGCAGGAGAATCTTGCACAGCAATGGCTGCTGCGCTCTGTCCGGCTCAACCCCTATCACTGGGGAGCGTGGGAAGAACTCTCATCCCTTCTCTCCTCCGTCGACGACATGACCGCCCAATTGTCCTCCTCTAGTCTGCCCCAGAACATCATGGGCATCATCTACCAAGCCTACGCATCCGTCGATCTTTTCTCGATGAGCGACCAGTCCAACACCGTCGCCTATCTGAGAACATTACTGAACTATTTCCCAACCTCGACGTTCCTCCTGACCCAGCTCGCTCTGTCATATTACCACGCCAAAGACTACGAGGTGTCGGCCTCGATCTTCCAGGACGTGCTCGTCGCACATCCTCACCGGCTCGATGGCCTAGATCACTACTCCAACATCCTCTACGTGATGGCGGACCGGCCGAAGCTGGCTTTTCTGGCGCACCTGGCCACGTCCGTCGACAAGTTCCGCCCCGAAACGTGCTGTGTTGTCGGCAATTACTATTCGCTCTGCTCGCAACACGAGAAAGCAGTCATGTACTTCCGCCGCGCCCTGACCCTAGACCGGAATTTCCTGTCGGCATGGACCTTGATGGGACACGAGTACATTGAGTTGAAGAACACTCACGCCGCCATCGAATCATATCGCCGCGCCGTTGACGTCAATCGCAAGGACTACCGGGCGTGGTACGGTTTGGGCCAAGCATATGAGGTGCTCGACATGGGGTTTTATGCTTTGTTTTACTATCAACGCGCAGCAGGCTTGAGGCCGTACGATCCCAAGATGTGGCAGGCCGTGGGTTCTTGCTACACGAAGATGAACCGGCTGGACCAAGCGATCAAAGCACTCAAACGCGCCCTGGTGGCCGGGACGTATTTTGACGATGCAAACTCTCCTCAGTCGAGCTTCAGCACTTCCAACACTGCTGCCAAGCCCAAATCGCAGCGCCCACCAGCCCCCGCACGCAAACTACTGGACCCTGAGACTCTGTACCAGATTGCCCTGCTGCACGAACGCATCGGTCCGGACGGCGAGGCCGAGGCGGCACGGTACATGGAGCTCTGCGTGGCGCAGGAGACTGGCGGAACCCACAAATCCGTGCTGGAGGCCGAGAAGGCCTTGCGGAGACGCCAACGCAAGGAGGCCCGGGCCAGTGCAATTGCCCAGGAGCGCAGAGCCCGTCTGGCTGCGATGGGGGCCGAAGCTGGCCTCGATGCAGACGTCGGCATTGACGATGATGCTGCAGACATGGAAGGTGACGACGATACAGAGATCCTCTCGTCACCGGCCTCGCCAGCTTCGGCCGAAGGCGATGCTCACAATACAGGCGAGGGAGACGGCGACGGCGACGGGTTCGGCACAGGAACAACCGCCACAACCTCCAAAGCACGTCTTTGGCTTGCCCGCTGGAGCGTCAAGGCCGGAGATCTGGATCGAGCAGAGAGGTTGGCCGAGGAGCTGTGCATGGACGGGTACGAGGTGGAAGAGGCAAAAGGCTTGGTTAGAGAGGTCAGAGGGCGCAGAGACGGTATGCTAGGAAGCGAGTTTTGAATTTGATCTTCTTCACATTCGTACCCGTCAGCTTGTCGGTGCATGTCATACCTATCGAGCAGCCCTGCACGTTGAAGCCGACGTCAACGACAATACTACTCACCGCTTTTCCGGGCACTAGATGCTCGGCAACAAAAGGAACATTGGGTACCAGAGAACATGTCTTAGAGTAGAGAGTACTCTCGCTCACTCTGATGGCTCAGTCACTCTCCCATGCTCAGAGGTCTCCTAAGCTCTAGCGACAAGGCGACAAGGAATCAATGCTTCTTCCCCTATCAATCAGCACGAACAAGCCGTCGTCCATTTCACCAACCCAGCAGACTTCCCACAAACATTTGCATTCAGAAAAGACTGCATCAATACCACACTTCCAGCTGCCATGCTCTGTTCACCTTTTGCTTTCCCGGCTCAGTGGTAGCTCGGTTATCAATATTCCATCGACTTCGTCAAGAACCGCCAGCACGATTCTTCGCTGTCATGTCTGGGAAGCAATGTACCGGATGTCCAGAGGAGCATCCATCCAGCTCGGATCCGGTAAAATTTGACGTCAATAAAAGTCGAAAGAATTCTCCTATCGGTTGAGGAGAGTTCAAGATAAAACTTCAAGCAGAGAGGTATCCGGTGATCTCACCGATATCCCATCCGTTAGGGTTGTGCAACGGATAAACCCATTGGCGCGCGAATGTTGAATGGCAGTGGCAGTACATTGACCTGTTGTCCCTTCCGAGCCCCCAGAGAACATTAGCCGTTCATGGTTGCCTTGGAGGGCGAAGAAAATGCCGTGAGTCTTGGATCGTCACATTTTCCGCACTGCATTCACTTGACAGTCGATTCTGGCACTTCTCACATCGTTGACCCAAGCGGGATACCTCGCCCAGACAGTGATGGCGATCCTCATTCCACCACGAATACTTCTCATAAGTTTCCTAATTTCCTCGTCACGATCGTTGTGACTCCACCGGACAGTATGAGTTTTGTACTCTCTGCCTGCGTGGACATTGGTGATGATCTTCCTTCTCGAGATTGGGGTTCTCGCTCGGTTCGGCTCAGTAGCCCGCCCTGACTCCGGGGAAAAGATCACCACCTCAAACCAGGTCCAACTATTCAGATAGGTTCCGTGAAAATGGTTGTCCCAACTGTAACCTTGGTCTTTGGAAGTGACAGTAAAGGTGAGTGTACGCAGGGCCTTTCCTGGAAAGGTTTCTGGCAGCTCCGCCATCAGGTACTCTGAACCTGCAGTTCTTTCTACCACTTGAAAGGGATGGGTTGTTGAGGCGAGGGGAGCATCAAGCCAGAACCCTGCCATGTCGAGGACGGTCGGTACCAAGTCAACAGGCATGACCTGGGCGAGAAGAAACGCGGTGTGATAGGTATCTGAAGGTACAGGACCGATTGGTTGCATGGCTAAAGTGTAGGATCGAGGACGTTTGAGTTTGGAGACTGCAGAAGAGACCCGGGACAAGGGAGGAGAGAGAATTGGCGTGACGAAACGTATGATGTGCGGCAAGATGTTTATAACGAAATAGAAGAGGGCGAGGATGATGAGGCCGTTAATGATGGAGAATGTCAGCATATACAAAATGTCTTCCAGGGCGTCACCAATGGCTTTGGCCAGCTCCATTACGAGGGGTTCTTGCTACATCATGGTTTGATAGGATGGAGGTGCGGCAGGCGGAGGACGAAAAGGATGAAGGAGAATCGTGGAAGAAGAGGACAGGAGACATTATATAGCGTCGACATCGATCGTTCCAAGTGCAAACTAGACAGTGCAGAAGCACATGTAGCTTGGGTGACTCGGTGTCAAGTGTTTGAGAGCAGGCGCGTGAGGGTCACTAGGGGGGTGACGTATAGTAGACTCCTAGCACCTTCGGGCATAATTTAGGCATCTTTCAGGCATCTTTAAGGCACCCCTACAGAATGCTGCTTCCTCAACACAGAGTAGGACCGAGTACGGAGTAATATTTCAAGAGTACTGTGGGCGCCAGGCACCTAGCCAGGCTGCCTAGATCTCTCAGCAAACTGTCAGCTAGCCCGGTTACCCCTCCTTCCTGCGCCCCTTCAGCCTGCTGTACATATGTACAGTATCAGCCTTATGACCTTCGTTTTATCTATTACTCCCCAAGTACCGCAGTCACCAAGTGGCAGTGCTTCATGCGACATTCTCTCCTCTGGCCACCCACAACGGATCCCTGGCCCAGGTTGCCTCGACCAAGGTTTGAATCTCAATATTCCGCCACCCACTCCACCATAAGTAGTCGCCAACCATTTCCAGCCTCTGCTCCTCGCCTGTCTTCAGCCACCGGCCGACCACTTTCGTTGGGAAGCATCGATTCGAGATGATCAAGTGCACTCTGCCCCCTTCCTTGGTTTGCCGACGAATACTTTCCAAAACCTCCACTGGTCTCGTAAGGTAATCGATCGAAACAACACATGTTGAAACGTCAAGCTTTCCTTCCCTCGACCCGGGCAATCGTACCTCGGGCTCCTCGTTCAGATCCTGCACCGCCCAATCCTTCAACACCGGGTTCCTGCTCAGCTCAGATCCATTCATGCCTACACCCACCACGTCTAGCGCCTCCGCCGCTGCTGCGTCTTGAATGTCTGGTGGATAATGGGAGATCCAGCTTGAACAGAAATCTAGGATCAGTCCTTTCAGGGGTAAAACCTGATCATAGTACTTTCTTAAGCTGAGGATGGCGTTTTCATCGATATGTGTGACGAAACGAGGCACACTATAAAATGTTGAATCGTTCCCGGCATCCATGGGTGTAAGGTCTGCCATCGAATAGGGAAACGGTCCGTCCGGGTTGATGGGTACATAGTTTCGAGTTGGAGACCACCTGGAGTCCATCTTGCTGGCGGTGAAGGGTCGGAAAAGAAAGGATGCTGGTCTTCCACGAGGCAAACAATAACGCATCGAATGGTAAGGTGAGGAGAGTCAGTCGTCCTTCAGGGCTTGGGGAGGTGTCTTTGAACATGTTCAGGGGTCGACTTCATGACGTCCTCGAATTACAGTAGATCTAAGGGACATCGCCGCTCACGAGAAAACGACCTGAACTCTTGAGTTGCTGTCGACCTCACTTGCTGCTACTTTATGCCACTTCAGTGAGCAGGACACTGGAGCCGGTGGCTACAGGCGCCGGCTGACAGTCGCCGCTTACGAAAGCAGTAACATCTGAGCCGGGCTCTTCTCGCCCGGCCACCGCACGAGCACCCCTCATTTTCTACTGACATTCATGTTATTATTGGTTAGCATTCGTTCTCGCTGACCTCATGGTCGGATCTCGAACAAGGTAGGTCCGAGTCTGCATATTCCCCGCAGAGCTATACACTATCCGTCGAGAATACAAGAACCACCGATCGGACTGGGGAGTGGAAGAAGGAGAGGGAAGAGGAAAACAATCAGGATATGTCAATGTTGTTAAGACCGTCGGCCTGCGTGACACTGTCTTCTGTCTTTATCAAGCCACTCATACCCTCCACAAGGTCGACTCTCCCGTGTCGCCTTCCAACTAAGGTTCTAAATCAGCGAAACATGGCCACCGCCGCCCACGTCGAGTTGAGCCCTGCCACGCCGGGTGTTTACCATGTACCAGACCTCACAGCAGAATCATCCAAGATTGGAAGTCAGCTCCTCCAGGAGAACCACGACAAGTACCACATGTATTTCAACAGGAGCGGGTTTCATAACCACATTGCACATCACCTATTGACCCTGTATGCCCTTGGGGCCACACCTGATGAGATACAACGAGCCTTCGATAACAACAAAACCATGCAGAGACTACAATTTCCAGTGGAGACACAGAACGTCCAGGCTATGACTGATCCTGACAAGTTTAAGGAATTCCTAGGCAAAGAGCAATACTTTCACGATTTCGAAATCTTCTTTCGCCGTGAGATCGAGCTCAAAGGTTGGGAGACTGTTCTGATTGAGCACGTCTTTGCCAGAACCGAACACGCCGACCGAATGCTCGGGAGAATGTTTGCTGGTGAGTTGCAGGACGCACTCCGCACACCAAGGGTGGTCCGTTTGCTTACCTTCCCAGGATTCTTTCACCCGTTGATCCACCTTGGGTTCGGGGTTGAGTTCAAACAGCCAGCTATCATTGTTGAGGCGCTTGCTCAAGCGGCTACACATGACGGGTGGACTGCACAATACCTGCATGCGGCAGAAGATGTCGCAGCAACGTCCAAATATTCGAAGAGCTTAGTCCAACTGATTCATGAAAGCTCCGAAAATGATACGCTGCGCGCCTCGGCCCATTGGGAGGATGGCAACAAGATCCGGGACGGTGTTCTTGTCCGGGCTCCGGACGAAATGAAGGCGCTTGCCGCCCAGTGGAGCGTCGAGCCTGACCAACTCGAACAGAAAACAGCAGAGATGATCAATGCCGCTGTTTATTTCACGGGAGCAGCACAGCGTCCGACTAAGCAGATCAAATTCGACTTCTTCTTCATGCACTGTGTCAATTGCGCGTTATTCTTCTCCACCTTCATCAAAGAGCCGTGGCTGAGCACGGAGAATAAATGCAGACTGCTGGAGTGGAAAGCTCGATTGGATCTTGCCATGTATGTTTCAAGGGGGTGCCCTGAGCTCCTGCTCGATGAAATCAAGAACTACAGACCCAAGAGACTTGAGGGCGGATGGCGCGATACAATACTGCGAGTGAACAGATTGCCCGATGATGGACATGCCAGTAAGTTAGTCCGTGCCCTGGCGAATGGTGAACAAGCATGCAAGGCTTTTGACACCGAATCGGACGAGATCTTCCCCATCAAGGGGGACATGTGGTTGAAACTGGGGCAGATGGCAATTGACTCGGTGGAAGCAAGCGGTCCAAACTGGGTCAGGTCGGCGGGATTCGATGAAGCCTGGGAGATGATACCTGAGAGAGCGAGACTGTGAATGATTCAGTGTTAAAGTACCTACAGATAACCTATACCTGATAACATTTGTACAAAATATGTTTTGGTCTGACTATCATGGATCATATTATACCATCTCTGAAGAGGGAGATGCAGCCTAGGTACTCCGTACCTGCGGACAAGATTGTCCGTCAGACAGATGCTATACAGCTTGACGATTAAGCTTGACGGTTAAGCTCAACGGTAAAGGTCGATAGTTGAGCTTGACAGTTGAACTTGACGGTAGAGTTAAATGGTAGATGTCGGCTTGACAGTTGAGCCTGACGGGTAAAGGTCAACGGTAGAGGTCGGCTTGACAGTTAGGCTTGACGGTAGAGGTCAAACGGTAGAGGTCGGCTTGACAGTTGAGCTTGATTGTAAAGGTCAACGGTAGAGGTCGATAGTTGGACCATCTAGCCCGACCAATCATATGGCAGGATGACATCCCCGCGCAAAACATCGTCACCATCGACTGACAACAGGCATCAATATCCTTCCTTTATATGCGTCGGTTTCTTCGCTTCTTGTAGCAATTTGGTTCTTGTTTCACGCTTCCTAGTTTCTCTTTTTTTAATACTATCTTCCATACACGATGTCAGAAAAAGACACGAACAATACCAACAAATCGACCGACTCTTCTATCCCACCTCCCCTCGACCCTTTCCCTACATATCAAACCCCGTATCCTCGTTCCAGCAAAGACGATTCCAACCCTTTCATCCAGTTCCGTCGCTTCGCAGACGAACAGCTGTCGTCGTTCTTCCAGGGCATACCTCAGCTTCTAGGCTTCTCGGCCTCGCGAAACCCTTTGAAGAGAGACTGGGAAGACTTGATTCGCCAAAGTCATGACTTGGAGGAGGGATGGAGGAAGCAGGTCGAGCAAGAAATGGAAGAGATGAGACAGGAAGTTGAAAAGGCCAGAACCGAGGTTTGGAAGGCCAGGGGGGACGCTCTCACAGACAACATGCCTTCGGTGACTCGAGAGGATGCAGCAGGCCAACCCGCTCGGGGCGGGAAAGAATCCTACGACGCAAAGACAAGGCCTGCTCTTTCTGATGAACACGGTCTACCAAGGACCGAGCTGGACGCTTATAACGGACTTCAGCTCCCTCGAACAGCAACGGACATTCCGGTATTTAAGTCATCTTCTCGGGAAGCCCCGAATAACCCTCTGTCTTCCTGGTTCTCATCGTTCGGCTGGGATGGGAAACAGAGGGAGCAAGAGAACTGGCCTGACAACAGGGGAACTAGCAAGGTTGGCTCTTCGTCGGAGGGGAGCCAGCTTGCTCGTCCTACTACTTACACATTGTTCGGAGCACGCCGAATGAACCCTTTCGACAACACTGACCAGACCATTCCTTGGCTCCTACTGAGCCCGTACTCTCCAATTTACCTCTGTAACCCTTCACAATCCAGGCTATTCAAAATCCAGATCCAAGATTCCGAGGGTGAACCATTCCAGATCTCTCGTCCGCGGTTTTTCGAAAGATGGTATACGGACATCGATGAAAAGCTGGCAAGGCAGATTCGTTGGGCGGACGCTTTCGAAGACCTGATTAGCCTGCAACAGACCGGAAAGATGGTGGACAGAGACTCCCCGGACAGAGACTCCCCCACCCGACAGGTACCAAGTAGTGACTGGATCCATGGATTAATCCACCGCGGGAGCCTGGGTCCAACATGGGGTTTGAACCAAGAAGGGGTTGTGGTCAAGCGCTTCAGTGACATGAAGCCCACGGACACACGGTCTTTTGGAAAGAGCCAGTGCAGATGGCGTACGGGAGGAGGACGAGTACATGAAAAGGGAGCCGACGAAGCGCCTACTTCCAAGGAGCAGTCAACTCCTGGCTTGACTGAAACCTCGAAAGACATATTTGACGATTTTGTGGACAGTGCCGCAGAACGTCTCGGCCCATTTCCTCTCTTTGGAAGCATTCTCTCAGCCGCTGATTCCATCATCTCCGCAGTCGACCAAACAGCAAAGGACCTCGAAGCAATGTCAAAGGGAGCACAGGCCGAATCCCAGGCCGATCCAGAGTCCCTAGCCGAGCTACCGGCCAATACCTCTTACTACTCAACATCTTCGTCTTCTTCGTACTCATACGAGAACAGCTTTACTTCAACCCGTGAGGAGCAAATCACCCCATCAGAGTCCCTAGTCTCAACTTTGACAACGACTGTCACGCGGACTCTCCCAGATGGCTCCGTTGAGACGAAACGCGTCCTAAAGAGGCGTTTCGCCAATGGGACTGAAGAGACTGATGAAAGTGTGGAAGTCACCACTCTCCCAGGTGTTCAGGGAACAACGGATGCAAAGACGGGCGTGAATAAGCAGATTCAAACGCTGCCCATGACAGAACATCGTGGTCCGTTGCAGGAAGATGTTGTCAGCTCGAATTCATCTCAAGATATCCTCGTTCAGCAGCATGTCGGGTCCAACTCGGAGCAAACTGCAAAACGGGATGATAAGAATGGACGCTCGAGCAAAGGCGGATGGTTCTGGACTTGAGCCAACGTACTTCATTTGGCCTGCCATATACATCGATACAATTGGGAAGAGTAACAGCAATGTTGAACTCCACTCTTCAATTAAATATCGCCACTCCTTCACTCGACGACTATCACTCCAGCTCATGCCTAAAGAACTATGTCGACAAAGTAACGTCGCGCTAGCCGCCATTCGCACTTTCACCCTGACCGAGGGTCGAGTACTCCACAGCTGAAGCAAAGGAAGAATTTCTACCTCCGGGCCCAAGACTAGCGCAGGTCAAATTGTCGATCGAAGACCGTCAGCACATCGTCGACTGTTCAGCCCAGAGTACGCGCAGCCGTCATGGCGCACTTTCGATGGCTGCCTCTCGACAAACTGTGTCGCCGGGGGATAGTACACTCCCAGTATCGGCGAGGACGACGATTTGAAGCCTTCTGGGACAGAGCCTGACTGTACACCTGTAGAGTATCTATTCTGAACGTGACTGGAAGATTGCGGACTGCAGACCGTCGACTTTGGCAATCATCACTTCGCTCAACATACCGATATGGCTTCAAGCATACTACTCCGGTATTAGGATATGCGAATATGCGTCACTCGCCACCGGCCGATGGTGTATTGTCGTTCTTTTATAATGATAATGATGATGAATGATACGTTTCGATCGTCTTGAGCATTTCACGCCACGTAGGTATGGAAGTAGACCATGTCTTACGTCCCTTTCAACGAATCGCTATTGTGATTCCAACAATTTCCTGCATTTTTAATTCTCATGGATCTCGTAGCGCAACCGTCGTCCTCGGTCTTTCCATCTAGCTATGCTGTGCTGTGCCATGCTATGCCGTGTTTTGCTGCCGCGCGTCCCAACATGCATCTCATAAAGAACATGGCGAATTCCAGAAACATTGGAAAAGGGGTTGAGAGGTCGACTTGAGATCTAGACTCGGATTCGGACTCGACTGAACACGCAAGAAAGCAAGTCGCCTGGAAACTACCCAACCCAAACAACCCACTCTACCATACCAACTCGCTCGCTCGCTTGTTACCCTCTGGTGCCCTGGTCGAACCATCAGGAAGCAAATCTTCAGCATCCTGGATTGGAAATACGCTCATTCTCGTCCCGTCGTCCAATTGTAGCCGTGGAGGTCATCAAGCAGATCGTTGAACATCCAGCCTACAACCGTCACGCATCCCAGTCTCCTCCCTGACCCAATCATCACTTATCCTGACGCATGCCATTCATGAACCCTAAAAAACATCCTCGGGCCACTCCCATTGCTCTCGTTTAACTCCTTTCATCTGCAAAGCCGTCGGTCCATGTATCTTGATCTTCTCAACCTCGCCGGACTCTAGTCGCCTCGCGCACTGAGGGCTTGGACTCTTGATCTCCGCTTCTTCGTCTTCCTCAAGAATGACAGAGAACGGTCGCGGAAGCCCAAGTGGTACAGCACTTATTGGTTTCACCTCCTTCGCAGCATCAGGACCGATATGGGGAATATGATTAGGGCTTGTGTTCGTATTGGCGTTGTTATTCATGTTCTTCGCTTTTGCTTGAGGCTGCTGTCTAGTATTGCTTAGATTCTTCAGAACGATTCGCTCTGGTATTTGAGGAATGGGAGGCAACTCTCTTCGTGGTTTCTGATTTGGCTTCTTGCAGGATAACTTCGCTGGTATCATGTCGGATTCATGTCCGGATTCAGCCGGCGGCTGTAGAGATGTGGAGGTCGGTTTCGGTTGAGAATCTTTGAGCTCCAAAACAGGTTCTTGATGCTGCTGTCTCAACATAGCACGGAGTTGTTGGTTTTCCTTCTCCAACTCCCGGCGACTTGGGCGTTTGTGATGATCGATGTCGCTGTGAGAGCCAACGATGTCACAGTCCGCTGTGATCTCCACAGGGGCGGGTTGAGCTGTGCGTCGCTTCTTGATTGGGGTCTTGCTCTCACGGCGAGAGACTGGCCGACCTCCGGTTGCTGATGGCGTCTTTTCCGGTGCTTGCTCATGTAGGTTTGTTTCTTGGCCGACATTGGACTTCCTCTTCTTCGGTCCAAATTGCTGAGCGTATGCTTCTTCGGCTTTCCTCTTTCGGTCGTTGAGTACCTCGAGGGTTTTGTCCTGGGTGGCCGCCTTCGGAGTCAGGTCAGTTGACGAACCACCAAAAGTCTTCATCTTTCCGCCGACGTTGTGAATGTTCCACATTGAGATACTTTTTCGAAGTCCTTTCTTCTTCTTGTTCTTCTCCCCTTCGGGCTGTGTCTCTGATTCCACCTGCTTCCTGGCATGCTCGTGCGATTTGAAAGCGGTGCCAATTTTGAAGAGTCGTTGTCTCAATGTGGCCGGCGTCACCGCTGCTGGCTTGAATTCTTCTAAATCGACAGAGGAGCGTTGAGGTGAGGCCCGAGGAGTAGAGTCATTATCCGACTCGGTATCAGAAATACAGGAGTCGGATTCATGTTCCAGCCAAGTAGAGGAGACACCGGTAGATCTCTCGTTCATACTCCCTTCAGCAAACTTGGAATTGCGTGACGAGTATTGCCGTTCCTGGTTCGAATTATGATTATGTCTTTGACCAGTTTTCAATCGGGCGTCCACATCAATAGGCCCTGCCAACGGGGCAAAACCATTTGTCTCCTTCATGTGTTTGGCTGGCTGCATTGCCGGCCTTTCTTGTTCTGGTGGCGGTAGAATGTACATCTGTGGAGAGATGTCTCCACGCTGTCGACTCGGAGATGCTCTGCTCCATGCTTCCCGCTCCTGTCGAATGAAAGGTGGCTCATCGCCGAATTTGTAGACAGAATTTGGTCGAGAGGCTTGATACAGAGAAGGGCTCTCGCGAGATTGGACTCGTAGACTCGAGACATGCTGCAACTCTGGGGATCGTTGTGGCGACGTCTGGGACCCGGAGGTAGAAATGCTATCAGAACTCAAGGTTCGAACATGAGCCTGGAATCTCTGTTTCGGAGATAGAGTAGAAGATGGGTTACACGAGCCGCCAGACGCCATTGTCGGCCGGCAAGGGTAGCGTGTTTGGGCGAGGAGATCCGCCAACTCTTGCCGATTCATGGAGAGGCTCGTGTCTGGTTGTTGACATTACTAAGGGTGCAGTAAGCAAAATCGCGAATTACTCATATTAAAAAAGAGATGCCTGGAGTGCTTGAACTGAGCATAGAATAGTCGCCGGCAATGAGAATTTGGAAGACAGAAGTTGAACGAGACCTGGTGGTTGTTTACAATCAACTGCGCATTGACCCCGGACGATGGTGGGGGTGACGTACGGACATCCTCAGCAACAGCGCCGACTAAAAGCCTACAGCCTAGAAGCCGCCTAACCGCAGGGCTTAGGGCTTGGGGGACTTGGGAGGCCCGGGGCTACAGAATCTAGCCCAAGCTACAGTAGCTACCCCCACCTCCGCCTCATTATCTCTGGCTCCGATGCCTTAGGAGCCCAAAGTACGGAGTACGGATACATCTAACATGTAGTTTCTGTATAATGGGGCTGTAGGCGTCACTGGGATTCATGGTGATGCAGATCATCTTCCTGGACCACTCAGGCGGCAAGTTATTTCGATCTTCTTCTTTAGCTGCTTGGAGAATCCTGGGAAGTTCCATGGCGCAGTGGCTAGATGACAACGTCTCACGGTTTGACAGCTCTGGGCGCAGACTCTGCCATTCATGCTCCCACTGGCCCATGCCACACTTGGCTGGCCATTTGTGTCACTACCACCCGCCTATCCCGATCTCCTTACCCGCCACCGCGCAAGATGTATACCTTTTTGTCTCTCACCCAAGTTACATTCGGTAACTTCCTGCGCCCACGATATTGAACGCCCCCTCGTCATTGGACGCCCAAACCTCGATCGAAACGCGGAATGCGTATCCAGCCATGGTTGGTGTGGCCGGGAAAAGCAAGGGTTGCAACACCTGCCGACGTCGGAAGAAAGGAGTGTGTAGAGAACCAGTTCACTTACTACGTGCCGTCCATCCACTCATATGCTCTCTAGTGTGATCTGAAGCGTCCAGTATGCGGCCAGTGTGCCTCAGGTGGCCACAATTGTGAAGGATACGGTCGTGTTAGGATTTTCCTCCTCCATCCTGCCAGCAAAACCGTCGAAAACGCCGTCTTCATTCCCTATGGAAAACCTATTCCAATTGCATTACCACGCTCGATTGATCGCGCCGCGGTGGAGTCGCAATGTCGAAGTCTATTCTGGGACTTATACATGCCTCAAAGAGAGGCCTCTTGTCAGGATGCTTTCATCATTCGGTGCGGTCATCCCATGAACTGGGCCGAAATCATCCAGGACGTCTCCGACCAAGACAGATCCCTGGAGGAGGCCTTCTCTGCATTGAGCATCTCAAGAGTTGGCCAGGGGAACAAAGATGTGCGCCTCGTGCATGAGAGTACTAAGCTCTATGGCAAGGCTCTGAAGGAATTGCAGGACGCCCTCTTCACCCCTAAACGAATGTACTCCAACCATGTCCTCATGGCCTGTATGTTCCTCGGTTTATATGATATTCTGGAAGGACCCGCGTTCAACTCGCGGGGTTGGATCGCCCACGCTCGAGGAGCTGCTCGACTCATTCAACTTCGTGGGCCAGAACGGCATCAGGAGTGGGACGCCCATCACCCGTTTCTTGCTTCGAGGATTCCGACCATCTACGCTTCCATGTTACAAAGGAAGGCAACCTACTTGGCCACAGAGGAATGGCTCACTATCCCTTGGGCAACCCAAGCCCATCGAACCTACGTTGACAGGTTGGTCGATCTTGCCACCATGATCCCCGGCATCTTGGAGACATTTGATCTTCTTCGCAACAGTGAAGCTGCGATCCAAGACGATCTCCTGCGACTACTTGGAAAATGCAAAGACCTGCAGATACGCATGGACCGTTGGAAGGATGGTACAAAGAAGTCAGCTATTCCCCGCACAATTAAGCACGAGCCTGCCGACGATGATGGCTATCCTTTCGAGACTGATTTTTGGTTCGAGAATCACTTGTTTGTTCATGCCCGCCTAGCATACTACACCAGCTCTCTGGTATTGTCTGAGGTTGTCGAGGATATTCTTCGCGTGCTCAAGCTAAGGGCCCCCAAATTGGCGGACTCTCTTGACCTCGCTAAGCTGAAGGACCTGCTCAACTCGGACCGATATGCCGCGTACATTTGCCAGTCTGTCTCATATTGTTTACAGCCAGATATGGGAGCATGGGGTGCGATTATCATCAATTTCCCAGCCGACCGTGCTCTGGCGTATTATCAGAGGGTGGGTGAAACTGCCACTGCTGACTGGCTTATGACAACCTTCCAAAATGCGAAGACGAGAGGCTTTTACGTGGAAAGTGCTCCCAATCAGCTCCCCGCGGGGCCTAGGTTCAAAGAAACTGCGAGTCGTCTTGTCAAGAGAGAATCCAGCTCCGACTCCAGCACAGATCACTCAGATACAGGGCGTTCGCGTTCATCGAGTCAAAGCTGTACAAGTACGGCAACCACATTTGTCTACGAAAATCCCTCAAAGTACTATTACGATGCAAGCAACGACCCGGGCTGAATATGCAACTACATCATGTGATAGTCACATTGAAGTCCTTTGCCATAGACGAAGTTGTCGCGTTGACAAAGAACCAGTTCTCCGGAGCTCACTTTGTGGCACACGATAAATTACACCGGGACGACAGTGTACGGTAGAGAGGATATCGGTCAAGAGGAAGAAACGGCCAGAGGCATCCATTCGCATACACCGTTGGCTTCTCACTACTAGTCCCGCCGGCGATGGGACCATTGATCTTAATTGCAGAAACATCAAAGAAAGGCACCAGTGAAACACGAAGCCTCGATCTGAGAAGCCTCCCGACACCACACCCGACGAGAATTCATATCACCGACACGATTTCCGAGTTGTACCACATAGTGCGTTGTCATGCGATGCTAGCTACCATCAGAGCGCCTACGTCATCTATGAGTGATTTTTCCCCTGTTACGGCGCCACGAGAGATGATATCTCTCCAGGAGGCTGCCGTGAGTCTCAGCAAGCCAGCGAGCTTGGATCACGGCCTACTGTAAACTTCTCAAGATGAGGATGAAGCTTAGCCTGGAATATCCACGGCCGTGAGCATAGAAATATACTTTGGCGAGCCCGCCTTTACATACACTAAATATCTCATGAGATTTGTGGATAGCAGAGTACTCTATGTTATGAGCTTGTCGAGCAGTTGGCATCATCAGAGAATGTTCTTGACTTGTATTCGGAATTGGACACCAAACTCTGCCTAGAAGCTTCATTTGGGAAGGCTGGAGCAGGGGAAAGAAACCGTTCGCCGTCTTCAATATCCTGCAAACTATGTCAAATAAAAAGCGCCAGGGCATCATATCGTATGGCACGGCATCTCTACGCCGTTACAGATTACATAGTTATGCTTTGGCCTGTCTGAGTCGAATTTCATCTATATCAACTTCTCGTCTCCCCATCTCGCTTTATACATGCCCAACGCTTTGACGGGGAAATAGAACTTGTAGTTCGGATAGGTGATCATGCAGGAGCAGTTGAACACGCCTTCGATGGCTTCCTGCAGCCACTCGCCGTTGCGTTGCTGGCGGCTCATGACCATGGCCAACGCTCTAGCAATGGGTATCTTGTCCGGGTACTGCGCGTACATCAGAGCGATAACGGCCCAGCAGGTCTGTACGACCTGGGACTGTTCGTGATCGATCCAGACCTTGAGCTCCGACGCGCGGTAACTCTCACCCCAGCCACCGTCGGACATCTGATGCGAAATGAGAAAATCACACGCCTTCTTGACGCGTGGCGAAGAAGCGTACGTCTCGCCGACGGAAGACAGGGACTCAAGGGCGAACATGGCCGCGTAAGTAAAACAGATCCCCCAGCTGCCATACCACGATCCATCGTCGCGTTGTGCTCGACGAATGTACCGCAGAGCAGTCTCCTTGATGCTTTTGATCTCGTCGGTTCGATACTCTGGGTAGAATTTCTGGAACAGAGACAGGACAGTCACTACCGCGGTCGTGCATTCGGGATAGTCGTATTCTACCATGATACGACCAAACACTTCGGCGGCGTTCAGCAATTCCAACCATTCCGAGCCGCGTTGGATCTCATAGCTGGCGAAGCCGCCGGTGTGCTTGTTTTGCATAGTCAGCAGAACATCGACGGCGTCACGGATGCGAGATTCGTCGAGCACGGGCTTGTACTTGTGGCTGTTCTGCAGAAGAAGAACCACCCGCAGAGCCTCGGCTGTGCAGTCGGAGACGGTGTAGCCCTGCAGTTTCGTGCTAAACGGCCACGCCCCTTTGCGAGCTTGCCGGTAGCAGATATCCCGGTCAGGGACTTCTTCACGGATCTGCTCCGAGTCGAGGAATTCCAGTGCTCGGGTGAGCATGGGCTGCCACTTCGGCGAGTCGGCCAGACCGGCCTCGATGCACGCTTGGATGGTGAATGCCGTATCCCAGACTTGCACGCCGTTGGTGCCATTGACCAGCATACCTTCTTTGTTGACCCATAGGTATTCTTCGAGCCGGTATAGATGGCGCTGGAACGAGTAACTGTCAGAGCCCTCCTGGATGAAGCAACATATTGTGTTCATCGGGGCGTTCACAGGAGCCAGGTCGGCATAGTCGGTGTTGTGGTCTTCATATTGAACCAGTCGCCAAACCCAGGCTTCAGCTCGGTCAACAACGAACTTGATTCTGAACAAAGGTATCCAGATCCAGACGAGCATGAAATTGATCAGGTTCAGCAACCAAGATTTCGGATGATAGTTGTCTGCCGGGGAGATCGAGTTGCGATGCGAAGAAAAGTCGATGGCCTCGTACGGCTGCACAAAGAGTTCCTGCCGAAGCTGTCTGATAAGCGCGGTCTCTGGCATGGTGAATCTCTTCGACCATATAAACGACATGGGCAAGAAGACCTGGCGCATGTGTATCCACCACCTCCAAGGGGCGACTGGCGCCCAGTCAGGAAGAAGCCATAACTCTGGGGGAACAGGATTGACAATCTCCCATTGCGTGACACCCAGCACGCTGAGCCAGAATTTTGCCCAGTGCGGACCGTTGACTGCACCTCCAAGTTCATGGAGCTTGCCTCTTGCCTTCACCATTCGTGTATCTTCCTCGCTGGCCCCTAGGATCCTCAATATTGTGTAGTTCATTGCAGTTCCAAAGACCGAAGTATGTCCTTCAACGTGGAGACCCCAACCGCCATCTTTGTTTTGCCTCGCGAAGAGGTAGTTTCTGATCTCGATCTGATATTCGGGAGGAATTGGCGTCCCTGTCGCATACCAGCAAATGACGATACCTGGAAGGAGGAACAGTGGGCCGCCATATTCGCATGCCCAGTTCCCTGGAGGCAGTTGTAGCTTGGAGTAAAATGTCAAGCAGTTATCTATTGATTCCGACGGTCTGGACGCAGCGGGCAGATTGGGGAGTTCCTGTGTTTGTTAGGATTACCGTGTGCACTTTTGTCCAAGATGCCTTACTGTTGGTAAACCCAGAAAATATTTGTCCGCAACGGTCTGTGGCCATGCCTCGCTTTCCTTGTCCGTCTTCAAGTAGTGCCACGTATGACGACCTGCTTCAGCCAGGAGTCTCCATCTAGAGCGATCGGTTTTCTCGCTGCTAGGATCTAGGCCGACTGCGTTGGCGCTTTCATTGGGATTCCCGTTTGCTATACCGTCAACGGATTTCTCGGTTGACTGCCGTAGACGGACCATTTCTAAGAGAGTTGTGCTGGACAGGACATGATATTAGACGTGATTTTAAGAAAAGTAGGTGATGGTGCTGCGAGAGATGAACTGTGCATCCCAGCACACTAACAACCTGACGCCACTCGGAGCCTGAGGGGAAATGCCAGGGCTCTTAGGCTCTTAGGCTTAGGGGCAGGGGCGCAGGCTTGGGGATTGGTGGACTGCTTCGGGGGGTCCAACTTGCCTGTAGCTTCTGTGGGGAACGAATCTCTCCACCTCGAGTGAACCACTTACACAATTCGGAGTATGTATCCGTACTCTTCACGCTGGGTGTCAAATAGACATAACAGCCCGAAGAACCCAGCCCAGTGCCCACAACTGGGAATGCAAGTTCAGTCGCATGAACATCGAACTCGGTCAGATGTTGGAAGACCATCCATTTCACGAGAAAGCCGGAAGGTTCTGGCTTACATCGAAGATACATTCAATACCATCCTACATGACATCCGAGTCCGACCTTGCGGCAGGCCTGTCATTAGCCTGAAGCGGATCGTTGCTGTCAAGCCCTACTATGATCATGCCGACCCTACACGAGTAAAGTGGCACGTTCAGAGTCGTGAAATTCGATACAACTTCCCGGGCAAGAACGAAGACGAAGCATGGAGGTTTGGTGCGCAAACAACGTCGTAGGCGTGTCTCCGTATCCTGACCTCTTCAGCCTGCGTCGGACAGATATTGGGAGAAATTTATACTGCTATCACGGAAGGAATCTCGGTCACAAAAAGGTGGGAAGTCAGAAGCGCAGGTGGAGTGGGCACTCACTGAAGCAGAGATATTTATTATCGGGACCCAGCATTGTTCAAGCAGCAAGAAACAGTGGATCGTTATGTGGACGACATTGCACATACTTGCCAGGTGACGAGGAGAGACCTGAATGTGGTGAGTACTCACAGTCCAGTTGACTTCAATTTCCAATACCAATCAGAGACAACCAGGTGGCTAGCCCAAAAGGCCTCGTAGCTGGCCTTTCTCCTACGCCGCGAGAATATCAAACACCGATCCACATCCCTGATGATAGAACCACCATGACCGGAGTCTCCCACCTCAGATGGATCCTAGTCGTTGAGAAGGAGGTGTGTCAAAAGTGCATGACTGGCGACAACATGCTGAAAGACACAGGCAACATTCAAAGCCCTGGTAGAAAGGGGATTCCATCAGCACCCAGTCGTTGGTCCAGGGTTACTCGTAACAGTATGCGCCATCAGACTCCGCTGAATCTTGCTATCGTCGGCGCTGCGCTGACTGCATCATAGGCCAAAGGCTACCCCGATCTCGCAACTCGCTACTTCTTGCGCTTTCTTCTCGATAATGCTCATACACCGATCCAGATATTTGGATTGTTCGACTGGGATCCAGACGGCATCATGATCCTGAAGTGCTATCTGTATGGTTCGAAGAATCTGGCGCAAGAGCATTGCTCCATCGTTCCAGAGATGAGATGGATTGGTGTCAAAGCCGAAGACATCACCACTCTCGGCCATGCCCATGGAGAGTTGTTGCCGCTGTCAATGCGGGACAGAGCAATCGCGGCTTCCATGTTGGCTAGTGAGGAGTGGCGGAACGACACCGGTGAGATGTTGCCAGGTCTGCAAGAGGGTATTGCCGACCTTCAACGAATGCTGATGCTTGGTCGAAAAGCCGAGATCCAGATCCTCGGCTACGGTGATGATGGCATTGAACCATGGTTGGTCAAGAAGCTGAGGAATGGCTTGGAGCACAGAGGGTTGTAACATGGCGCTCGATATAATATGCATTCAAAGGCCTAGTGACCGTCTTACTCCTTCTCGAACCTTCTTTTCAAACTCCAGACGTCGGTCCCTCCACATCTTTGCAGCTTCCACATTCGCAGGACTTTCATCGTTGGGCTCAGCCAACATAGACATGACAGATATCAGGATTTTTTCCACGCTCTGGATGGGTGACCATCTCTCTGAAGCGCTCTCATAATGATTGGGGTCGTCTCCGGGGGGATGGAGAATGGATATACAGACTTCGCCATTGGTGTACACTATCACAGCGTGATTGTTAGTCTGATTCCATGTCTCGCAGTCGCACGGAGTGACCATACCATTGGGATGCCAGATTTCACCAAGGAACTTCATCTTAGGTGGATTTAGGGGATAGTCCTTAGGAAATCTGAGTTCTGCAGGAAATATTCCGCCCTCATAGGGTGTCCCTTCAGGCCCTTGTATCAGAGCTTCCCAAATGAACAGGTCATCTTCGTTCACGGGCCCCGCTGAAATCCCTTCAGGCGGATTCGTCAGGAGAGACTTGTACTCTTGGAAGAGACGCTTTGAAGCTACGTTGGAGGTCATGTTGGGATTTGTGGTTGTTGAGCCACAGGAGTTCACGGGAGGAATTGATAATGAGATACGTAGTAGGTTGGCGCTGGCGAAGCGTGGAAGAGCGGTTGGCAGGAGATGACGCTATTTCTCTCCGCTATGGAGAAGCGTAACACCGATCACGACACGGTTGCCGTGCCGCCACCCCGAAATGCAATGTGTCAGATATCTCCTTGTCTGTCCCTGACGATCATGTCCGTCGCTGAGAGTTGTCGTGCAGGATCAGACTGATTCCTCCTACTCCTACTCGTACCTTTCAATTGTCCATTTGGTTGGCCATTGTTCGTCACAAACCTCCATCATGGTCCGCAAAACCTCCTCTGGGTTTTTCACATCCATCCATGAAGATCTCCCTCTACATGTGTCGCGGGGCTATGACCGCATCGTTCAGCACACAGCATATCCTCCAACGTCACCAGCTGTCGGTCCGGCGAAGACATTCTCGCCAGAGAAATACACGCAGCCCTACCTTGATTTTATGACCAACAACCCTACCATCTTTCACGCTGTTACTGCATTCACCACGCAGTTGGAAAAGGCAGGATACGTTTACCTATCTGAGAGGACACAATGGAAGATCCAACCAGGGGGCAAATACTACACAAAACGCAATGGCAGCGCATTCATTGCGTTTGCAGTAGGGAAGGATTATAAACCTGGAAACGGCGTTGCGATAGTTGCTGGACATATCGATGCTCTCACAGCGAAGCTGAAGCCTGTCCCAAAGCTGGCCACCAAAGCCGGATATGTTCAACTGGGAGTAGCTCCCTATGCCGGAGGATTGAACTCGACCTGGTGGGATCGCGACCTTGGAATAGGTGGCAAGGTTCTCGTGAAAACCAGGGCCGGGAAAATCGAAGAGCAGCTCGTGAAGCTGGATTGGCCCATCGCACGAATCCCGACTCTCGCACCACATTTTGGCGCTGCTGCTCAAGGCCCATTCAATCTGGAGACCAATATGGTTCCCATTATTGGATTAGACAACTCAGACATCACCGGAAAGCAGCAACGCACCTTGAACCTACCGGCGGGGACCTTCGTTTCAACTCAGCCGGAGAGGCTGGTACGAGCAATTGCGGGCGAGCTAGGAATTGAAGATTACTCATCCATTGTCAACTGGGAGCTTGAGCTATTCGATATCCAGCCAGCGCAGCTCGGTGGATTAGACAAGGAGTTCATCTTCGCCGGCAGGATTGACGACAAGTTGTGCTGCTTTGCGGCCGTCGAAGGTCTACTGGCCTCGTCGGATGATGCGTCCCCGAGCATCATCAAGATGGTGGGATGCTTTGATGACGAAGAGATCGGAAGTTACCTCCGGCAAGGTGCTCGGAGCAACTTCATTTCGAGTGTGATCGAGAGGATATCCGAAGCTTCGTCCGACCATTTTGGCCCTAACCTTCTCAGCCAGACACTGGCAAATTCGTTCCTGGTCTCATCCGATGTCATTCACGCCGTCAATCCGAACTTTCTCGGAGCCTACCTCGAAAACCATTCGCCCAGGCTGAATGTGGGTGTGTCAGTGTCGGCGGACAGCAATGGACACATGACCTCAGATTCAGTGTCTACAGCGCTGCTGTCTCGAATCGCGGAAAAGTGTGGTAGCACACTGCAGGTATTCCAGATACGCAACGACAGCCGCAGTGGTGGAACCATTGGGCCGATGACAAGCTCCAAGCTGGGTTGCCGTGCGATCGATTGTGGAATTCCTCAACTGAGCATGCATTCTATCCGAGCCACGACCGGATCACTCGATCCCGGTCTTGGTGTGAAACTGTACAAGGGCTTCTTCGATTACTACGAGGAAGTGGACGCAGAATTTGAGTAATTACAGGACAATGGTTGAGATGTCAGGTTAGGCTTTAGAGAATATAATTATATGCAAAGCTATAGCAAGATATCTGCTCAGTAGCACCAGCAGTAGTTGAGAGAAGGTTACATAAGTACATACTCCGTACATATCAACATGTCAGAACAAGCGGCCAATCCAATTTGTGCTTGGCTCCCTTGGTCGAAGATACTCGTAGTACTCTCAAAACTCTACCTGGACTTCAATCCTGGATGTCATGCCTAGGCCACCTCTGTAGCCTTGCTTAGAGATACTTTGCTCATCTGTCAATCATATTGAACATGGATTCCGCGTTTCACCGTGGTCGCTTAGCATAAAAGGTGACACCCGCAGAGCTTCATCATTCACGGCGGTGTCTGGACAGGATTTCTTGCCAGATGTACAACTGGATTGTCTCTCGAGACGGGAGCACCATTCCGAATCTCACTTGTCCGACTGTCTCTTGTCACGGTTGAGCAGAAATCTCATCTCGTCTTGTATCTTGTATGGGCTACAGCTACCCCGAGAGAGCGCCCCAGCCTCAGTGCTATACCGTTTCATACATTTCCAACAGCATAAACGTGTCCTGTTACATCCAGTGCTCGGAGGTAGGCTCATACAAAGCGTAACGAAACAAACACTGGGCCCATTGTTACCCTTGGACTGTGAGTCTGGTTGTAGTTCTTAAGTATTTGCGGTGTCGTGAGTCTGCCACTCTCCTACAACGACAGACTGTTCATACCAAGGGGTAACTTGTGAGCCATGTGTCTGACAGCTACTGTACATCTCACAATCGGTGACCGTTCAAGCAGTGCAGAAATCGAGGTGAGAACCTAGAATTTCAGACGATGTTGATTGACTGAGCAACTCTCACTCTGAAGACGGGCGGGCGACACAAGCTCAACGAGGCTTCTGTTCCAAACATTTAAAATCATGCTGGTCGCTCTGTGCCGTGCCGATATCTGATTTCCGTCACTTCGTTTCAGTATCAACAGAGAGCAAAACATTGACTGAACCCGTTCCATCAAACACAGTGTCGCTTTATAGCAGAAGAGCAACACCAAATCTCAAAGATGGTAAGGCAGACCATAACTGATCAAGCAAGCTCTGACATCGACATAGTGGCCTCTGTCCAAAGTTCTCCCACTACTCGCGATCACGGCCCTCTGTGCCTCTATCGTATTCTGTGGTCCAACATACACTGTCGGCCCTGGGGACACTGCGTGCGGGATTGCGATACGATGCAGCGTCGAGCTACGCAGCCTACTGGATGCCAACCCCAACACAAGCACATGGAATAGCCTCCAGCAGGGACAGGTTGTCCAACTGCCATCAGCAGCCTCTTGTGCTGTTGAGCGCAGTTCCAGCTTGGAGTGTGCGCAGGCAGGTCCGACAAGCAGCTCAACGATGCCAGCACCTGGCGCGACGAATACAGGCAAAACTTATATTGTTGTTGCTGGTGATACTGCTTCAAATATTGCAGCGCACTTTGGGATTTCTCTGGAAGCGTTGGAGGCTGCGAACCCTGGCAAGGTTGCTGATTGGGATCTCTTGCAAATCGGTCTCACTCTGAATATTCCTTCAGCATACCCGACGGTTCCGACATCGACAATACAATATCCCTCCCCACCAACGTCAACCCAGACCATGCCTCAGCCAACAGCTACCTCCGCCTCTGTATGGACTGTCTCTTCCGGGGACACTGGCAACAGTATTGCTTCTTTTGTCAGCGTGCCATTCTCGGACATCTCGACCGCCAATCCAACAGTCGTTTGGACTCAACTGTCCCCGGGACAAACCTTGACCATTCCGCCTGCCCCGACAGGCCTCTCCCAGGTAACAGGTGCTGCGGCGGTTCACACGATGAACCTAGATGAAGGAGTGACGAGTCCGAAGAGCGCATACACATTCTACTCAGGAGACGGATCAGCAGCAGATGGCTGGCCCCAAATTTCAGATTGGCTTTCATTCAATGCCTTGTTTAGCAACGTCAAACCTTATGTGGGGCAAAATTGCGTCGCCAATGTACCTGGAAACTCTCCCGACGAAACAGAACAAGTGCGCGAAGCGATTCTCAGTGTTGCCAACCAAACCTACATGGATCCACGATTCATCCTCGTGGTCGTGATGCAAGAATCGAATGGATGTGTCAGAGTGGTAACAACTGCCGGGGGTAACAGCAATCCTGGTCTCATGCAAAGCTTCAAAGGCAAAGGGTCTTGCAACCGCGATGGCCAACTGCTGTCTCCCTGCCCAGCCAGCATTATCCATCAGATGATTGTAGATGGCACGGCAGCACCAGTTGATGGCATCACCCTTGTCAAAGCACTCAATCAAGCAACCAGTGCTGGGATCACCGATCTAGCCCAAGGCTTCTATCGTGCTGCAAGACTCTACAACTCGGGCACGAACAGTTTGCCAGCCAACGGAGACTTGGGAGGTGCTCCAGGAGCGACCTTATGCTATGCAAGTGACATTGCAAATCGACTAACCGGGTGGGTGGACGGTCCGATAACTTGTCGTTTAGATTCGAGGGTGTGAGAAGCAGTCTGGTCGAAGGACTGATGGTGTCAAGTGAAGACTTCTTCGTTGGCCATACTCAGGAAAGTTGTGAAACGGCCAGATACCTATGCCCACACGTATTTCACAGGCAAGGCGCTGGGTTCAGAATTGCTTAGCATCGACATGATTCCTGCATGTTCTCAGGATGCTGAATTGACGTAGCTGCGCGCTTTCACTGCCAACACTTCAATACATGCTTTTGCCAAGAAAATGAAGAACAAAACACGCACCACACAAGACTGTGAATAAATATCTTGAAATCGCCGGCTGTAGCGCCAGCATACAAAAAGTGCAAAAACTCTTCTTTGAAGCCCAGACCAGATTAGATGATAATTCTAATCTGAGCTGAGGTCCAAAGGAGCGAAACCTTAGCCTACACAGAGCTGTTACCCTCCATGGTCTTTGGCCAAGATTCTTCCGAACGTCCGTTTTCGAGTCCAACCGCTCTCTGCTGAGGCATGGACACCAGTTGTGCAGGGCTTACCACTACCCCACCCCGGTGGTGGTTTGGAATGGTAGTAAAGTCTAGAGGCCGAGGTTGGTCAACGTTAAAGACAGAATGTTGAAACAATAATATATGAGCCTGTAATTATTGGCGTGTGCTGCAGTGAAGGACAGAGGTTGGCGAGAGGGCACCTGGGGAGCATATCAGGAGGGCTTAGGGGCCAAGGGGCTGCGAGCTGGATAGGAGCGGCAGCCTTGTGCACACTCGGTTTCAGTTTCGGTGATCGGCTCCCGTAAGCCGAGTGGGGATCACGTGGACCTATTGGAGGAGGGCTAGATACGACCTGGTAGATAGCACCGATAAGATACGGAGTACAGTACAAGGACCCCCGCCATACTCTGTATATACAGGCACCTCCATCTCCGCGCCCTCGCTCTTTCCTCGATCCTTTCCCCTTTCCAAAGGTCAACTGTTTCCGTTTCCGTTTCCGATTCTGTACTGTGTGATACCGGCCTGAGACGACGAGTGTCTATCGAAATGCCACAGTCTCTCCCAGAGCGCAATTTGTCGCGCGCTCTCCGTTCCCCATGAAATGTCCAACTCCACTGCAACAGCCCGGAACATTCGCCCATGGACATTACGCGGAGTCACACCGGCTGTTGGACCTGCCGATCTCGTCGTGTCAAGTGTGATGGTAAGTACTCAGACCGATCCTCCATGTGCTCTCCGCTCACCAGCCTGCCTTCATCAAGAACGCCGTCCGATCTGCCTGCGATGCTCCCGAAGCAACCACACTTGTGGATATGGCATCCGTCTCACCTGGCAGGAGGATAATGATGCTCGAGGCATATGTCATGGACGGGCCGGCGTCTGGTCAAAAGCAGGGAAACAAAATCGATCAGGCCGTCAGAGAAGAACAAAGAGCGAGGGAATGGCTGGCCTTCCTCCGTTCCCCCATCTAGCATATACTAGGTTTTTAAATACCAGTGTCGAGGACGTGGAGATGTATCTGGATGATGACGAGAAAGCGAAGCGGGACGGATTTGACGGTCGGTTAAACGGACGGGACTGTTGGAATCGGATAGTGCATCCTGTTACTCGCGGGGAGGCCGCCCAGCGAGTAATGCATGAAGAGTCGGGCTCATATGTGGGAATCCCTCAACGACCTCTTGCTCATCTCGATCGTCACTCCAAGTTTGCCCGCTACGATCCCATCCTACTTTCGTATTACGAAGCCGTCATCTGCAGTACGTCGACACTGCTTGATGACGAGAAGAACAATCCCTACAGACATGTGCTTCTACCGATGGCTTTACAATCTCCTGGCATTTACCACGCGACACTGGCCATATCAGCGCACACACTTTGCCTAGCTCGATCTGAATATGCCGTGATAGCCCTCGAACACCGACAGCAAGCCTTGAAAAGGTTGATTACTATTTTGAGTCGCGAGGAATGCGATGACAGCGAGATGGATGAAGTCCTTGGACTGGTTCTGATGCTTTGTTGGTTTGAGGTTTGTCACCTTCATTTTCGTTCTCACCGACAGCCGGCCAGGGACTGACTTGATTTAACACCAGATCTCAGATGGTTGTAACCCTTCCTGGGTCACCCACCTGAAAGGCTTCCGCACTCTGCTCCACCGCCACAGACGAACTTCTGCAAATGGCTCACTGCATAGTCTGAGCTTGAAGCAATTCTTCGTTCGATATTTTGACTTTCATCTAGTTCTTGCCAAAACTGCCTTCCGAGTTGACGAAGAAGAATCGACTGCAAAGCTACCCCAACCTCCGGTGATCAGGAGTGGTCTTCTATTCGCCTCTTGCGAAACAGACGAATCTATTGATTCAAATCCGGTGACCCGAGAATCCGACGATACCCATAACTTGTCTTCGTCAACGGCCCTCCTTTCCTTGCACATGCCCCTAGATTCGATGGATGACATTGATCCCTACATGGGCTTCAGCAATAGCCTCCTTCTCTTGATCAACGAGATAACGGAGCTTGGCCCCATGGCCACTAGACTTTGCAATCAGCCAACGGTCACGAGCCATGCGCGTCGACTCAAGGCCAGCCTAGAGAACCTTGATCAACGCCCACCTGACGTTTTGGCCTTTAGTTCCAATTCCAAGCTCGGCACGAGCAGACGTGCCTTTGTCACCACAGCGGAGACCTACCGGCTTGGTGCGTTTGTACTGCTTCACGAGATACTTTGGCGATCGTATCCTGCAGCATCGGCGGCAAGTCACGTCATCACCATCGCCGAGCGAGACGAAGCCATCCGATCCATCCTGAAACTAGTTGACACTCACCACAAAGACATGATCAACACGGCGACCTTGCCACTATGGCCATTGTTTTTGGCAGGCTGTTGTGTCGATCTAGAGGAAGACAGGATGACGGTATTGAGGTTGTTCGAGATCATTGAGCAACGCAAACGTTTTGGCAATGTCCCACCCGCCCGTAAGGTCATGGAGATGGTCTGGCGACAACGCGACCTGGGGCGAGACGGCCGACGGCCGGCTCGAAGGAAGAATGTGGAACAATATGAATGGGAGCGGGCTTCAACTCTTTTAGGGGGGTGGAAAATCAGTTTAACGTGACTTGCGCAGGGGGCTGTCTTGTCAAACTTGGGTGCATTCCCAGCTTGATCTTTAACCAGAAGGTTGGTTTAGGCATACTATACTATATACCATGCACTCCCCCCGCGACCCTTTGATAGAAAAGCAGGGACATCTCAACCTTCATTTGACAGTCTCAGGGCACGCCTTTCGATACACTTTGGCTATCTTGCTGGTTTAGGGGTCTTTTTCGCAACGAGGGAAGATGTAGATGTGGAATGATGGACTGATTGGCCATTACCGTCTAATCTAGCAGCTTGAACTAGTCGACGAGTTTCAGTTCCTGAGGACTAGGAGAAGAAACAGGGTTCATGGTCAGGCTCTCTATAAATAAAGTGGACTGTGGCTGTTCCGAATCATGTCCTATATCTTCGCATGAACGGATCTTTAAAGTGGACTGTAGCTCCTATATCTTCGCTTGGTATCTTTCTCTCTTTCTCCTCCCCCGCCAGCCCGACAAATCAGCCAGCTCCGTGTCGGGATCCAGATGGGCGAGGTTCTTGCCGAGACGGCGGGCGGGCTTCCAGGCCCAAGCGTCAGCCATGTCTGGAGCCAAGGAGCCCTCGAGCATGTCGACGACATAGCGACCCAGCACGGGCATGAACTTGAAGCCGTGGGCGGAGCCGCCTGTGGCGAAGAACAGACCAGAATGGCTTGGATGCGGGGTGATGAGGAAGTGACGGTCGGCGGTGTCGGCGTCCCAGCAGAGACGGGTGTAGCTGAAAGGCCGGTCGGCGAGGTCGGGCAGGACGCGGCGCAGGTTGGTGCGCATGGTGGCCTCGATCTCCAGCGGCAGGTCGTCGGCCGGGTGGGCCAGGAAGGTGTGCGGGATGGAAGTGCGGATGCCGGAGTGAGGGTCGCGCCGTGTGTTGGTGACGAACTGGCTGTGCGCCATCTTGAACACGCCGTCCGCGCCTGGCGGGAAGAAGTAGCCCAGCTCGAGGTTGTCGAGGATGGGCATGTCGGCGTACCGTTGCCGTTCTGCCCGCGACAGCTGGATGTGCGCCACGGCGTGGCCCTTGGCCGTCAGCTGGGCCTGCACGTCGACCAACGACGGCGTCCACGCGCCGGCCGCCACCACCACCACGTCGGCGAGGTGTGTGGTGCCGTCGTGGGTGATGACGCCGGTGCAGCGGGATTGGGATAGTTGTTCTCTTTGTCCGTCCTCTTCTGCGTGTTTGGGGTTGGTCGATGACATGATCAACCTTCTGCAGAACCCGGCGTCGCCCGAGATGAACTCGACGCCCTTGTCCTGCGCCGCGCGTGCCATGCGGTTCAAGGCTTCGCCCGAGTTGGCCCAGCCGGCGGTCGGGTTCCAGACGTTGATGTTCCAGCCGTCGAGCGTGCCGGTGACCATGGGGAAGCGCCGGCGCACCTGATCGGGGGTCAACTCCTCGATGCCTCGCACCCCCAGCGCCGCGCTCGTCTCGACCGAGCCGCGCACGAACGGGACCGAGAGCTGTTTGGCGCTCAGCACCCAGCCGGGCACGTGGTACAGGCCTTGGAACAGCTCCGACGTCTGCCACGCCTCGATGGCTTCGACGCCGAGCCGCGCGTACAGCGGCTCATTGTAGTCGCTGCGGATCACCTTGCTGATGTCGGTCGATGCCGCCTCGCACGACGGCGGCGCGTACCGGTCGAGCACGCGGATCGACGTGTATCCGCGCTGGGCGAGGTGGTAGGCGGTCGATGTGCCGAACGCACCTGCTCCGACGATGAGGATTTTGGTGTCGTGGTTCATCTTGTTGTGGTTGTGGTTGGTGTCGTGGTTCATGCTGGGTGTGGGTATGGGTGTGGGTGTGGTTGTGTTCGTCTTCATACCCATAACAGAGGTATTGAATCAATGACCCTGGTCTCTGGTCTTTGGTCTCTGGTCTCAGACGCCTTGGCCGGACTGGACTGGACTGGACTGTCGGGTCTTCCGTTGTCACTGGCACTGGCACTGGCACTGGCACTGACGAAGAACAGGAGACAGGAAGAACACAACTTTTGTCTCGGTATTTTGATTGGTGGCGGCAGGCAGGCATTCAAACCCTCGCCGACCTTTGTAGGCTTGATATGATAGAGCACGTACAGGACGTACAGTACTTACACCATACTACGCACCACACCACGAAGACTGGACACTGGCCATTGCCCGCAGCAGTTAAGGATCGAGTTCGGCGATGGTGGTGATGGTGATGATGATGGTGGTAGTAATACCTAAGCTTATTGTCTAAGCTTATTGTGTTTGTGTTTGCGTTTGAGTTCGCTTTTGCTTTTGCTCACGTTTATGTTTGGGCAGTCGACCTCGTTACGACCTTCCCGGTGGCCAGGGCCGAGGATTGATGGCCAGTCGTATCAGTTAGTTAGTAGTTAGTAGTTAGTAGTTATAGTTAGTAGTTACTACCTAATAAGAGTAATAATAGGTACTCTGTCTACGGTGATCTGTACCGAGTGCAGTGAGCATGTACAGGAGAGTAGTACATATATAGTACATAGTACATAGTACACATACACTGGGATGCAGTAGTAGTACTTACTTTATAATTATGGCCCCATGCCATGGCCATGGGAAGAAAGCACTGTGGCACTATTAGGACATCCACCTCCCTAGCCTCTCTCCGGTCCGACCTTCCCATGTTGAAATCTACGTTCGGCTTCTTGGAGATCGATGGATCCACATGGTGTGATTTGATAGTGATAGTGGTGATAGTGATTGTCATACTGATGGGCCCACTATACAGATGTATGAAATGCAATAGCGATAGCATCGTACAGGTCTGAATCCTCGCTTTTTGGTTTGCTATCCTATGCTACAGGACTCGGTGACTCTGTGAGGTGAGGTGAGGCGAAGTCGGACATGTGCGTTGGCAGCTTAAGTTACAGAGTATACTGTATCCGTCGCTCTGGGCAGGGAGGACTGACAAAGGTTGAAATGTTCCATGTTCTCTATCAAAGGGACGCAGGGGGAGCGCATGCTATATACTATAGTATAACCAGCCTCTCTGGGCAAAGGGCAAGGCTGAAAATGCCTAAAGTTTGACATACTGGTGCAGTACTACCTGACTGTAATACTAAAACGCATAGCGGAACTCCCTCTTCTCCTGATCCGTGCGATCAGAAAAGGCATCTTCGGAGATCTGCTCGGCTCCCACTCCCTCCCGGTCTCGCTTCTTATTCTCGCGCCAACACAAAACCCCATAGGCGGAAATGGAGGCAATGGCCACGACCACACAGGCCAGCAGACCAGCATAGCCGTGAGAATAGTCAGGCGCGTCCGACGCCTTGAACACCTGAGGCCCCAGGATGTTGCCGACGCAGTAGGCGGTGAAAAAGATGGCGTTCATGGTGACCTTCTTGGAATGGCCCGAGGTGTTGGCCATGGGCAGCGAGGTCGACAGCACGTAGGGGGCCCAGTAGGTGTAGAAGACGTAGTAGGCGGCCAGCAGGCCGTGTTTGTTGGAGCGCGGCAGCTTCCACATCAGGATGGCACAGATCATGGGCACGAGATTGGCGACGGCGATGATGGCACAGCGGGAATTCGGGACGCGCGACGACGGCACCGAGAGCAATAATTGCCAGACAGTAGCGAGCACGCCGGTCGGGATGCCCAGCAGCGTGGTGTTGAGCGGCGAATAGCCCAGCCCCGTGACGATGATGGCGGCAAACGTGACCAGGCCGCCGTTGGGGATGTTTTGCGCGCAGGAAAACAGCGCCAGGAGCCAGGTCTTGGGGTCCAGCAGGCACTCGCGCACTTGGTACCATTTGATCTTCTTGTCCTCCAGGCCGGTGTTGTTCCCCTGGATGCGCACCAGGCAGACATACTTTTGCCGCTCCGTCAGCCACCGGGCCGTGGTGGGCGAGTCTGGCAGGAAGATCCAGAGGAAGACGGCCCAGACAACGGAGAAGGCGCCCAGCACGAGAAAGAGCAGCCGCCACGGGTGCAGGGCCGTGTGCGTGTGGCCGATGCCGTAGCTGATGATGCCCGAGAAGATCGAGGACCCCTGGTTGAACCAGAACGCGAGCCGGATCGGCTGTTCCTTGGTCGTCCACCACATGACGGTGATGAGCGTGCTGATGGGGAACACAAACGCCTCGGCCATGCCCATCAGGAACCGCACCGTGGCCAGCCCGCCAAAGTTGCTGGTCGCCGCCGTGCACAGCAGCAGCACCGCCCATGCCAGGCACGCCACCGACAGCACCTTGGCCACAGGGAAGCGCTGGATCAGCATTGCCCCCGGGTATTCGAACAACAGGTAGCCAAAGTAGAAGATGGACCCGACCCACGAGAACTGGTTGCCGACCAGGTGCGCGTCGGTGCGCATCCCGTAGATGGCGGCGTTGCTGATGATGACTTTGTCCACCGCGGCCAAGATGCAGGTGGTGCTGAGGATGGGAATCAGGATCAGATCAATTTTCCACAGGAGACGACGGGACTCTTGGGCGGTGATGGGCTCCGCCGTGATGGCTGGGTCGAGCTTGGCCAGGAATTGGGCAGCAACATCGACGTCGGGCCGGGCAGAGATGTCGAGGACGAGGGCGTCGGCCTGGGCCTGAGCCTCGTCCAGGTCGGCGCTGGCCTGGGATGTGACTGTCTTCTCGTGGGCCATGGTATCGCAGGACAAGGCCGGGGGAGGGACGCTGAGGGTGGTGTAGAAGCGTTTGATGATCAGACCAGACCAGCAGCACGTCGTGCCGTTACCGTACTACTGGAGGGTGAGTTGGAATAGTTATATCAATTCAATATTAATCCGTGACCCCAGGCCAGCCACACCGCTTTCCCACCGTTATCTTTACCCCAGGGGTCTTGGGGAGAAACGGCCCTATCTCGACCAACACGTCCCGAACCATCGAGAGGGCTAGAGGGCTGGGATCCATGGCAGCAAGCGAGGTAGACGGTGGTACGGAGTATAGCATTCATGTCTGGGCGAACCACGCTGATTGGGGCCTGGAGTCGACGGCAGACCGAGGGAAGGTCGGTGCGAACAGATTGGAAGTGTGGATCATCTATCGTCTCCATTGACCGGGGATGAGGGGACTAGGACATCGGACCACCGACTCCGACAGGGGCGTCCATGTCCGAACAGCGAACGATGAGAATGTGTTATCAAGAGATGGCCTGGGCCGTAGCCTCGCGCCGAGCTTCCTTCCAGAGCACCGCTCCTGACCCTCTCCTCCAGCGCGGCCCACATCCCCAGCGGTTCCCTTGAACAAACACCTTGGGTAAGCAACGACCGGTTTACATATCATTGCCGATAAAGGTCCTTCGGGGCTGACCACACACCACACACACCACACCACACCACCTCGATGAAAGCAATCGACCTCCAGTTGCTCTAGCCTGCCGTTCAAGGTCTACCCAGCCATTTCCTTTTTCCATGTCTCCTCACAAGGTCGAGGCCGAGGCCGTGGTCGACGGCCTCAAGGTGAGGATTGCTATAGGTAAGCAACAACCCCTTTGTCCCAGTCCGGTGCCAGCGCCAGTCCCAGCATCAGCAAGATTGATCCTGATCCGTCCTGCCTAGACCGAGGTGGCACTTTCACCGACTGCCTGGGAATGGTCGAGGGGCGAGACGACGACATCGTAGTCAAGCTGCTCTCCCAAGACCCCGGCAACTATGCAGACGCCCCGATTGAAGGCATTCGACGCATCCTGGAGAAGGCCACCGGCACCACCATTCCGCGCAACCGGAAGCTGGACACCGCCGAGTTCGCCGACTTCTCAGTGCGCATGGGCACCACGGTGGCGACCAATGCGCTGTTGGAACGCAAAGGGGAACGAGTCGCGCTCCTGATCACCAAGGGCTTCAAAGATGCCCTGGTCATTGGCAACCAGTCTCGGCCCAAACTGTTCGCGCTCAACATCGAGCGGCCGGGCGTGCTCTTTGAAGACGTGGTCGAGGTCGACGAGCGCGTCACCATCGAAGACTATCAGCAAAACCCGCTGCCCGACCCCGAAAGGCTGAGCCGGGCGCTGGAGACCGACCCAGACCTGACCACCGGCGTCAGCGGCGACGTCGTCCGCATCCTGACCCGGCTGGACGAGGCGAAGGTCAGGACGGATCTACAGATGCTCTTCGACAAAGGATACCGCTCCCTCGCGGTGTGCCTGACTCACTCCTATACCTTTCAAGGTGGGTGGTGCTTCTATCTCTACATCTACATTCTACATGGCTACGAGGCCGTCTTGACCTTGCCACTGACATGGACATGACCTGTGCCAGACCATGAACTCGCCATCGAAAAGATCGCGCGAGACATCGGCTTCCCCCAAATCTCCCTGTCCAGCCAGCTTCTTCCCATGATCAAGATGACCTCTCGAGGCACCTCGGCCACGGTAGATGCGTACCTCACCCCGGTCATCAAGCAATACATCCAAGGCTTTCGGTCCGGGTTCAAAGACGAACTCAAGTCGGACGAAAGTCGATGCGAGTTCATGCAGAGTGACGGTGGCCTGGTGAATTTCGAAAAGTACGAGAGAAGACGGCCTCCCCTCCCATCTCCCATCGTCTTCATCTCCCGCTCTTGCTGACCCCCCATTCTCCTTCTCAGATTCTCGGGCTTGCGCGCCATCTTGTCCGGCCCGGCGGGTGGTGTTGTAGGCTGCGCCAGGACCTCGTACGACCCCGAAGACCGAACACCCGTGATCGGCTTCGACATGGGCGGCACCAGTACGGATGTGTCTCGATTTGACGGCACGTTCGACCACACCTTTGAGAACACCACCGCTGGGGTGACGGTGATGGCTCCCCAGCTCGACATCAACACGGTGGCCGCGGGCGGTGGGAGCATCCTCTTCTGGCGCCACGGCCTATTCGTGGTGGGCCCGGACAGTGCCGGCGCCCATCCCGGACCGGCATGCTATCGGAAAGGCGGCCCCTTGACCGTGACGGATGCCAACCTGTTCCTGGGCAGGCTGTTGCCCCAATACTTCCCGCAGATCTTCGGCCCTCACGAGAACGAAGGACTGGACGTGGAGATTACGCGGCAGAAGTTCCACGCGCTCGCGTCGCAGATCAACCAGGAGAGCGGACAGACGAAGACTCCCGAGGAGATCGCGCTCGGCTTTCTCGAGGTGGCCAACGAGTCCATGGCCAAGCCCATTCGCGCTCTGACCCAGGCCCGGGGCTTCGACACGTCGGCCCACAACCTAGCGTGTTTCGGCGGCGCAGGAGGCCAGCACGCGTGTGCCATCGCGGCCTCTCTGGGGATCCGGACGGTCATCATCCACCGGTATTCGTCCATCCTCTCGGCGTACGGCATGGCCCTGGCGGATGTGGTGCACGAAGTGCAAGAGCCGGCGTCCGGGGTGCTGGATGCGGCTGCCATGCCCAAGGTGGAGGCGCGGATCGCGGAACTCAAGAAGAAGGTCAACCACGAGTTGACCAGCGACGGGATTCCGCCGGACCAGATCCAGCACGAAGTCTACCTCAACCTGCGATACCAAGGCACCGACAACTATCTGATGATCCTGGAGCCCGAAGACCGCGACTTCAAGGCGGCCTTCATGAGGGACCATCAGCGGGAATTCACCTTCACGTTCGCCAACCGCAACATCCTGGTGGAAGACATCCGCGTGCGTGGAGTGGGCCGATCGGCATCGTCATCCACCTGGTCCGAGTCGCCCCACGCGGAGCTGAAGAGCATCCGGGCCTTTAACGTCGGGGCGGAGGCCCAGGACGACACGGCGACCGTGTACTTCAGCCAGACCGGGCATGTGGCGACGCCGGTCTTCTTCCTCGGCAATCTGAAGCCCGGCAGCCTGATCCACGGGCCGGCCATGATCATCGACCAGACGCAGACCATCGTGGTCGAGCCCGAGGCGACGGCGACCATCATCTCGCGCCATGTGATCTTGAACGTGGCGTCGAGGAAGGCGCAGGCCGTCGACCAGTCGGCCGTCGGGGTCGACCCTATCCGGCTATCCATCTTCGGCCACCGATTCATGTCGGTGGCGGAGCAGATGGGCCGCATGTTCCAGAAGACGTCGGTGTCGACCAACATCAAAGAGCGGCTCGACTTTTCGTGCGCCCTGTTCTCGCCCGACGGCAAACTGGTGGCCAACGCGCCCCACGTGCCGGTGCACCTCGGATCGATGGAGTACGCGGTGCGGTACCAGCACGCCCGGTGGGCGGGCAACTTGAAGCCTGGCGACCACATCCTCACGAACCACCCGCTCGCCGGCGGCACGCACCTGCCCGACATCACCATCATCACGCCGGTCTGGGACGAAGCGGGTCAGAAGATCATCTTCTACGTGGCGTCGCGCGGCCACCACGCCGAAATCGGCGGCACGCGGCCGGGGTCCATGCCGTCGGACAGCCGCATGCTGTACGAAGAAGGCGCCATGACCATGGGGTTCAAGGTGGTGTCGGGCGGGCAGTTCGACGAGGCCACGGTGCGCAAGTTCCTGTGCGACGAGCCGGCCGCCTACCCGAACTGCAGCGGCACACGCACGTACAACGACAACGTGTCGGACCTGAAGGCTGCCATCGCGGCCAACCAGAAGGGGGCGCAGCTGATCGGCGTGCTGATCGACGAGTACACGCTGCCGGTGGTGCACTTCTACATGGACGCGATCAAGGCCAACGCTGAGGTAGCGGTGCGGCGGTTCCTGCAACAGGTCGGGCGCGACACCGGCGGCAAGCCACTGCGCTTCTCGGATTTCGTCGACGACGGCACCGAGATCCGGCTGGAGATCCGCATCGACGCGGCGACGGGCGGGGCGGCGTTCGACTTCACCGGCACGGGCCGCGAGACGTTCAACTGCCTCAACGCGCCCAAGGCGATCGCGCACTCGGCCATCATCTACTGCCTGCGCGCTCTGATCAACGTCGACATCCCGCTCAACCAGGGCTGCCTGGCGCCCATCGACGTCATCATCCCCGAGGGCACACTCCTAAACCCGTCGGGCTACGCGGCCGTGTGCGCCGGCAACCCGACCACGTCGCAGCGCATCACCGACGTGATCCTGGGCGCCTTCGGGGCGTGCGCCGCGTCCCAGGGCGACTGCAACATCATCTCGTTCGGCATGGGCGGCAAGGACGTCCACGGGAACGAGATCCCCGGCTTCGGCGTCGGCGAGACCATCTGTGGCGGCTCCGGCGCCGGTCCGTCCTGGCACGGCACGTCGGGCGTCCACGTGCACATGACCAACACGCGCATCACCGACCCGGAGGTCTACGAGCTGCGCTACCCCATCATCCTGCGCCAGTTCGCCATCCGACCCGACTCCGGCGGCCGCGGCCTCTACCACGGCGGCAACGGCGTCGTAAGAGAACTCGAGTTCCGCATCCCCCTGTCCGTCTCCATGCTCAGCGAACGCCGCGTCTACCGGCCCTACGGCATGGCCGGTGGCGAACCCGGCGCCGCCGGTCTGAACCTGTACGTCAAGAAGGAGCTGGACGGCACCGAGCGTATCATCAATATCGGCGGCAAGATGGAGCTGAGTGCCCAGCCGGGAGAGCGCATCCTCATCCACACCCCGGGCGGCGGCGGATGGGGTCGTCCGTCCGACCAGTCGTCGCTCGATATCTCTCACTCCCAATCTGCCGTGCCTGACAATTTGCGCTTCCAGCCGAGAGGGAGCGTCTATACCTGGACCATGGCTGCCGAATCTGCACAGTGAGTTTGCTAGTCATGCGCCTGTCTCAGGCAATCCGGGGATGTCGCGGATGTGACGAGCCCGGGTTAGGGTTAGGGTTAGGGTTTGGCCGTGGCCGTGGCCGTGGCCGTCCTTGCCGCCCATGCCAAACGAGAAAAGTGCTTAGGCAACGAGTAGATGTGTATGCTCAAATGCACAGGGAACGTGTCACGGTTGACCCAAACCGTTACACCACAACAGCGGCAAAAAGGACAAAGTAACTAATTCACTCGTGAATTAGCCACTTAGTGTATATCACCGTGACAGAACAAGTCAACGTCTATGCTCAAATTATCACAGAGCACAGCGCCGAGGAAATGTGTATGCTCAATATCACGGATCACAGCGACGAGTAAATATGTATACTCAAAATGATATCAATTAGGTACTATGACGGTTATATACACCAAGTGGCTAATTCACCAGTGAATTGGTTACTTTGTCCTTTTTGCCGCTGTCGTGCGCACGGTGTAACAGTTTGGCTGAACCGAACCGAACTGTGACAATATCAATACTAAGACGAGGAGTGTATTAAAGATATTAACACTAAGACGAGGAGTGTATCAAAGAAGAGTTGCGGTGGTGCGGATGCGGAACGAGTATAAGGCCTAAGACTTAGGCTCTCCTCAAGTCACGTATAGTATATATCCAACGAGGCTATACCAAGCCTTTACTACCTTAAGCCCCCGTGGTTATGTTAAGCAAGCTCAACCTCTAAGGTCACGTAATGTTATGCAACTCCTAGTTACCAAGTAGGTAGATACCTACTCAACCGTGACATCGCTGGTGTCTTTATTACAGTAGAGTGTGATATAGTCTTACTTTTACGGTAGAGTGATATAGTCTTACTATTACGTTAGGTTATGGTGCAGTCTATGCTGTACTATATCCGTATCCGTATCTATATCTATCTTGTAGTCAAAGTAGAAACAGAAAGAGAGCAGAAACAGAGCAGAAACAGAGCAGAAACAGAGCAGAAACAGAGCAGAAACAGAGCAGAGGTAGAAGCAGAAACAGAGCAGAAGTAGAAGTAGAAACAAAAACAGAATAGAAGCAGAAATAGAGTAGAAATACAGTAGAAAGAAGCAGAAACTGTTTTTGGTAGAAAGGTCCTATATGTCAAAGGTTTGGAGGATGAAATGTTCCATGTTCTCTATCAAAGGGTCGCAGGGGGCTCGCATGCCATATAGTATAGTGTAGCCTAAGCCAGCCTCCCTGGTCAAAGGGCAAGGCTGGGAATGCCTACATAAGTTTGATAATTTTATCTCTCAATATCTAACGACCTGCTTGCTCAACTTGAACCCAATCCTGACCCTATTCCCCTATCCCCCTACCCCTGAACCTACCCCTACCCCTACCTTATCCTACCCCTGACCTTGTTAAATGAAGGTTGAAATGTTCCATGTTCTCTATCAAAGGGTCGCAGGGGGATCGCATGCTATATAGTATGTAGATAGCACCCAAACTAGCCTTCTGGTTAAAGCACAAGGCTGGGAATGCCTATAAGTTTGACAGACCTATCCTACTCCTGACCTATCTCTGAACCTGTACCGCCCATGAATGATGGTATTTATGAATCACCAACACATCCGGGTCGGTCCACCGTCCAGCATTCGAATGCGGCTGCTCGCACGCAAACGCCGTGACCGGCAACACCACCAGGCCGCCTATCGCCTTGGGCTCCGTCAACCCCGTCAAATCGGCGTGTCCGACACTCGCTCCCTCTGGCCTTGATTGGGGGTTGTCTTTACTTGTCCCCTCTGGCCTTGATTGGAGGTTATCTTTACTTGTCGGCGTCAGGGCCAGGTTCAGGTCCGGGTTCGGGTTCGTCTTCGTCTTCTCGTCGACCCTGAGCCTGAGGGTCAGGGCGCGGAACAGAGCACGCGTGAAGGCTCGAGGCCCAGTGAGGTCCATGACGAGGGATTCGGTGAGGCTCCCGGCGAGGCTCCCGGCATGCCGAGGCTCTATGGGGGTTCGATCGAGGTCGAGTTCAACTTCCTCTTCCTCTCCCTTCTTGTCTTTTCCGGCCGGTGTCGGTGTGTTCGAGTTCAGATTATGCGCAATCTCCTGGATCACCGCCCACAGCAGCTGGCTTCTCGGCTTCGCAGCGATGGTCCACGTCGCGAATTGCATATCGTCCGGAAACCGCTGGCGTTCTTCAAGTCTCTGGTGGCTGTCGTAGTCGATTTCGTAGTCGATTTCGTTTTCGACGGCAATCTTGATCTTGTCATATTCCACCCCTACCAACAGCTCGACACCGTAAGGCTCAGGTCCCGCCGTCCAGTCGACAGGCCACTCGTCCACTCCCTTGACACACTCGGCATCCAGATCCGCGTAGACGCCGCCCTCAATGTACAGGACAAGGTATCTCAACAGGTCGGCCTGCAGGATCGGAACGGCAGCCGCCGTGGTCCAGGCGAGCATGATGTCCGCGTGCGCGTGGAATTCCCGCACCACAAACTCCCGGGCCGAGTCGTTGTCGAGCAGCCGTCGAGTCCAGCCTGGATTGTGCGTCGTCCAGCTCGCCGTCAGATGTGCATGTTGGCTTTGCACCGTGCCAATGGCCGTGTCACTGTCCGGGCCCGCGTCGGCTGGTTGGAGCCAGATCTGCCAGATCTTGTGAGGGATTGGTGGTGGTGGTGGTGGTGGTGCTGCTGCTGCAGATTCAGATCGACTCATTCTCGACATGGATTCCGAATGCTAATGAATGATCCGAGAGGGAATGGATTTGGAATTGGTTACACAGCAAAGAGATTGGAACGTTGCCTGATTCGGGGTTGGGGGCATGTTGCTGGCGCTATATCTACATGTATATATATGGCCAGGTGCCCGATTACATACTATTGCTTGCGCACTGCTTCGACCTAACATTTAGGCCACCGAACAGGCAACCATGCAATGCAACGCAGTCTAATCATATGTAGTAATGTAATGCGGAAATACTTATCGCATACTACCAAGTAGGATGATGCAAGGAAGGACGGTCGAGTCTTCCTCTTTCTTTACCTCCCACGACGCCTTGTAACGACTACCTCGTAGCACAATGACACGCCTGACCATGACACTCTGTGACTCTAGTGAGTGAGCTGACTCTATTTACGAATGACGTGAAATGAAGCCCCAGTTGGTACAATCAGCGCCGAAAAAGCCGCCATCGAGTTGAGCAAATTCGCAAATGGCGCAACCATCGGCAGGAAAAGCAGATGCAGAGCCATAGATCGATACGGTACGTTGGCATCATAATCCTGTTCGCAGAATTGCAACTTGAATCAATAAACATTCGCTGTTCACACCGCCAGTACTGGTGCTGGTACTAAGGTCGGAGTAGATACAAAGTCTTACCTGGAGAGCGAGCGAAAGAGCCATGGCAGTCAGAGAGATACTGTGTTCTACGAACACAGCATACCAAAGCCAATTCGGAACTCGTAAAGCCCAATGCCAATCGAGAAATAGAACAGATAGCGCCCTTGGTAATGGGAGAAAAAATCAGCCGCCCACACACAGATGTATAATAACCTCACCCTCGACATCCCAATCAATTGAACTTACAAGACAACCTCCAGAGACTGCCATGCCCAGAGCGCGACAAAAGCGACAGCCAACCGTGTGTGTACCGTCAAGATTCCCGTGGCCCAACGCCGGCGTTGTTGCCAGAAATCCCAGAGATTGGTCGGCGATTGTTCTCTCGCAATGGCGGGAATCCAACCGAATCGGAATCCCAGACGATCGGCTTGCAGTGCGAACCAATAATCCTCGGTCAGATTGTCTGTTTCCCAGGTGACTGCATTCTCGACTTCCCCATTGATCAAGAGGTATGCACCGTGCATACCAAAGACTGGGCGGTGGACATGATTGAACTGAAATTGATATCGGCCAAAGTCGTCCAATGTACGCACACAGTCGGCGTACGTGGTCAGAATGTTCTTCCAATAGTGGCGGGCGTTGTATAGGATGACTCCTTGGGCAATCGAGGCCTTGCCGTCAGTCTCAACGGTCTCCAGGCACGCGCGGAGGGCGAAGTGGTCGAGCATAGTCTCCTCGTCAACGTGGAGGATCCAGTCCTGGGCAGTCAAGGTCTGTTTCTGACGGAACCACTCCAATGCGCGTGCTTTGTATTTGGCCTTTCGCGGGGCGAACTTCGATGGCACACCGTGGACTTGAGCGAGGCCTTTGAGATGTTGCAGACCAGACACCGCATCTTCTTCTGTGACTATATGGAATTCTAAACGTCCATCAATGCTTTTCAGGTCTGGAAGTGCCCTTGAAGTGTGGTTGATCGCCTGAGAGTTCAATTGTTTCTCAGAAAAGATGGCTCGACGGTTGGAAGTTGGAAGTCGGAACTGATTAAGCCTTGTAACTTACCTCGATGTTCCTGCCTCTCGTAACCATACAAATCATGAGACGAGTATATTTGCGAAGAGCATTCTGAGCCAGACTGCTGCGCTGGATTGTTTTGAATGGCAAAAGGGCACAGAAGATACTGTACCAGCCCAGGATGCGACCCGGCACTAAGATGGACAAGACGATACATATGTCCCTGTTGAAAGGCTTGTTTGATTGATGCTGGAGGCCCCCAAACGCTGTGCAAAGGGAGAGTTCAGCATAGAAAAGCAAGGAAGCGATGGAGAGGAGAAGAGCTTGACGATATTTCAGCAGCTTCCACGTTTGACGTGTGTTGAAAGGGCGGAGAGCCGCCATGCAGTGGGAGCTGTCTCTGTGTCTGTGATCAAGGTCGGACCAACCTACGGATACTAACCTTTATGTCAAATGGACGCGACAATGCGCCAAAGCTCCGACTCGACACTGACGCTGCGATGTTCTTGAACATGCGTTGAAGTCTCTCATAATTCACTTGTGGTTGGGCCATTGTGTAACCGGTCAGGAAGGTCAGGAAGGTCAGGAAGCGCAGGCGCAGGCTAAGGCGCAGGCTGAAGAAGAGAGTTGCCTGCGCTCCAGTACAGTAGTACAGTAGTACAGTAGTACAGTAGTACAGTAGTACAGTAGTACAGTACATCAGCCTCAGCCTAAGCCTCCGGAGCCTCCTCAGGTCTCCCTCGTTCTCTCTCTTCCCTGTTCCCCGTGGGGTCTGCTCGACACACAACGGCGATCATCCACCGGTCGAAAGTCGCACTACGGACACCCCCCCTCCCTTATCCCTCATCCCTCATCGTCTACCGCCCATGGCCCTTGGCCCTCATCGTGGTCCCCTCCTCCTGATTGTGCCCAAGTACAGTACCATGTTGGCATGTTCCGCCCCCTGCCAGAGAGGCTTAGGCTTAGGGGCTTCCAGATTCCTCCCCAGCAGGGCGCAGGGCGCAGGTGGCATTTGCCTTGCATGATGCACCTAAGTTCTCGCCCTCCAAGTGGTTTCTTTCATGATCAAATGCTATGCACTGACAAGTTCCTTTTAGTAAAGTCGTCCATAAACCGGTGCTTTTAAGCCCAGTCCGAAGCTGTGCTCGAGACTCCTCTTGTCTTCAATCCATCCATGCTTTCGAAGTTTCTTACCACTGCAGGTCCTGAAGATGCATCCCCTTCTCGTGACAGCGCTCGGTAGCCTTGCCATGCTTCAGTCCGTCTATGCCTTCCCAGTCACGACACGGCAAACTGTGGGCCAGAGTCCCCTGACCAGCTCGCCAGAAGTATGGGCGTCGGTAGTGGCAAACGTGACCCCTCTCATGGCCTTGGTGGGGGAGAGGCATGCTAAGGAATATCTACGAACCATGTCTGGAAAAAGGCAGCTATTGAACCTAGCAGTGGCGCCACTGGGCATCCTCGCCATCCTAGTCAGCGCAGTCAGGCTCTGCGGCTTTCCCTTTCTTCGCCGGCTGATTGGCCGTGAAGACGAAAAGAGAAATGAGGCAATGGTGGAACTGACACCGGTCAGCCTGTCTCAAGCAACTCCAATCTACGTGGACGGGCGCATCGAGATCGAGCCCAACGTGGTCAAGGATGCCGCCTTCATTTGCTGTCACCGACGGCTGAAGGAGGATGCCGCCGCCGCGTTGAGGGCCTTTCGGTCACTCTGGCTTCGTCGAAAGGATCATCCTGGCGACCAGGACCATGAGATTGTGCTGTCACTGCGCAACCTCCATAACCTGCCACTGAAAGAAACAGCCACCTTGATCGAAAATCTGGAGGATGCGGGAAAAGATCAACTCCCCAACCGGTGGGATGCTGTTGCGGCTGACGCCACAATCTCGTTTCGGACAACGGGTGTATCTCCTGCTGCTACCCTAGCATCCGGCAGGACATCAATGAGTCGCTTGATGGACGTCTTGGTGGCCACAGGGCTGACCGTCACAGTCATCGGGATCCAGATCGCCGGCTATGCCTCTGGCCGGGAAAACGGCACTTACACCCAAGCCCTGGCCATGGGGCTTGCAGGCTATTTCGGTGTGGTGACATCGACGATCGCACTCCTTCTGCTATTGCAATCAGAAGTCGTGCTGCAAACCGAGCCGCTTCCCCCGCTCTTTCGGGATGGACAGTGGACTGTCAGCAATGCCACCCATTCCGAGTGGCGACCCATCCAGGCGTTGAAGGTCGATGGGATTGTTTCTGCTTTGCCGGCAAGACATGCTCCTCATCAATCTCGTGCCCGAGATGTCAGGGTCGCTGTGTGTGCGCTCGGTCTTGTCGCTTCTTATGTGATTTACTATCTGGGTATCAGAGTTGCTCCTTGGTGGGTGGCCCTGGACAACATGATGGTCCTTTGGCTGGCAGCAGCCTACAGAGCCTTCACAACGCAAAGCACATACCGCTCCTCAAACGAGCCACAAGCCGCAGAAAGCTGGACAGCCATCCCAGGCAAGACAGTCTCAGACACGGTTGACCGAACGATTGAATCCTCGGAGATCCGCCCGTCCGGGCACTGTTTTCTCATCTTTTGCAGTCCGACTCGCATCAGTCCCATGTCATGGTCGTCAGCTCAAGACATTCTCAAGGTAAGTATCGAGCTCACCCATCAGAAAAGCCTCGGTTATGGCTGGAAGTCTCCAAGCGAAGCAGTGCACAGTAAGACATGGGGATTCGTTGTTCGTTTCGAGCTGGTCGTCTACATCCCAGGTTACGTCTTCAGGTGTCGAGATTCGATTGATCTTGCCGTGGAACTTCATTTCACCTTTGATCACCTCACGTGGACGGTTCTGAAACTGCTGCACACCTGTCTCGACCAACGCGGCTCATTATCGACATATACAAGTCCCACCGATGTTCAAGACAAAGTCTCGGCAACGTTGGATGGCGAAAATGTGATAGTCAGCTATGCCGAAGAGCCCCAGACGTTGCGGGCATTTTTGAAGCCTTTCAGCGGCCGATCGTTGGACCAGGCCCTCCTACTCCCAGCAATCCAGGTGTGCTCCATTTATGAGCGATTCTACTACACGTCGTCCAAGTCCACCGGGATGCAGACTTTACAGGCCCGCCACGTCGACCAACTGGCCTTGAGTGCCTCTCAGGACCAACTCCGAGGTTTACAAGAGGAGCTTGAAGACCAAGGCGTCTGGAACTCGTTCATGGCACCGCTGGCCGAGGTTGGTCCGAAGCCAAAGCGTATCGTAATGACCGCGCCAGAGGATCACTATGCTCATAGTAACCGGCGATGGGCCGATCTGACCGGTGCAATTGATGGCGAAGAAAGAGCCGAGGGAGCAACTGCAGGAGCAGTCGAAGGTTCCGGCTCATAATACTACATGTAGTTTGTGAAGCTTACCTGCCGGGCACGGACTGGGAAGACGAGCTCTGGAAGCGAGTGCTCTTTTCGACATGATGATACAATAACAAGGCTGAATTCCGAATGTCTTGGCTCGTGTCTGACTTGGATAGGCATCAGGGCCTAAAGCCCCGCGTCTTACGTACATACATGTACATGTAGCTAGGTAGGTACTCGTGCTAAGTCTCTACACATAGTACTTGGGAATGTGGAATGTGCAATCGTGCGGCATGCTGCTGCTAACTGGCCGTGTGAGTAGGCGAGTCTAAGTAGGGGTAAAGGACGGAAGGGGGTGCAATGATAGTGATAGTGGTAGTGGTAGTGATAGTGACATGGGCAGTAAGAGTGGCAATAGTAGCAGTGGCAATGGCAATAGCAGTGGCAGCAGATTTATGCAAGACTTTCTATTTCCAAGCTTCTTCTTCTGCCTGGGGTCCAATCTCATCTCATCTCAACTCATCCCATGCCATCTCAACTCATCTCAGACCAGACCAGGCCAGGCCACACATTGTCATCCCGAACAAGACGAGACAAGGACGATCAGCCAGCCTCCTTAGCACTCAGCCTCCCTCATGTTTGCTTTCGCTCGCCCTCCCACCAGACAACACAACTCCTTCCATGCGCGTATGCAAAGAATGCGGCAATTTTTCTCTTCATCACAGGTCGTGTCGCTAAGAATGATGGACAAAACACTTTCTAGCTTCTCCCTTCTCGCTCGTGCACTGCCGCCGCTGCTGCTCTGGCAATGCTAAATCTCATCAACATCTTCGTCGTCATCGGCGTCGTCAGTCTTGACTCTGGCGGGCCTGGACGAGCTCATGCTCTTCATCTCGTATTCCTCGTGGCCCGTCATGGCCATGGCCTGGCGCGCCCGGGGACTCTCCTCCAAGAACTCTCGTAACCGTTTCTTGCCTTCTTCAAGAGCTTGCTGGGACGCTGCGTTGGCCATCTTGAGCATCGGGCCCCACAGATTCAGTGTATAGGTGACGTAGGCGCCGATGGCAAGAATGATCAGAAACATGAAATAGACCGGGTTTCGGAGGACTAGAGACGATATAGGTTAGCAACTTTCCTTTTTCTCTTGCTCCATTTGGTTTCCAGGGCTTGGGCCCTGCTTCGTTACAATTGTACTTACCGGCTACAATCTCATTCCAGCCCAGCGCCAGTAACAGGCCGTAGAAATATAACGGCACCTGGGTCATTCCACCAATCGCACTACGTTTGGCTTCCACGTAGACACCGTCGGCAGCCTTCTTGAATCGAACAGTCAGGTCTTGACGCTTGGCTTCGTTGAGAATCGTGGTTTCTTCCTCCAAACTCTTCCCCTCATCCTCATCCACGCCACCGATGGGAGTCAAATCTTCTTCGTCCGCAGCAGTGGCTGTGGCAGGCGTGGGTCCAATCCATCGATCAAGAGGTGGAGGTGCTCCGGTTTCCGAAAGCCGGAAACGAGCCAGAAGTGGTATCAGCGTCAAAGTGCTTTCTCGGGCTTTAGTGTAGATGCCTTCGATGTCGTCTGTCGGACGCCATATCCGAGGCACACCCGCTTCGTCGTATCTGAATTTATCCTCGAAATTCTCTCGAAGTTTCAGCAAGAGATTACCTTCCATCATTTCTTCGTCGATCTTGGAACGTAACACGCCCCAGGACTTCCTCCGAAGTCGCCATATACCAACATCGACTTCGTCGGCACTGGCGTCGAACGAAGCGGCGCGGTCGGCAAATCGTTTCTCAGCTTCCTGGACCGTAGAAGTGAACAAAGCCCAAATGCGGTCCCAGGTTTCTCTTTCTGAGGGCCTGTCTCCATTTTCAGGAGCTGCGGAACCACCGCGGCCGGACCCCAATGCATTGAACTCCAGGCCAACACTGTCGTTGAGTTTGCTCCGGACCCATCTCTCCACCCTCGTGGCTAGTCGGCGCATCTCATCACGACGCAATTGTCCAGAGACCTTGTCGAGATCCTTCCGGTACAGCGTCATTTCCTGCTTGTAGTTGGACCATGGCAAGCCCTCGATAACAGCCTCTTTGGCATGAGATTCGAATCTGTGAATGGCAGACTCCTTTTGCTCTTTCACAATTTCGGCAAAGTCATACGACGCTCCTTTTTTTTGTCCAGCCTTGACGGCGGCACTGACGGCATCGGAAAATTGTTGCACGCCATCCTTGTGTGCGGCAGTCAGTTGACTGGCAAAGAGTGCCTTGAGTCGCGTATCGATCTTACTTTCCAGCTCGGTTCGTTTCCGCTGATAGACGCCTTTGTGATACCTGCTCGCTTCCGTCTCGAAGTTTCTAATCGCTTCGAGTCTGGCAGCTTTTGTTGCGGCGCCGAGACCAGCAATGACCTCGGGTTTACCCATCCTGGTGGCCTCCGCTTGTTGGGTCTCCAAGGGACTTATGGCAACATCAAACCCGACAATCACCTCTCTCATGATTTCGTCGCATCGGAACTGTGCCAAAAGTTCTTGCTGGGTCGGTAGGTCGAGATCTTTGTTGTTGACTATTTGATCCCAAATGCCCTCTGCGTAGTGAGAGAAGCCATCTGCAGGGATTCTTCGATGATATTCTGATAGAAAAATGCCACCTTCGAATTCGCCTAGTAGGGCATCCCGGCGTGGGTCGCGGCGACCCTCATTGAAACGCGTCGCCATCTTCGCAACCTCTGCCTTGAATTGTTCTGGTTGATACAATTTGTGTGGCAGAGCTGTGAAGGCAAAATCAAAATAGTCGTCGATGCTACTCTTTTCCAAGCCAGGTGGTTTCGACAGGCTCGACCAGATGCGCCCCAGATCCTGCATCAGAGTATTCCGCAGATTCTGCAGAGGGGTGGTTCCCAGGAAATCTCGAATGACAAAATACAGCAGGCTGCGGGAGGTTGACTTTCTATCCTTAAGGAAAAGTTGTAGATTGACCTCGAACACGGTTTTGAGCAAGCCCATATTGGCGCCTTGGTACAGGCCGACTTGATGCTCCCAGATATTGACCATCAACACTTCGCTGGTCGCCAGTGCGAACAGGGAGCTTTTTCGTTCAAAATCTTGGTCCTCGCCTCTTTCGCGGCCATCTGTACCCTCGACATCCATGACTAAGATGTTGGCTGCCATTTTGGTCGAGGCTGATTTGTTCTTGGCCAGCCAGATTCCCTTTGTAGTCTGACGTCTTTCTGATTCGGACATGACGGAAAAATCGGTACTGAAGAGAGCATTTAGAAGTGTGGACTTGCCGGTCGACTGCGAACCGAAAACGGAGATGAGGTGGTAATTGAACCCGGCGTGGGAAACTCCGGAGTAATTGAGATACTTTGCAAGGTCGGGACTGAGACAGTCAGCAAAAGGTGTCTGTAAGGTCCACTCAATCACCAGCGTGATGCGCACTTGAACTCTTTGTCCTCATCAATCACCTGCACCCCATTCTCAAAGTTCGCGTCCCCGTTTTGCCCGACAGAGGCAAAGTGGCCATTGACCGCCATCTTGTCCGGGGCGGTATAGGCTCGACTCCCAGCAAACGGTCTGGCTGCCGAGGCGGTTGAGGAGACTCGCGATTCCGACGGAGAGAGAGTCGTGTTCGCCATGACGACGGTCGGACGAGACGATATGTACACGGGCAGGACCCCTGCCGGAAACAGCCACGGGAGGTGCTAATGTGGCATCGAATGGAATAAAAAGCCGTCACCTGGACACTGGTGGCCACTGCAGGGGACGTGGACGAAGGGGGGCGGTGATCTAGGATGGGTGGGTGGAATAATGAGCTCGAGGGTTAGGGGAGAGAGGAATCTCCGACCAGTAGAAGGGTAGTGGTGATGGTGGTGGTGTTGGGTGACTTGTCGTTCCGTTCGTATTGATGGTCGCAGGGGGTGGTGCTCTTAACCTGCTTTCGCGCTGCTCGGCTGACCTTCTCTGCCCGACACGCCGACACAGTGATAGTTAAGTAGCACAGGCCCGGAGGACGATCCGGGCCCTTAGCCTAGGAGTCGTACTCCAGTTTCCACCTGTGGGGTGCTACAGTTGGCGACCTGTTTTGAGTGCCAGCCAGGTGCCAGCCTCGTACCCTGAAGTGTCTCTGACAGAAGGCGCCCGCTAGGTGGCGAGAGGTGTCATTCACGACAGCATGATCTCTGCTATGTCTCTCCCAGACAGCTGGTATGAATATGCACCCTTCGGAGGAGGGGTGATGGGCAGTGCCGTCCAACCTTTGCTTGTGATACATTATTAGCACCACTTGGGCCTGAAGAGACAACCTTGTAAGCGGTCATCTTATGAGCGTTGTAGCGAGCAATACTGATGCCTCAATAGTCGTTCATCTATCACGCTTGCTCCACCCTCGTCGTCGCTGGTTTCTGTTTATGCTAGACTGACATTCTAGCAGAGAAGCGGTGCTGCTCCCACTGGCAACCCAGTGAGAAGGGCGCCAAATCGGGGGCAACAGTGTTGTTCATTGATGCAACATGACATGGACGGCACTGGCGAAATAATTCTCGTCATCTACAAGCACATTTATCGCTTCCCACGTTGGTGCCTTTGTTTGCGGCTTGTTCCATTTTCTCAAAGTCAGAGCTCAGGAAACTACATCACCACAGCACAGCCAGGCTTGACACAGGCGTTCCAAGAGTGCCGCTGCACATCCACAGCACCAAACCTTCCCACCTAGTATTCACCAACAGCTTCTTCAGGTGGCATAGTTGAACCATGGCTCCGACCAAGAAGAAGAGAAGTCGTCACAAGTGTCCTAGTCCTCTGCCTCTAAAGACTGTCGACTGCTCCCGTTGTGGAGCGCCCATCATCATTCCCAAGCAGTGCAAGCACGGCAAGAAATTGATCAACTGTCAAGGCACCGATTGCTGTACGGCTCACGTCACGGACCACAACAATCAATGCCATTCTCAGATCACCAATCCAAGAGTTGAAGACACCTCTGAGGAGACCAAAACACATGACAAAGAGCACAAACAGCGGAAACTCTTGAGCCTCCTCGTGATGCAAGAGATCAAAAATGTGGAAAGAATGAGAGGCAAAGAGATGAGGTATCTGAATGGGGTTCCCAAGGCCGAGTTTCTCCGAAATCTGAAGACAATGGATCTGGAGCAGGCAAGAGTGGTGGCTCAGAAGTTAAAGGAGGTTGGAGAGGGTATCATCGATTTGGATACGGCCATGTATGACGATGAAGATTCTGGTTCTGATAATGACCCATGCCAGACACCGCCCGAAGAAAATGAAGCCTGGGGGAATCCTGGGGAAGATGATGCACGGTGCTGGTGAGAAATGACAGTGTGCCCAGAGTAATGGATAATCATTCCTGGTCACGATATTCTGTGTTCCGGTCACAATGCTGGTGTTACAGACGTAGCCGTTTGAAAGGATTTGCATTTTAATAGGCCTGTTTGACACGACCTCGTCATTTTCAAGCCGCCAGCCTCACCACAGACGGTTGTGTCGAGAATATGTACAATGTGCCTGACCTATTCGACCATGCCATAATAGGTCCACGGTGCCTTCAGGATGATAGCAAAGCCCTAGAGCACCGATAAAGACCAAGTCTCATTGCATCCGGCTCCAGGTCGAGCATGGCAAATCTGTGCAATGCACATCATGCAGTATATAGTCATGAGGGTTGGCTCGCTCCGTCCTTTCTGATTCCCACGTCCTTCTCCCACGGATAGACCACGATTCTAGAGTCGGCGAAGAGCTGTTTATCTCTGAGATGAATGGGTGTCTGCCCCTGGGGGGTGTCGGGAATGGTCTTTTCTAGGCCCTAGTTGACATAAGAATCGTCAGCCATCCACTCCAAAGTTGAGCTCTGTCCGCATTGAAATCAACCGGACCATGACCTACAATCTTCTGGAACACGCATCTATTTAGCACCCGTTCGGGCCGTCGACACTGCCATAACTGGTGGTTATTGTTGTCCAGACACGTCCAGTGCGCCCGGAACTCCTCGAGGCAGTTCTTATTAATGTCGGCCAACCTGGAATAGGACTTGCATCAGCCGTCGGACCTCCACAGCGTCTTGAACGAGAATTGCTTCTCGCTCCATTGACCCAGGGCGTATACTGACACGCTTGCGGCACATCTCGTCACTTTCCTCCCTTCTTTCATGCAGTCCAGCTCTCCTCGCCCATAGGACTCGGTTTTGCACTGCATGTAATCGTCGTTGTAGGATCGGCATCGGTCGCCGATGAAGAAAGATGCGCTCAACAGGGGTGCGGAACTGGCTCCGATCTCTTTGACTTTAGGAATGTGGTCGGGCATAGGCGTCGTGTCGACGAAGGCATCGGTGGTGAATCTGCAGACGTGTCAGGCATTTGAGCTATTGCTCTCCAAAGGTCTCCATACCTCGCTTCTCGGTCCGCCATGGTTGCGAAGATTGGCCCACGCCGGATGAAGCAACTGGACCTGCAATACGAGAAGTAACGAACGGTGGAATGCCTCGTATGTCCGGATTGCAGACGATGGCCGCGGAGCTTCAATGCCAAGGCCTGATCGAGCTCGCCCTGTTGGGAAGGGCGTTGACGCCGCTATTAGCTTCCACCAATCAGCTTGAAGCGATATTTCATCCGTATAGCAACGCAAGGCTGAATCTGTTTTCTGCTAGCGATCCCCTCTCCCATCCCACATGAGATCATTCCAGGTTCAGCATCGAGCGGTAAGTCTGTTGATTTAGTATCTGTGTTCGTGGCGTTGTAAGGACAATTGCCGGACATGACACTCAATGATTAAGCTCCATTTGCAGTCCTGTCAAGATATCCCCCCGGGATCCCTGTCAAGTCCGAAAGCAACGACGCCGAGACTTGCGCCTTAGGGTCATAGCAGCAAAGAGATACAGCTATAGCAACACGGACAACTTCACGACAAAGAAGAAAGCTTCGATTAGGCATCATGGGCAACTCATCGTCAAAGCCAAACCAGTCCAAGCAAAAGATCGAGAAGGGCAGGTACCACACCCCCAATGAATTAAATTACTAATGCCAACGGGGGAAAGCCATCGAATCCGTGGAGCGACAGATCAACTATCGTCCATCCGAAGCAGACAGCCTGACCCGGGATCGAAAGTGCCTGCAACAAGCCAAGACTAATGGCTTCAAGGTCGTCTTGATTGACAAGTCAAAGACATGTAGTGAGAGCACGGAATGTCCGAGACACACGTACAAGAACAGATAATTGATATGGACATTAAATTTATCCTGGCGCTGACCCCTTCTGAGAGCATATCAAAATGCTTCCCAGACTTATCGTAATGACCTCACTACTGTCACCTTCAGCCGCACTTCTGAGTGATTCAATACTCTTGCTTCTTTACTCTAGCATGCTCAAAGTCTATTCTATTGTAAGTCGAAGTGCCCGGGCGTCATTTTGATACCCACTTAGACCTGCTATTGTATTACATACTACTACAGGATTTTCCTTTAGTCACTCTTTTAGTTCTAGCCCATTGTCTTGACGCAACGAATCCACGGTAACCCGCCTGGACTGAGAAGCATCAGCCTTCAGTGAGCGCGCTAGTGTCAATTTTGAAGTTCTCGATATCGTTGAGAAAGCTGGGATCTATGCAATGGCACGATTAGTATCAATTCTCCAGCATGTTCGACGGATTCTTACCATCCTTGTTCTCCATGATAAAATTTTGCACGTTCGTAATCATGCCCGTCAACTCGCTCGTCAGCTCGTGCATATGAAGTCTGACCCATTCGTTGTGCTTTGCTGCACCCTTGATTGCCTGGATGGCTACATGGTATCTGCTTGTTTCGTTAAGAAGCATCATGTTGAATGGTGTTGTCGTCGAGCCCTCCTCGTTGTAGCTGGCAATGGTTACCCGCTGCATGTTCGGCCGTCCAAACAACAGCCCTTTCAGCTCGACCGCATACCCGTGATAGTTGAAATGGATCGGTACGTCTGCAGTGAAGAGAGAATCGAACGCGTCATCAGTCAAGGCATGAGGATGACTACTGAATTGCCCCAGGATCATCAGGTCTGTGACATTGACGACTCGAACACGGAGATTTGGAACCTTCGTTCTCAACAAGTCTGCCGCAGCGACGACCTCGAAAGTCAGCTCGGCGCCAATTCCCACAAGAACGACATCCGGATTGAGGCCCTCATCCGTAGAGGCAAACTTCCATACCGACGCACCGGCGCAACAGTGGTTTTCTGCTTCGTCGGCGGATAGGAAGACAGCAGATGGTTGCTTGGAGCCGACCATCAGATTGACATAGTTCTTCGAATGGAGGCAATGGTCCATGGTGGAAAGAAAGGTGTTCGCGTCGGGCGGAAAGTATACCCTCGCAGCATCAGGCTTGAGATTCAACACTGCCCCGATGAAGCTTGGATTCTGATGTGAGAAGCCGTTGTGTTCTTGCCTTGTCCAGGTAGAAGTTTCGAGGTAGTTGATACTCGCAACATCCTTGCGCCAGGTCAACTCTCGGGCCATCTTACCGAACTTTGCAAACTGCACCATCATGGTGTGGATGATCCCTAAGAACGCCTCATAGCTTGGGAACAACGCAACCCGTCCTGTCAAAGTATAGCCTTGCATCCAGCCTTGACATTGGTGCTCCGAGAGGGTTTCGATAAGGCGGCCACCACGGGCATTCGAATACTGATCAACCTGGAAGTTTCTAGTGGTCGAGTTCAATACAACGTCAAGTTTGTTGGATTCGAACTCATCGGGGGAGAAGATACGGAACGTCTTGGGGTTGTCTTTGATCACTTGCTCCAGTAATTTTCCTACTGTCTGCATAGAACTCTCCGACGTTCCTTTCTTCACGGCAAATTTTCGCCAATCAATGGGCTTGACGCCCACGTAGGCATCGTATGCTTCTTTCTTCTGACCGAGACGTTGTTCAGGCTTCTCAGGGAACACGGACTTGATCTCGTCGATGACATCGCCGGATTCCTTGAACAGCTCGTTAGGCTTATAAGACTTCAACCATTCCTGGAGCTGCTTGAGCTCTTCTGGATCAGTCTTGGCCGCAGACAAGGGGACTTGGTGAGCTTTATAAGAGCCTTCGACAAACTGGCCATGGACCTTTTTTGGTCCTGTCCATCCTTTCGGGGTGCGCAGTATCAGTACAGGCCAACGGGGCTTCATGATAGGCTTTCCACTCCTGGCAGCGGTCTGGATACGTTTGATTTCTGAGATAGCCCATTCCATCGAGATCGAGAGATCTGCATCAATATCGTCCAGGTCATCGATTACTCTTGGCTGGTAGCCGTACCCCGTGAACAGCGCTGCCATTTCCTTATCGTCCATGCAGCCATAGATTGTTCTCTCACTGATCTTGAAACCGTTGACATGCACGATAGGCAGCACTGCGCCTGACTCTGCAGGATCAATGTACTTGTAGCCATGCCAAGCTGTCGCTGTAGGACCAGTTTCCGCCTCGCCGTCGCCGACAACGCAAGCTACAATCAAATCAGGATTGTCCATGACGGCGCCGAATGAGACAGCGAGCGCATAGCCGAGTTCTCCTCCTTCATGGATCGCTCCCGGGGTTTCAGCATTGATGTGACTGGGGAATCCTCCTGTTGTACTGAATCCACTGACCATGCGATGGAGACCTTTCGCATCTTGGGAGTACTGTGGATAAAACTTCGCCAGCGAGCCCTCCAACCATAGATTGGCGAGGAGAGCCGGAGCGCCGTGACCTGGTCCTACCACATAAAGCATGTCCAGATCATGGTTCTTGATCAGGAGGTTCAGGTGAGAGTATACTAAGGTGAGCCCAGGACATGTGCCCCAGTGGCCCAGTAACCTTGGCTTAATGTCTTCGAATGTGAGGTCTCGCTGAAGAAAGACGTTATCCTGCAAGAAGATCATGGCAGCTGCAATGTAGTTGGCCGCACGGCGGTATTTGGCCATAACCTCGTTGGATCCATCTGCCAACGCCGGCTTTTCGAGCTTGACCAGCAACTCGGACACATGGTCGGGGACATTGGATGGCGGCGGCGGAGGGTTAGGACGGTCGATCACTTCACCGGGCATGTTGAGACACGGAACTGGGATCTCTGCAGAGTATGGCGCTCGTGCCCTGAGATGGATCCTGATACCGTGCCTTGGGCGATCTAGGAGGGGTGATAAGTCGCGTCTTCTTGAGTTAGGAACGATGCCTGCGCAGTCAGCCAGATGCAGAGAAGAATCAGGTAGCAAAGGAAAGTGGTTGAAGGTAGACTACGCAGGGCAAACCGCAAGTGACACTATCTTATTCATCACTCATCATTCATCATTCCCAATCGCCTCCGCGGGGAGTCGGGATGTGGTGGGATACTGGTGACATTATGATGTCGTCGATTTCACGATTCTGTGATGCAATGCTGCTGGAGACGGATGTTGTCACTCGTCCAATAAGCCCAGCTTAGTACCCATGGTAGCTTCTGATTTCCTCATGCAACTTTCCACGACGAATAGATTCGAGCCCTCGATTGCATCTCCAGTGAGCGACTGTGCTACACGACGACTTGCCTTTTCGGCGGTGGTCTTGTCGGTGTTGTCCACAGGAACCCGGCGTGGTTGGTAAGTACATAGATGATGCAGTCCCTCATGCAGCGGTGGTCTGATACCCTGGACAGACTACAAGATAAGACTAGACCCCCCTCAAACACCAAACACGCCCCTCCGACAAACTGGCAATCAACCGCGTTTAGAAAAGGAGGAACACAGAAGGTAGAAATTGATATAGGGCCGGATCTCCTACAATGACCATCATCATCCTCTCCGTCAACGCCGGCAGTTCGTCGCTCAAAACAACCGTGTTCATCGAGGAAGATGATGCCGCAGGCAACCGGAGCCTGCGACGGTTGGGTAGCGCCGAGATCTCCGCCATCAATCAGCCTCCAGCCAAGTTCAAATACAAGCGAGGCTCCTTCAAGACCGACAGCGAGCTGGGCGACATCCACGACCACAACGGCGCCTTTGAACATATTCTCAATGCCTTCATCTCAGACGCCGAGATCCCTGAGGTGTCCAAGAAGGAAGACATCCAATATGCATGCCATCGTGTGGTGCAAGGAGGGCGATTCCGGGATGATCGCCTCTTGACGAAGGAGACATTTGATATAATCAACAAACTGTCGGATCTGGCACCATTGTATGGGCACTGTTGATTCCCAAGCTGTCCTCTAAAACTGACATTCGTGTAGACACAATGCCTCCGCGGTCTCCCTCATGGTTACCTGCCACCAACAACTTCCAAAGGTCATCAATGTCGCATGTTTCGACTCTGGTTTCCACCAGACCATGCCCGATTACGTCAAAAGCTATGCGATCGACCAGAAGATTGCCGAGGAAAAAGGACTGCGCAAATATGGCTTCCATGGACTCAGTTACAAGTACATAACAAGACGAATAGCCCAGCACCTGGGCAAACCACAATCTGAGACAAGCCTCATAGCTCTACATCTTGGGAGTGGTGCTTCCGCCTGCGCAATCAAGAACGGAGAGTCGATAGACACCACCATGGGTCTGACACCAGTGTCAGGTCTGCCTGGTGGTACCAGAACCGGAGATATTGATCCCAGCTTGGTCTTCCACTACACTTCGGACGCGAGTGCGCTCAGCCCCAACAGCACCAAAGATCTCCATATCTCGACGGCGGAAGAGATCCTGAACAAGCAATCCGGCTGGAAGGCGTTGACCGGAACCACGGACTTCTCGAAAATCGCGGACCCGAATGCGCCAGACACCCATAAACTGGCGTTCAACATTTTCGTCGACCGAATCTTGGGCTATGTCGGCAACTACTATGTGAAGCTGGACGGTAAAGTCGATGCGCTGGTCTTTGCTGGCGGCATCGGCGAGAAAAGTGCGTACCTGCGGGAGGTGGTGACCCAGAAGGTGGCCTGCCTGGGCTTTAGCCTCGACAAGGACAAAAACAACAACGCAGCCGAAGGGGGCGATGTGGTCGATATTGGAACTAGCGAGACGGTGCGGACCCTTGTCTGCGAGACAGACGAAGACGTGAGTTTTCCAAATCCCATCCAAGTTGGGGCGATCTCGTGGACTGACAGTAATCAATCTAGTACGAGATGGCGTGGAATACTGCTATGCATCCGGAGCGAGGGTCCAACCCGGCCACGTGGTAGCAGCCTACACGGAGTTCCGAGTGTTCAAGGATTAGATCACCATAGACCAAGCTTCAGCATAGACCGGACATACCTGACCAACGAGATATAATTTTTCCGAGGCTTGAACTCTATCTGATCTCACTTGTTCGCACCGGCGCCGCGGCGAAACTCAACCTCGTTAGGCATCCTACCGCCCCCTGCGACTGATTTGTCATTCAGAACGTGGCCAATCTGGTATGCAGAGCGAGAGACCAGTTCTGGTACTTGCTAACAGCAGGTGACTAATCAGACTCGACACGCGGGATGTTCAGTGATTCACACGTCGAGAACACTTCACTGTGGCTGTTCCTCTTCCTGACCAGGGCAACGCACCGTCATTCAGGACTCGTCGAGCTGTGAGCATGGCGCTTGGTACCGCGGATTCCTTAACTGGCTGCACCAACAATTCCAAATATACGCCAAGGGGGTTTCGAGCAGCTCTGCTACTACCAAATCGAGTATCAGCTCTACGGATTTCTGACTTCCATTCAACGGGATGAGGAATGGGCCACTCGATTCACTTTCCACCTCGGCGGTTCTTCTTCACTTTTGCAGAAACTCCACGCCTCGGCCCGCTCTCAAGGCGTCGTGAGGACCTAAAAGTGAATAAATATTTATTTATAAAAGATTCGTGACATACCGGCCAGCTTTTTCAAGCCCACCTCAGCCAGCTATCTCAACCTTTACACTCTTCATTTCCTCGCCGCGTTTGACGTTATTGCTTTCCACGGTTCCAGCATCGCCGAGCTCTCAGCAATGTACTTCACAACACTCTTGTCAGTCACCTTACTGTTGGCGGCGACAGAGGCCACTGGTGTTGCAAGGAACCCGTACAACTGCATGAGCTTTGTGGTCCCCGTTCCTGTCGACAATGTGACGCTTGTTGTGCCACCATTCCCAGATTTCCCGGATCAATATGCCGCGACGGCTTTCGCCAACGAAGTCACCAAGCAGATCACTTTCCCGGGCCCTTCGCCTGATGCCAACCTGACCACCCTGACCACCACATTCGACATCAGCGCCGAGTATTGCACTCCGGCAACCGCAAACCCCAAGAGTCCGACGTTGCTAATCCTCACTCACGGTATCGGCTTCAACCGGTCCTACTGGGACTTCTATCTGCCGGGAACGCCTGATGATGCGCAGTACTCGTATATCAACCGTGTCACGGCCGCCGGGTACAGTACCCTCTCCTGGAATCGTCTAGGTATTGAACCATCAACGATTCCGGATCCTTACCGGGAGCTACAGAGCCTAGTTGAACTTGCGGTCTTGACGAGCCTTACCACCCTGGTACGAGCAGGCAAAATCGCACAGGTGCCCCAACCACAGAAGGTGGTACATGTTGGTCACAGCTGGGGAAGTATTCTGAGCAATGCGCTCGCCGCAGTTGCACCCGGTCTCAGCGACGGTCTGGTCTTGACCGGTTATTCCCATCTCGTGACTTACCAGAACCTGTTCATTGCCGATACGTCCTTCCACATTGCTTCGCAGAACCAGCCGGATCGGTTCCCCAACCAGACATACTCGACGGGCTTCTTGACTTGGCCCGACAAATATGCCAATCAATTCTCATTTCTCCTGTATCCCTACTTCGATCCTGTCGTCCTGGACCGTGCTGAGGAGACCAAATATCCTTTCACAGTGGGCGAGTTTCTCACCGCCGCCACCCTACCCTTGGAAGCTCCGCAATTCCAGGGTCCGGTGTTGTACCTCGCTGCTGAGGCCGACTTGATCTTCTGCGCTTCGAATTGCACGGCCTTCTTCGGCCCAGATAGTGCGGCAGTTGAAGCCTTTAATGGCAGCAAGAGTGTCGAGACGTACATTCAGCCACGGGTCGGGCATGGAATCAACTTGCACAAGAACGCCACGGGTGCGTACGATGTCGTTCTCGATTGGGCTTCCCGACATGGATTTTGAACTCCTGATTAAGTGAGGCTGGTAGCCGCTAAAGGCGGGTGCCGCCGATCTCGGCAATTGGATTAGTATGCAAGGCGGGAGACTTGATGCTCGACCGGCATGCATTTGGATGGGGGAGGGAGGAGGGACACTGGAATTGGTGGCAGATACTACTGCTAAACGGGTGGAATCTTGGATCTGGGATCTTGAATCCGGGATCTGAAGAACTAGGTATTCAGCGAGAATGTCTCGAGTCTAATTAATGCAGTAGTAATTCCCACGTCTTCATCTTCACCTTCACCTTCACCTTCACCTTTATCGTGCATGCTAATGATTGTACCTATTGAGATTTGGGTGATGTGAGTGATACGAGTGATCTGTAGGTCCAGGCATACAATACACACAGCATACTGTCAAACTTCTAGGTAGGCATTCCCAGCCTTGCCCTATAACCAGAAGGCTGGTTTAGGCATCCTATATACTATACTATACTATATAGCATGCGTTCCCACTGCGACCTTTTGATAGGGAACAGGGGACATGGAACATTTCAACCTTTGACATATACAGCACACAGCATACAGCATACGGCACACAGTACACAGTTGTTTGCCTCTACCCCTGGGTCTACATAGGTCGATTCTGTCCCATCCTAGACGAGAGTCTTCCATCCTGTGCCAGCCACATCCCATTCTTCCATCCCATCTCACGCATGATACCGCTCATGGACTCTAACAACATACTATCTCACGCATGATACCACACATAGACTCTAACGACATACTATCTCACGCATGATACCGCTCATGGACTCTAACGACATCCTATCTCACGCATGATACCGCTCATGGACTCTCACGACATACCACGCAAAGCCTCAACAACAGTAACGCTCGCATCGCCAAGTGTAAATGTAGGTTCCAAGTGGTAAGACACCATGTAGGACGTCCCGTCCTAACCTCAGAGTGTCGAGCTCACACGGGGCCGAAGTGCAGGCTGGCCGCGACTTTGCGTCAGGTTTGGGCGGGGATGCCTGGTTCTGGTGCAGGTTGTGGTTCTGGGGAAGCGTCACGCTTGGAGGAGCCTCCATCGTTCACGCCTGCCCAATATGACAGACCTGGGTCAGGTTCCGGGGAAGGGTCACGCTTCTTTGATGAGCCTCCATCATTGACACCTGCCCAGTACGACAAGCCTGGTTCGGGTTCGGGTGCAGGTTGAGGTTCCGGGGCCGCCTCGCGCTTCGAGGATCCTCCATCATTGACACCTGCCCAATATGACAGACCTGGGTCAGGTTCCGGGGAAGGGTCACGCTTCTTTGATGAGCCTCCATCATTGACACCTGCCCAGTACGACAAGCCTGGGTCTGGTTCTGGTGCAGCCTCACGCTTCTTTGAGGAGCCTCCGTCGTTGACACCTGCCCAATAGGACAAGTCTGGCTCGCGCTTATCCAGCATCTCGATGATGGGACTGAGCCAGCGGCGTGTTTTCATCTTGCTGCTGCCTCCATCGTTGACGCCTGCCCAGTAAGAAAGGCCTGGACGTGGGTCTGCATCACGCCTGAGCAGATGCAGAAATGCTAAAACAGTAAACCCAGCTTGTCAGCATGAATCCTGAATCACGGATGATACAACATAACGGGTCATGCCCCGTCACATCTAGATCCTGGTTCTGACTTCTCTGTGCTTACCTGGAAGGGGAAAGGCCATCGAGCTTTGCATCAAGGTTGCTGCCAGCACAAGCGTGACGGTGGTTGAGTAGACGTGCATTTTGGATAGTGCGGGTTTCCGTCTGTGGCCGAGTAATGGACCTTTTGTTTTTGTTTTGTTTTGTTTTTTGTTTTGGTGTTTGAAATGGCGAATGCCGAATCGTGTATCGTGTATTCAACAACAAGAAGCAGTGGGCAGTCTTGTCCAGCAAGTCTGAGTTGAGGAAGAGCGCAAAAAAGTATCAGTTGAGAGAGAGAAAATGCTCGAGTTGAGAAAATAGAGACAGCCGGTATAGTAGTGAGTGGGTGGTCAGGTTGTTTTATAGCTCTGGGATTGTGATGCCTCTCGAGTCTCCTGCTCGAGGCGTCGACTGTTCGTTGTCTGTGTTCCGGCCTCTGATTGCGCTGAAATCGCGAGTCCTGGCAGCGACGTGATGTGATATAATCTAGCCTCGACAACGGAGACCGCAAGAGACACTGATGGATGTACTGTAGACGCCCTGCCATCCTCGATCAGGGCATAGCACGCCGATGGCGCCGTGATGTGCCCTTTGCATCTCGATCACAGACTCCATTACAATCCAACAGTCCAACAATCAACCGAGAATTCCGCCACAAGAGGCTATTTGCCATGCAGCTTCGCGCGGAGAGAATGTAAGGTAGGGTCGAAGACAGCCCGACCGCCTGACCTGGTGAGAGAGCCTCCAAGGTCGATAGAATTGGCTCACAAGTAAGGTTTCGTGGCCCGACCTTCGGGTCTCAATGACATGCCGTCTGGATGGTAGCGATGTCAGCGCGGCTATTCGCCTTTTTCTGCACAATGGGCGAGTCTAGCAGCGTCTCATGGTCGGCAAGGTGGTCAAGCTCGCATTGCTTCGGACCCGCAGGGAGCGGCAGGGGGTGTCGAAATTCACACATCGCCATCGATAGGTCCGAAAGGATTGGACGGGAACAAAGTGCTTCGCGTTGGCCGCACCTATGGCCCCGTGGGGTGCAGGTTGGTCTAAGATGGGTGACACATTCTTCACAGGCCAACGCCAAAGATGAAGCTGACGGTGGGCGCTTAGATGGTGACCGGCCCCCAGAATCTGCAGGCTGCACAGGATACACAGAAAACGTGACCGCCTTCAGCTGACCTGACCAATGAGATTCCCTTGAGCCTAACAATGAAGAAATGCAGCCTGTTTGGAGCCTAGTACGGACCTACTAACCAGTATCAAAAGCATTGCACTCGGGAATTTCACAACATGGGTTCTGCAGGGTCTGCGAAGGTGTGAGACACTGGGGTTCGTGCGCTTCGACCACCGCCTGATTCGGTCAACCTGGATTGGTTAAATCTCAACCAGTCTCCGATCGTCCTGGGAAAGATCCTATTTGTAGAGCCCACCCATAGACTGGTCTCAGAGTACGCTGTCACTGTCTAGGGCCCTCGATACGGCGATTCAGAATGTCGTATGTGGTTTCACAAGCCGCTGACCGTCGATCAGCCCGATGGCTCTTGTAGAGCCTCTGTTGGAGCACCGACGGCGTTGCCACCACATCGACAAGGAAGGCAACTCCAGTGTACCACTTCACCCGTCTACCCACTGCCCACCTTGCAAGTCCTGTGATGGCTGAGGAACCCCATCCAGCTCGGCCTCCTCGTGTACCCTTGGCTTGTCTACAGATTGAGACAGAGTTCTCAATCAGGAGACCAGAAGTCACAGTCCTCCTCGTCAAGAAGAGCCCGCCACGAATGGCTGCGGCTCAAGATTCCCTCGTCGTCCCCGTCTTCAACGTATTCATCCTCATCCTGATACTGGTACATCAACCACCTCGCCTGCAGCAGAATCAACATCACTTCTTCCGAGACCCTCGCTAGACCCTCCGCATCGCGACGTTGACATGGCCATTGTTTCTCGCCGCCAAAGAGACATTAAGGCTCGCTGTTGCAATCGATCGTGCTGGGATTCAGTGATGGAGCTTCTCAGAAATTTCCATATCCTTGTCATTTGTCTGGTTGGGGTCATTTCTCCCCTCCTTTACCATACCTCCACTGTGGTAGTAGGGGTCGGACTGCCTGCTGAGTACTCATGGCTTTCATGGTTGCGAGATTCAAAAGCCGAGTCACAGATAGTGCCGCCATTGATGCATCAGATTTGCCGTGGTCCTTTTGACCTGTCCCGATCACTAACCCATCTCTTCGTATGGGAAACAGGGGTGCAATTGACCTGACCAGCACCATTTAAGATTTCCGGACAGAACGAGTCTGACTTGTAGTGCTTCGAGATGGCACAACCATATCGGGCACGGCAATACAAGAGATCCGCTCCATATCAAGACCTACTGGTCCATGAAACGACTCTCGTCACTCTGTCCTCTCCCGGTCGTTGGTTGGTCCACCAATTCCTGCCCAAATGATTACGGCAAAGCGTGAGGAATATAAGGACAGCATGGGCACCACATATGGTTCACTGAATGCAAGATACCATGCACACAGACGGGGCCACGGGATCCTGTCATGTCGCCAAAAGCGTCGAGCAATAGATCCACTGTCCGAGTGACCAAACTTTTCCGCTCCACGAAAAGTACTGGTGGTGGGCTAGGATAAGGAATCAGCGGTCCTGGGGGCGGCCGTAAGATTGGAGGCAGAGGTAGAGCTTGGTAAGTAGAGACCGGGTATTTTGATGCCGGAATGTGAACTAGCGCGGTGCTTGTCGACGCAGGGGCGGGTGTGGATGTAGGTGCGTGGCGGTTGAGGCTGGTTGAAGGAAATGATGATGCGTATCCCGTCTTCAATCCCCTTTTCTCATTCTCTGGGCTGTGGCCAGAGGGCCTGGATGGAACTGTTTCTTCGACCAGATTGACGGTAGAGGCCATCGACGAAATGCTTGGGGATTTGACCATGTGTCGATATCTTCCTCTCTCTTCCAAACCGCCGCCTCTGAGTCGGGGGCCGTCTACAGATGCTGTAGACGGTGTAGTCGTTCTAGGCTGCTGTCTAGTGCGAGTGGTTTCTTTACTGGACATGCCGGAAGACGTTACCGAAAACTGCTCCGGGTTGAGAAGTGATTGAATCTTCACGGCGTCCTCCTCGTCGATCACGATCTTGCCATCAGCTCTTCTCTCGAAACTGAATTTCACTTTGTCCTCCACCTGCGGTCGAGCCTCGGCCGTTGGCGCAGAGGACTTGCTCGAAAGCGTTGGGGTTGATGATTTGGTGCCTTGAACCCGGGTGCCCTTGCTGTTTTTGCTTGCCGGCGTTACATGCTTCAAGCCCACTGTAGGCGTCATATTCGGCAGCGTTCCATGCTTCTGAGAGTCCTTAGACGGTCTTTCTAGTCTGCTTGCAACAGCGGTGACCTGGGTTGGACCTAAGTGTGGAGCCTTGGGCTGGGTGATCCGGTCTATTCTCACCGGAGGCGGTCTGGCAGTGATCAGTGTCTTTTCATCGCAGGTGGATGGCAAGGTAAACACGGTCTCTAGAGAGGGCTTTGAGGTGACCCCGGTCTAATCAGTCGATATCAGCTGGGTACAAAGCTCTGCAGGAACCCGCCCTGGTACTTACCAATTTCGGCATCACCAGTCGGGCTGGTTCAGTATCATCCTTGGCTTGCAGTGGGTCACGATGACGCCCAGCTATGAAACGGAAGGGTCGCAGGAGTATTGAAGATGAAGATGACGAAGCTGTCGGATGCAATGCCACTGCTTTGGGCTTGCTACGCTCATATGCCCAGCTGCCCTCTCGGAGCCGGTCGTACGGTAGATCTTCCAGGGTCTGAGCAGTTTCCTCGCTGTTCTTTGTGGAAGAGTCTTTCGACCAGCGATGATCCTGCCGTTCAAGCTTTGCAATCAACCTGTAATGCATTGGCTACAGTATCCTGATAACGCGACGATGCTACTCACTGGTGATTCCGTCTGTCGCCCTGAAAGCCCAGAAGCGTCACTCGGTCCTCCTCGTCCATTATGACCATGTTTGCCATTTTTTCGATCCTGGTGCACCACAGAATCCAGTTGTCCTCAAATTGAATTCGGGCGTCTTCTGACCAACGAGCCTTCTTTGCTGCCTCCTTCGACAATTTACGCAAGGTGTTCAAGGCGGAAGTCGCTCTAGTGACAGTCTCTACTAGTTCTTCTTTGTCTTCCTTGGTACAGTCGGCACAGAACTCTGCGAGAGACTTGCAGAGTGCGCTTTCAAGGCCGTCATCTTTGAGGATGCCGATCCTCACTGCGATGACTGGGATCTCGCCGGCCGCTGGCAGGTCCTGGAGGGATTCTCGCACTCGATATAGGCCATGGAACAGCAAAGTAGTGGAATCGCTGAGCGAATCCATTTACGTAGACAGGTGCCTTCCTGGAACTCAAAAGTGAGCATAGACTGGAATGGGTGCAATGAAAGAAGGGCGTTGCGGCTGAGGCTGAACCTGCCACCCCTCGAATCTAGCCTAGCGCCAGTCCGCCAGTCGCAATCGCAGTTGCTCAAGGAGCTCGACAAGACAGCCGCAGCCGGGCATGTCTCACCGCCTGGCGTCGAAAAGGCTCTGGATGGACACTTGGTGGCTCCAGAACACTGAGGCTATCTGGTCTTCGCAGGCCTCAACTCCCGCGGGTGCCCTTCACTCGTCGTAGTAGCCTGAAGGCACAGGTTGACATGGCGGACCACCCCGGCGCAGGGGAGGGGCAGCTCCGACTTCTGAGCCTAGGTGAGTCGCCTGCCTCTTGCAAGGCCCCCTTGTCCGGTGCTGACTTCGACAATGTTCCCCAGATGGCGGCGGCGTGCGTGGCCTCTCCAGCCTCCTCATCCTGAGAAAGATCATGCGGGAGGTGGGCGCGCAAATGAACCCTCCCAGGGAACAGCTGAAGCCCTGCGAGTACTTCGACCTCATTGGCGGCACAAGCACCGGCGGGTAGGACATGATTAGATACAGAATTGCCCGGACTGCGGGCTGACCAAATGCCGCAGAATCATAGCGATCATGCTTGGTCGGCTGCGCATGTCGGTCGACGAATGCCTCCACGAATACGAAAGGCTGAGCGAGGCGGTCTTTGGCAAGCGGAAAAAAGGCAGGGCTGAACTATACAGTGCGACAGCTCTGGAGGAGGTGATACAATCGGTCATCAGGAGAAAACTGGGCCAACACGCCGTGCACGACCCGCTTCAGGATCCTTTCCAGTTGCGGAGTGAAAAGGGCAAAGTGTGAGTTAGCCGGAACGACTAAACCATGCAGGGTACTGTACAGAGTACATACCAGCAGCTAAACGGTGTTTCTCTCCAGCATTGTCTTCTCCATTCACCGCGCACACGCAAATACCGTCCAAGCCCAAGGCTTCCGCAGCTATCCGGTCAGCTTTGGCAATACTGACCCCTGTACCATCTGGGAGGCGGCCCGGGCCACCTCGGCCGCTTCCACTTTCTTCAAGGCCATCGACATCGCTGGCGTCCACTGGTGTGATGCAGCCTTGGGTTTCAACAATCCCACCAAGCTGGTCCTGGCCGAAGCGTTTCGTTTGTGGGGAGATCATCGTAGACACTTTGACGAGAACAGGATCGGCGTCCTCCTGAGCATCGGCACCGGTGAATCGAAAATCGTCTCTCTGGGCAATAAACATGGCTCGCTGTTAGCCGAGAGTGCTCACGACTTGGCCAGACGACTGGGCATCGATCTCAGAGTGCTGGATGCTCTCAAGGCGATCACCACCCGGACAAACCAGACGGCACTCGAGGTAAAAGATGATATGAGGCAAAGGAAAACCCGTAACCACTGGGGCGGTGACCGCTACTTCCGCTTCAACGTCGATCGAGGTCTGGACGAAGTGGCGCTGTTCCAGTATGAAAAGATCGAGGAGATGAAGGCAAACACCAGTGAGTACTTCTTGACCCATGACGAGGAATTCAACAATTGCACCACATATCTGGCCCGGCTTGAGGACGCACCAAGACCACCGGAGCTAGGACTACAGCTTTTCCATCCACCAGACACATCAAGAGGCTCGGCCAACGTGCTTGCTCTGGAGGAGTTTGGCCTGTAGGTCATGGCTCGGTCGAGACACCCTGCGTCTGGATGGTGGTAACGCGTGTTTAGGACCCCTGACATATATGCGGAAAACGAGACAAGCCTACGCAGAAAGAGAGAACTAGAAGGTCTGTCACCTACGTGAACTCAACTCGCTGTCAGCGGCGTCTTCTCCGGCTCAACTGACATCCAGTCGGTATATAGGCACCATCCGAGAGGGGTCCGCATGGCCAACATTAGTTATTGCCGACATATTCCACAAGGAAAGTCTTGAGGTATGGGCTTCAGCAGAGGCAGCTTACAATCGAGATCAGGGGAAGATGCACTATCCCACTCTCGTCCACCGACTGGTCCAACAGAGACTCAAGAGTTTCGAGTACCTGGTGCGTGCCAAACAATTCTATGAACTGGTGTTGGCCAGACAAGCAGCGACGTTGGGCCCCGGGAGCCTGGACCAGGCATGGACGGCCCATCGACTTGGACGAGTCTATCGCGAGCTGGGCCGGCCGGAGACTGCGTGGAAATATCATAAGGATGCCCTTGCCGGCTTCAGGCAGCACCTCGGAGCCGCCCACCACAAGACGGAGACCTGCACCTTCGCGGTCACGCAACTGGAACAGCTCTTGTGTGAAGAGCCGGGCGTGGTGTCGCCACCGTCGCCAGAAGGACTGACGGGGCGCCTCAGACGTCTCTGGACCGTGTGACCGAGGAGGAAGAGAAGAGGGTGCTTCGGTCAACGAATGCAGACCGAACAATGTCATGTTATGTATTCACAGCGCTGATGCACTGCGGGGGTGTGTCGCTGTCAACCACCCCATGTGTCTATGACAGCTCGGAAGGGCTCCAACCTATGCTAAGAAACAGGGTTGTGTTGGTTCAACTGGAAGGGTATTTGATCTGGACTTAGTAGATGCAATACCAACCGCCGTCAAAGTAGCCTGTTTCCTTGCTACAGATCTGCACTTGTCTGACCCATCATTTATTTACATGCACCTAAATTTATACTTGCTATGCCAGGGCATACTTGATTACTCTGCTAGAAGGCCATAGATCTGACTTGCTTTCTCCAAGTCGTCACATTCATCGCCCGACAACCACCCTTGACTGCCCCAGGCTGGTTTGTAGGTATAGACTCTCACCCCCCAGCACCCAGCCTTGACTGCCCCAGACTGGTTTGTGGGTCCATACATGGACTCTAAGATGGCGGGCTGGTGCGGCTGAGGCCAAGGCAAGCAGCCATGCCGAAGAAGATGTCGACGTTGCCGAAGACGCCGCCGAAGGACTCCTGGCACGGACCTTGCGAGAAAACTGGCACGTCTGTGAGCGAGTGCACGCCTTGATCGGCCTAAATCAGACGAGCGAACTCGGTTAGCAAGCGCTTCCTTCCGGACGAAGAGCAACGTGAGGAAGAGCAACGTGAGCAAGAGCAACGTGAGCAAGAGCAACGTGAGCAAGAGTAAAGCAACGTGAGGAAGAGTAAACTTACAGACACGGGCAAGGTTCCATTGATGACGAAGCCAGTGACAGCGTCGACGTAGTTGACATAGTAGTCGGTGCTGGAGAAGCCCGTGACATTCAACGCCGGCAGACGAGGGCCGTTTTTGTGAACCTGGTAGTTCTCGCGGTGGTCTGGGTTGGCGGTGAGGCCCGAAAACAGGGTATAGCGCGGATCCCAGTTGGCCGGGAAGTGGACGCCCTGGCTGTAGACGAGGTTCTGGTCGCTCCCGAGCGGCGCGGAGCGGTTGGCCACCACGTACTGAGACAGGCCGGACTCCTGGTACGTGCCGATGGCGCCGCGCTTCTCACGAGCAGTGTCCTGGGCATTGAGGAAGCGGGTGTCGACGCTGCCCATGACGTCGAAGCCGTGGCCGTGGTCGGCGGTGATGAGGACCAGGGTGTCGTTCAGCTCGCCGATCGCCTCGAGGTACTGGAGCGTGGCTTTGATGGTGTCGTCGAGCTCGAGCAGCTCGCCCAGGGCTCGGTCGTAGTCCAGAGTGTGCATTTGCTTGTCGATGCTCGCCGCCTCGGACATGAGGAAGAAGCCGTCCTTCGGATGGCGCGTGTGCAGGATCTCCAGGGCCTTGAGCGTCATTTCCTTGAGACCCGGCTGGTCGGTGGCGCTGGAGTTGGAGCCGTCGGGCGCGGTCTTGGGCTTGTTCAGGTTCTTCTTGTACACGTTGCGGTCGAGCCAGGTGGCCATGTTGCTCACGGAGAAGATGCCCAGGGCCTTGGACGAGTTGGAAGCGGCCTGGAGGGCCGTGTTGTTCAACACAACAGCATAGTCCTTCTTGGCGAATTCCGCATAGTAGTCCTTGCCTTGGAACGAGCCTTTGCCGGGGTAGAATTGCTCCGCACCACCGCCGAAGAGGACATCCGGGCCGGTCCAGTTGGTCCATGTGTAGTTGGTGATGCCGTTGAGGAACGAGTCGATGACCGCTCCGTATTGGCCCCTGTCGCGTGTATGTGCGGTCAAGGCCGCGGGAGTGGCGTCGGCAATGAAGGCGGTCGAGACGATGCCAATGCCACCGTTGTAGAGCCGGTGGAAAATCTCGGCAATCGTCTCGATCTTGGGGTCGTCGAATGGCGTCTTGGAGCTGTCAGCATAGACGCCCAGCGCGTTGACGGTCGACTTGTGACCGCTGTAGAGAGCCGTGGCAGAGTTGGCGCTGTCGGTAATGAACGAATCCAGAGAATGCGTCATCTGGTGGCCCAGCACTGGGAACGAGTCCATCGCCAGCTTGGTTTGATACTTGCCATTGACGGACTGGTGAGCAAGCAGTCGGCCCGCTTTGATCGGTATTAGCATAGGCTCACGGCTCCAGTTCAGGACGAGCAGGCTTACCAGTGATCATATTGGTCGTCATGCCATCTCCAATGAACATGACCACATTCTTGGCCTTTCTGGCGGGTGTGATGTCTCGCACTGTCCAGTTGGCATAGGTGGTGGAGCTATCTCGATATTTCAATGTGGCAATGTACTGGCCGGGTTCATAGAGCGCAACCCGCCTGTAAGCCTTTGCGGCAACCTTGACTTGCGACGGCGTGTGCGCTGCTTTGGCGAACAAGTCTTCGTACCAGGTGAAGTTCCAGGTCTCGAGTGTCGGCTCAGGAATATTGAAGAAGGCTGCAGCTGGCTTTGCGGCCTGGCCCTCCTTCTCAATGGTCAGAGTGAAGTTCGTGTCGGGAGTCGTGTAGCCTGGGATGACTTCACTGCCGTTCAGCGGCGCGTGCACTTCAACACGGATGTCAAAGTACTGGCCAGGCAGGAAGTCCACTTGATCAGGGGGCAGGATACAGCCCAACGTCGGGCAGCCCCCCAGACGTTGGTAAGTCTGGGCAGCACATTGAGCGCAGAAGGCAGCAATGGCCAGGGTAGCCTTCAGACCAGGATGGGTTCTCATGTTGGCGTTTGGCTCTGATGAGGACTATCTTGACCCAGACTTGAAAGATTTCGCATTTCTGACCCGACAGTGCAAGCTTGCCGGTTTTGTAGCTCGCCGCGCTTCGTGCATATTTGTATTGCATCGGGTCTCCAGTGGAGAGCTCCGGGAACCGGCATTATGCACCGCGCGTGGTGGATGAAGTTCTGCGAGAAATGTGTGAAAAGACTCGGCCATGGCTGATTGCGCGACGGTCATCCATACGAGGTATCTCCAGTAAGGTGCAAATCCAAGCTCATCTGCTCCGGGCTCCGCGAGTCCAGCAGCGGCCGGCGGAGTGATGCCAAGATGCAGGGAGACGGAAACCCTTGGCAAGTCTGGGCGGACGGACATGGAACGCGCATGTCCAACCAAATAGCCACGTTCCAGCAGAAGAAGCGGCGCGGGCGGTGCCTCGAGAGCTTCGCTGTGCAACTGGGCTGTGACACCCATGTTGCAGGGCCGGGATGCTCTCAGCATACTATACAGATCAGTATATGCGTGCTGTAACACTTGTCGGTCATTGGCGGCCGGCTTGAGAGGCGTAGCATGGCAGTGAGAGCGGCACCGTGGTATGGAGTAGCCGATGAAAAGCTATCGAAGGCCAAGAGATAGGAAGGAGTTGAGGAGGGCCGGTTTGGAGCACACAGAGAGTCGACCTGAGGCTTGAGTTTTCTCGTAAGTCGCGCTGTCAGTACGACGACCAGTCCTAGGGCCAGTAAGGGAACAAGCACCATCATACTGCCGGCATCGGAGCGAGAATCGTGCGTCTATGTTCTTCCCGTGCCGTTACAGGACCTCGTGCCTGCTCTGCAGCATGCGTAATCCGTTGGCTAGCATGCTCTCGTTCGATGTCGAGGGCATCGGCGTACCTGACAACCATGTACAGGTCCACGTGGTGGCCGAGAAGCGGAGGAGCTTGCTATACTCTCGCCGATTTTCTTGTCTCTCACCTTGGAAAACAGGACAAGCTCTGGAAGGCTGCCTGTTACAGCTCTCGACGCAATGTGCGATAGCTTTTTTTTCCTTCTTTGTAAACGCGCCCGACTCTTAGCAATTGTGATCCCCTGCTACTTGAATTCTGAGCGTTTAGCTGCCGGAATACACACGTTCGTGATGACCATGACAAAGACACATGTGATCAACAGAATCGCAAGGACTTTGCTTCCAGCGTCCTTCTCGGATACATGACATGTTCGTCGGGATTTGCATTCAAACGCTCAAGGTCTCATCAATGCAGGCGCAGAGGTATGGCAGGTTTGACAGGCAGTCGAAGCTGGGAACAACGTTGCTGTCAGCTACGAAGGCTGGATGGAATTCCTTTCGCAGTCTGTCCAGGATCCAGTGGTGACATGGACTGGAGAGAAGGTATCTGCAATTGGCCTCTTGTGGTCTTCTTTCTCTATACCATACATCTTTCAGGGAATTGGCCCCGTGACCATTGGTGGTATCTACAGCTTCGGGGGCGGCAATAGAGACATGATTAGGAGCAATCAATAACTTTTAGTAGGAAAGTAAAGAATTAGGTACAGTTATAGGCGGGGTTATAAGGTGTTTATTGAAATATACCTAGTTTAGCGTGGATGCGAAATACTCACAGCCTACTAGGTACGTAAGTGGCACCTAAGCTCCGGACATGGCATTTGGCTGCAGCGGTAAGAACTCAACCGCTAGAGAGGCCTAAGCCCTCTACGGCAGGTGAGCCTCGTACATAACCCTAAGAGCCTAAGCCCCTAAGAGCCCCTAAGCTGCAGGTACCATCTAGGTGCCACCCTAAGCTTTAAGCTCCTAAGCCCATCTAGCTAGCGTAAGCTGGGGTCGACCGCGCCACAGCGTTCAAAAGGTGGATGGGAAGTGGCACCTCGATGAAATCCGTGATCCATGCGTGAGCAGCATGCGTCATTTCTTTCTCTTTTTCTCTTTATACCCTCAGAGGCGGCAGATTCTGAGCCAGCTCGCTGCTTGATGCCGTTTCCCTTTGAGTTGGTAGCCCACAATCGCCAGACATGCCACGAGATGGTTCTCTTCACCTCTCGAGTATGGGTTCACGCCCACACCCGCACTCGCATCCTCTTGAACCGCAAAGCTCGACCGCCACCCCACGAGAAGCAACTTACTCCCTGGCGGGCCCGAGGCCGGTGACTCTGGATATACTGCACACCAGGAGTCGAAACCAAGGCACATCCACGGTAGATCTACCGGGGACCAGAAGCCGGGACCAGGGCACTTTCGTAAGTCAGGAATATCAAGACTACAATCCAAGTTACGACGAACCCTCCAACCGGCCAATATGGGGACTGGCCGCCCCTCTACCACGAGTAATGCGCCCAGGTATGCAGCCTCGCCATACGACCCAGCAAAGCAAAGGGCATCCAGGACGACCAAGTCTGGGTCATCCACATACTCCTACAACGGTGCAACCTTCTGCGCCCGAAGGCACCGAAGCTGTCCCACAAATCGAGGTCACCCCATCAAGAAATGAGCATGAGCATGAACAGTGGCAGATGCTGCCACGGCCGAGTAGCCACACTCGGAGGCATTCTCCTGACCAAGACCTTCTTAGACGGGCCACGACCGCACATGCGTCCACATATCATCCCGAGGGCATACAAGGACATACATCAATCCGACCCGAAGACGTTCTCATCGCAAGGCCTTATCGGGAAGGCCGTCCTCTCGGAGCCGAGCATATCAGTGCTCGCGATCAGGGCATGGTACACACCACCGCAAGGTACGAGGATGATGACACGGCCCTCAAGAGGCAGGCAACAGGGTCGACAGTGCAGGATTTCGCTGTAGAACACGGAAAGGACATAGCCGGTGGCCACGAACTTAACCATGTTACCAGTGAAGCTGAGATCGAGTCTGCCCGAAGACATATGCAAAGTCTTGCAGACACCGCGGAGAATGTGAGCGATTTGCAACACCACGCTCCAAACATTGACTGGGAGGAATATCAGAAATCGGATCTCCAGCCCCAGCATTCCCAAACTGAAGAGCCCATCGACCCAGACTACTTCAATTGGTGGGGGCCAGTCCGACAGAAATTCCGGCAGCCACTGGCAGAGTATTTGGGAACGTTGGTGTTCATGACCATTGGCCTCTGTGGAAGTGTCGTACGTACGACCGCAGAAGATGACTTCGGAAACCTCCTCAGTGCATACTTTGCATGGGGGCTTGGTGTCATGATGGGAATATACATTGCCGGCGGCATCTCCGGCGGCCATCTCAATCCAGCCCTGTCCATCCTCCTCTCCATATTCCGCGGCTTTCCTTGGTCGCTTTGCTGGCAGTATGTTGTTGCGCAAATGTTGGGGGCAATCACTGCTTCAGGGGTTGTGTACGGCTTATACAAAGACGCCATCCAGCAGTATGCAGCTGCGGATCTGGGACGTGCTGGACCAGCCTTCTGGACCGCGCCACGCCAGGGGTTGAGCAACTCGGCTGCCTTTTTCACCGAATTTGTGGCCACGGGTATTCTGGTAGGCTCTATTCTTGCCTTGGGAGACGACAGTAATGCACCACCAGGGGCTGGGATGCACGCATTCATTATTGGACTCCTCATCACTGCCCTGTGCATCGCGTTCTCCTACAATACCGGAACCTGTCTCAACCCCGCCCGGGACTTTGGTCCTAGGCTGATCACCTGGGCTGCAGGCTTTGGGACCGAAGTTTTCACCTTGCACAGTTGGTGGTGGATCTGGGGGCCGTGGGTGGGGACTTTGAGCGGAGGCATCATGGGCGCTCTTTTCTACGACGCTTTTATATTCAACGGGGGAGAGAGTCCTTTAAATTATCCCACCGGCCGACTGAGAGGACATTTGCATTTGTGGAGAGAGGCAAGAGGGAAGTCGAGGACTGGAAGAGGGCGGGATACGAGCAGGATTGTCAACAAGCACATCGAAACAATCGCATGATCCTTGTCCAGGATTTGATCTTCCAGACGTATGAAGTCATCTTCACCACGGTTATGCATTGCCAGCCCACGGCTCGGGCGGACTATCATAGGACCTTCAACGACTTTCGACGAATTTGTCGGCCCTGGTGGCCTCCAAGCTCTAAATCGTGCGACGAGAGAGAGTGTCTTTTGGACCATATCTGGGTTCTCTCGTGGCATGGCTTGAATGGCTAGACTGTCATGCGAATGCGACCATTACCATGGCAGCAACAGGGATGATCCGACATCTTTGCCAAATGAATGAACCTTTGGAGGCACTCGGGCAACTTTATGTACCAGGATGCTCTATGTACAGCAAAGCGTGCGTGCGTGCAGGTCGGTCTGAACGGGTGTTGTCTGAGTGCTCAGCTTCCACCAATCGGCTGCCGCCACATCTTTCCAGCATATTTCAGGGCGAAGTATCTAGCATCTCTATTGGTGCCTAGGATGCAGACAATCGAACAAAAGACAGTGGGGTGAAGCACGCTGCAGATGTCTGCTTGGCGCACCAGTCATCTCTTGCTCTGGACGGGTTGGACAGAGCTCATCCATACTCGAGAGCGCACATGCGACCGAGACAAGACGACCGAGCCGTCTGGGACTTTCAGCCTCACTTAGAGGAGGCCAACACCACGGCCATGTACTTCAGACGGGACCTCCGACTCTTATTCACACGTCTTGCAACTGCCCTTCAGCAAGACGGACTGGCTGACTCAATCTCAGTCGGTGCTCGGACACTGGATTGATTGCATGATGGCTTCGCAGTCAACCGTATCTACCACTCAATCTGTCACTAGCAACAGCAGGGTCATGTCCCCAGTCTCGAGCGCCACAACAATTAAGCAGCAGTACGAGCATACGCAGGTTCAATTTTCCATGCAAACTCTTGTGCAACGCATTAACGATCTCACCGCATATCTGGGTGCACATGCGGATGGCGTGGAAACAGTCATTCAGGATCACGACAAGCTTGTTCGGAAAAACGAGCGCAGGAAACAGCTGATGAAGGAGAAAGATAACAAGATCCAAGCGCTCCAGGAAACGGTCACTTCAAACCTGACTAGTTATGAAAGAAGACATGCATCATTCTTGCACGAAAAGGCGGATTTGACGGCACGCCATTCCCTTGAGACGGCCAAGCTACAAGCTGAATTGGCCGAGTGGAAACGGAAATCAGCTCAGCTTACACAAGAAGTGGACAAGGCAAAGAACGACGCTGAGCTTGCGAAAACGCAGCTCGACGTCGCCGTTCAAACTTTAGCACAATGGGAGCAGTACACGTCCCATATGCAGCCGCTGGACCGGGATAAGATGTGAGTGCAAGCTTGACTCCTGTGCATTTACTATGTTAGAAGATTCGACAGCCCTTGCTCATTTGAGCTGACTTGCTCACTACTAGGGTATCGAGGATCGATGAATTTTTCGACATTTTCAACAAGACCATCCAAGCATGTTTTATTCCCGATCTTTCTGCCGACATCCTTGTCGTATGTATTCTCTTTTTTTCCTTTCAGGTGCTAGTCCGATACCGGCACCACCCCCCTTGCTACTGTCCTCCTGCTAAACGCAGGGCTGGGTGGTAGAAACGCGATGTGTGGAGTAACGGCCTCAAGCAACTCGGGATACAGATCTGCGACATGCCGTTCGAGATCCCGCCTCTGAACACGAAACTGGCTAAATTACTCCGTGTGGCTGCAGCGATGCACGTCATCTCGTCGGAGCTGACGACGCACGTCTTCCAGCCGTGCTACATACCGGGGTCAACAGACCAGAGCGCGACTTTGCAACAGATGATGAGAAGCCGATTCGAAGCCGGCTCCAAGCAGAGACAACTGATGCGCGCGTTCTGGCTAGGAAGCAACAGCAAGACTCAAGAAGAGCTAGGCCGAGTGATGCACGAGCGGAGCTTGACTGCTCGAGACATGGTGGTCAGAAAACTCTCCTTCATGTGTAATGACGGTGACGGCGACGGCGACGGCAGCAGTGGCAGTGGCAGTGGCAGCAGCACAGGTCTCGCAAGTAGGCTCGAGGAGATGTTCACCGAGGCCGCCAAGCTGTGGACGAGCATGCAGTATAGCAGTGGTGACGATGAAGTGCAAGCCGTCGTGTGTGGCAACGACTCGGAGCCGTCGGGTTGGAAATGGGAGTATTTGGACTACTTTGGCCAGCCTCTGGACCTGCCGAACAGGAAGCTATTGCTGTTTCCGGGCTTCAACCTCGTTGATTCCGGGGCCGCCTTGTACGCCGGCAATGCCCTGTTCACCGACCAGAAGTGTGTGGTCGATGCGGAATCCGAGTACCGCCGCAACGCGCCGACGCCGAGAGCAGAGCGATCGAACCGCACCGGCAGTTCGAGCGGGTTGTCTCCCACCATAAGACGCCTGTCACTGTCTTTTGGGAGTCCGTCGACTTCGACTTCGACTTCGAGCCCCCAGGAGTTGAAGTCCAAATCCTCCGAGGTGAACGACGCCATCGTCAGGACCAAGTAGAGATCACTGATGGTTATTGGTATAGTTGGATTGAGACCGAGACCATAGGAGGATCCCAGAGAGCCGAGAACGCCGATGTTTTCTAGAACCTTGTGTCGAGGTACCTAGGCAGTGTACATATATACCATACATACCACTGGCCATTGGGCCTGTGATTGAAGTGGATTCTTCGTCTATCTGCCTACTTTAGTAGGTACCGATAGAATGTGTAACTGTACAGTCCAGTATAGTACAGTACAGTATCGATCCGGACGGACGACTGGCTCTCTTCACAGCCTGAGCCTGCCCTGCCAGACATGTATAATGAACAGATATGGATATTCTGATCATGTACATATGTCATATACTGTATATATACATATATATATATATCTCTCTACAAACTCTACTTCTGCGCAGTCTTGAGGCCGTTTCTTTTCCGTCGTCCCCCCTTTTCCGCTTTTCGTATGTCGTAATCAATATCCGTACACTTAACACACCTCACATCTCACACCTCACACCTCAACCTCACACCTCACCTCACACCCGTCCTGGCACTGGCACGGCACAGGGACTGCCCCTTCTCCTTCCCCTTCCCCTCTTTGCCTAACCTTGATACCCTCCAACTCTAACCTAAACCAACGGTCACGGCAGCCTCTCTATCGTCGGTTAAAGTTGAGATATCTGGATCCCAAAAACAACAAGATCAGATTACTCCCGATGAAGGCGGCAAAGATGCCCAGGTCACGCCAGCGGTGGTCGAAGCTAATCTCGAGAGTGTCGTAGAACTGATCACCTACCCGGTAGGCACAGTACTGACAGAAGTCGGTGGCGTTGCTGACCAAATATCCCGCGCCGCCGCGCTGGAAGAAGTCCGACATGTACTCGCCACACTCCTGACCGGGCGGGGCCGGGAACGAGTTGAGTTCACGCGGCCGGCAGTTCACCGGTAGGCCGTGCAGTTCGGTGGTGACCATGCCCGAGATGAGACGGGTGAAGGGGTTGAGCTCGTACAGCCACGCCCGCCAGAAGCCGGGCATCTGCGGTTTCGAGATGGTGACGCCGCAAAACAGGCCCATGATGGTGACCAGGAACGGGTTGAGCAGGCTGGAGATGAAACTGGACGGCGTGAGCGCGGCCACCATCTGGCCGAGGGTCACGGAAAAGAGCTCGGTGATCAGGATCATGAAGAACTGGTAGCCGGCGCGGGATGAGGCGCTGTTGAAGCCGGGCATGTAGTACAAGGGGAGGAACATGCCGACCGCACACAGGATACTGTACGGCATCTCGGCGCACACCATGGCAAAGGCGAAGGGGAACTGGCGGTACGCTTTGGCCGCCGATTCGCGGTAGAAGATCAGCCGCGACAGGTCGTACATGGGTTCGACCTGGGCCAGAATCAGGGCCGGCACCACGGTGACCTGGAAGATGACAAAGATGCGGTACTGCAAGCTCGACCGGCTGTCGTCGAGCTGGAGGAAGGCAAGCCCGGACAAGATGGCGACGACGACGTGGTTGAAGAACCGGGTGAAACCGTAGTTCGGGGACCGCCAGAAGGCGAGGTGCGTGCGCCACGACACCACCTTGATCTGATGCCACAGGGGCGACACGTACTCTCGCTCGTCGTGCGCCGGCTCGTGAGAGATCTCGCGCTGGCGTTGGGCCTTCATCTCGATGATTTCCGCCTGGACCGCGGCCAGTTCGTCGCTGTCGCGCCAGATCTCGGCCCAGTCGCGGTCGCCGATGCGAGGGGCGATGCCGGCCCCGATGGCGTCGAGCATCCATTCCGCCGGGTTGGCGTCCGCCGGACATTCGGCGCCATGTTTGTTGAAGTAGCCGAGCAAGACCGACGCGTCTCTGCCAATGTCGCCGAAATAGACCGTCTCGCCGCCCCGCTGCAACAAGAGCAGGCGATCGAAGTTCTCGAACAGGGCGCTGTTGGGTTGATGGATGGTGCAAAGAATCGCCTGCCCGGCTGCCGCCAGTTTGCGGAGGAACCGCACAATGTTGAAGGCCGACTGCGAGTCGAGACCGGACGTGGGCTCGTCCAGAAACAGTAGAAGCTCTGGTTTGGCCGCCAATTCCACCCCGATGGTCACTCTCTTTCGCTCCTCGACGGAAAGACCGGTCTCGGGAGTGCCGATGATGGCGTCGGCCAGAAACTCCAGCTCCAGCAAGCACAAGATCTCCTCGACGTAAGCATACTTTTGCTCCCGCGGCACCTCGTACGGTTGACGGAGGTCCGCGCTGAACCGGAGGGCCTCTCTGACCGTCTGGGTCGATTCGTGCACGTCCAGCTGTTCGGCGTACGAAGTGCCGCGCTGGAAGCCACGCCCCGGCTTCAGGCCGTCCACCAAGATATCGCCACCCACCACCCCGATGTTCTTGCGTGCGGCCAAGACGTCGAGAAGAGTGGTCTTGCCGGCACCGCTGGCGCCCATCAGGGCCGTCAGCTGTCCCGGCTTGACGTAGCCAAAGACGTCTTTGAGCAGTCGGAGTTGGCCCGCAGGCGTCGGCACGTCGTAGGTGAGATTCTCCCAGGTCAAGATGGCTTTGGAGGCGATGTTGAGCTCGGAGCTGTCTTGAGCATCTTGCTTCGTCTGTCTCCGCTGTCGACGCTCCTGCAGCTTTGCGTTCAGGGCCTGCCGCTCTTTGTTCTCCTTGGCGAAGTAAGTCACCGTGCGACCGGCCGCTCCATACTTGACCATCTCCCCCATGATGACGTTGGCCGCGAGGAAGAAGGCAATCAGCACGAGGATCAGCCCGAAGTTGCGCCACAGGTCCGCGGGGTCATACGAGAAGCCCAGCTTGACGTAGGCCGTTCCCGACACGTCGTTCGAGCCGGCTTCCGATCCGGGCAGAGTGCATACCTGGTGGTCAATGCTGTTGTAGCCCGGCCCCGAAGGGACGAGAGACTCGGCGGTACAGCGCATGGTCAACCTCTCGAACTCGTTCATCATCATGGCCGCGAAGCCCAGCCCCAGCGCGTTAATGTAGAATATCCATCGCAGCCATACTTGCTGGCTCTGGTACTGGATCAGATATCCCGACGTGATGACGAACAGAGTAATAATGACGGCGGCGAACTTGATCGCATAGTCAAAGTCGGGGCACACACAGCCGACCGTGCGGAAGAACAAGGTCATGGACAGGTAGCCGGTGATTATGATGAGCACAAAGGTGAAGAACGCCCCGGGGGTGCGGACCAGTCCCGTCATGAAATACACAATGACGCTGAAGACGAAGATCTGAGCCGACGCGAAGGCAGTGTCGACCACGATCTGCGCCAGCCACAAGGAACCCGGCCGGTGGAAGGTGTACGCCCGATGTTTGTTGACGATGGGACGGCCCATCATGGTGGATGCAAGCTCGGAGAAAGCCTGGAAGGCGTTGAAGAGCAGAGACATGAACAGCACGCCGCCACGGGTAAAGGCGCCGGATGTCGTCTGGGGTTGTTTCAGCCAGACTGTCCCCAGAACGATGGCAATCACGATCGACGTGATCCAGGATACGACGAGCGAGAACTTGTCTTGCCACTTGATCAGATATTGCCGTTTAATCAGGGCCCAGACCTGCAGATGGAACGGCACCGAGTAGACCGAATGCTTGGGGGTGTGCTTCCGTTTGGCTTGCTGGTGGGCCGCCACAAAGTCATCATGGAGCTGCTTTTCTTCTTGCATGGACTGGCGGTAGCTGTTCATCTCGTCCACCAGCCGCTGGGCATGGACCGACTTGTTGAAGGCCTCGACAAATGCATCCGGGGTCGACGGCGTGTTCTCTGGCCCCCTGCCGGGTTGGTACTCTCGCTCGAACTCGTCGGTGCATCCGGTCAGGTAGTCCGGCGTGGTCTGGCGAGGCTTTTCCAAGAAGCCCAGTCCTTCAAAGTACGCTCTGGCCTCTTGGGTCGGGCCAAAGAAGACCTGCCGGCCGTGGTCGATGACCAACACCTTATCGAACTGCTTGTAGATGTTCTCGGATGCCTGGTACAAGGACACGAACGTGGTGGTCTTGTAGATGTTGGTCATGATTCGCAGCGATTTGGCGTAGTCCAGCGCGGTCGAGGCGTCCAGGCCTCGCGTGCTGTTATCCCACGCACACACCGTAGCTCCGGTCACCATCATCTCCGCGATCGAGACCCGTTTGCGCTCGCCGCCGGACACCCCTCGGATGAACGGGTTCCCCACGATGGTGTTCTTGGTGTGTTCGATGTTGAACATTTTCAGCAACAGTTGAATCACCCGCTCTTTAAACTCGGCCTTGCTCAACCCTGCCGGCCGTTTGCCGGGCGTCTTCGTGTCCAATGCAAACCCGAGCGTCTGGCCGACGGTGAGAGTGGGGTGGTGCACGTCGTCTTCTTGGTTGTACACCGCCTCACCGCGATAACGCTTCGCAAAGGTGGCCGCGTCAAAGGGGCCGTAGAGAACCTCGCCGTCGATGCCGGTGTAGCCGTAGCGTTGATTCGCCATCACTTTGAGAAACGTCGTGCAGCCGCTGCCCGGCCGACCCAGAACCAGCACCATTTCCCCGGGCTTCGCAACTCCGCGGAAGTTCTGCAGAATCTTAAACTCGGTTCCCTTTTTCCTCAGCCCAAACATGCTCATGATCGTCCCAGGCACGTTGAGAAAGTCAACAAAAGCATCGGGGAAGACCTTGACAAAGTTTTTGACGCCCCCGATCCCCCGAACCGTGAGGTTTTCCCAGATGACGCCAATGTACTTGGACTTGATCCCGGCAGCATCATCTGCCTCCCTGTTCCCGTGCAAAGTCGCTTCCAGATCAAAGGTGTCGTCGAAGGTATCGTCTGACGCACTGACCGCTTTCTCTATATCTCTGGCTTTGGCGGTGGAGGCTCGAGAGTGTGTCTTTGAAATGCGCCGGCTGATGGAACTCAGTTCTCTGCTTAGTTCTGCAAAGTCCTTCTCTGCTCGTTCGACATTGACGCCGGACGCTGGCTGGCTCAGGCCGTACGAGTCCGTCGAAGTGTGAAGTATCGCAGGGTGCTTTTCGTGCTGGGGGGCTTCCATCGCCGACACGGTGGTGTGGTCTGCCTTTCCCGCTGGAGGCTGGCTCCCCCCTGTGGCATGTTGGTCTACGGTAGAACCATGTTGTTGGGTGGTGACTCTAGAATTCAAACCCAGGTCCTTGGAGATGGCGTCGGCCATTGTCTGCAAACTGAACCCCCAATCTTTTCGGGCAGACTCCACAATACACGGTCCCGTAACCCTTACCCCAGGAACTCGACACTTCCTCGACACACTGATCGTGATCGTGACCGTGGCCGCACAAAAACAGTTGGCGCTTTAGAACCGTCAGCTGGAGACCATGCCGGAGCGGTGTTGGCAGAAGGGTGAGAGGACGGAAAGTGCAGAAATTTGTTTTGGTAATAGTCCAGTAGTGCGCTTCTCGAAGGCTGACCAATGTTGAATGTGTCCACTGGTGCCATTGGGGCGACTTGGTGGGTACGGATCTCCCTCTCTTGCCCATGGAGTCGCGACTCACATCATTATCTGGCGCCAGATGAGTCAAGACTCCATGCGGCTTAGGAGGCCCGTTATACGCTCTGCGGGGCGTTGGGCTGTTAGGCTCGCTCCGTGCTCCAGCCAAGACAGAAGGCACTTTTGTTGCTTACAAAACAATCCCGATAGGAGCACTGGTGGGAGTCTGATCGGTCGTCCGCCCAGGTTCCGTCTGTCTGAATTGGCCCGTAGCTTGGTGTGAAACACGACTATCGCCAGTGCCCGCTTGTGGCATCAATACTGTAGGCGACCCTGTGTCTGTGCCTATCCCCAGAGACCTAGAGGCCAAAGGTTTTGTTCTGCGTATTGTACTTCGAAGAATTGAGTTTCTTAGGAACCTCGCCAGATCGGATGCATGGCAGACCAGCCATAAGCTCGCCCTCTTCGCCGAGTATCAATTCCACTTCCGCGCCTGTGGCCTCCGTGAGTCGGTTGTCGGGACGGAGATTGTTCAAACACCGAGGATGCTGCGTGATCCGCTTCCTTGAGCCTGTGATTAACCCCATTCGGCCTCGCATGTCCTTGGTATCGGTAGTTCCATTACTCCGTACTGCTTGATGTCCTAGCGGCGCGAGAAGTCTCGAACCCCGCATGTGTACTCCGTACTTCTGTCCGTGATATTAGTAGATACGTAGTATATATGGGCATCCGACCTGACCCGTGTGTGCTGTGCTTCCAGATACTCTACCCGTCGTTGGAGGCTACCGTCGAGTTGTTTATTTGGCAAAGATGCACAATCCCAATCGCTTTAGGCCGGTTGTGAGGCTGACTGACTGAGGCAAGGCCGCCGAGCCTCCTTCTTCCTCGACCCTGTGCTGGCCCACGATGCTGAGAAATACTTGGTCCAACGTCGCCCGACTGACGCTATAATATTGGATCCCGAGGTCGGATTTGTTCTTTTCCAAAGCACTGAACAGAGCTGATATGCCCGCTCCATGGATGTTGGCTCCCTCTCGCGTGCCATGCTCGGTTGTCGGGATAGAGAAGCGGATCTGCCCTGCATACACTTTGCTTTCAATGTCCGCAGAGGGAAGATTGCCCAGGATCCAGTTCCGGATGCGTACCATGTCTTCTTCGGCGGCATGTGGCGCTCGCTGATGCACCAGATGAACATAGTATGCATCTCCGTGCTTTCGTCGAAGGTATTCCGTCGTGCCCAGAGCCAACATTTTCCCCGCCATTATACCGGCTCGAGACGCCAAAGCATCCGCTTCTTCCATGGAATGAGTTGTGAGCACCAGAGACCGACCGGGCACCATGGACTCCAGTGTTCGCCACATAACCCGTTTGCTGGCCGCATCCATGCCCGAAGATGGCTCGTCCAGTAAGAGTACACTGGGATTGCCCATCAAAGCGATCCCCAGTGACAGCTTCCGCTTGTTGCCCCCGGAGAGCTTGATCGCCATGCGATCTCCGTATTCTTCTAGGCCAACCGCGCGCATGACCGCTTCCACGTTGTGACGAGGATCGCCGACTCCACGAACCTTCGCATAAAAATGAAGATGTTCCGACACAGTCATGGTGTCCACCGCGTCAAATTGAGGACATACCCCAAGGCGAGACCTGGCCTGTGCGCGATGTTCTACGACCGAGATATTGTCCACCAGAATATCCCCCCCTCGCCGGTCTGGTTGGATATCGCCTCGAATCAGAGAAATCGTGGTTGACTTTCCCGCACCGTTGGGTCCTAAAAGTGCAAAGACCTCACCTCGGGGTACTCCGAACGTCACGTTGTCCACCGCGACGTTCTTTCCGAAGCGCTTCGTCAATTGAAGGATGCGAAGTCCGACTTGGGACGCTGAAATTCTTGTGAGCTCGTTCGTGATTTCCGGGTCCACGGTGTCCTTCTCATCAATATCTACCTCCCGTTGCTTTGCACGGAAGTTACGTAAAGATGGACCAGAATCCCACCATAGAAGCAGCCCAAACAGAAGGAACGACTGCACGATCAGATACAGGATTGGACCACCAAACGTGGTCATTGATCCGGCATAAGAAGCAAATGCTCGACCTCGGCAGGTGATTGAGAACACATTCAAAGAAACAAAGAGAGCCCGCGTTAGACTCGCGACCGGCGAGATTGTTGCGATTGTGAAATGACAAATGTTGACATAGCTGTCGATCTTGTCAATTGGTGAGTAGGTCAAAACGCTCATGAATGCGATGAAATACAGCAAGAACATGACCGCTTGACCGCCAGCCGCGAATGCAAAGGCGGCCAGCTGAGACCTGGAGAACAGCGAGATGACATAGGACAGTAGCGTCGAAGCGAGGCCATAAAGAAAGAAGACCACAAAGAGATATTCGATATGATACCATATACCGGTGACGGCCCGGAAGATGATGACGGCAACGGCACTTGTGATCAAGACAATAACGAAATCAAAAGCGGTATATGCTAGCCACAGCGGTGCGGGACGGACCCCATTACTGTAATGCAGGCCTCGAACGTGGCGGAGCCGTTCGATTGTCGGATACAAGGCAAAGAATGAGGGGTATACGGACATTGCCAGGCCAAAGTAAGTGATCAGTTGCAATGTCTTTCCCGCATCTGTAGGCCAGGGTATGTCGAATGCTTGATACTGGTTGGAGACGGAGACATTGCTCAGAATGGTGTCTAACGCGTTCTGAATGATGACAGAAAAAGCCACATCACCGTTTCCTCGCCAGGCAAAGGTGGGTGCTGAACTGTCGTTACCCAAGAAGAGACCACCAGGAGTGACCGAAGAGTAATTGTTGCGGATGTAGCTGTTGAAATCGTCGAGTGTGTCGACGAGATGTAGAGATTCTAGGAGTCGTGTGGTATTGGCCGCAACTCCCGCAGCACCAGAAAGTGAGGTAGCAAATAGGCGGACCGCATCTTCTCCGAGGCGGTCTCGCGGACCTGCGACAAGTGAGTAATTGGCCTGGCTTGACAAGGAGGTGACATCAGAAATAGTTACGCCCGAAAGAGGGTCACAACCAGCCTTTTCAAAGTTGTGAAGAAAGAGTGTGACAAGTCCCGCTGCGACGATGGGAATCAGCAGCGCTGCAAGATAGGGCAGAGTATTCCGACGGAGGACGACGAGTCTCTTCGAGAAAAGTACTGCAGCTTGCCGAGGCATATTGATGCGACGTCCCTCGAGGAGTCGTGGAGCACCTAGAGACTGATTCCGGTCGACAGCCACTCTTGCACCTTTGGCAACGGTGGGCTCATTGCTCAGAATGCTTCTGCTCTTTTGTAGCACTTCGTCTTTGTCGATAGCAGTGGACTCATTCGGCGAGGGGCTCACTTCTTCGGCAAGTTTCAGAAAGACGTCTTCAATGGTGGGCCCGTTGACCTGGTACTCCCCCACTCCATCGTTCTCAATTCGAGCAAGGAAATCTGCTGTCTTCGCAGAACTGGTCAACGAGTATATAGTTTGATCATGGTGCCGAACATGATCAACATCGTCGTACGTTGGGAGCTGGTGGGCGTCATGGGTGCGATACACGTGAACTCGGTAGCCTGAGCCCAGCTTGTGTTTTAGCTCGACAGCTGTCCCGGAGGCTTTCAGTACACCTCTTGAGAGGATGGCAATATGGTCGGCAAGCAGCTCAGCCTCATCTAGGAAATGGGTAGTGAAAATGATGGACCTCGTCCCACGTTCGGCGAGGAGGATGTCCCATATCTTTCGTCGCGACAAGGGGTCAAGGCCGGAAGAAACCTCATCGACGCAGCAAACCCGCGAGCCGCCCGTGAACATGATTGCCAGCTGTAGTTTCCGCTTCTGGCCGCCGGATAATGTCTTTGATCTTGCATGCGCTTTGGACACGACGTCACACGATGTGAGCAACTGCAAATTCTCGGCTTGGGCCGCCGGCTTCTCACCCTTGATTCTGTTGAAAATACGGACATGCTCTTCCACAGTGAGATCATCCCACAGGACATTCTTCTGGGGACACAGCCCTAGTCCAGTACCTGCCTCTGGGTAATTGACCGTAATCTCACCGGACGTGATCGAAGTTAGTCCAGCAATTGCATGCAATGTTGTTGACTTGCCACTCCCGTTAGCCCCGAGAAGAACCAAGATTTGGCCTTTAACAGAATCCAAACTCAGGTCGTCCACGGCAAGGACAGTACTTGGTTGTTTTATGGTAAAGACCGATCGAATCTTTGCAAAAGCTGACGGTCGATATTCCTTGGTGAACCCGACCAGGGAAATCGCGGTTGGAGAATCCGAATGGGTGGTTTTCCGACTCTGTGATGCGGTGCCGTAAAGCGATCGCTCTATAGTTGCACCAAGGATAGGGAAGGCTAGTATCTGAATCAAAGAGAAGATCCATAGGACAATACCAGGCAAAGCTGAGGTGTTCTGTGGGGCTCTCTCGACCAGGTTTGTACCAAGGTCCTGTTTTTCCCACCGGGCCATGAAGATTATGAAGTAGACATAATTCATCGGCGGGAATAGAAGTGACAATATTGCCACGGATGCTGTTCCGGCTTTGCTTGCGACTTGGGCAATTATGGCTAGGAGGAGGCTGACAATAACCGAGATAATGCCAGAGAGTTGGGCCTTCTTGAAAAAGGCTGCACCGAGGATCGACAGCGACGACATTGCCAGACCAGACAAAATGTTGAAGATGATCACTATACCAGGGGAGGTGTTGGTGAAAACGCCCACTGAAAGAATCACGGCCATGACGATCCAACCCGGCGCGTAGAGTACATCGAATGCAAGGTGATTGGCAATGATCCTCGCCGCTTGAGGTTGCCATCTTTTGCAACTGGGCATCATGCAATCAAGTAGTTGTGCCATGCCATTTTCCCTCTCGGATGCGATCAGTCCAGTAAGTTGGTAGATGACGCCAACAACCCCAATAAAGAAGGCGACGGCCAAGATGTCTATGATGCCGCCCATGTATCTGGTTCGAATATGAGCTTGCCGCTGTGCCTTGGTCTGGGAGGTATATGGGTATTCCTCGACATGCGTCGGGATAGGAGTGGCCCCATCATCGTCAGCTTCAAGTTCGGAGATGGCCCGGTCGATGGCATGTTGCAATGGAAGGATGTAGATCTCGACATCATTTCGGGAGGAGTCAGTCACGATCTTGTTCTGCAGCCCACCATCTGCTCGGATTGAGTAGTTCCAGCGGCCACCATCGCCTTCCAAAGGGGACGCGAAGAAGACGGCCCCAGCAATGCAGGTAGATGTCCCTCGGATTGAGTTCCTGCACACAGTCAATAGCTCCTCCTCTTTGTTCAATATCTGGACTCGGCCCCCAAAGGAGCCAGCGTCGTTTGCAACTCGATGGATGACTGATTCTATTGCACCTCCTGAGAAGCCGTTATTGACGAAGACGAGCTTGTCCCTACCACCGGATACGAGATCAAGTGCATCTGGAAGACTCCGGACAGAAGTAGCTTCACCTATGCCATAGACCGAGGGTGGGATAAAGAGGTAGCGTGCATAGGACCTAGTAGGGTCAGAAGCCTGAATTGCTCAAGCTCAAGCTGTACATACAAAAAGCCGACAAAGATACAGGGCAAGAGAAATGCTCGGACGGTGGTCGTAAACCAGCGGCGCACAAAGGCAACCAGGAGGTTTTTGAGGGTCAAAGTCAAGATCTGGCGCGTGAAGAGGGACATTTTGGAGGTACGTAACCCGCAGTTGAGTTGGAGGTTCAATACGCGAGCAGAACTGTTCTCTCTTCCGTTACCATGACAGCCACGATCAGTGAGGATTTGTACAGTGCAACGGGTAGAACATTATACAAGACACCAATCTCGGGCAATTGGCTGTGATGCTGAGGGACATGGATGCAGTCACGAAACCCGAATGCTTGAACTGATACCTGTCTGAGGAGTTCATCCCTGCAAGCGAGTGCAGTTGTTGTACGGATGTGATCCCACGATCTCGCCAGGCGTTTCAGGGCGAAGGCCTTAGGAGCCTGCGGGACCTAGACCTTATCAGGCTGCAGGCGCCTAATCACGGTGCTGCGACATACAGAGTACAGCAGCCTAAGCCTAAGGAGCCGCTACTACTGTAAGCCTCCTTCTCCTCTTTCTGTCCCGCGTCAGCATGATCGAAGTGCGGGACTGACGATGAGAACAAGATCCGACCGAGATCTTTATTTTCCTTCATCCACTTCACCATTGCGATAACCCGAGGTCACCGTCTCACCTGGACCACCTGACCCGAAGCCCTCCCTCAAGTCCGTACAGCTTGACCCTCTGATGACGAACGTCGCGTGCAACTCATTCCCACTCTGGCGACATGGCCAGGAGAGAACATTTACACCGTCACCGAACACAATCAGAGAGGCCGGTGGAGATTCGGAGATCGACGTTTACGGCAGCCTAATAGCCCAAGCCCCTCACTGCTTCGGGAAAGAGTTGTGTCCTGGCCTGGCGGGCATGGAAGAATGTCAGAGAGACCGTGCACTTGCTCGCATTGACTTGCTGGCATACCAAATGGCCTGCGACGTCTCTATCGTGGACACAGATTTGGGCTTCATGCGGAAAACGCAGGCCAAGGAAAGAGATGTGCTATTTGCGGACACAGACACCATCAAAGCTACGGATTGATGGACCGTCGAGCCTGTACAGCTCACAGTTGGTGCGCTACGTGCACACATACTGGCCAGTCGGGCTTGAACTCCGTCTCTCAGGCCAGCTGAGCGGCTGATGCGACATGTTGGGTGCCAGATCGTTGACAGATGGCTGCCAGTGCCTGATACCCTATGTAAGTGCTTGACTTGTGATGAGACGCCTTTCTGTTGAAACGAATAAGATGGTGCTACAATGAGTCTAACCGCTCTGCTTCCGACGACCCATCAGGGGTCACTGCAAATTTCGACCAAAGCTTGGGTGCTCCACGCCTATTGAGTTCTCATGCCATAAGAGCCAGCTATCAATATTAATGGGAGGCCGATTGCCGGGAAATATGGCGGAGGACCTTTCCAGGATCTCATCTGTGACGAGGTCCATGGGTCCAGTCAAGACCGAAAGCGCTGCTGGTAAGAAACAAACATATCCCACTCGCGCGCCATCTATGACGAGCTTCTATATCGTTGTACTCCGTAGTCATGGGCAAACCTTTCCCTTGAGCCATTGACGTTCATCTTTAAGTCTCCAATTCCGGGATATTGGCCATAGCAAAAATTTCTTCATCGACCACTTATCTTCAGACCGTCTTCCATACAATATCGTGAAAGGTGTAGAGGGTTCTTCATACATGTATAGGACAGAATAACAGGACGCTCAAGTACGATCACACAGATATAAACAGGATATCGCACACCGTGGCATAGCAGCCCGAATACTATGTTGGATACTATGTTGGGTGTATCATCTACCAGGCTGCAATCGACCCCCGTCATCGTCGTTCGCGTTCGCGGGTAACTCGGCAACCGTTTGATATTTGGGCGCCACCCCATCAAGCTCAGACCTAGGCTTGCTGGTGTCTGCTTCGTAGATGTTCGGTGATGGGACAGAGTCGGTCGGTGGTTCTAGTTCATGCCAGTGCTGCTTCTCACTAGGGACGTTGCTTGGGCGTCTTCGTCGTCTGATCCAGTAGCCCAGTCCGAGTATGGCGGCGAGCCCCAGGACACCGCCAACAACACCGCCAGCGATCGCTCCAGTATGGCTACTCTGAGATTTCTTCTCATTGTTGTCAGGGGAGGAGCCCCCAGTGGAGGAGCCTCCGGGGGAAGTTGTATTTCCCGGGGCATCCGACGATTTGGTTGGAGTATAAGCTGTGGTTTGTTTGTTAGTTGAAAAGTTGAAGAATCAATGAGTTGGGGACATCTGGAAAGGAATGTCTGGGTAGTACAGGCATACGCACCGAATACCGACGCGAGCGATTGCGCATTTTCACCCCATGCCGGCTCTTGGTAGTCGGACGAGTAATACTTCTTCACAACATCGGGCGACTCGTACGCCGCGGCCGCGGCATCATAGTGGTCCTTCCAGACGAAATCGGTAAGGTCGAAGACGCCTATTCCATTGGCCCATGGGTCTTGCGCTTGCCCTGACGCTTCCAGTGAGCTCGGCAGTCTTCCCCCGATCGAGATCATCTGCCGGTTGCCAATGACACTGCATGTATTGCATGCTCTCCTTGCGGGCGTCGACGCAGATGATTTGAACCAGCGGAAAGCCGGGAGGGATAAAGCATAGACGTTCAGATACCCCTCATCGTCGCCATGGTTCAGGTCGAACGTAGAATTTGTCGAACCGCCGTAGACAAACCTGAATTGAGAAGCCATTAGCATATACATTTATTTGCATGATGGGCAGTTTCTCCGGTGGAGCAACGCACAATTCAAAGTATTGACCGTCGCTGGACGGGGTTCCAACTGCACAGAATTCCGATCGCGGTGGTGGAATGTCTCCGGTAGCTTCTTGGGTGAACCAGGTATCATTGGCGATATCGTACAGAGTGATCACAGACATATCGACCATGGCAAAGCCTGTTTCGTAGACCGACACTTCTGTGGGCGGTGCTTCTCCTCCGACCACCACTAGAAAGCCCTCTTCCCCGAAATTAGGAACATGAACAGCGCGAGCCTCGGTTCGGAATTTGCTTTGGGTTGGTAGCTCAGCCGATTTGTTGCTCCAGGTCGTAGACGCGAAGTCTTGGGTGACGAGTCCCGCCATGACGGTCATATTGGGGAAGTCACCAGGGGCCATAATGTTTCCACCGAGACTGAAGAACGTAGAGTCGGAGAAGGCGTTGGCTGATGCAAAGGGGCCTTGAGAGTCCAGGGAGAGTCCATTGTTTGTGGGAGTGACATCTCCGGCTGTGTTGTTTACCCAATTGATCACGCTCGATCCGGGCTCGAAAGACCATACTTCCGAGTCAAAGTCCACTGCTTCATATGGCCAACCACCGTACCTTCTCACAACGTTGTTTGGCTTATCGTAGAAAAGGAGAGGTTGTCGGACGAGTTGCATACCGTCCGGCAGCGTTGTTTGGCTTGCCGCGCCCACGGTCTGGTTTGTCCATGACTGTGTAAGGTCGATTGAGAAGGTCTCGTTTACTACATCATGTTAGCTTGGACAGCATCCATTTAGATGCGGTGGCTTCATACAATAGTAGGAGTTCAGCACTCCATCATTAACTTCGTACAATTCTCCTCCCGTCACATAGAGATAGTTGCCCACCGGCACCGCTAAGTTAGGTGAGTGGTGAGTATCATCCAGCCAGTACCACGGAAAAAGTGAGAATCTTACAGGTAAGCCACCACCATTCTGTAAACGGGGTGCTGATGAGCGCCGCCTGCGCGCTGGAGATGGCGACAGTGAGCGCAAACAGTCCGGCCAGCATCATCGCAGGTTAACAACGTCGAGGAGGAGAAACTCGAGAGCTGCCGCCGGATTCCTGGGAGCAGGTGGGTATTTAACATCCTGAAACCTCAAGTGCCCTTCAAGTGCCCTAATTGCTAGTGTGGTACAGGCTCCTCAGGCCTAGTTGGCCACGGAGCTGCCCTTGTGTCTGTCCGCCTGGTAGCGTGGTTCGTCTGTTTCAAGCGCGCTTGAGCCCCTGTGCAATTTCAGTATTACACTTAATACCGCAGATCCGAGATGTCTGATGCAGCGTCAGAAGTGAGCAATGTTTTGCGCGCATACAACAGGAAGGGGATATGTATCCGTGCCTGATACATATTGGGGGCGCTTGCTAGTAGTGTAAGCCCTCCTCGTCCCCGAGCTAGTTTCTCTCACCTAGGTACGTAGGGCTGTAGCCTGTATCAGTGTATATGAGTCGTGTTTGTTTCATTGGCTCCTACCTATGGTTTATAGCTAGTGGTGGATATGCCATATGGCCCGACGTCGATTGATTTGCAAGCGTGGGTCACGCTTACTCTGCCAGGCAGTTCCATTGCGAATTCGAGGTGCTGAAGACAATAATAGAGCCCAGGCACAGGTGGTTCCCAGTGGTTTTCGTTCCGGCACTTGCATCTTGCTCCCATTGGGTAGTAATGCCGGTTCTGTATAACTTCGCTTACGGAGGATTGAGGACTGATAGGACCTTGAGTCCCGCCAGAGACAGGTTGGTACTTTAGGTAGGTACCTCAGGTAGTAGCACTCCGTAATCCGCATGGCGTATTGCGTATTGCGAGCACATTAAAGCAGTTTTTCAATTTGTCCTGATCGGGCTAGGCTCACGCTGCTTCAACACATGAAGTCATCGCTAGTTTTCTTTAACACGCCGCCCAAATATTGTACAGAGTACTCCGTGCAGAGTAGAAGGACATTTCGGTCACGGAAGTGCGTTCTGCTCTCATGGCCATCTTGTAAGTTCAATGTTCGTCTCACCGGCGAGTGTGAGTCTTGTTGTTTAGCGAACAAGGCTTGATCGGGTCACTTGCTGGATCCCGCCAGACCAGACCGCACCTTGCCCGCTCCGCAGTTTTACCGCAGGCACCTCCCTGAGACTTTCCATTCTCACTGTGTTCCCTACAAGTGACTCTCGATGCACAAATGCATTCCCTCCGCGCTGAGGCCGGCTCTGGCTCATGCCGTGCTGAAGCCCAAGCCCAAGCCACATCCTTTACCGCCTATCTATTCTAGAACGATCAAGACTACTCCTCGATGGTCAGCGACGTCTCCCGATCCGAAGAAAGACCAGACCCCTCCACATGGAGATCCTCCCTCTAAACCGCCGTCCATTGAAGATGCCCTAGCCGGATTGGACCCAAAAGATAATACCCTTCTGGCACCTGTGCATATTCCTCAAGACGCAAATGCCGTCCTGAAACCGGACCATCCCGCCACCGATATCCTGTCCCAGTCGGGAATTGTGGTACAGAGACAGATAGAGATTGCAAATGTGCTAGTAGGGTTCGAGCAGGCAAACCGTTATGTCCTCCTCGATCCTCACGGTAACCACATTGGCTTCATGGCCGAACATGATGGAGGCATTGGCAAGGGAGTGGCGAGACAACTGTTGACGACACACCGTGCCTTCACCACGCACGTATTCGATAGACATGGTAAAGAGGTGTTGAGATTCCATCGGCCATTCTCCTGGATTAAGACACGCATACGCGTGTATGACCCGCTAGTGGTCTCTCCCAGCCTCCAGACATCGTCCTCGACGGACCTGACTCCGTCAACCAGCACCGACCTTACAGCGATGCAGCAACTTTCTTCCCTTCCACTCGAGGAGATGCGTGTGGTTGGGGAAGTTGAGTCTCAATGGGCTCCTCTACGACGAAAGTACAACTTGTTTCTCTCACATTATCCAGTTTTGAGCGAACCTGGTCCGGGAGGCATGGCCTCGAAAAGTGTCGACGACTTGTCTAGTACACAGCGGTGGCTGTCCGCTCAACAACACGAGCCAGCTGGTGCCGTAGAGTTTACTCAATTCGCAGCCATCGATGAGCCGTTCTTATCATGGGACTTCTCGTTGCTAGATGAAGATTCTCGTCTCATCGGCTCCATCAATCGAAGTTTCCGTGGATTTGCTCGGGAGATTTTCACAGATACCGGAAGTTATGTTCTGCGCATGGATGCTGCCGGGTTGGATGAAGAAGCAAAGCAACGTCATACCATTTCGCAAACTTCACAGACCGAACCTGCGTATACAGAGGCCATGGGGGGAAATGGTGGAAAATATGGGTTGACACTGGATCAAAGGGCATTAATGCTGGCGACCGCTGTCAACATCGACTACGATTATTTTTCTCGCCATTCCGGCGGACATGGGTTTATGTTTCCCTTTTGGGTAGGAGGCGGCGGCGAAGCGGCTGGAGCTGCCGGAGCTGGTGAAGCCGCCGGAGCTGCAGGGGCTGCCGGAGCTGGCGATGCTGTTGGTGGAACCGTCATAGGCGGAGCTGGTAGAGCGGTTGGCTCGGCCGCCGGAGGGGTGGGAGCGGGAGAGGGAGCCATTGCTGGCGCTGGGACCATGGCAGGGTATGAAGCCATGCAAAGAGGACTGGGCCGAAGCCCTCAGTCTACAGCGCCAGAAGCCGAAGGCAGCTCCCATGAGCAACCCTACAGCGAGCCCTCTGACCCGAGCCCTACTACTCCAGGTGCCAGTCCTCACGAACAGCCCTACGGTGAACCTTACGAGCCTCAACTTCATGACCCTGAAACTCCGCAAAGCGGCTTCGGCGGACAGAATGAGAGCGGCGATGTTTGGGGGCCCGGGAGCGAGGATCCGTGGAGTGGTGGCGCCGGACCGGCAGAATCTGGCGGAGGTGAGGGGAGCGGGCTCTTGCAGAAGGTATGGGATTCGTTCTTCGACTGAATGACTCTGCTCGCTCCCTGGATGTCTATCTCGGGGGAAGTGTCAAGCTTCGAGCAGGACCTGTGAATGGAGCATTGGATCAGCTCCTTGAGCTGCTTCTCTTGGTCCGTCCCACAGCCAACCCTACATGACGCATGGGGCACAGACGTCCTGAGAATGAGTACGGCGAACTCCATTGATTCACCTGCACCAATTGCTCTCGGAGAACGCTGAACCTGAAAGATTGACATCACGCGACCGCATAGCTTCGGTTATCTAAGCCTGCAGGCTGCAATGGGTCTCGAGTACCAGCCGAAATCACCACCCCGGTCGATCGCCATGGGGCGTATCCGCCAACAATTCTGTTACACAATATAAACCGGTGGGAGCACAGATCCCACTGTTGCGATCAACCGATGCAGCTCTCTCTCGCTCTCTCTCTCTCTCTCTCTCATCTCTCCCTCGACCACACAAGTTGCCAGACTTTATATCGATCGATGTCGTCGGTCAAGACCAGGAACCCTCCATGCCGGTGATCCTGCTTGGCCATAACCCCTGCGCCACCAGGAGCACAGTCTTCCCTTTCCATCTCTCATGGCAGTCTGCAACCACAGGCTTGACTGGGGCTTTACCGCGCACTTTCTGCAGCAGCTTCGCGGCTACGAGCCCCATCCTCGTTGCAGTCCCCAAACTCCGCCACTGGGACATTGTCCCGCTCGTCTTGGCCTGGCTTGGCATCCGCCTGGCTTGGTCTTGGGTTACTTCATTACAAGGTATTCGTCGGTTTGCCTGGCTTTGCTCCCCATAGCGTCCATCTATACCTTTTTGGCATGTGAAAACAATTGATGGAATTCCCTGATGCCTCCACATCACTGTGCGCTAGCCGGGTTTACGCCGTTCACACGACTGCTTGTGACACTACTCCGTACACTGGATGCCCTACTCCCACCTCGTATGCGCCACTGGCATTCTTATCATTTATCTATACTCTGATGGCTGATCAGCGGGGTCTTTCTTGGCCTAACCTCATCCTGGCGGTCCTGGAGACAATGTAACACAATGCAAGTCAGCCTGATAGCTTCTGCCATGTCGGTGACGGGCAGAGTTAAGTATCGAAGGCCCTGGCCACATGGCCTCAGTACATCCCACCTTCCTCAGAGTCTCTGAAAGGAGGACTTGCGAACGGCTCTTCGACTCTTTTCTACCACCACCATGACAGGCTCCCAGCACAGCCCCAGTCCGCCCCCGGATGCAATCGAGAAGACTGGGTACACAGAACAACCCCAGGCGGTATCTTCTCTCACTAGTGGCCATACCCACGGCGTCCACCATGAGGAGAGCAGTCACCTACACCGAGGCCTTAAGGCCCGTCACATCACGATGATAGCAATCGGCGGTGCTATTGGTAAGGCTTTCGATCCAAGATCAAGTTGGATTCCGAATATCACGCTGACCTGTCTCTACCTGGTCAGGCACTGGGTTGGTTATTGGGACAGGACAGGCTCTGGCACGAGCAGGACCGGGCTCTATCTTCATCTCATATACAGTCGTCGGCTTTCTCGTCTATCTGGTCATGTGCGCTCTGGGTGAAATGGCCGCTTGGTTGCCACTGTCCTCTGGATTTACCGGATATGCGGTGCGGTTCTGCGACCCTGCGCTTGGATTTGCACTCGGGTACACGTGAGGCTCTCCACGCACCAACAGGAACAGGAACCTTCAGAGTGGCTGACACTGGGGTTCAGATACTGGTTCAAGTACATCATCGTCACGCCCAACCAGCTCACGGCAGGTGCATTGATCATCCAGTACTGGGTCGACCGGGATAGGATCAACCCTGGGGTGTTCATCGCCGTGTTCTGGGTGGCCATCGTCTGCATCAACTACTTCGGGATCCGTTTCTTTGGCGAGTTCGAGTTCTGGCTTTCCACCATCAAGGTCATTGTGGTAGTTGGCATCATCATCCTATCGCTCGTCCTCGCTCTCGGAGGAGGCCCGGACCACGATCGTAAAGGATTCCGCTACTGGAGGGACCCCGGAGCATTTGCCGAATACATTGACGACGGCGCGACCGGGCGTTTCCTTGCATTTTGGTCGACCATGGTGACTGCGACGTTTGCGTATCTGGGCACCGAACTCGTCGGCGTGACGGTGGGCGAGGCGCAGAACCCACGCAAAACCATCCCGCGCGCCATCAAGCTCACCTTCTACCGCATCCTGATTTTCTACTGCCTCAGCGTGCTGCTCCTCGGCATGTTGGTCCCGTACAACTCGAAAGAACTGGCGTTCGCGACTAAGGCGTCCAGCTCGGCATCGGCATCTCCGTTCGTTGTGGCCATTCAACTCGCGGGCATCCAAGCTCTCCCGGGCATCCTGAATGGATGTTTTCTGCTCTTCGTCTTCTCGGCCTCCAATTCGGACCTATACATCGCCAGCCGAACCATCTACGGCCTGGCCTGCGAGGGCAAGGCGCCCAAGATCTTCCGCCGCACCGACTCCCGCGGCGTGCCCGTCTACGCACTCGGCATCTCGGCCGCATTTGCACTGCTTGCCTTCATGAACGTCTCGGACGACTCCAAGACGGTGTTTGGCTATTTCGTCAACCTCGTCACCATCTTCGGCATCTTGACCTGGATTTCCATTCTGGTCTCGCACATCTACTTTGTGCGTGCCCGCCGCGCCCAGAACGTGCCGGACACGGCTCTCGCCTACAAGGCCCCGCTCGGCGTCGCCGGTTCCTACGGCGCCGTCGCCCTGTGTATCCTCATCGCCCTGACCAAGAACTTCCCCGTCTTCACCCACTCCAAGTCCTGGGGCGACTTTGACTACAAGAACTTTGTCACCGGCTATCTCGGCATCCCGCTGTACTTGATCATGATCTTCGGCTATAAGCTAGCCATGAAGTCCAAGGCCGTCGCGCCCGAGTCCGCCGACCTGTGGTCCGGCAAGGATGTCATCGATCGCGAAGAAGAGGAGTTCCTGGCCAGGAAACGCGCCAAGGAGCTCGGCCGCGCCAAGGCTGCTCAGAACCGTGGATGGTTCTACAGGGTTTTTGTGGCTTGGTTGTTCTAGTTCTTCTCATCTCAGTCATGCCATACATCGCCCTCCCTGGCCTGGATCTCTCATCTCAATCATGCAATACATCCCCATCATGCCAACGGACAAAGAGACGGCGATATCCAAAGAGACCTCGGGTTCCATCACTCGCACATGACTCTAACCACTACTGAATCTGAATCCTGTACATACCGAGTACGATGTACCTTCCTACCTAGGTAGATGTAGTGTAATAGAGCCAATTCTCGGTCTGTTTCATGAGCCAACCTCAACCTGCGCAACGCGTCGATACGTCGGGCGTACTTCCAAGTATATTACGATTTGATACCTCGGGCGTCCTTATAAATATATTACCATTTACATGTTATGGGCAACGGCACCAGCCTTGCCGACCATAGATCTCTCCATTAAATGTACTGACATTGCCGATCGTACCCAAGAGGGCCCCTGATCTGTCTTTCCCTCGGGTCTATCCATATACTATTACATATATCGGTACCAACGCCGTGCCGTGGGATGTAGGACCATAAATACCTCACTAGAATCGCTTTTTCCGCTTGCGTCTGGACTGCAGCCTCGGCCGTCTTCATGGCCAGCCTGGGAGGCGTGATGTCGCTTCTTCCCATTCAAAGGTCGTGCTTGCAGACATCGTCTCAACCTTGCGGGCCGCTTCGTGGCCGTTCTGCACTTTATTTTTGGCAATGCCGTTGACGCCAGGCCCTTGGTGCACAGAAGCATTTCCCGGCAATTGGGTTTCAAAGGTGAGAAAGTGACAGGCCAGAAAGAACTTGCGGCTTTGCGGATCCATCAAGATGTCGCATACGTCGCAGTGACGGGCTCCCGGGCCAGTAAGGAAATCATGTTCCGCAATACGCTGTGTGAAGATCATAATCGCCTTCTGGTGGTTTCTCTTCTCGGAAGCATGCGTTAGGTGTGTGCATTGACGCTCAACCCGATTTCGTTGGGCGGTCCATGCTTCCCTGATGTCTCTGCACACACCAAATATCTCGTGAGCGACCTGGTCCTCAGAGCCCGCACCCGCATGATTCATCAGCTTGAGGTACACTCGTCGGTGTGTGAGACAGGTGTGAGCCGAGTGCGCCTCGAGTCCAGCCGAGTCATTGCTAACGTCAGCCCAGCAAGAGTCCAGGATCAACTTAATGAAGCACTCCGTGGACATAACCAAGCTCGGGCAAAGTTTACGCTTTGGCGCCTGGACAGACCTGTCCTTCTCACGTAGCCGCATAGAAGTATTGCCACAAGCTTTCTCAATCCTGGTCATGTTTTCTGCCGAAAGGTCTGTTGGTGCCTTTCCTTTCGGAACACTGGGCGGAGAGATATTTGCAATCTCTGAAAGTGGCTGTCTCTTGTTCCTTGTGCGAACTGAACCGCCCAATCGAGCCGGAGTTTTTCTGGAAGACCGGAAAACTGCTGGAGGGTCAAGAGGTGGGATCAGAGACAACAGGTTATGCCGGGCATAAGAAATAGGGACCAAAGCCTTTGCCGAGACAGCACGATTGGATTCATCCTTTACGCCTGTCTCGAGTGGCACGCCGTTGATGAGAGCGCCACAACGTGACTTGCGCCTTTTCCTGCCCGGTCCGGATGGTGACAACTCGAGTGTTCGTTTTGAGTCCTTCCCAGGTGTGCCTGGAGTGCTTGTTGAGTCCGAAGACCTCAGATCCATCGGCATTTCTGTCCGCTTCGTTGATGCAATGGGACTTGTGTCTCGCCATCCCGGTTCATCTCTATCCAAGTCTTCAATGCTGACTCGATCAGACGTAGTACTTTTCGACGGACTTGTGCTTTGAGAATTGCCATCAACATTCGGGCCTTTTCCGTCCGCCAAGATCAGTCGCCGAAGCCATCCTGCTTCCTCCAGGTCCTCTGGGTCCGTGGGTGCTGTCAGACTCTTGTGGGCCAACTCCTGTACTTCTTCGAAAGTGTTGGTCTCGACCACCGACCTATCCATGTGTAGCTTGATATTAAGAGCCCGAGGGAACCGCAGAGTAAAGTAGGACGTGTTGGACGGCTTCTCAAAACCGGCTCCCATGACCTCAACAACGAACGGCTTCTTAAACAGGGCGGTTGGTGGTCGGATTCCTTTTTGGTCAATGCGCACGTCGAGATGGGGCGTAATTTCTGAATAAGACGTTTGCACGAACTGGCCTCTCCTGTTCAGATACAGGATGTTGTCCCTTGACAGATTGTGGTACGATAAAACATCCAAGATCCGGAACACAGGCTTAGCGTTAAATCTCCGTACGGCCTCTCTGTTCTCAAGGCAGGCAAGATGAAAGGCTGTCCAGGACAGCTCCCCAACTTTCAGCTCGTCAACCACCGTCTGATCACGTCGACCGCCAACAATGCAAAGGTCAACCGTGTCACCCAGTCCCGCGATGTAGTCCTTTTTCAGTTTGATGACACTGCTTCTCTCTCCCCATGATAAGTACGGGTCTTTACAGCCTTTGAGGACAAAGCCCTCCCATCTCTCATTAATGGCATGAGCAAAGAACTCGCGGAGTTCACTTTTGGCACTTCTCGACGCAAAATTGATGACCTTGCGATGGCCGATCTCAGCCTCACCCTCGATCGACCTAACGATGCCCTCCAGGAGCATTCGTCGCTCATTGTGGGGTTCGTTACTCAGGACCTTGTCATCGAGTAACAATATATCATAAAAAACAATCATCAGCTGCTCATCCGGCGCCCTCGGAGAATCTTCTTCAGTGCCGAGGAATCTCAGGCCATGCATGACATGCTTACGGATGACGTGGAACGGCTGGATGGCTTTCTTTGACTGGCTCCATACTAGCAGTTCACCCTCCACTATACAATTCCGTTTGACACCGCTGTCTGGTTCGTTCAGCCGCAACCCTGCTGCGATTGCCCCGTGTAGGCGGACCCGGTCTTCGGTTGAGTCCTTGCCGCTTATGGAGAAGATCTGGATGCAATTTTGCTTTCCCTTCGATAGATCAATATGTATCTGGCAGTATTCCCCATCGTATTTCCTCTCCACGCTCATGGATCTCTGAGTCGCCATACGACAGCAGTGACGAATACTTCTGGCTTTATAGAAAGGCTGGCGCCGAACCATGACCCCAAGTTTGGGCACCACGTATCTTGCACAAGCCTTGCGAAACAGGGGTCGCAGTTCTTTCGGTGGATTTGGTGGAAGCGGCCTGATATCTTCCTCTCCCAAAATCGACACAGCCGCTTCGATGGTGTTCTGTACTGCCAGGATATCGGGCAGGAGGAAGTGAAAGGCATACATAACGGGACATTCTGGAATCTGAACAGGACTGTACGACTTGAGGATCATGTGGACGAGCCACCGTGCTTCCTTGCTTTGAAGCCGTCGGACGATAGGAAGGAGGATATCGTGTGGAGAGGCGTCATTGGCTGAACTTCGTATCTCGGGTGACGAAAACGGTGAGTTCGCTGCTATCTGTAGCAGGGCTTCATCGATCTCCTCCAGTGTGACTTCACCGCCAGCTTCAGGCAGTGGCATTTCTGCCTCAGACATGATCTGCTGCAGACAGGTCGGGAAATCTAGATGTAACTCCTGCCACCTTCGTAATCGGCTGGCTCGTCCGATCCCAAGATGGAGGATACGTCCCATGACCGTGGCTAGGCGAGCCTCTTGCATGGCATAGCTTCGATGAGATAGGCGTTCAGGGAAGATGCAGGACAAAAAGGCCACGGCGGACGGTCCATGCCGAGGGATCTGATGACCGTGCGCCTTGAACCATTTGTCCACGACGTGATGTTCCGGCCTTGAAGCGCGCGACGATGAGAGGGGTTTCAGTTGTCGTGCAGCATCGAGGTCCTCAAGAAGTTCAACAAACCAGCAGAACTTGAAGCCCATTTGGCTGCAGAAGCCGAGGTAGCTGCCGTGGACGGATGTAGCAATCCCAAGTCAGCACGACAGGAATTCATTGTTGGTGCACCTAGTGGCCGGGAGCCATTGAAATGGTTCGACACGGCATCTGGCTTTGAATTCGTGTTGTTTCGTTCGCCTTACACGCACAGGATGCCGTGCAGGCCCCGTCTTGCACCAGTAAGTATACAGCGGTTGCTCTGCTCTGCTCAGAAGCGCAGATGCAGGTGAATGAAGAACTTGAACGCGTGCAGCTGCACCTGCGCCTGCGCCCTGCCCCGCGCTAGTCACGCGATATCACGTGAGTGGACTTGCCGCCGAACCTTGCCCTAGTATCCGTACTCTGTCCTCTGTCCTCTGTGGTCTCGCTTCACCGAAGACTGATTTCAGTGCGTGATGGGGTATGGTATCGCCTCAATCTCCTGCCCATCATCTGTAACGGTTCTCTGGTCGCTAATAACCTCAACAGAAACGACCGATCATCTCGCACGTAGTAACCTCTCAGACAGTGAGCGCAGTTTTCCCGCAGTCGTAGATCTCTTATTCGACTTCCCCGATGAAACGGCTTAGGTTGGGCAGAATAAACGGTTCCAATCGCGGGAATGACGAATCCTGAAGGTGCAAATGTGTGTTGAGAAGGAAAGCGGAATTGGTGTCAATGAAAATCAGTAGTCGCGAGAGGAAGCCGTCCAGTCCGAGAGTTTGAAGACCGCCACGTCCTCGAAGCATCTCTTCCACACCTCTCATATGGCAATGGTAGGCCTGCTCCTCGCCCCAGATTGCCTCGTAACTGGCCATCTTCGCGGTTGCAGCAATAAGTTCATCACGGGCCAGACCCTTCGAAGCCGATAGAGACTGCATGATCCCCCTGAGGGCGCACTGTTTGAGTGATAGGATGGTTGGGGCAAAGGCCATATCTTGCCGTTGCGCTGCGTAGTGGGAGGCTGAGAACAGCACGATCACCTGGAAGATAACGGGGGAGTTGATAACCATGGGAAACCAACGTGTCCTCAGCAAAGCCGGCCGTCCCTCGCCGTCGATTTCCGGAATGGCAACAGCAAGATGTTGAAGATAGTTGTGGAGAACCACCGAAACGAAAGGCTGATGATAGACCGGACTTGTGGATGCAGGAATCATGGGGGCTCCTGAGAGGGAGGTGAGCAGGGCACTGTCACTGCTCTGATGGGCTAGGTCTCTTGGTACGCTCTCTTGTTCTTGTTCGTCGACTTCTTCGTCCTGTCGGATCTCGAACGTCCAGGTCAGATGCCGGCGCCTTTTTCTGTGACCTGGCTTCTGCAACGCATGAGGGCCGAGGCCTTCTGTATCGCTTCCTGCAGCTGCAGCTCTGGTGGCATGTGATGTGAAGGCAGCATGTGACCTAACCTGCCGGCGGATGAGCGCGGTCTGAGCTTTGTCACCGGGAAAGGGAGCGACATTGACAAACTCGAGCAGCGGACGAGCCATCTTGTTACAGCTGCGGAATCTCACATACGCCGTGATAACGATTGGAATCTAAGAGAGTCCGTTGTCGCCGGATCGCAAGAACACCACGCCAGTACGCAGCACCAGGCTGTACTCTGCACAATGGCGTAATTCCACCCCTGCAGGGTCCGAGCCAGCTGAACCTTTGCTTTGACGTGAAGACAGCTCGGATCACCCTTGGTGCCCACCTCAGACTTGGAAGCTAGCCGCCTGCATTGCACGCATGCAGTTAGACACCGGCCGATGGTCCCAGACTTCGCAGATCTGCCAGCCTCATTGGTTACTGCCCACTCCACGGGGGCTGCTAAGGCATTCCGCCGGCTCAACATCTCCGTGGTCCAAAGCCTCAAAGTTACAGCCGCTGAGAATCAATTCTAGGGTACTTCACATGCAGCATCCTTATACGGCCATGATCAAGTCACGGACCATGAGATCGGCAGAAAGGGAGGATATAAGAATGCCTGACGTGGCGCTGCGAGAAGGCAAAGGTGCCATCCCAATCGCCAAAGCATTTCCCTAGGCTAGCCACGCTGTACCTCTTCTAGGTCGTTACTGCTCAATTCCTAGCAAACCAAACCAACCCAGACACAAACCACTCCCCAAAATGTCACTCTCCGGTAAAGTCACCCTCATCACCGGCGGCGGCAAGAACCTCGGCGCCACGATTGCCACCCTCTTCGCCGCCGACGGAGCCCACCTGGCCTTGCACTACAACTCTGCCTCGTCGAAGGAATCGACCGAGTCGCTGGCGGCGGACTTGGCGTCGAAACACAGCATCACTGTCAAAACATACCAAGGCGACCTGACGAGCGCGTCGGGCGTGGTGAAGCTGTTCGACGCCGTTTCCAGGGACTTCGGCAACAAGCTCGACATCGTCATCAACACCGTCGGGAAGGTGCTCAAGAAGCCTCTAACCGACATCTCGGAGAAGGAATACGACGAAATGTTCGCCGTCAACTCCAAGTCGGCCTTCTTCATCACTCAGGAGGCGGCCAAACGCGTCAGCGATGGCGGCAAGATCATCAACACCGTCACCAGTCTCTTGGCCGCGTACACGGGGCTGTATACGAGCTACCAAGGCTCCAAGGCGCCTGTCGAGTTTTTCACCAAGGGGTTGAGCAAGGAATTGATGCCCAGAAGGATTAGTGTTAATGCTGTTGCCCCCGGCCCGATGGTAAGTCTCTACATTGTACACTTCAGGCATATCAGACCATAACTAATCGTTCCTTCGAACCATAGGATACTCGTAAGTATTGTTAAACACCGAGACGTCCAATTATTCCCCCTTGCCACGCTTGGCCCTCGTCGATGTCAATCTTGGACCGTCGTGCACTTGTTCCAGATTGCAGGATCTCAATCATTCTAACTTCCTCGCGCACAGCATTCTTCTATGGTCAAGAAACTCCCGAGGCCGTCGAGTTCCACAAATCCAACGCCATCGCCGGCCGCCTCACTCTCGTCAGTGACATTGCCCCAATCTACAAGTTTCTCTGCACCGACGGAGCGTGGATAAATGGTAAGCTGTCTATTCCATAGTCCATTGTTTGAGGTTTCTTTGCTTGTCAGGAGGATTCTCATGTTGGCCTATCACATCACATCACATCCCATCCCAACCCATTCCCAGAAAGAAAGAGACCACAACCCATCCCCAGAAAGAAAGAGACGCGAGTATTGAAGATGAAGAGAGAAAGAAAAAGACGCGAGTATTAAAGACAGAAGAGCGTAACTGCTAACCACTTGTGCTCGTCGAATCACAGGCCAAACGCTGTTCGCCAACGGCGGATATACAAGCCGCTAGCTGAGCGATCCTGAGTCTCGAGGGCTTAGGGGAATATCCTTGCAGATGGGGGCTAAGGGGCCTCCAATTTCACCACCTTTTGTACGAGTACGGGTTGAGTGATTGGAGGCGTTGCTTGTGGTATGGTGTTCAGTGTCTGTCCAATATACTTTATGCCAGTGATTGAAGAGTGATACGCTTCCCAAAGGAGTGTAGAGGTTGAAAGACATATGCCAGTGATTGAAGAGTGATAAGGTTCACGAAGAAGTGTAGAGGCTGAAAGGACCTTTGCAAGCTTAACAGTTCTTGTCCCATGACGATGCTGGAGATATCAAACCAATGCAGGCTGATGGGTTTCTTGTGACATACCCTCCCCTATATCAAAGGCGCCGGTAGAGAGACTTGACTAAATACGAGGAAACGGGCAGGCAGATCATATCATTTATATAACAACCCCCTCCCCCCAAAGTTGTTGTCCATGTCCGATGTCCGCGTCCATCATGGGTTGATGTCGAGAGAAATGCAACTACTGTCAATGAGACTGTAGTTGGCTGCGAGGCAAATCATGGTCTGATAGACACGATTGCCTATCTATCCTTCATGGCCTTCCTCTCTCTGAAGAATGCCACGGCAGTCTCAATTACCTCCACCGTCCCTCGCAAAACCGCACAAATACACTCAATCCATAATATAGCGCCGTCGATCAATGTCAGAAAACGGATCTCGTACTGGGTATCGCGCAATTCGTCTCATGGAGAGGGAAAAAATAATCATGTGAATTGGGTATCAGTAGCAGCATCAACATCAACCTCCCCGTCGCTCCTAGCTCTCGGTATCAGCCGCGTGAGCTCTCCAAATTTCCAAAAAAGGAATCTCACCCTCCCGGTCTATTGGCAGCACAGCTTACCGCACCACAAAGAGAGATGATGAATGGATAAAAACCTCCCCAGTATAAGGATAAGACTAGGTATCCGTCCCAAGCCGCTTCCCAGACCTCTTTTGACGTCCCAGAGATGGTCCCTCCTGGTGGAGGGTTGGTAGACACCCCCTTGGGCTCCTTGGACGATCTGCCTCCATGATTGAAGCTTATTGCACCGCGGATGCTCTGGATCTCCTGGTGCCCGTGCCCAGTCTATTGCCGTCCAATGTTTGGGAATTGATCTGTGAGATGGGCAGACTCGTCGGTGTTTCTGTTGCCGTTGATCGTGTAGATTCAGCCAATAGCAAACGGATTGCTATCAGGCAACCTTCTCATGCTGGGTGGACACGCGATTCAACGACACAACTAGAGGCTGGGTTAGTTGACATCTCGTGCTGGATGCGATCAAATGGAAACTCACGGAAATCCTCCATGTCCCTTTTCTTCAGCACCTTGTTGCTCCGTGATCTTCTTCCATGCACAATATCATCAAACGTCACGCTGTCCTGCAGCAGGTAATAAACCCCAGCCATTACACAAAAGACTCCAAAGGAATACAACCATATCCTGACCACAGCCACAATGCTGGTCTGGTGTCCACCAACGAACCATCCGAACAGACAGAAAAAGGTGGCGAGAATGTCTACAAGCAATATCGCTCCGGTGAGTTGCCATGAGGGAATGCTGGACCAGAAAGGCCCGTTTGCCCGAGTGATGAAGATCAACCAATTTTCAGATAGGGAGATTTGAAGAAACAGCACAGCGTCAATATGGCCAAAGTTTTGCACGATGCCTCCATTTTCGCCGCCAACGATCATCGTCGTGAGCGCTATCCAGGTACCTGCAGCGAGGACGATTCCTAATAGAATGGACATGCCCCATAGTTTTGGCAGATTCCATTTGACAGGCGTTCTCGAATACGGCGCATTGTCATACGCAATTGCCAGTGTCGCAATGTCGGCAAAAATGGCAATGAAGACCACCAGCTTCAGGTTGAGGGACCGGTTGAGGATAGCGATCCACAGGCCGAGGAAGATCTCCAGGTGCAACGATAGTGCAATGCGGTAGACAACGTATGCATACATCCGATGAAAGATTTGTCGAGACGTCTTGAGCGCGTCAATAATGGCCGAGAGTCCAGGGGCAAGGAAGACTATATCGGCGGCCGACCGAGCTGCATCGGATGCCCCTTCCACCGCAATGCCCGTGTCCGCCTTCTTCAATGAAGGAGCATCATTGACACCGTCGCCAGTCATGGCCACGAGATATCCTCGTTGCTGCAAGATCTCCACAACGTTATATTTGTGCTGCGGGAAGACCTCGGCAAACCCATCGGCAGCTTCGACGAAGTCATACACCTCAGAGCCTGGCATGGTACCACCTCCGGCGAGCCCAAGTCGTTCTGCATTGAAAACATTGGTGCCCAGTCCAAGTTGTCGAGAGGTCTCTCGGGCAATCCCAACAGCGTCACCGGTCAACATTTTGATCGAAAGCCCCAACGACTTTGCTTCGTTGATTGTCTTTGCAGTATCATACCGAGGAGGGTCGGCACAGGGCATGATTCCTAACAACTCCCACGAGCTGTCCCCGCGCTTCCGTGCAACACCCAGAGATCGGAAACCCCTAGTAGCGAACTCTGCAACCTTGTTCTTGTATGCAATATCAATCTCTTCAGGAATTTGGTTATCATCCTGGACGGTCCGAAGGACGAAGAGGGGGGCACCCTTGACGCAGATTATGCGTTCCCCCTGAGGCGATTCGACAACGGCACTGACCTTTTTCGAGACCGGGTCGAATGGGGAGAATTGGACCATCTTGTACTTGGACAAAGCCTGCTTTGCTCGCGGATAATACCGGAGTGCTTTGAGAAAGGCTTTATCGATGGCATCCATGCCCTTTTTCTTCCTTGAGGCAGCAAGGCATGCAGTAAGCATAAGGTCTTCGGGATCCACACCTTGAACGGTGTACGGTTCGTGCAGGGAGAGTTTGTTCTTTGTCAATGTGCCTGTTTTGTCTGTGCAGAGAATCTCCACGCCCGCCAGCGACTCAATGGCGGAAAGTTTTTGAACTATGGCCTTCTTCTTCGCAAGGTAAGCCGCGCCAACAGCCATAGTGGTGGTGACGACGGCCGGGAGACCAACAGGCACGCCGATAATTGTGATTGCCAGAGTAAACCGAAGAATTGTGACGATACTATTGGACCGATAAAACGATGAAATCCAGACCACCAGGAGCGTAAAGACAACGAGGGCGAGGAGAACAGTGCCAATTCCATTGAGAACCTCAGTAAAATGACCAGAGCCGCCAGATGCTTCATTGACCAACGCAGCCGCTCGACCAACAAAAGTATTGTCTCCAGTCGCCGTAACAACCATGAAGCAGGAACCTCGCTTGACTGCCGACGAAGCATAGCAAGTGTCCCCTAGAGTCTTGTCAATAGCAAGAGACTCGCCCGTGATGGAAGATTGATCGACTTGTAGATAGGCGTCCTCGGTCACAATGCGGCCATCGGCGGGTATGATGGTGCCTTCTTCGAGCTGCAGGATGTCCCCGGGCACTACCATTGGGGACTCGATTTCGATTAAGCGACCTTCGCGGAGGACAACAGCCTTCAGAGCAAGAGTCTTCTTCAACTCCTCTACGATTGACCCGGCTTGGAACTCCTGAATGAATCCGACCGAGGCGTTGAGGAGAAGGAGGGCACAGATGACTCCAAAGTCAACCCAGTCTTCTAGACCGGCGGCAAGGATGGCAGCGGCCTATACCACAAGATATCAGTTTGAGTACTGGCGATATAGGGGTGGGTATGGTGGGGATAGAGTCCGTACCTCCATGACGAATTGAATCGGACCGACGAAGTAACCCAAGAACTTCAATAGCAGGTTCTCCTTTTCCTCCTTCATTTGGTTAAGTCCGTACTTCTTGCGTCTCGCCACCACCTCCGGCTCTATCAGGCCCACGCGTGGGTCTGTCTGAAGCATTTCTTCTGGCACGTTCCTCGTGCCTACCACAGTCTCAATCTCGGCTTCCAGCTCGGCGTCAGGGTCTAGGGACTCCAGCTCTTCAATAAGCGCGTCGACATCCTCATCTTCTTCTTCGTCATCATCATCCTTCTCTGTCCTCGACGCCTTTCGGGTCTCGAGAACGTTGCCATTGTGATCGAAGGGCTTTTCAGAGGTGAGGTCGGGGGTAGAATCCACATGGACCTGAGATGGGTGCTTTTTGGAAACGGATCCCGCCGAACTGATGTCGGAGGGTATGTCTACCATATTGAGTAAGATAGGGAGGTGTAGATAGGGTGGCGCTATGTCAACTCCATGAGGAAGCGCGGAGGCAGAGATCGTATTTGACTGAGGAGCGAGGACGCAACGGCGGTCGGTGTGCGGGAGGTTAGGAAGGACCGCGGAATGCAGTTGCCTCCACAGCAGGCGACGCAGGCCGAGCTGGAAGCAATGCTGACGTCGTATCAGTATGCGACGTCGCAGGAGGAACGGATAGGAGTAAAGAACAGACGAGAGACAGGCTGCCCGGAAGACTGTAGGAAGGCCATAATAGTACTGATGATGATGATGATGGAAGAGTCCGAGTTCCTCCCCGCAAACTTTGTGGATAACGATTCTATTTAGTAACTTCTTGGTGGACCTCGTAGCCGATCCGCACCACCGCCCCAACCGCTGCCACTGCTCAGACTCATGCCAGTCCTCCTTGCGCCATAATCTGTGCGCTCTTCTTTGCCGTGAGGGATGAGAAGCCTCGTCTGGCCCCTGAGTTGGGGCGCAGACTATCGCCCAATGGTCTATCCAACAGGTTTCTGTATGGTCTTTTCTTGTGCGACGTCTATGAGCCCAATGAGATACGAGGTGTGTTACCACTCTAACCTCTCCCACGTGCTGTAACATGTAGAGGGAGGGACTGACCATGCACCAACTAAGAGTTCTGCACCGAGAATGCGTCGATTTAATGTGCTACGCTGAACAGACGTCTCGAGCCTCACGCTGGCCAAGCAAGAGGCAGTTCAAGTGTGATTAGGAAAATCTGCGCTGTTGAGCCCCCCTCCAACTCTCCCCATTGGGACGGATAACGAACGGTGAGCACGACGCACAGTTCTTCCACCGCAGGTCAGCATTAGCATTGATTTTAGCACTGTCAGTCGTACATGAAAGAGAGCCCGCTTGAAGGAAGGTAATAGCTAGCCACCACCAGGGCGGCCCAACATTGCGAAGTCCACCATCATCCTTGCCAACAAGGACCACGGGGGAGCCACAAAATGCCCTCCTCATTGTCCCAACGCCAATATGTTTTAGCAACCATGTACAGGGGTATCATCCTAGCCCGTAGACCCAAGGCGTCCACGTTGGTGGAATCTGGTTGCCCTAGGCTGGTGTCACTCCGTGCCATCGCACCCTAGTATGCGTTTAATCCTGCTTGTTCTGTTGCTGGGATTGAGGGAATTGAAACCCCCCTGCGAAGACAGGCATGCCGTTAGGCATATTTCCAAAGTTCATTGGAAAGGGCATTGCTGCCATGCCACCGCCACCGGTGTTGCTGGAAGCCGAATGTCTATCATTTCGATCCCCCCGGCGATCATCGTCTCGATGTCCATCGTCGCGGCCGGAATGCTGGCGAGAAGATATTGGCCCCCGCCGACCACCCTGATCGGTGGCAATGCGCCGGCTCATGGCTGCAGGCACTGTTAGAACTTGCTCGAGCAACTAGAATTATCTCTCATACCTTTGGAGGAAACGCCCGCACCAATCTCGATGTCGGGTTCTTCAACCACCATATACTGTTCGATCGGAAGACCACCTGTCCCACCGTATTCAGCCGTCACCAGCCACTTGCGGTCGGCATCTGTCAAGCGTTCGATGGGGATGACGCTAATGCCGGTCGTGTAGTCGCTGCAGTCACGTGGTCCGAAACCCACGCCCCATTTAGTCTAGACATGTCATGTCAGTAACCACCTTGCCTCGAGTTGCCAAATTGATTTACTTACACGTAATTGCGTCTCGCCAGCCTTGTACTCTTCTAAACCAGTGCGGGCACTCTCTGCATCTCGACGATTGATCATCTTCACAAAGGCATGACGTTTGTCCACGTTGACAATGCAGGTCTGAACTATTCCGTACTTGCTGAAGATTGATCGCAAGTGTGCTTCACTGGAGGTGACGCCACCCACAAATAAAGTTCGACTGTATACCTTGATGTGACCTTTTGGCAGAGAGTGATCCAAAGTTATGTTCTTCGGGCCGGGTGGTGGCAGCTTGAAATCACTTGTGGGTGGTGTCGAAGTTCGACGTCTCCGACCAGCCGGGCTGCGTTGACGATAGTCGTTGCCACGCCTGCCATCACGATCATTACGGTACTGATCAGGGCCTGGGCTGTCTCTGCGGCGCCTGGGAGACATATCTCGGCGCCTGCCAGTGTCATACCCCGGAGAGCGAGACCGGCGTCGATACTGGTTCGGAGGTGAGCGAGTATGGGAGTCACGTGACTGACCTGCCGGCGGCTGACCAGCCCAATTGTTTGCTGGCAGAGCTGGCGGAAAGGGAAGGCCAGGCACACCGCCAATGTTTGCATTGGCACTTTGCAGGTTGATCAATTGAATTGCAGTAGCCCATTGTTCTGGAGGCACGCCTGAAGCAGCCAGGTGCTGCAAAATTTGGAACTGAGCTTGAGGATCTTGACCTAAGAGAGCGGGCATTTGTGGCACCGTAGCAGGAGCTTGTGGCTGAGGAAGAAACGCATTGAGCGGATTCTGAGGCACATTCGCAGGACTCTGATTTTGTGCACCATTACTCAGTCCAGCAAATAGAGCTCCGAGCGGGTTTACAGCCTGCCCATTGGCGGCAGCGGGAGCGGGAGCAAGGCCTGGGTTTACGGTACTGGTCGACGGAGCGGTCCCATTCTGCGTGCCTAACAGATTATTCAAACTAGATTGCGCGGGAGCGGCTGGCTGTGCTGCAGCATTCTGCTTTGCCATATTCTTGAGGGCCTCGAGGATGGCTGAAGTGTCTTGTTGAGGTGGCGCTGTAGAGGCGGGATTAGGGGCTGGTTGACCTAGGGGAACGAAGCCAGGCGCTGGCGACTTCTCTGGCGTAGTTGAGACTACCACGGGATTAGATCTAGCTCGTTACATTGCAGACAAGATGCAACAGCGGCTTACCTCTTGGGGCGTCAAGCTTTTCCTTGATCGATGTGAGCAAAGGGGTAGGAAACGTATTTGAGCGCTCCCATATCTCAACGAGCTTCTTGATTTTGACCTGGAAGAAATAAAACTGTGAGCACAAAGTCGCGAGCTGTGAAGACAAAGAGTGTGTGGCAGCGGGCACGGGAAGCGCAATATCTGATTTAGTGGACAATACATTGTCTCGGCATCCGGACACTGTAGTACTGAACTTATAATCATACCTTTTGGTCTTCTGGCGCTGTTGCGATGATGTCGTTCATGAGCACAGGCAGTAATTCAGTCACTCGAGTCACCCCAGCGGCGAAGGTACCATCAGGGGCTCCGCTACCGAGTTGTTGGCCCGTCTTTCTGGCTTGATCTACCCATTGTCGCGTTACCGAGTCTACAACATAGAGTACTCCCAGTTTGTGCGTTCCCGGCGTCTTTTTGAAATGTGTATAGATCTTCTGGATCAGGACCGACTCAGACTAGACGGTGGGTCAGTCATATGAAGCTTCGCAGGTGGCAAAAGAGTTGGCAAACATACTTGGATATTGGCGGTACAGAGCGAGGTGATGGAGGTAATCTTCGAACCAGAAACTCCTGGCGGCTTCAGGTTGAGCATGGACTGCAAGATGGAGTCCAGCTCCGCTACTGCAGAAGACATTGTGGACCAGCGAGATCTCCCTACAGGGTCGACGTCAAAGGATACTTTGCAATAGAATGGTGCTGGCTAGGTTGGAGGCAGGTGCAAATTCTGAAGGCGGCAAGGTGGGAAACCAGCCGACGCGTCAGACGGTTCCCACAAGAGGCCTTACAGACTCGGAGTACAATGAAGTGAAGTAGAATGAGGCCAGACGAAGTTGTGTGGCTTTCTCTTTCCTGCGACAACCAAGACGACGCAGACTTCTCTACAGTCCGAGTGGCTAGCAGCTCCTGCGGGATGGCAACACCGAGAGGGCGAGGAATACTATCGGCCAGACGCAACGAGAGAGAGATACTCCGGGGAAGATGAGATTACAGAAGACTGATGGCGCTACGTGCGCAGAGATGGGAGGATGAGGTTGAAGTCGAGGGGGGTGGGTGGTGGACGAGTGATGAAGTTGGTAAGAGGTTGGAAGAGAAGAAGCGGAGATTTGAACAGACTCTGGGAAGCGCAGACGTAGTGATACAGCACAGGCGAGGCGTGGCGCAGGCAGGCAGGCAGGCAGGCAATTTGGCGCGGACTCCTCACTTCAAGCTGGTTTGAACTTTGCAGCAGCCCTATGCACGTGACTGGGCGTTATTTCGGACTGCGACATTTATGCAACCCACTTTCAAGTTCGCAGAGCTGCTTGGCTCAGGCCTGTTGCTGTGCGCGCCCCGGCCGATTTGCCGGCCCCCCAGTAGAAGTAGCACAAGCCCCGGCGGGATTATTATTGAATGAACCCTGAGCTACCACTGTGCGAGAGAGGCCGTGATTGGCTTCGACTGGTCAAGGGATGGATAATACCTTACTCCGTACAGATCTCGACAGCGGTGGCATTGAAGGGAAGTTCTTCCGAGCCCGGAGGCCCGTCAAATCTTTCTGGTGCCCATCTGCTTGAGGTAAATACAGTAGCTTCTTCCCTATCATCATCACTGCTCAGCTGTTTCTCCAACTGATTGTCCTCCTGCTCTCCCACTTGTTGTTTCTTCACTTGGCCGGTTTCTGTCCTTCCCACTCCTACTACCATGGCTTCGTCGCTTCGATTTGGGAGCTCGCTACTCCGCTCGTCGAGACCCCTCGTCCAGAAATCTGCCTTCAATGGTGTTCGCTGCGCAAGCACTCAAGTAAGCATACGCCGGACCCTTGAAACCTTGGTACTAACCCAATTTCTGTCCAGTCTCTGAAAGAAGTCTTCGCCGCTAAGCTTCCCGGGGAGGTCGAGAAGGTCAAGAAGCTGCGAAAAGACTATGGCAATAAGGTCATTGGCGAGGTCACTCTTGATCAAGTCTACGGTGGTGCTCGAGGCATCAAGTCGCTGGTCTGGGAAGGTTCCGTCCTCGACTCAGAAGAGGGTATCAGATTCCGTGGGAAAACCATTCCGGAATGCCAGGAAGTCCTTCCAAAGGCTCCTGGTGGTGAGGAGCCTCTGCCAGAAGGGTTGTTCTGGCTGCTCTTGACCGGCGAAGTCCCCAGCGAGCAACAGGTCAAGGATCTGTCTGCCGACTGGGCTGCCCGTTCAGATCTCCCCAAGTTCGTTGAGGAGCTCATTGACCGCTGCCCTACGGACATGCACCCCATGGCTCAATTTTCCATCGCCGTGGCCGCCCTCGAACACACCTCCGAGTTTGCCAAAGCCTACGCCAAGGGCATTAACAAGAAGGAATACTGGAGCTACACCTTCGAGGACTCGATGAACCTGATCGCGAAGCTACCTACCGTCGCAGCCAAGATCTACCGCAATGCATACAAGGATGGCAAGGTTGCCCCGATTCAGAAAGATAAGGACTATTCCTTCAACCTGGCCAACCAGCTTGGATTTGGTGACAACCATGACTTTGTCGAGCTCATGCGCCTTTACCTCACAATCCACTCCGATCATGAGGGCGGCAATGTGAGCGCCCACACCACTCATCTGGTCGGCAGTGCCCTGAGCTCCCCCTACCTGTCTTTTGCGGCCGGTCTCAACGGCCTGGCCGGGCCTCTTCACGGATTGGCCAACCAGGAAGTCTTGAACTGGCTCACCAAGATGAAGGAGACCATTGGCGACGACCTCAGCGACAAGGCCATCACTGACTATCTCTGGTCCACTCTCAACGCCGGCCGTGTGGTTCCTGGCTACGGTCACGCAGTTCTCCGCAAGACTGACCCTCGCTACGTCTCGCAGCGCGAGTTTGCTCTTCGTAAACTACCCAACGACCCAATGTTCCAGCTTGTCAGCCAGGTCTACAAGATTGCTCCAGGTGTCTTGACCGAGCATGGCAAGACCAAGAACCCATTCCCCAACGTCGATGCTGTAAGTCGTACCCGAATTCGCCAACGAATGCTTCTTGACTGACCTGACTATCTAGCACTCCGGTGTCCTCCTCCAATACTACGGGTTGACCGAAGCTAACTACTACACTGTTCTCTTCGGCGTCTCCCGCGCTCTTGGTGTCCTGCCGCAGCTTATTATCGACCGCGCCCTAGGTGCTCCGATCGAACGACCCAAGTCTTTCAGCACGGAAGCTTACGCCAAGCTGGTTGGAGCTACATTGTGATGGGAATGGTCTGGAAGATTCAACAAGCAAGCGATGTACAGCAAGAGAACTTTGTAGGTCTACATGGGGAATGGGGATGGACGGCTGGAGCCCGGCTATGGTCAGTTGTGGATTGAGCCAGTCAATATGCCACTGCATTGTGATTGACGAAAGTTCTTGGATTGCGAGGCCGTCTTTGAGTTCTCTGTGCTGTGCTTCGTAAGGTCCCTTTTTTTTTGCACGGCGGAGGGACATCTGGGGGCGCAGGCCGTGACCAGGCGCCCAAAGGGTGGGACAGCTTACACTGTATCCTTACAGCCGTGTAGCACTCGAATCTCACTGCAGTGCACGGATGTCCTACACTTGAGACAGCTGGTCTCCAGCTAAACTTTTTTTCCTTCTTCCATGTTGAGATGGCCGTTTACTGTTGGGTCGCCGGACGGTACCAACCGGCCCACCCTCAGCCACTGTAAGCACCTAATAGGAGGCCTAAGCCCGTAAGACTAGGGTTCAGTAGCAAGAATAGGCACGGGGTGGCTTCAGGGTGAGAGTCACCGTGCGCTCAACACACCCGAGACGGCGGACTAGGCCTCTTTTAGCCCCAACATTGAACATGGGGGAATGGTGAAATGACATCGAGGGATGCCTGCGCCGAAGCACGATAATGGTACAGTAATACCTGGGCAGTGATGCTGTGTTTGGTTCGCCAATTACTCTGGCCCGGTCACCGACTCGGCTGAATCAATATCGGGTGCCAAACCTCGTACTCCGTACTCCGTATCTGAATTGTGTATTCCCGTATCTGTCCAGCGTCAGCACCCCCAGTCACATAATCTCCGCTCCTCAACAATCCCGTCACCGCGCGTCAAGCAACCTCTTCCTAATTACGGGTCGCTGAATCTTGGTCTTGAATTTATCCTTGGATCATCATCATCACCCATAACACAACACACCGTCCGCATTTTCCTTCGTTCCCCTTCTCGTACACCTACTCCTCAAGGCGACGAAGCCGGCTCCTCCCTTGGTCAGGGCAGACAATAGTCACCACTTCCTTACGATGTCCGCTCAAGCAGTGACTGGGGAACCGATCCCAGTTGTTCCCCGTATCGAGAAGAAACCTGTCAAGTTCAGCAACCTGCTGCTGGGTGCCGGGCTGAACTTGTTTGAGGTCACGACGCTGGGACAACCGTTGGAAGTCATCAAGACGACCATGGCCGCCAACCGAAAAGACACCTTTGCAGGTGCCATGGCGAGGATATGGGGCCGCGGTGGTATCCTTGGATGTAAGCAAAACAACTTCCCGAAATATACACACATTGGAACAGCTACAAGCCCGAAAGGAGAAAAGATTTCAAGTTCTTTATAAATGACCTCGGCTTAATGTCTAGCTGGGCTAAGCGATTGCTTTTCACATTTTTGGGGACATTGGTGACTGACTTGACCTTTTTGGGCATCGATAGACTACCAGGGCCTCATTCCTTGGGCCTGGATCGAAGCCTCGACCAAGGGCGCCGTGCTGCTCTTCGTCGCCTCTGAAGCCGAATACCGAGCCCAAACCTTTGGAGCCAACCACTTTGTCGCCGGGATTGCTGGGGGCATGGTAGGCGGTGTGGCCCAGGCATACGCCACCATGGGATTCTGCACCTGCATGAAGACGGTGGAAATCACCCAGCACAAACTGGCCGCGCAGGGCGTGAAGCCGCCCTCGACGTTCAAGACGTTCGCCGACATCTACCGAAAGGACGGTATCCGAGGCATCAACAAGGGCGTCAACGCTGTCGCCATCCGCCAGACCACCAACTGGGGTTCTCGCTTTGGCCTTTCGCGCCTGGCCGAGACCGGCATCCGCAGAGTCACCGGGAAGGAGCATGGCGAACAGCTCAACGCCTACGAAAAGATCCTGGCCAGCGGGCTCGGCGGTGGCTTGTCAGCCTGGAACCAGCCGATCGAGGTCATTCGTGTCGAGATGCAGAGCAAAACCGAAGACCCGAACCGGCCCAAGAACTTGACCGTCGCAAAGACGTTCCGATATATCTACGACTCCAACGGCATCAAAGGTCTCTATCGGGGTGTTACTCCTCGCATTGGCCTCGGCATCTGGCAGACCATCTGCATGGTTGCTTTGGGTGATATGTAAGCCCTTTCCACCTCCTCTTGACCGCGATCAAGAGCCCAAGTATCTGACGCATGCTAACAACCCCGATTAGGGCCAAGGAAGCGGTCGAAAAACTCACCGGGGATAAGGTCACCGCGAAGCACTAAATGGCGTGGCGTTTTGATTCAATGGAGATCATTTGGCAGTGGCATTGGCCATGGGCTTTATTCTAGGCCGGGCTATTAGGCCGGGCCGGGTTGCGGGAAAGGAACAGAAGCATTGGCCCCTGTGCAGGTTGACGGAGAAGCGAGAGAAGCGTAACACTATATGAGCATTTTGTCCATCCGGGTTGCATTCCATCGTCACACCACGTCTGCGGCCCATCGGGTTGTCTCTTTTCTGGCGTCGATCGCGCCCTATACAAAAGCAGGGCGCCTACTACATATTGATAGATAGGTGATTAGTATACTATGCATCCTCAGCCTCGCCAGTAGAACTTCCAACCGGGACAAATTTCAGAGGCCATGGTCATGGCCATGGGCTCCACTCCGTGTTAGACATTTCGAAACTGTCCCCGAGGCATGCCATGGTGTTCGGTTCCATAAATAAGCTCGCAAGACTGAGCCGGGACGGTGCACGACAACGACCGCAGCTACTACGACCATACTGCAGGTCAGCCTGAAGCGTCTCGTGTTGATACGAGTGAACACCAAATGCCGAATTCATGTCCTCTGGTTCGCTCGTAGCGTTTGACTGATCTCTGCGCCAACATCACTGAGAGCAACCCGTCCGGCCTTCGTCCAAGTCTGGGAGCGATCGATCGATCAGATGAACGTCGTCCCCGCAAGGACGTCGGGACCGAGTGAGGAATCAGATATTTTATGGCAAGACAATATACTTCTCGAGGTGCTTGGGAATTGCGCCTCTCAAGTTCTTGCTCTTCAACCACTTGTCGCTGAACAGGCGGTCTGCGTATCTGTACGCGCCGTCACAGAGGACAGTAACGACGGTGTGATTCGGGCCCAATTTCTCGGCGACTTCTTTGGCGGCTACGACGTTCAAGGCACTGCTGGCTCCGAGGTACAGCCCCTCTTCATCGAGACAGCGATAGACCATCTCAATGCTCTTCTCGTCCGAGATATGTAAGGCGCCGTCCAGCTCGCCGACTTCTTGTTTCAGATTGTCGGTGACTCGCCCTTGGCCAATGCCTTCGGTGATACTGCTGCCCGACCGCTCCTGGAGCTGACCTCCAGAAGTGATGTATGAATACAGAACCGAGCCAGGCGGGTCAGCAAGGAAGGACTTGACCGAACCGTTGCTAACATCTTTCAGAAACCGCGTCGTGCCGGCCAGAGTGCCTCCCGTGCCAGTCGCGCATGTGAAGGCATCGATTTTGCCCTCGGTCTGCGCCCATATTTCCGGACCTGTCGTCTCGATGTGCGCTCGTCGGTTGGCGACGTTGTCGAACTGGTTGGTCCAGACTGCGCCGTGTTCGGGGTCCTCCTTCTGGAGTCTTTCCGCGTGCCGCTTTGCTTGCCAGTTGTAATTTTCCGGGTTCTCCCATGCCACGGCCGGCACGGGATAGACCTCAGCACCAAGCAACCTCAGAAGGTCGATCTTGCCTTGTGATTGAGTGTTGGGCATGTAGATGACCAGGTTGTATCCTCGTGACCTGCACACGTGCGCAAGACCAATGCCTGTATTCCCGGCGGTGCCTTCGACCACTGTGCCTCCTGGTTTGAGGAGACCCCGCTCTTCAGCATCCTTGACCACGTAGAGCGCAGCTCGATCTTTGACGCTGCCGCCAGGGTTTTGGAACTCGGCTTTGCCTAGGACGTTGCAGCCGGTTTGCGCAGAGAGCTTCTTGAGTTTGATTAGTGGTGTATTGCCGATAGCTATATAGTCAGGCGGTTAGTAGGGGAGGTGAATGTTTTGCTCATGCTCGACTCGCACCTCCAGTCAGTCCGTCGACCACCCCTTGAGCTTGGGAGACTCGGACCCCGTAGGCGTTGAGGGATTCCGCAGCTGCGGCCCGCACTGCGGTAGTTGCAAACCTGCGCACAGAGGTTCTCAGGACATTCGCCATAGCTGCAATGGAGGCCGTCCACGTGAACGCCTAGAAATGCTCTTAAGGGGCCCTGGGCGAAACTCGCAGATGTAGGAAACAGGAGGGGAGAAATCACCGGCCTGCTCTGGCGGCGAAATCGAAATCGAAATGTGATGGTACCATTGCACATTGAAATCGCGGCTGCTGACATAACCTGCTCGGGGCCAGCCACCAATCACAATCGACCAACTCCCCGACGAGGCTCCCGGTATCCTTTTCCCCCCTGTTTGCGCAATCGGCACGGTCAAATGGGCAGAGTATTGGACGCATATAGTTTGATCTCTAGTCTATGCACGCATGCTCTTTCACCCTCTGTATGGCACTGTAGTCCTCTTTTGTTTTACGGTACGGGTTCCATCCACTCATTTAGCTCTCCCGCCATCATCCCTGGTGGCGTTTGACCCAGCCTTCCCACCAGCACCTGGCCTTTTGCTCTCTTCAAGAACTGTCCATCGGTTGGCTGCCCCAGGATGCCTTCTCCATGTCCCTGGCTAAGCTCTACGTCTCTGTTCCATTTCACCTCGCCCCTCAACACCACAAATCTCGGCCAATTGCACACTTTAATGCCCTCAAACGGCGTATAGTCAATACAATGATGGAGCAGTCCATTCGAGACTGTCGTCGCAGCATCCGCATGGCCACTCGGGTACCAGATGACCAAGTCAGCATCGTATCCTGGTGCAATGCTGCCCTTTTTGCCCGCGAGACCGTACATCTTTGCCGGATTAGTCGAAGTGAGTTCCACAAACCTCGGCAGCGACAGCCGCCTTGCTGCGGGCGCCGAAGTATCAGTCGCCGCGGAGAACAGGATCGGTAGCCTTGTCTCAACGCCGGGGAGACCATTAGGGATCTGCACGAACGTGGGTACAGAATTCGTCGCCTTCGCGTCAACTAAAGGTTTTCTTTTGCCCCCGGCGGAGTTGTATAGGGAAGGAGCATGGTCAGACGATATAACGGTGATGGTGCCGTTGTTCACACTATCCCATACGCTTTGTAGGTCGTCTTCAGAGTGGCGTAATGGAGGAGCGCATACGTGCCTCGCCCCGGCCCATTCGTCCTCTAGCTCGTGACTGTGGCCGTGCTCGTCCAGCGTTGCGATGCTCGTCGCCGCCAGCTGCGATGACAGAAGGTACAGGTAATGCGGGCACGTCTCAGCATGAACGGGTAGCAGAGACTTGGATTGTGCTTTGCGGGCGTGGGACAACGCGACTGGCGAAGACATGTGGACGATCAAGATTGGGGTGGACGCTACTGTCGCAAGGGAGATGGCCCGGTTGGTCGCTTCAGCCTCGGCGATCTGTGGGCGCGCGATCGCATGGTACTTGGGCTGAGTGCGGTGGTACTTGAGCAGGCGCGTGGTAATCCTGTGGTCGTAGTGGTTGTTAACAAGTAGCTCCTTTTCTTTCATTCGCTCGGCGCTCTTCAGGAGCAACAGCAGAATCATCAGGGTGTCCGGGCTAGAGCACGTACATGTCAATCATGTCACTGTTCTCGGCATGTATCATGGTGGTCATTCCCAACTGTCTCGCTCGCATCATAATTTCCAGCATATCTCCGTCGCCGAGCTTCATGGCCGGATAAGTCATGTAGAGCTTAACACTAGTTATTCCTTCACGCTCGACCATCACCTGCAGCTCGTTTTCCAGGATTGACTCTGTAGGCCTGGTCAAGATCAAATGGAACCCGTAGTCCACATAACTCTGGTTTCTAGCCCGGTTGTGGTATTCTTCCACGACAGGGAACAAAGATTCGTCAGTGCGCCTCTGTGTTGCGAAGGCGAGGATTGTGGTGTTCCCCCCAGCCAGGGCGGAACGTGATCCACTAAGCCATTTGTCGCCCGTAGGAGCATTGTCCTGGTCCAGATGAACGTGAGTATCCACGCCGCCAGGAGTCACATAGGCGCCCTCTGCATCGATGACCGTCGTTTGAGGGCCTGCTGGGAGGAAGAGGGCAATGGCGACAATAATGCCTGCTTTGATGCCGATTGAAAGACCAGGTTGTAGTACTTCTGTTGCTGTGACCTGTAAACGTGTCAGAGGGACTCATCGATGGGCAGGCTCGGTTAGAGGCGCACTATCGTTGCATTCTGGACTATGAGATCAAGATCCATCTCCGAACATTGACCAGGGCGTAGGGTTGTTGTCCACTAAGATAATGATCACATATATAGAGAGCCTTCAGGGTCGATTTGACCACGATAAACAAGGTGTATACTTGTGAAGCAACAAAGACTTGGGACAAAGCAAGGAAACAAATGTGAAGGGTAGACTTACCCTAAGGTGTTCTCTATTCTAATGACTGGTGATTCATATTATCTGTGCACATTAGTCGTTATCGAAAGGGAGGGAAGTGTTTGCGGTAAACTCCGATCAGCAAAGTATTCGAGCAGGCTGTCGCCAGATAACAATGCCTTCTTTTTCATCTATTTATCTCTCTGTATCGTCAACGACTCTGATGCAGTAGTCGAGTCCCGCTGGATGAAGGCCTCTTGTAGGAGTCGATCAATTGAACTACTTGGGAATCAATCCTGGAATCGTCTCCATATTCTTGCAAGGTTGGTACTATTCCTTTCCACTTGGAATCTTGAAGAACTCGCCCGGCGATTCCTTGGTAGCAGCTTTGTCACATCGGAAATATCCCTTTCGGTCGAACTGGATCACGTCGTCGACCTTCACATCCCACACATTGCAATCTGCCAGGGCGGACGATCTGAACTCGGTCTTTGGCGTCAAGAAATCCTCCCAATGCTCTTCCTCCTCTTCGGTCAGCTTGTCTTTGCTCAAGAGATGGTCGAAGTCCACCAGTTCGACAGGAACAAGATCTTGGTCCTTAGATAACCATGTAATCTTCTTCTTTGTCGCCTTGAAGTCGCCGTCGAGATGAAGCTCAAGTTCTATTGAGCTAACATTCCCCAAAGCATCGACACCATCGGCAATGTCACTCTTGCCACTCGTTTTCTCGTACTGAATGTTTCGGACGTAAGCGTTGCCCCAATTCATGAGTGTGATCTCCTCATCTTTGGCAAAAGTTCGAGCATCTTCCTGTTCTATGAGGACATTCGAACTGTAGACAACTTTCTTCTGTCCCAAATCGTACTTTGCATGTTTGGGTTTCATCTCAGAGTAAGGATCATCCTTCAGGCCTTTGATCTTGCACACGACATGCTTGGTGTCAATGGCAGTATATCGCCCCGCTTGCAGATCGATCACCTTCTTGTTCATGGTCCAAATGGTATGCCAGTCCATGTTGACAACGTTCTTGCTAGGTCCTTGGCTCACCATGAAATCTCTGAGGCCTTCAATAGTCATACCCCGTCGTCTGATGCCGCGGACAGTTGGAAAGCGTGGATCATCCCAGCCGGACACAACACCAGCATCCACCAGCTTAGTCAGTTTACGCTTGGACATGAGTGTGCGTATAAATTGGATTTTGGAGAAGGTCCAGATAAATGGAGCTCTCAGTTCCAATGCTTTCAGGATCCATTTATACTGAGCGTCTTGATCGTTGTATTCGGTTGTTCTCAAGGCATGAGTCACTCCTTCGAGAGAGTCAACGACGGGGCAAGCGAATTGGTATGTAGGGTAGGCCTTATATTTGTCCCCGGTCCGATGATGAAGGGTCTGGTTTTTCGGACAGCGGAAGATGACCGGGTCTCTCAAAGAGGCATTATTATTGGCGTGTGATATTTTCGCTCGAATGCACCATCTTCGTCCTTCCTCCGTTCCCTTCTTCATCTCCTCATATCTGGCGAGGTTTTCCTCAATACTGTCGTCGCGGTGGACACTAGGCTCTCGGGCCATCCTCTGAGCACTCATAACATCACCAGGAGTGTCGTCGGCAAACGCCTTGCCTGCTTTGATGATCTTGACACAGTACTCGTCAATTTGGTCGAAATAGTCACTTGTGTAGGAGATCACGTCTGGCTTGATCCCCAGCAGTGCCACGTCTTCCCGGATTGCGTCTTGATACTCAGCGTTCTCTTTCTCAGTATTGGTGTCGTCGAAGCGAAGAATCAGTTTTCCTCCCGGGTATTGAATGTGCGCAAAGTAGTCATTGAGGAGAGCCGCCTTGGAGTGGCCTATGTGTAGGTAACCTGAGGGCTCTGGTGGAAATCGGGTCACGACGCCGGCATCAGCGTTTGGAAGCTCCATTTGCTTGACCTTGGGGGCCTTTTTAGGCTTGGGGGGGTTTTTCGTCGCCATATTGGGCTGCAGATGGTAAGTTGGAGGGCAATAAAGGTCGAGAGGTGGAAGAGAGGCGAGGACAGATGCTAATGAGTCAAGTTGCAACTTTTCTCGCACGTTGGCCCAACCAGCCTTGCGCGGGGATGGCGGCGACTGCAGCCTTACGAGATTCTCACAAATTTCAAACCCGGCAAACCTGCCAAGACAAGCATAGCGCGAATTGACGCCGAGATCAGGCTCTAGACGTCGGAGCTGGTTGTATGAACTTTCGGTGTCAATGGAAATCTAGAACACCTCTTTGTCAGTGTTTCTATCACTGCGGCCATGGAAATGCCGCGAGGGCTGTCTCTGGCCTCTCGAACTCTTTGCAGATCAACAACCTCTTCGTTCCTTGCCCCTTTCACGACCACGCCACGAACAGGATGTCGATCCTTCTCTTCCGTCCCCATACTTTTCGCTCCTCGACAAGGTGGCGGGTCCAAAGACAAGGCTGCTAAGGAGAAGGCCAAAAGGAGAAAGAAGAAGCATCAAATGTACAAGCAGTACGATCTGAAGGAAATGGAACAGTTCACACTCTGTGAAGCGATGCGGTATGTGGTGTTCTTTGCGACCGGTCTTCCACACCTGCTGACACGGATTGAAGCTATATCAAGGCCTTTGAAGTTGGGCACGATGCCGACATTCCGAAATACGACATTCATATCAAACTCCGAACGAGGAAGGATGGGCCCGTCGTCAGAAACCAGATTCAGCTACCCCATGCCGTCAAAACGGACATCAGAGTTGCCGTCATCTGCCCTCCCGATTCTCCTGCTGCAAAACAGGCACGAGCAGCAGGTGCAGCCTTGGTAGGCGAGGAAGAGATCTTTGCGAGAATTAAGGAAGGAAAGATCGATTTCGACAGATGCTTAGCTGTTTCTACATCTCTCCCGAAACTGAACAAGGAGGGCCTGGCAAGGATTTTGGGCCCCCGAGGTTTAATGCCCAGTGTCAAGCTCGGCACGGTTGTAGATAACCCGGGTCAGGCAGTCAAGAACATGCTGGGTGGGAGCGTGTACAGAGAACGTCAGGGTGTTGTTCGGATGGCTGTTGGCCGGCTCAACTTCACCCCGGAGCAGCTAAGGGACAATGTCAAAGCCTATGTGAATGCGGTCAAGAAGGATTCCGCTGCTCTGAGCGATCAGATTGTCAAACAGATCTCCGAAGTGGTACGTCCAGTGAAGCTCGAAATGCTGCGTCGGTACTGATGTCTCCTAGGTCTTGAGCTCGACGAATTCTCCCGGCTTTTCACTCAGCGGCGACTTCTACAGAGCAGAACCAGGGGCGCCGACTCCGCGTGAACTGGCTGTGGCATGAAAGCTCTTGAACAAATACCTGTCCCTGCTTATGAGTGTATTCTATCATTGGTGTAATGGAAGGCGATGAATTTGGTCTCAACAAAACTCCATGGACTTGGTACCGCTCGCATATATCAATGCTCCACGGCAGTGCGAACCTGCAGCACCTGTTGTTTGGTCTTGCCCTCGGGTTCTCCCTTGATAGTAAGATCGAGGTCGGACAACAAAATCTCCTGGATTTTCCTCATCCGGGGTTCCTGAGCCAATATAAAAGGATGACGCGGGCTGTGCCTGCCGGCGAGATGTTTCAGAATCAGAAATTCTTCAATCCTCCGCCTCAGTCTGGGCGACAGCACAGCGCCTTCATCCGAGTCATATTCTTCGTCACTTTCACTGACGACCATCTCCGTCCACTCTTCACCCCATTGTATATCTTCTTCCTGAAATTTTCCATCTGATGGATCTGAGGCCCTGCCACGGGAAATGTTTAACTTCCCTTCTAACTGGTCTAAACGCTCTGCCAGCTCAAGCAGTGCCCGTCCCACACCAACCTCTTGCTTGAGTACTTTCTTCTGTTTCAGTAGTTCCGTCACCTCTAACCTTCTCGCATCGACCTTTTCTCTGACAGCTTTGATGTCTCGTTGAAACCCTAGCATCCCGACTCGAATGTCTTCGATCTTCTCCTCGCCACCCGACAGAGTGCTGCCCAAAGAGAGGAATTCTTGATAGTTGTCATTGACCAAATCCACCAGTTCTTTGTTGAGTGTGTGGCTCAGGTCACGTAACTCAGTCTGGAGATCTTCCAGCGTCTGAAAGCGATCAGACAAGCTAGACAAGAACCTAGTGGGATCGAAATCGGGAGTGAGGAAGTCTGAGCGGTCTATTGGCTTTGGGAACGGCAGTGGCGCATCGTTGTCGCCCACATCAGAACCTGAGTCTGAGCCACCAAACTAATCGCAGTCAGTTTGGGTCGGAGGAGAGGTACAGTCTATAAACAAACATAAAAGCGACTACTCATCTTGACCGGCACGACCTGATAAGTGAACTTGTCGTCCGGGCCTTTGTCGTAGCCATCGTCGGTCAGGGGGCCATCATGTCGTCAGTCAGTCTTTTATGGATATGTGCGCGGTCATATGTCAACCTCAGAAAGTTTGGAAAGGACTATTCTTTGTTGCAAGTGCTAGGCGGTGAAGGTAAGTAAGGCAGAAAATGATGGATTAACACAGAAGACACGCGGAGTGCTCACATGCGCGTCACTGGGATTGTTCCCCGCGCGGTGTGATAAATATTTAAGATCACCACCTACTTTTGCTGCTGAATACCCAACGAAGCCGCACGTTGCTTCTATCAAAAAGATAGATATATCTTCCTTGATTACTGCAGTCCTCTTGTGAAGCGTACGTCCGCCGAGACCATGGCAGGCGTAGCAGCGCAAGGCGCTGCGGCGCTTGCAGCCTCAGACGCTCCGACGGCCTTGTCTGCATACACGCAGGCACTGATCGAACACCCCAGTTCTCCCGACTACTTTGTTCAACGATCAATCGCCTTTACACGACTCAAACCTCCTCGACATGATCTCGCTCTCAAGGACGCAGAGTACGCAGTTCTCCTGGCTTACAAACGTGCAAAGAGAGACAAGATTCAAGCAGCCCAGCACCGACGGGTGGTGGCTCTGTATGGGCTCGGTCGCTATGCCGACGCCATGTACATTCTGACCACAATGGAAAGATGGAGGCCAGACAACAACAAGCCTGCCAGAATGGAAGGTGACATGTGGATGGCGAGGTTGGAAACAAAATTGAAGACAGTTCCCGAGTCAGAGCAGTTGCCCACGACCAAAGAATGCCCGGAGATCGAGCTACCATCAGAAGGCAAGCTGAAGGAGCAACTCAAGGCACAGTTGAACGCAGACGGCTCCTACAAATTTGATCAGACTACCGATGTCGTGTCGACCACAACACCCACTCCTCATGCAGACGCAAACGCAAACACAAACGCTACCGCTACGACAAACCGTGACAATGCCGCACTCACCCCCGCCCAGCCCACCACTAATGATGTCCCCAAGATCCGACACGAGTGGTACCAGAATGCGCAGTCAGTTACCATCACTCTGTACGCAAAAGGAGTGTCGAAAGACAGCGCTGAGATCGACGTGAAGGAAGATTCACTTTACATTTCCTTCCCTCATCCAGCCAACGCGTCCTCAACCTTCACGTTTTCTCTCGACCCTTTGTTTGCACTCATCGATCCAAGTCAGAGCAAGTCTGCTGTCATGTCGACTAAGATAGAGTTGACGCTCAAGAAAGTGCAGCAAGGTCAGAAATGGCGCAGTCTGGAAGGCACCACTCCGCTCAAAGGTTCGATTCCGGACGATAATACGAAGGACGATGCCGCCAAAGCCGCGATCATATCTACCATCACAAATTCGCAGTCTGTAAATCCCGCGACTGAGTCTTCAACCACAGCCGCAACCACGACAGCGACCGCTGCAGTCCCAGTGTATCCGACCTCTTCTCGTCATGGTCCAAAAAACTGGGACAAACTCGCCAACGACCTGCACTCGCAGTACAAGTCTAAGAAACCTAGCAAGTCAAAGTCTACCACGTCTACGACAAAGAAGGCAGATTCCACTTCCAAGACAGTTACTCACGGCGACTCTCCTCCAGCATCTGGCGACGAGGCCGATGAAGATATCGACTCAGACTACGACAGCGCTGATCCAGTGGACGGGTTCTTCAAGAAGCTGTATGCTGGAGCAGATGCCGATACTAGGCGAGCGATGATGAAGTCGTTCTACGAAAGCAAAGGAACCGCCTTGAGCACGAACTGGTCGGAAGTCGGGCAGGCGCCAGTGGAGGAGGTCAAGAGCAAGAGTGATGAGTGATGAGTGATTTGGCCATGGATGCAGCTGCGTGAAGACACGGAGTAAGAATGCAGCACGAAGACATGGAGTAAGGATGCAGCACTCGTGTTGACGACATGACGGTTATGAGGCTACGGTTTAAAAAAAAGGCTAGTAAAAGACTCTGCTTAATGTCTGCTGGCGTAGCTAGTGCTAGGTTTCAGCAAAATGAGCTTGACCTGTTCTCCATCCCGAGTTTGCTCTTGTTCTTTTCACTCTGAGCTTGTTCTCTATGCTGACGTTGGCCTTGTTCTCGATCCTAAGCATGCCTGATGCCGATTCCGATACCGAGTCCGATACTCGCTTATTTATCTACCGCCGAGTGCGTTGGAATGGTTTTCCATGTTCCGACGTGGCTCAGGTCATGACGCTGGTTCCCACTCCGATTGCGACTTTGACTTTGACTTTGACCATGACCGTACCTAAGATGCTGGTGCTGGGGCTGTTGTTGGTGCTGGTGCTGGTGCTGGTGCTGGTGCTGGTGCTGGTGCTGGTGCTGGTGCTGGTGTTGGTGTTGGTGTTGGTGTTGGTATTGACGATATCTGATCGGCGACGGGCGACGGAGGCCGAGGCTGAGTGGACCAGGCCTCAGACTCGGATTCGGACTCGGACAAGAGATTCCCTTTCCTTTGCCATGGCCTTTGCCCTTCAGAGGCGAAGGCGAGGTGGACGAGGACGTGAACGTGGATGTCGACGTCGAGGTTGATGTGGACGTGGATGTCGATGTGGACGTCGGTGTCTTGGACCAATCCCCAGCTGTCAACCTGCCTGTGGCCCGGGCAGGTATGTTTGGCGGAGCAGACGTGGCTGAATGGGAAGGATTCAGTGGCGGCAGCGGCAGCGAGGTCATCGGTGGCGGGTTTGTGTAATTCCGAACAGATACACATGCAGATGCCTCTCGTCCGGACTGGGACTGGGCGTTCATTCTGGCCTTACTGGTAAACGGTGCACCACTACCGCTACCACTACCACTGCCACTGCCACTGCCACTACTTGCTGCTGCTGCTGCTGCTACTACTGCTGTTATTGTTGTTGTTGTCGTCGTCGTCGTCGTTGGTTGTGGGGCTCTGCAGGTCGATGGTCCTGATCCTGGTCCTGATCCTGGTCCTGTTCCTGTTTCTGCGTGTTTACCATTCTCCCTGACCGCCAGTTGTGCAAGCAGTCCAGGAGACGACCGTGAGTGGTGTAACGAAGTCGAAGTCAAAGCCGGAGTCGAGTTCATCCCATTTTTGCCTGTGCCCACACCCACACCCACAAGAATCCCCGTACTTAACGCCCGGATTGTCGGATCGGCGCTCAACGGAGCATGATGAAGAGCCGGCGACCAAGCTGGTGCAGGGGCAGCTGGGAGTGGTGGGCTATCGTCACGGCCATCGCCAGAGCCATCGCCATCGCCATCGTCATCGCCATCGCCAGAACTCCTCTTCCTAGCAAGTGATGATGTCGCTATTGCTGTGGTATGCTTGACTGGGAATCCCATTTCCATTCCCACTCCCACTCCCACTCCCACTCCCGAGTGCTGTGGCACATGTCCATCCTGAATCAGGCCCAGCCTCTGCGCCAGCTTAGTTGGGCTGTCAGCAGTATTCGTTTTCGTGTTCGCATTCACATTGGCATTCGCGGTCAGGGCTGCGTTTGCACGACTAGGGGTCGTCCGGGACGTAGTAGTGGACGACAGGGTTGATGGTCGTGTTTGCGTTGATGACTGCGACAAAGTCGAACCTGAACCTGAACCTGAACCTGAACCCGAATCCGAGCTCGAACCTGAACTTGAACCTGAGCTCGGCAATGATGAGAAGTTGCAGCCAAACCCGAACCCGAACCCGAACCCGAACCCGCGCTCACGGTTGTTCAGATCTAGCGACACGCCCTCGGACACGGAACGCAGCGTGTTCGAGTAGCGACTGCTGGGAGCGAGGCTGGAGAGATGAGGGGCTGGACTGAAATTATAAATGCCAGTACCAGAACCAGTACCGTTGGTATTGATATTGGCCCATCCATACCGCAAGCGAGGGTCCAGATACTGATACTGATGTTGATGCTGATGCTGGCGAGGGTCCAGATACTGATGTTGATACTGATGCTGATGTTGGTGCTGGCGAGGATCCAAGTGCTGGTATTTATGTGGATAAATGGCCTTTTGGGAAGACAAGCTGTTGCGCCGCTGCAGCCATTGTTCATGCTCGAGTCTGCTGGACACGCCCACACTCACACCTGCTGGTCGTCGTTCCGGAATCAGGAACAGCCGGTGGTCGTCTTTGTCGATAACACTGATACTGCCCAACCCGGAGCGCGTGCTGGAAGAAAGCGAAGGCACGGAGCCGCAGTGGCGATGTTGTTGATGGTGATGTTGTTGATGCAGCCGGCTCCAACTCTGGTCAGGACCAGACCGCGCTTTGTTGCCATTCAAGTGGCAGGCAGTGGTGAAGCGCTCCAGCCAACATCGCCAACACCAGCAGGAGGACGGCTTGGGCCGTAGTCGGCCTCGGACAATGCGGTCGAGGATGGAGAGGAGACAGACGGACAGCCTGGTTAAATATGGTTAGACAATCAAGACCAGTAAAGAGGGACTTCATGGTTAGACAATCAAGACCAGTAAAGAGGGACTTCATGGTTAGACAATCAAGACCAGTAAAGAGTATCTTCGCCTGCAGGGTTTGGTAGACACGTAACAAGGACACAATCAAGCCTTGTGTAGACCACGTAACAAGGCAAATCTAGACTTTTGACAGCCTTCCCTTCTGAAAAGCAATACCAATAACTCCAACAAGAACAATAGCGCTGGATGAGTTTCAGGCAGGCACTTACGCCATCAAAATCGACAATGCGACAAGCCCTCTGTGCAGGCGGCACGACATGCCATATCTCCAGATTTGATCATGCAAGATATTTGTATGGCTATCCCGATCCCGGTCCCTATCCCCAGCCTGTTGTTGTTGTTCTTCTTGTTGTTTCCGCCACTGATCCAAAGGTTGGTTGAGACAGATGGGTGCGCGCAACGCCACGAGAAGATTGCAGCAGCCCAAGATCATCCACAACAGCATCAGACATCGGACACTGTGGACAGAAAGCCGTTCGAGTCGTGGATGCGGTGGGGTGGAGGGCGGAGCAGAAGAGGACGGCGAAATGGTGGTGGTTTGATCGTGAACCTGAGCCTGAGCCTGAGCCTGGACCTGAGCTTCGACTTGGGCTTCGATTTGGGCTTGGGCTTCAGCTTGGGCTTGGGCTTCAGGTTTCTGTCTCTGTCTCTGTCTCTGTCGGATGGCCAGGTAGCATCGTGAGCCGACGACCAGGATTGTTGGGATGGACTGGAGATAGAAAATGTCAGTAAAAGCAGACTTTGTGGATGCGATCGAGACTCTCATGAGAAATGGCGAGGTAATATCGCAACCGAGACAGGAAAGAAAACAGTCCCTAGCTTCAGAGTCATCTGCCATCTGCCCAGTTTGTTGTGTTGCAATGCATGCAAAGTAGGACCGAAAAAGAATCAAGGTATGTCAATGCATGCAACGTATGACCAAAAAAGTCAAGGTACGTCTTGGAAGACACTCACCAGTCCCAATGAAAAGTCAATGCCGGCCGCAGTGGCTGAGCATACAGCCCCTTTGGCCCGAAGAACGATCGAGATGCATAGAATACTATATGCCAGGACGAGGATGAGGCCGATAGAGATGAACCTATACACCGTGATCGTGATGTCTGGTTTGATCTTGAGTTGATTCATCATGGTGCCGGTGGTGGTCGTGATTGGCATCAGAGTGCTTGGGCAGGCGGAGGCAGACGTTGTCAGGGATCGTGCTGGGCAGACTGAAGCAGACGTTGTCATAAAGAAGCAAACAAACTGGTAACAACCATGATGGCGATGGGAGACAAGGCATGATGAGAATGAGCCCTTCATGGGCCATCAGCCACCCAGCTGGAATATCCATCTGCAAGAATGCGATGGCTGTCAATTGAGTAAGGGAGGCGCCTAGGAGGCGAGGAGAGGTGGGATAGAAAGGCTCAAGGAGGCTGGATGTGGATGGAATTCCTGGGGACGGAGGGGTCAGTATTTGCAAGACTAAAGAATGAGGTGAGGCGAGAAAAGGGGTGGGTGGTGACTTGTTCGAACGCATGGACCAGACCATTCGGAGTCGATGCTCTGTCTCTTCTCTCCTCTTCGCTCCCGTCTTGTAGAGGAATTCAATTCTATTCAATCAATTCGTTCCAATCCAAACCAATCCGTTCATCCCAAAGTAATCCAAATAGTATCTTACAAGGAGCAAATAGGGTATCAAGAAGAACCATTCACAATCAACCAAAAACAGGGCGTACGGGTGGCAGGGATTTCCAACTCCTTTCCCTTTCATGCCTCGAAGGCGTAATCATCGACATCATCATCATCGTCATCATCGTCGTCGTCGCCCACATTTGGCTCGTCAACTGCATCGTAAAAGACCTCGCCTGTTTCGCTAACACTTCCTTCCAAGAGACCTTTGGTGAACTTGGAGTCAACCTTCAGGATGTTGTGCATCTCTGCCGTCACCAGCCGGACTTCGCCTGGGTGATGCAACGTCTTCAGAATGCACAGTTCTCTTCCTGCAACATACCAGACCCAGACAGGGAACCCACCATTTCCACACGCCCGACGGTGAAGACATGATGCCCGGAGCAAAGACCAGTATGGGAATGGATGATCCCGCTCATTCTCAAACCGACGTCGCAGTTCGTGGTCAACCTGCTTGGGTTCGATTTGTTGGTACCGCTCGAAGAGGGCCTGCACTTCGACGTGAAACTTCTTGCGATCGCTAGGATTTGCCGGCGTCGACGAAATAGATTTACGGATGGCAGCCAATTTAGCCGCCATCTTTCGGAGTTCATCGATCTGCTTCAAGAGGCCGTCGGGACCGAGCAGGATTTCTTTCAAACCACCTACGGGCGCTTGTGGTCCTGTAAGCATGTTCCTCGAGATTCTGCCGCTCTTGACCGGTAACACCGCTGGAGGGGTCTTCTCTTGGTCCGCTTTGGTCTCTGCCTTTCTCCAAGTCTCACTCAAAACCCCATCGTAAGGCCGAGTGGCAGGACACAGCTCCTTGAACTCTCGGAGTGCCAGCGTCTTACAGCCCTCAGCAACTTCAAACTTCAGAAAATCGATGATGTTGAGATACGTGCCAGATGCTCTGGATGGTGCTTTGTCGCCCTTGAATGCTGGATCGGGAAGCCGATGAAGGCCGCTGGCATCCCGCCGTAGCAAGTAGAATGCTTGCCGCTTGAGACTCCAGCCTTGTTTGTTCGAGTCCACCAGATATCCTGCAAGCGCGGCGAGTTTGAGGGCACCAGGATTGGACAATTTGCCCCCCACGCGCTTGAGACTGAGAGAATAGATGAGCTTCTCATGCTCAGATGAACACACTCCCATCAGGCTCGGACGGGCATTGAAGGAAATGCAGCCGCGCAAAGACTCCCGCATGGCTTCTTCCGGACGTCGAATGCCATCAAAAATAGATGACAAGGGCTGTGACTCCTGCACCATGCCGCACTGCTCTTCCTTGGGCAGATCCGGGGGCATGGTATTCTGAAAGTCTTTGACGATCGCAGGATCCCAAATCACCGTCACCGTGTCTCCGTCGTAGTCACCACCTGACAAAAGTGACGCCAGGGGTTGCTTGCCCTTGACTGGGAATAAGATGATATTTTTATAATGGCGAAGTTCGTGGTGGTAAACCGCCTTGCGCAATTGCATGTCAGAGGCGAGGTATGCAGGGTTTCGAGCCACCAGAACTTCGAGACCATCCAAAGTTGTTTCAGGATAATCTCGACGGGGATCTGTCACGGGTGATGAGAAGTTCAGACATACTTCATCCTCTTCTAGCACACCCAAGGGATCTGGCGCACAGAAGACGACGGTCGAGCATGGCACATTGATCCAGAGCTTTTCAACATAGTTCGTCATGTAATCGCGCAGGAAGCCTGCAGCGAGCTCTTTGAGCCGCACGCATTCTTGCGGGTGAAATCCAGCCTCCAACAGACGCTTCATCTGTTCCCTATGGTCAATTGGGAACGAGCCCACCACTTTTCTCACTTCCGGGCGAGAAGCTAGACCATACTCCTGCATCCATAGCCGGAGTGCCTTTGGGTCGGCCATTGCAGCCTTCAGAGACTCGAAGTAGGACCTCGTATCTGCTTCCAACTGTGCTTGAAGAGTATGTCGAGACACTCCGCGATCCTCCAGGATAGTAATAAGCTGCATGTTCAGGTGTGCTGGCTTGGAGTCTCCAGCAAATTTCAACACCTCAAAGGTCCGTTGACTTTCATCAGCATCCGATCGATCTCGAGGGTGCGGTTTGACCTTTAGCTGAGAGTCAGAAACTTGGATCCAGTACTGTCTGTCGCTCACGCCACGAAAGGCATCGCTGTAGTCTACCAGCCAAAGACCTTTTGCACCGCCGATGCGCCCCTGTACAGCGCTTGGTACATCGCCCGCGCCGCCATATTTGGCCCAGATATCTTTTGCGAGGGCATAAGACATTCTAGCGCATCCATCATTCATGACCACCGCCCCGGGAGGGTCATGTAGGTACAGGAACTCCTTCTGTTTCAGTACAGTAGTAGGAACGGTCTTTGAGAGCACAATAGCCCACCTTGAGAACAGCTTCAGGTTGGTCGATCTGATGTTGGCTCGAATCGGCATGTGCCACTCTGTTAGGTCCTCAATCGTGAGCTCCCGGTGACGACCATCATCCTTCAAGTTGGCAATATTGAGATGCTCTGAATTCCGCGAGACAATGTCATAACCCTGTTCCGCGAACAGGTGGATTTTTAGCCGGGGAAGTTGTTCTCTGCCCTTCTTTTTCTTTTTATTCTTTTCTGGTTCGATCCAAAAAACTCTCCAGTATCTACCCGCAATAAAATGGGAACCCGTTGCCAGGAATTCCGTAAGTCCCTCGTGTACCATCTCCTCATCGGCCTGGCGAATTTGCTTTGGAAATCTTGAGAAATCGGGGGCGGAGATGACTAGAAATCTGTCGGCGCCAAACTTTCGGTGTAAGCGGCATGATTGTTCCTGGTGAATCTCGTTGAGGCGAAAACTGAACAGTCCCTGAGATCCGTCATCATTCCAATCTAAGTTTCCGGTCAGGTAGACGCCTTTCTGGAGCTGGTGCTGCGGATTCTCGTATTGGTTTTCAGCAGTAGTCCAATTGGCTAGCTCTGACTTGGGAACCGTCTTCCCAGCTTTCTCATGACACAGTTGTCTTAAAGCTTTCCATACTTCTTCGTAAGGGGGGTTGGTCTGCCTGACACTCTTTCGGACAGCTTTGTATACGTCAATAGGTACAAGCCCCACTACAGAAGCAACGCGGTGAATCTCCCAGCAATACCAGAACGGCACGTCAGACGGAAGCAAGGCACTTCTTTTAAAGGGGGTGTATTGAGCGAGGTCAAGAGGATCGACAGGTTTCGGCACCTCACAGGCTTCGTTGAAGGAGGTGTTGAATTCTTCATCATCCATGAGGTCATGGTAGTCCTGGGTCGGAAAAAGATTTTGAGAGCAATCTGACACGGAGCTCATCATCGAAGTTTCGTTAGAGGTGCAGGGGTCGTGGCCTTCGTCTGTAGTAGTGAACACCGACGACACTCTTGCCGAAGGTACGGTTTCGAAACTTATGGGGTCTGGCTGTAGTAACGGGCGTAGCCAGAGTGGAGATGCGTCGCGGTTGCGCTGGAACGGGAATTCGGACAGTGTCATCTGGCGTTTGTTCTTCTACGGTTCTCGGTCAGTGGACGGGATATTAAGCTTAGGATTGAGGGCTGTGCTGACTCCTTCTGGGGAACCTAACGAGCGTTTGCTGGATTTCCTCGTCGGATCCTTCACCTGAGGCTCATCGGCATGCGAGGTCAGACTATCCATGCTTTGGAGGATTTGGCGTGAGGGTGTGGCGACCTCTCGAGTCGAGCTCTCTTTACGTGGTGTGGAGGGTGCAGTCAGAAAGCTAGGTGGCCGTTCGTATGAGAAAGACTCGGACATTTTAGCAAGCTGGAAAGGCTCGTCCAAGACATCATACAGCAATTGAAGAAGTTCCTGCCGCTGTGGATCCGAGAGTCTGATCAAGCCAGCCTCCCGTTTCGTTTGAACGTCGCTTGCAAGTAGGCTCTTGGTGACAGGTAGCGTCGGCAGTGTGCCTCGCTCTTGCGAAGGTTTCCACCTCCATCGCGAGTATTTCTTCCGCGCATGTTCTTCAAAGCCGGCGAGGATGTGATCGATTTTGTCAGTGCGAAAACACAGGAAACGAATTATGCTGGAACATTTGGTCGCAAGGGGACCCTTTGCTTCAGCTGTGTCGGCCTCCCGCCCATGGAGTCTGGGAAGACCCAGGTCCCATTGAGCATTGAGGTCGTTGATAGCCTTGTCGACCTTCCACCCGACATGCTGTGGCGTGTGCATGAGGTGCTTCGACTCCGACTCGGACGGCGACTTGGATACTGCTAGCAATGAGTATCAAGCCAGCTTGTCAATTGGGAATTGGGAAGGTCACAGAACCAGTTGCCATTGGAACAGTTCGAGGGGTTGTTCAGGTCTCACGGACGTCACACCAGTCCCAATAATAATGTTCTGTCAACGAATGCCGCGACCACCGAGAACCAACGAGCAACACTGACACCGACACCGGGACGCCGAACGCTGACGTCCCCGCACTGAAGTGGCCTGAACAATCCAAAGAGAAATCTTGGACAACCTCAGACCAGCGAAAGGGAGAGAGAAGCACTGATAGAAGGAGTCAAGAGGCTGAGGGAGATTGGCTTAGTCGGGTGGACGCGAGCGGCTCGGTCCTTTTCCCTTCCCTGCGCCAGCTCTCCCCTTTTCCGCCCATTTCCCCAGCAACTGAACCACTGAACCCTCGGCGCGTCCAACCCGCGTAAAGTGGTTTGGCCTCACACCGGTGACTGCACTTGCTGACTACACTTGCACAGTCACAGTGACAGTGACCGCAATTCGGCGGCTTAGGAAGCTATTGTCAGCCACAAACTGCTGCCTAAGGGCTAAAGCCCCTTATCCATACTCCGGACAGAGCATGCTCGGCAACCGCTTATCGTCGTGCTCCTTCTTTCTCGGCTTCTGTTTGCCCTCGCTCGCATCAAATGCCACCAGCCAGCACAATCTCCGTCATTACTCCTGGGCATCTTGAAATGCCAGCCTTCCAGGCAGGTGAACGGGAAATCTCGACACGTCTCAGAGGAATGGTAAAAAGAAAGAATGAATTGGCAGGTTGGACGCTGTTTTATACCTAAGGAACGTTGGGGTCTTCACGGAGCCGTGGACCATTTGCTGGCCATACAAAAATTCGCGCCAACGCAGGAATACCTCAGGCATCGCAGTTCCACCAAGCCAGCCCGACGCTATCAGCCAGCCATAATTCCGGGCCGTGACTGGATTGAAACATCCACTGCGGCTATAAAGCCACCAGGTCCATTGCCCTACCTCTACCGGTCATGTAATATTCTTTGACTGCACCCACAATAGAGCAGTACGCTTCGTGCCTTTCCCGACCAGGCCAAACACATTCAAGGATGGAACTGTCCAGCAAGTTACTCCTTTCGACGATGACCACGAGGGTTGGAGGAACCACTGTTTCACGTCAGCAAGCATGAAGAGGACTGGCCATGACAGAACTACACTTACAAACTGATTCTTCGTGCCACCCCTTGCAAAGTGGTATCGTTCTCAGCTTCAGTGGCAGCTCTCTCCAGCGCTGCTCTTCTGTCCTCTGCGCTTCTCTTCTCAATCTCCTCCGGTGACGGTGGCAGTCGCTCGTTCTGAAGATCGACTTTGCGGGCATCCTCGAAATTGTGGATGGCCTGTTTGATACCCTCCGCGCCCAGCATCAGGGTACCTGCAGGCAGTCGACCTCCCGCCTGTGTCTTCAGCTCAGTGACACGCTCTGATTCTTCTCGGAGCACTTGGAAGACTCTTGAAAGTCGGCCAATGGCCAGGATCTTGTTCTTGATTGCTCGGCGTTTCGCTTCAGTAGACTCGGCATCGGGAGCGAAAGGGGGCGTTTCTGGCCCAATGCTGGAGCTCCTGGTGTCCTCCTCCAATTCCTCCTTGGAGCAAGTGTTGAGGATGGCAATCAGCATGTCGGTAATCTTTTCTCCGACAAATGGCAGAGACCAGGTGAAGACGTCCATGAAGTTCGGAAGCCAGTAAGGGTGAGGGGTGCAGTTGAACTGCCGGATGTTCATCACGTTGTTCTCGTACTTGAGAACCGCGGCTTTGTTGTTGTAGACATCGAGATAGTTGGGCGCACTGAAGATTGTCATGACACTGGGGAACCCCGTCGTCCGAGTCTTGCGATACATGCGGTACCCGGCATCTTGAGCTTCGTGGGCTCGAATAATGGACAGCAGATTGTTCTTCTCCAGGAAATTGCATGCAGCAGGATACGAGAAGAAATATGAGCATCCTCGGACGTGGTTGTGCACAAAATATTCTCCTGTCTTTTCTTGCCCAAACTCTTCCAACGGATCGGCCCAGAGGATGTCGCACATAAGACCCTGGGTGGGAGGCTCGCGGAAGCGATCAATCTATGCAGCCGGGTCAGCATAAATAGGCTTTCCTAGGAATCATTACAACTCACGCTCTTGATATCTTCCAATGTGTGCAGCTCCGGACTAAGGCCCCCGTGGATGCACAAAAACTGCTTGTTCATCACGGCGGCCAAAGGCAAGGAGCAGAAAGATTCCGTGCACGCATCGTATATTTTCTCCGAGTACTTGTGCTTGCATTCGAGTTTGAATGTGAAATAGTCGGTCAAATGACGGCATTCGTGGTTCCCACGCAGAAGCCAGAGAGTGTTTGGATACCAGATCTTGAGTGACCATAGATAGAGAACGCACTGGGACTGTTAGCAGTGAACCAGACATCAAGAAGAGGCGGACCAACTTCAATGCTGAAATATCCTCGGTCCACATAGTCACCCAAGAAGAGATACCTAGTTTCAGCCGGATCACCACCGACCTCGAACAATTTCATCAAGTCGAAATATTGTCCATGGACATCGCCGCATACGGTAATGGGAGCATCCATTTCCAGCAGGTTGGGCTCTGCCCTCAAGATCTTTGTGCCTTCACGGATGATCCAGAGAGCTTGATCCTCGGTCAATCGACCTTCTCGGTAGAAATGTTGTTTGAGGAAGGGTAGATTAGGCTTCGATCGGTCAATGGGTGACCAGAATTGGTCATCTGTCGGCAGCTGCATCGCGGGGGCTTGCACATCTACCACCAGGGTCAGGACCGCGGTCAAACCAGGATGCTCGGGACTCGTACCTTTGCATACTCGCTCTTGCGTGCTCACTTGCGCGCCATCCTCCATAATATGCAGGGTGAAATCAATCTCTGGGACGGGTTTCTTGTTCACCACCGCCTTGTGAATTGGGCTGTCCATGATAAAAGGCGGCTGCGCTCACGGCGCAAGGAATCTCCCCGACTCGTAGTCTATGTTGACCCACAAGCAAATGGTCACCTTTGATGGCGTTCGGCAGTCAAGAAGATCAGACGTCAGCGAAATCACCGGGAGCGATTTCGGCAGCCGGATGGGAGTGTATCGTGTCAAGGTAGCCGCAGCGATTCGTGGAGTAGACTCAGGGTAACTGTCAGCGGACACAAGTGGCCACCAGAAGGTCGCTGGGATCGAAAGGCGTGAGAGGATAGCCCGAAGACAAAGAAGGAGCGAGAACTGAGAAAAGTGTATCGCAACACGGTGAGCAATATATTTCGGGGGCTGAAGTTGTAGGAGTGAATTAAACTGTCACCAGCGGATTGGCGCTTTTCAGAGCTGAGATGAGATCCCACAGCGCGCTTCGAACTACGGTGTAGGGCAGTAATTCGATATCCACACGATATGACAACAGAGAATAATCGACCTCAGTTTATCTGAGGCATGATACAAGTAGAAGCAGGGCTGCAGGGGATAGAAGATCGAGGGGCGAAAAAAACTGGCGGAGGCTCACTTTCAACAGCCTGAGCCACACAGTTGCCTTGAAACCGACGGGGTGACGGGGGGTTCAAGAGGGCAGACAAGCACGCGCCTCAGTTCTCCACGCCAATCCCGTCTGACGTTCAAGTTCGGTTGCTTCATGTGCAGTGCAGCCTAAAGCCCAGACTCACCCCAGCACCAAACACCTGTCACTGACCGCTGGCCGTGGTGCTTGTACTTCTGCCACAACGTGTCTCTGACTCTGCTGTGCGCGTTCGACCGGTCTCTTTCATGTCTTGATTTTGCCGCCGACCGACATGTTTGACACGACCAGTACGCCTCCCAAATACCCCTCTAAATATAGCCTGGAGGTGCTGACCTTGACCAGAGCCTCACCCGCTGCTGGCGCAGGTACCCTTGACTGTCTCACCCTTTCTATCCTTGCCGACCGCCGTAACACTTCCCTATACATTTCGATCCGTACCTGCGTCTCTTCCTCCTTCCATCATCTCTGATAACGGTGCGGAAAAGCCCAAATATGTTCTCTCCTCCTCGGGACATTCTGCCCACCCTGACGATATCATAAACTCGTGCAAAACTCTCCAAGAGCATCTCAAGAAAACAGCAGAAGCAGCGGAAAAGGCCATCCGAGAATGGGAGGAAGAGATAGAAGCGCGTGATTTGGCAGAGAAGCGAAAGGTAGCACCTGGATGGTTGGACCGTAAGGAGAAGATATTAGAACCAACAAAGGTGACCGACAAAACTGGTGGCCCTGATCATCACTTGCTGGATGGACAACCAGAGCATGAGATTTCCGCGCCGGCAATGTCACCCAGTCGAGAAGGCGAAGAACTTGACCGGGCATTTGGTAATCTGGGTGTTAAGTGAAGCACACTTGGAGCACTGCATCTTCTGCCGCACCCTGGATCGAGGTCCTCAGGGCCGAAAGACGTATCACAAACATTTGTCGCGACTACGACTGGATTGTCAACAACACATGGTCCGTAACTAGTTTTGGAGCAAGGTTTCTGCAGAGGACCGCGACCATCTCGAAGCTGGACAGATCAAACCGAAGCTCGGTGATGGCTCAACTAGTGAGCACCTCCAGCCCGGTGCCTACTTTGGACCCGGTCTTGCGTTTTCTCGACGAGCCGTTCAAGACCTGGTCATCCGCCATCTTGTTTGTGGTCATCCTGGTGGTTATTGGCGGTGTGGCCACATTTCTGGGCATACGATACAAGGAGACACTCCAGTTCAACACCAGACGCTGCTGCAATGCTCCTTTGACTCTAGAAGCGCAGCGCCTCAACTGGAACCAACAAAGCAGGGCGGCTGCCGGGACGTTACCTGGTGATGGGACTACCGATTCACCAGACACTGGTTTGTGGCACGATCACGTTTCAGACATTAGAAGACGATTTGGCACCGGACACATTCATCTTGGGGCCATCGCGATCGGAGAAGTACGACAGGGAAGGATAGCGCAGAGAAGAGCATCATCTTCGCACAAAGCTTGAGCATGTCAACAAAACCAATGCATCACTGAGATGGGGAGAGGTGGAAGAACGGCAAAATCGAGCTGAGCCAAACTTCCCGGACATCTAAAAGAGTCAAGCATCAAAGGAATGCGTCCAAGAGCAAACCACCATAACCTGCATTTCATTCCTCTCGGGACCACAGTCCTCAAGTATCGTCACTGTTCTATCAAGGAGCACAATATCCCCCATCGACGATGATGTCGGTTCCGGTGGTGTATGAGCTTGCATCACTAGCAAGGTACAGATAGGCGCCAACCAACTCGATGGGCGCGCCTTCTCGGCCCATTGGGATCTTGTCTCGCCAAATATCCTTGGTCTCTGGAGGGACAAAGTTGCTGATCTCGGTTGCTATGTAGCCGGGACTGATGCTGTTTGCCCGGGCAAATTGCACCCATTCGATAGCTAAGCTCTGGCACATGTGCTTGACCGCAGCTTTGGCGGCATTGTATGCAGTTTGCAATTGAGGGAAGTTGGCGATGTGGCCGCTCATACTGGCCGTGGCAATGAACTTGCCGTAGTTGAAACCTTCCAGCTTATTCTTCTTCTGCTCTCGCCAGATCCTCCCTACGGTCCTGGCACAGTAGAAGACGCCGTCGATATCGATTTTGACGACGTTGTGATAATGTTCGAGCGAGCCCGTAGTGGCGGGGCCTTGAGTCCACGGAATTCCAGCATTGGCCACAAAGATGTCCAGGCGGTTGTTGAATTCCTTGACTTGAGACACGATGGCCTCATCTACGGCCTTGACATCTCTCACATCGACTTCATACGCCCGACCTAATTATAGCATTGCAACGTTAGCGAGAGTGAATCAAATAAGACCTTGCCCGCCCCCTTGGCCTTTCTTTGCCCGCGTTAACTTACATTTCACCCCGAATTCCTTTTCGATCTCTTCGGCCCGCTGGTGCGCTTTCTTGTTGCTGTGATACCAGATGGCCACGTTGGCTCCGGCCTCGGCATATCCGCGCGCCACGGCCAGACCTATGCCGGCCCCTGCGCCGGTGACGATGGCCGTCTTGCCTTTCAGCGAGAACAGCGGCAGCACCAGTTTCGCTGTCGGAGCCTCGGTGTTGTAGTGCTTGAACGCACCGCCGTTCAGCGCGTCGTCCATCCTGTGCTTGAGTCTGATTGGTTTTCTTCCGTGGGGCCTGAGTGGTTTCTTTCCGTGAGGCCTGAGAGATGGCAAGGGCAAGGGCAAGGGCGATTACGATGCACCACGTTTATAACGACGAGCAGCCTGCAGAGTTTTTGAACTGCAAATCTGCTTCCAGATTTAAATGTGCGGTGTGGTGTGGTGGCAGGACAGGGTTAAGAAAACTGGGTATTATCATAAAGAGTGTTTTTCATATCTCATGTACGCCCCGAGTAGTACTCCGTAATTAATCTGTAATCTGTCAAGATCGTCGTCCTTATACACTCCACTTGCTGCTGGCCTAATCCAATGGAGGAAGTCTTTCCGCTATCTCACCGCGTAGGATGAATTGCTCCATCTCTCCAGAATATGCTGTCATGCAGTGAACTAGCCAGCACAGCAGGATTGAGCTGGTTGCGCGGCCTTGGGCTTATGGTGGGTAATAGGGTAATAAACAGCATCAAAAGCGGCGAGGGATCCCTTAGACCGCCATTTCACCGACATTCAGAGTAGTAATCAACAGCGGTCGTAGGTGCCGCTTTTAGCTTTAAGCCTCCTCTGCACCCATCCCATCAATCCCTTTATAAAGGTTGCGAGAGGTCGTATCCGACTTTGGATGGTGTAACGTTAAACAGCGGGAAATAGTTGAATATTATGCAGCCTACCAGGATCCGCCCTGGTCCCGGAGATGCTGTCCTGTTGTTGCTGTTGTTGATCACATTTTCAAAATCCAAATCAATTCCTTTGTTCTCGGACCCGGCCAGGTTGGGAGAACATACCACGCCCTCGATACCGTCCAAGTCAATGCCATAGTTGTCTCCCATAGGCCAGCTTTGGTTTGCACAGACGGGATTGCACATATTGTCAAGGTCTAGCACGCCGGCCATGGCCTCTTCGCCAGAAAGACATCCTTCCGCTTAGTTGGGCTTATTAGAAGTTCTCTCACGGATCGAGCAAGAGATGCACATAGAAGAGTAAATTGTAGAACACTCAACTCGTAAGGAGTTGAGAGGCCGCGAGGTGTGGGAAATGCACACACCGAGCGGCGACGTCAGTCACATGGTTGCCTATCAAAACCGTGACAAGTTCCAAGATCCCATGGGATGGTTCATCTCAAACCAACTCTCGCGGGGCGATGGCGGGCTGCGCACATTTCTCATCATCTCCTGCCGTTCCCGTTTCTCCTTCTCGAGATCGCGCCTGATGCCAACGAACTCGAACACTTCCGGAGCAGCCGCGGGAGGAGCTGGGGAGCTCGAGCTATATGGATTCATGAACACCATTTCCCGGGAGAGTTTCAGCCTCAGGTAATCACCACCGATGAACTTTAACGACAGCTCGTACATGTCATCGTCGCTCCTGACCTTGAAAGTTTGCCGACTCGCTCGCTTCGGGGGGAAGAACGGGCCAAAGCTGTAGTTGGTATTTCCATTGAGATACACGTCGCCATGTAACATGGCAAGTTCGCGTCCAGGCTTCTGGTTGTGTCGACCGGGATTGCTTGTGTCGTCGAGGCAGTAAAAGTCCACTCTCTTGGTCGGGTAGTAATCAGAGGTGTAAAAATGGTCAACATGATCGCTGCAGAACAGCTGGAAGCTCTGACCAGCAAGTGGTCCGGCCGGGACTCTCTTGCGTTCCTTCCTAGCCTCGCTGAGAGATCTGTATGCAACGCGAACTTCTTCTTCCTTGGTATTCTCCCTATCTCGTTGTCGTTCTTTCTCCTTCCGCTCCTTTAGCTTCACCTGCTTCCTTTCATCGCGCTCATGTTTCAGCTCGTAGTAGTAATCGGCATCAGAGCCGTCGTACGATCTCTCCGACCCGTCATCTTCGCCCATATCATATCGTTCTCATCGTCTGTCTCTTGTTCCGTGTCCTCTTCCAGCTCTGAAAGATCCTCGTCAAAGTCATAGCCTCTCACTTCTCTATCCTCCTGGGAACTGATAAGCAGGACTCGACGGAACCATGATGGGGGAGAGCAGCTGCGGCGGTCTGTCTGGGCGGGACTAGGTCTTTCAACACGCGAAGTCCGTTGGAATTTCTCCATCGTCGGATGAGATGCTTGCTATTGGGTTAATTGCAGACTCTGTTGAAAGCGTCCCACGCGAACGCGCCGTGCTTATCTGCACCATGAGGTGACGTCTCTTTGTTGCTATTAGAGAAGTAGTGATTGACCGGGTTCAGACAGGGGTGTGAGTTACGGACTAGCACTTCCACCGCGTGAGCAGACGCCCCTTGACCAGCGACACATCTTGAATTACGTTCTATACCTACCCATACGCTTAGTAGTGTCGCCTATTTCACCATGTCGTGTATCTGGAGTGACGGCTGGTGAGGAAATGGTTATATTATTCGAGAGCCTAAGGTAGCGAGTACCAATGACATCGAGGAACTGCAGGCCTTCGAAAGAGAAAGCCGACGGATCTGAGGTGAATCTTCGTGTCCAAGATACATGTAAGGTCTGATTACTTGGTAGGCGTCGAGGTAAGGTAGCCAGGGACGTGACATCCTCAAGCCAATAAAAAAAAGGAGGTCTAGATTCGACCATTGACTTTCAATGACATATTACCACAGTGAGGGAGGAGATGAATCACTAAACAGTGGCACTGGTCTGCAGGGTCATCACAAACTACCCGGTATATTCTGTCAAAGATTGAAATGTTCCATGTTCGCTATCAAAGGGGTATGGGGGAGCCCAGACTATATAGGTGTGCCTATACCAGCCTTCTGGTCAATTAAGGCTGGGAATTCCTAATATTAGTGCCTAAGTTTGACATATTCGAGACAAGGATTGGCATGTAGCCAGCCATAACTCGAAAAGGTTGAAAAGAGTCCAGCTCCAACAATATGCTCTCAAGCCCTTCATCGGTTCAATCGAAATTCGCTGAGACTGATGTCCCTTCAGCGGTTCAATTGATATTCGCTGAGACTGATATCCCTTCATCGATTCAATCGATATTCGCTGAGACTGATATCCCTTCATCGATTCAATCGATATTCGCTGAGACTGATATCCCTTCATCGATTCAATCGATATTCCCTGATACTAATGTCACCAATTTGAAACCCATAGCGCGCTTTGGCTTTGGCGAAGCTTGCGAGATAGTGTTGGACATCGTCGCTGGCTGGATCGGAATATTCGACCAGGGTTTGAAGAGCCACCCACACCGGAAACAGCGTCACTTGGACCCCAAGGACCTTCATATCAGGTGAGTGACAGTATTCGATGGATCGACAAATCGAACTTGCTAGATCGACAACATCAGAGGGCAGAGGGAGGGCGTCCCCAACCATGTCACTGGCTGAAAATAGTTGCTATGGAATATGTCAGCAGAGAGACAAGTACCAACTCATCGGCTTTCTCACCCTGTTTATCCCTATACTGTGAAGCTGCAATTTCGCTTTGTATAAGAAGATCAGGGAAGTCCAGTAGACAAGATGCAGCTGCGCAGTGTACAAATCCGCGTATTGCAGAGACGGAGGCCGAGGGCCGCCGAGACAAGGGGTTTCAATACAAACAGGGCGCTCGGAAGACACCTGGAGCATCCGAAGGCAACGTCTCAGCCCCATTGCCAGGTCGTCAAGTCCTTTCCATGACTTCTGGACAGATTGGATGGTTTCGTTGCCTAACGCCGCATTTTGAAGTGTGTCGGCCTGCTCCAAGATGGCTGGGATTCGTAAGCAAAGAAGAAGGAGTTCTTCATACACGTCAACAGTTCGTGGTGTCTCAGGCTCAGCATGTGCTGCCGTGCTGGGGAGAAGGACAGCCCGTCGCCTTGCAAGGCCAGCAAAGAGCTACACATCATGCAATGGGTCAGTTGAACCATCAAAGGCCGATCTGGGAACAGTATACATGCATTGGCCTGCAGGAATCTCAGGTGGAGAGAATGACCGCAGTCAAACTGGCGCGGCAATAGTCCATATGCTTTGACCAAGTCTTGACCTCCCTTGACGTGATTCATCCATGTAGTTGTACTCTCAAAAAGCTATCGTACCGTTTAGTACACGGAACACGATATCTATGAAGCCAGAACCAAACTGACCTGGTATAGAGAGAGCAGTGAGATTGCTGCAAGAGTCGCCGGAGGGTTTCGATACCCACGCGTTGAGATGGCTTGTCGAAGCTCGCGCAGAGCTCGAGCGTGTTCATGAAGGTGGTGCTTACCCAGGGTTGCATCTTTGTTGAAGCGACACATTGCTACCAAGCAGAATGCATCAAAAGCAGCATCCACCGCAGCATCGGTATTGATCAGGTCCGGGCCATCATACAGGAAGGACACATCCTTATGTCTGGGAAGGCTATTTGAGTTGCACGTCTCTGGCAAATATGCAGCCATCAAATGGCCCAGGAACTGACAGCGAATGCTGGGGACGCCATTGATGGTTTTCGGCAAGCCAGAGATGGCTCTATCAAGTTCTTGCCGAGGTATCAGGCTGTGGCTTTGACTCCGACGTGGCAAGCATAACTCGTCTCGCGATCGTCGAAGGGCTTGCCGCGTGGACTTGTCGCCGGTGGGGATCTCGCTCGATTTGTAGTTGACGAAGACACGTCCCGACACGAAACCCTCACATTTGATGTCGGCTTTGCTGCAACGAGCACACGTCGGTGTTTCTAAGCCACACTGCGAGGAATATGCCTGTCAGTTCTCACAGATTGCCTTGCCATTCGCATTCCGTGGAAACACTCACCCGAACCTTTCGCCTTCTACAAGTTATGCACCCCGCAGACAGTCCAGGTACTCCTACCATGGTGAGAGTGGCCGTGATACAGAACAGAGAAAGCGCTGTGTCGTCGGTCGTTCTCGGGGGAGTTGTCATAAAGCGACTCGAGGGACTACGGTAATCCCTGTTGCCGTCCCGCGATACGGAGCAGGACCGACTGTCACTGGTCCTCTGACCCCTGTCGCTGCTCCAACCGCATCTGGGGGCATCGTGCGAGCGTGGCTGGACTAAGGCTGTGGCCCAGGGGTTACCGTTGCACTACTCCATACTCCGTACAGAGTTCTTCATTCGGCATCACCAGGATTGTTGGCCTAGGACACGCCATGGCCTTGACCCGTGTATGCCTCGACATGGTGTCTGCGCAGCTGGAACGGTCGCCAGCCTCTGAGGGTATAAGAAGATGGAGAGATCACGACTGTCCAGAAATATTCCTCCTCCTTCTTTATCCTTCGGAATAGTTCATATATCTCATACCTATCAGTCATGTCTGCAGACTTGTACGACTGTCTGGTACTTGGTGCTGGCCCGGCTGGCCTCGCAGCAGCTGTTACATTGGGCAGATCATACCTCAACATACTCGTTCTGTCCAATGACAGATTTCGGAACGCAAACTCTGGCCATATGCATACGATGCCTACATGGGATCACGAAGATCCCTCCAAGTATCGCGCTGCTGCACGAAAGGAAATTGCCGACAAGTATAAGACCGTCACGTTCTGCGATACCGACATCACACTCCTTGAACCCGAGGCGACTTTGAGTGGATGGGCTCCAACACAATTCGCGGCCGTCACTGCGCAAGGCGAGAGGTTCCGAGGACGGAAGATAATCATCGCCACTGGATGCCAGGACATATTGCCTCCTATTGAGGGCTTCGGCGACGGCTGGGGAAAGAGAATGTAAGCCCGTGGCCCCAGCTGCTTCTGAATCGAAGGAGAGCACGCGGCTAACGTCGAGGATAGCTTTCATTGTTTGTTTTGTCGTGGCTACGAAGACTACACACACTTGCCAGTAGGAATACTGTGTCTATCGCAGGAACCCCAGAAGCTCGCCAGCACGCTGAGTATGGCGCTTTTCTCGACGAATTTTACTAGTTCCTCCCAACTACCTACCCTCTTGACAAACGGCGCCATGTCTCCGTCTGATGTTGAGGAAGCTGCAGCCAGGGCACCAATGCGCGGTACCCTTGGTTTGAAAATCGACTCACGGCCGCTCAAGAGAATCGAATATGATCCACATGAGCCCGACCAGATTGTCGTGAGTTTCTCCGAAGGCGAGCCGCAGACTTTCGGCTTCCTGGTGCATAAGGCGGACACCCAAACAATTGGCAACTGGGCGGAACAGCTTGGGATTGAGACGATAAGCTCGAATCCCAACAGCGATCTCAAGCTCGTCTCACCGCTGGGCGAGACCTCGGTGAAAGGGGTGTATGCGGCCGGCGACTGTGCCACGCCCCTCAAACAAGTGACCAACGCTGTGGCGATGGGCGTCATCGCCGGTGCAAGCGTCGCCAACGCAGTCAGTGTAGAGAAGATGATCAGACGCAACCAGGAGATAGGGCTGAAGTAGCTGCATATCAAGCCTGAGTCCGGGCCCGTCAATGGAAGGGTGATTAGCCAGATTCAGGTTCTGCTTTGGCGAAGTGACTAGGGTCGAGAGGGAGGTAGCGTTCAAAGTTTCCGAATCAAGAAGATTGCTGACTGGATGCCTCCCAAGCCCTTCTTCTTCGCTTATACCGCCAAAGTCTGTATCTTGTGAAGTTAGCTGACATGTGGCATGGTGTAGGACTATCAGGAAGGCGCCAGATTTCAACAATCAGGACTATATCGAGATTCGAGCTAGGTTCAGTCGGGTGCTAGCGAGGCAGCCTCTTAGCCGTAGCCCTGATTCCTCGCTTACAGGATGTGAGTGTTGCCTTCCCGCTCTAGCCGTACTCAGAAGCATGGTGCGAGGAAGGCGCTAAGAGATGTGATGACTTATAGCTTCGAGCAGCATTCGCTTCAACAACACGTCTGAAAGGTCACCAGAGCCATGAGGCTTCTCGACCAGTCTACCCTGACCTCCGCTCAATTTGACTGAAGACAGCTGACGGCGTGGCATAGCTTCGGATAGAGTGCGAATATGAGCTGCTTGGGATGATACCAGGTAGGTCAAGCTGACACCGGCACAATGGTGTATTAAAGGACTGCTCATTCCCTCTGGTGCCATGGATCCCCTTGGATCCCCTTGGATCTCGCCCTGAGTCATCGCACCGCACGTAGTCAATTTGAGTCACCTACTGCATTGAGGTTATCTACGGCCTAGGCACTGTGTCTCATCGACATCACATGAAGGCTCGGTCTGATCAATATCGCCGACATGGTCGAGAAAGACGACGGCGCCACCACAGCACACGCGATCTAGACGACCTCGAAAGGCAATTGCCATATTATGTCGCCCCTCCTCCTGTTGTTCACCGCACACTCGTCGGGCAGTATTGTACAACCGCTGAAACCGTCTCAGGCATCGCCACCTTCGCTGGAGCCATTACGTTGTCGACGCAGCTCCTCATTGAATGTCCTCAGAGCCGCCTACAGGCCTTGCTGGCACTTGCTTCACAACTGTTTCTTGCGACGCCACTTGTTCTGCTGGGCGTGGTCGCCGTCCTTCACGGCCGCGCAAACAGTCAAGCCGTAAGCTGGGACGAACCGAGCCGCGCCTTCATCGTGGCCCAATTCTTGATCAGCGGGATCATGGTTGTGGTCTCGTTCCTGCTCCTCGGCTGTGCAATCTATGTCGCAGAAGGGGAAGGGAGCGAACATGCAATTGGCCAATGGGGCCTGGCCTTGATCAGCCTGACCATGATCATCGTAGTCGTGGCTGTATGGGTGAACAATTCCACAAACCGGTTCTGGCGCAGCTTCTTGAAACTCGATATCCGCTACACAACGACAGAGATGTCCGACAGTTATTCGATTCAATACCTGAGAGTATTCCTTCTGACCTTTGTGCCACAGCTCGCGGTGGTTGGTTGTCTAGTTGGCTTCGGCGCAAGAAGGGCGGCGGCAGCCACGATCCAGTTCGGCTGCGGGTTCGGATGAGCTCCGAGGGGACCAGACATGACTGTTATTCCATGTGCGGACGGTAGTCTCGATATCCAGGGGGGGTTGGGGGTGTGCCCACTGGCTATGACACGAAACAACACCTTTGAACTGGCCAGAAACAATATCACCCCGCAGGCAAATGTTATGATGCTGTCGTGCGTGGTGTCAGGCTCACTTCGAAAAGGGGAGGGATTCATGGCAGTCCAGCGTGTCCGAGAGCGGCGTCAAAGGGCCAAGGCTGTACCTCCTCTTTGCTGGAGTGTATATGGGTACTTTGCCGACCGATCCAGGACACACGTCCCAAGCGAACTTAGATAGATGCCTGGGGTGAGGAAGGCATCTGGCATCTGGCATATCAGTACTCCGTACAGGAGGCTTGGGTAGGCTCTGACTGACCATGCTTAGCCATGTTGGAACCACGTGCTTGCAGCGCGATGCATATACACATCCACATCCAATCCTCTGCATTCCGTGGTGGGTTGTTATCCCTTGCGCGAGGCTGGCCAATTTCCCACATTCCTCCCTGGCTGGCTGCCAAACAGCCCCTCGAGAGTCTACCGCGACGGCCGCAGCGGCATCTCCACCAAGTTTCACCATGTTGCATCGCTGCTGAGTGAGTCGTGACGAGAACAAGAGAAAGATCCAAAATGTGGTCCGTAGCGCTTATCATCGGAGTCGCCGTCGCGGCCGCAGTGGTTTTGCTTGTCACCGGGGTTTTCCTCGCCGTCAGCCTCGAGCGGCGGCGACACCGACATATCATGCAGACCCACGGTCTATCGAGCAGGCTCAGCAGTTACCATCGAGCCAAGCTCAGTGCGAGCGAAAACAACTATTCTCACGTCACGGCGCCGAGGACCACTCTGAGACGAAGCGTGCAGCTCCCTTACGGTGTTGTTTCCATTGGATGCTTGGAGTCTGGATCTGGATCTCTAGCTGAGGAAGAGACAGAGACAGCGGTCGATCAGGCCACACAACTCTTGCGTGACAACCACCACCATGAATTGCTGCGTCCAAAGGAGAGGCGAAGCATCCGACGCTCATTCAACGGGCATCATCTCCATATCCCCAAGACACGTCGACACAAAGAAGTGCGAAAAGCAATGTCAGTCAATCAGATGCAGAGGTCTCCCCTCTCGGCCATCACCGAGTTCACCGATTCGCCTCCGTCCAAGTCGCCTGGTGTCGATGTCGCCGAATCCTCTTCCGACGCGAGACAGGCTGCGCCCGGTTTGGATTCTGGGTTGAAAGAGGAGCGCCAGATGTCAGTGCAATGGCCCCTGATTGTGTCCAAGACACGACCGTTGGACGCCACGCCCACGGCAGTCATGTCCATGGCTGCTCGGGCAAGTATGCTCATGCGTATGGGAGGAGGAATGGCCCATCCATCGCAATCCAAATCCAATCTTGGTCCAACTACAACGACGGTCCCTCATTCTGTCAGCATGACCAGTACAATCTCGTCAGCCCCAGACGACCCCCTCCTGCCGCTGCCGATGATAGACGGGTACAAAAGTTATAGGGCGCATGGTCTGAATTCAAGGGCGTCAAGTACCAGCTTGGAGACTGTTGGTTCCTCGGTGTTAGGGGCCAATGTGGGCTTAGGCCCCGGCTCCCTTTCGAACCGGGGAACAGAAGTTCTCATGCCCGGCTCAGAGGCAGGCGCGAAGTGCTATGGACTTGACGCTTATCTGAATCGAAAACCATCGACACCTCGACTTCAAGTACCATCGGTGAAACAGACCATCCATGGCCTCTGCACTAGCAAGCCTAGCATTCATTCCCTCCACCCGAGCTTCGACATGAACGGATCGAGTCCAGACCCTCTCGGAGATGCTTTCAATCATCATCAATTGCCTGGGATGGTCGGCCGCAATCATCATCAATTGTCCGGGATGGTCGGTCGCGAAGAGTCTTTCAAGACGATCGACGCAAGTCTTTGGGACATCCTGGCTCCATTGCGAATCCACAAGACCCGTTCAGGAGACACAGGGACCAAACCGGCGAGACATTCAATGTTCGAATCGTCGAAAGCTCCGCAATGGCGGGCGGTCAGCGACTTTGTGACGACCAAGCCATCCGACACATGTACGGGGCCTCTCTCTCCCGGTGACACTATCAAGAGGCCAGCTTCGGTGGCGACAGGGAACCCTCTGCGATGGGACCGACAGGCGAGCTTTGCAGCGGCCAGACACTCGTGGTGCTCGTTGGATGAGCCACGGCGAGGCCATCGGCGCCAGAACTGTGTGCGAATCACCAATCTTCCCGCCATCGAACCAAGGCCAAAGCTGATTCGGCAGATGCCTGAACTTGAAGAAGAGCAGCAGAGTGGAGATGTGATTGATGTTGATGAGTATGGCCATGACCATGGCCCTGGCGAGATACCACATACCGGGGACTGGCTCAAGCAGCAACATCAACAGCAGCAACCGAAACTACATGCCGCCATACCAAAAGAGCAGACAACAATACCGAGAGAACAGACAACAGCAATGGCCCCAGAGTCGGCCGCCGTGACCCCATCCCCTTTCAGAAACCGGCCGATTCTGACACCGTCCTCTCGGCCACTACCACACCAGTACATGCAGACCTCTAGCAGCGTGTCCTCAGGCATACCGAGAGCGGATTCCGACATTTTTAGCCCGGCACACATGGAACCAGGCCCGTCAATGGTCTATAAGACTTCACCACGGCAATGGGCCTTTTCCTTTTCGCCCAACCCGAACCTGAGAGACAACGTCAGAGTCAATGGGAGTTCGCCCAACCCGAGAGACAACATCATAGTCATTGGGAGTTCACCCAGCCCGAGAGACAACATCAGAGTCAATGGTAGTCGTAGTCCACCATCTATACTCGCATCTGAGGCCCAGACCCAGCCATTCGATTCGCCAACTCTCCCTTCCCCAGCGCTGAACTCTTCCTCGTTATATCCTCGGAGATCTCTGGTCAAAGGACCCCGTAACCCGCGTGGTTCAGGTTCAGGTTCATGCAAAGGGCTCCGGAACCCGCGTGGCTCAGGGTCAGGGTCAGGCTTAGGTTCAGGTTCAGGTCTACGCCTAGGCTCAGGTTCAGGCTTACACTTAGGCTCAGGGTCGTCTCCGAGCCCATTGCAGAACAAACAACACAGCTACGCCCTCAGCAAGCAACGAGGCCGATCCTCTGGCTCTGGCTCTGGCGGGGCGGCGACAAAGGAAAGGGAAAGAGAAGTAGACCTGCGAAAATCCGTCATGGTGTTGAGGAGTATGAATTCGGAAGGACTGCTCGACCAGCAGCAAAACATCAACATTGAGTTCTACCGCAACATTGGTGTTGGTGTTGGTGTCGGTGGCAATGAGCTTGTTGGTGTCGATGTTAATGAGCCTGTTGGTGTCGATGACTGTACTCCTCACCCTTCGTACAAGCTCACCCTCACCCCGCCGATGAACAAGCGTGTCAGCGGGCTACGGCACAGCGGGGCCTGCGTCTCTACAATGAGTATGATGAACACGAAGACATCGCCGACTTTTGGTATGAACACGAATACATCGCCGACTCTTGGGATGAGTATGAACATGAAAACATCGTCGACTCTTGGGAACATGAACACGAACACATCGCCGACTCTTGATCAAAACAAAAACCAAGACAAGGACAGAACGATAGACAGAGATCGATCCAGCCCGTTGGTCCAGTCGACGTCGACGGCGACGAACGTGGCGAGGGGAACCCTGAACCTACATCGACCCAAGGCTGGCGTTGATGTTGATCATGGTGTCGGCGTCGGTGTCAAGACCATCAACTCTCTCACCATCCCTTCACCGCATTTTGGTTCTACCGCCATATCAGCCTCGCCGTTCGCACTGTCTCCGCACTGTGGTACTACCGCCATATCAGCCTCCCCGTCCGCACTGTCGATCTGGGAAGACGCCAGCGTGTGTGGCGACAGCCCTGAGCCGGAAAAGGAACTCCACAAACCGCAAATCAATCTCGACTGGGAATCGGGTCTGCATGTGACGCCGCTGGTTCTGCGGACGAAAAGCAATCTTCGGGACGATAATTGGACCAGGGACCAACAGGAGCGACATCAGGAGCAGCAACAGCAGCGACACCAACACCAACAACAGGCTCAAGCCCAGCGCCCCATCTCTAATCAACGCGCCGGCCTCCCAAGACAAGGCTTTCATGATACAGCACTGTCGCGACCAAAGACACCGAATAAATCGTACCCATACCAATACCCGTACTCAATCTCTCCATCGCCGCGTGTCACCAGTATCGCGCGGTCGGGGCCCGGACCAGGCATCTACATGTCCATGGATGGCGTCGATCTCGATCTAGATAACGAGAGTGACAATGACAACGACAATGACAGTGACGCCGAGAATGTGAACAACTTTGTCAGCGCCGGCGCCGGTACCAACACCAGCACCAGCATTAAGGATTCCCCATTGACTTTGAATTTGACCTCGGATACGAACACAAACACGACCGCGAATACGCACTCGCACTCGAACTCGAACTTCAACTCCAATTCGCGTCTTGTCCAGCGTCTCGAACGTGCCGTGAGCAACAATCAACGGCAGAATTGGACGAGGCTCGAGAGCGCGTGGAGTCTCAGTGCCGGGTCGCAGACGGGGTCCCAGACTCAAAGGCATAGCCACAGCCATAGGCACAGACATGCATATGCAACCATAGACATGGACATCAGCACAAACAGAAGCGGTTCAATGGCACGTAGGGGTGCTAGTACAGGTACGAACACCCATGCAGTGAGACGGACTGGTACGGATGCTAGTACAAGTACGAACGGAAATGGTTCAACGAGACGGACGAACACGGACACAAACACAAGTCCGAACACAAACGGTTCAATTTCAATAAGACAAACAGATCGTGACGCCAAGACCTATCCGACAGACTCGACGAGACAGAGACAGGGCTATCGACATCAACATACGAATACGACGGCCAACCGAACCTGGACTCCAATTCAAACCGGGAAGAGGGATGCTTGTGTATATGCAGATTCAGCATCAGCATCAGCATCACAGTCAAATTCACAATCAGCGCCACCGTCACCTGCAACTACACCTGTGCCTGCGTACGCACCTGCAAATGCACAGCGTCACCATTCACCCCAGGTGAAAGGGGTAGGGTTGGGCCTGTTCCTGGGACACAACCACAACAGCAACCATAATATGATTTCAGCCTCGTATCGTTAAGTAGAGATCTAGGATGGGTATCACCTTCACGTTCACTTTCAGGTAGAGATCCAGGACAGGGGTTCACTTTCAATTTCACTTTCATTTTCAGGTAGAGATATCCAGGACAGGGGTTCAATTTCACTTTCAAGTAGAGAGATCCAGGGCAGGGGTTTACTTTCACTTTCACTTCAGGTAGAGATATCCAGGATAGAAGTTTTTAATTTCAATTTTAGATAGAGATCTAGGATAGGTTTCACTTTCACTTTCAGGTAGAGATCCAGGATGGGTATCACGTTCACGTTCACGTTTACTTTCACTTTCAACATATCGTTATGTAGAGATCCAGGATGGGTATCACTCTCAATTTCAATTTCACTCTCAGGTAGAGATCCAGGATGGGTATCACGTTCACGTTTACTTTCAGGTAGATAGATCCAGGATAGGGGCTTACTTTCAATTTCAATTTCACTTCCACTTTCAAGGCATGGCAAGCTATTACAGCTAGAGGATCCTATTCACCAGGCTTCGTGACAGACAGCGAGATCTTCGGTTGGAGAGGAGAGATACTCTATCTATTTACTATCTACTATCTACCTTACTTCGTCTCTGTCTCTGTAAGGTAGCGATAGGGGTGGTGGTAGCGGTGAAGGGGAAGGGGAAGGGGAAGAGGAGGAGGAAGGGGTTTATATTCTCATTCTAGTGGTTTCCCCTGTGCCTTTGCCTTTGCCTTTAGGTTTGAGCGATACTACACCTACACCTACACCTACACAGGACCAGGATCTCCAATCTAATTACATATTTGATCTCTGTCTTTGTCTTTGTCTTTAGCTTTAGATTTTTCCGGCCTTTCCGTTTCCGTTTCCGTTTCCGTTGCCGTTTCCTTGCCCCTTAAGGATCTCTATCTCATCTGTATATACCTACTACTACCCTACTATTGGTCAATTGAATCTGAATCGAAATCTAAATCTAGATCAAGATCAAGATCAAGTCTCCGTAATTCTACTTTTTCTTTTCGTCTATCATACCTACTCCTCCTATAGACCCATATGCCTGTGCGTGATCTACAGTAAACTCCTCCTATAAACCTATATGCCTGTGCGTGATCTACATGATATAGTAAAGTACATAAGGGCTTTAGGCCCTGTTCATACCCCGTACCGTACCGTACCTTAAGTATGGTAATAGTATAAATTAGCAGGTAGGTAGGTACGGTAGTAATAGATCTAGATCTAAGATCTGTGCTATCCTGTGCTGTCTTATACTGTCCTATACTGCTGGTGCTTAGAATCTAACTCTGACTCGGATTCTCATTCTAATTCTAGTTCTCACTCTGACACCGTGACAGACACGGACATAGATACGGATATATATATATATATTATATATACCCCGAACTGTGCTATGTCCTTTCCCTTTTTCGTTCAGGAAAGGGAGCGCGGCCGCTTTAATTAGGCATGTGACGGAGCATCGAGGAGGCCCGGCCGAGCACGGGAGAGTGCCGCGGGAGCTACGGCAGAGTACGTGAGAGCGCGCCCGAGCACTAGACGAGCCGTAGAGAGCTTTATCTAATACCTGTTGATAGAAGCCAATTCGGGCTTAGGGGGCCCCCTTTAGGCCCCGACGATAAGCCTCCACTACTATACTCGGCGGCGAATCTTAGCCTCTCTAAAGTCTATTTCTATTTCTAAACCTAAGTATCTCGCTATTTAACGCGTATCGTAATTAAGTTATTCTAAGCTATAGTCATATAATCCTAAGCTCGGCTTAGCTACTACTAAGGTATAATAAGTATAGTTCTAAGTCTTTAAATATTTTTATAACTTTAGTCTTCTAAATTCTCTATTATTTATTTAGTCTCGTTTAACGTCCTTCGGGTCACATTTAAGGTCCCACGTAGACGCCAGCTTCCACTGGAAATCCCTTACGATTCCTCCTCTTCCTGATTAACTAGGACCCTAGCCAACCAGCTTCTATAGACTCAGTCTATCAAAGTTGACCATCTTCACCACTATCGCCAGCTGCCTGGGTTCAGATGGCTTCAGCTAGCCACGACTAGACACCTCCTAGCCCTCTCACCCTCTCCCTCAACCACGAAGTCTCTCCTCATTGTCGCTTTCGGGTTCAGGCTCCGCTGGCTCCTGCCAATTCTCCTCGATGTTACAGAGATCGTACTGCCTGAGCAGTCCGGTTCTCTGTACCATCCTGGTTGCCGCCCGACAACCTCTTTCTGTACTCAAGAGCGTTTTGAGGGAAGGGCGGATGCCTTCCTTTAAACCGCTTTCGAGGCATTCTTCCCTCAACTCTACCCAGGTCGGGCTTAATTACTAATACTATAGATTACTTTTCTTAGTAACCGTAACTATACGTAAACTGTCTCTATTAATATAAATAGTTATTTATAGAAAACTAGACCGAGGAAACTATTAAACTAATAGTACTAGAGTAGTTTAAACGTATATTTAGAGAAGCTATCGAGAGATAGTTTTTATCGCTAAAGTCGGATTCCTACCGCGTACTAGTAACCGTATATTCTTTATATCTTAATTATTAGGCGTTTCTAGCGATAGAGTTATATATAGGTAGATATAGTATAGAAATTAGGGCGAATAAGACTTATAAGAGTAGAATACTAAATAGTAATTATTCTTTCGCTACTAGAATAGAGGCGCTTTTATATAAGTATAGCTGTCACGAATCAGGTTGACCTCGGGGTCAACCCCCCACCAGCAATGAACAAGCAAAGGCTACGCAACAGGAAGGTATAGCGATCACGTGGCACGAGGGCACGTGACGTACTCAGTGGGATCTTGTGCGCTCCGTGTGCTCTGTGCAGAGCACACGAGAGCACGACAGAGCAGCACAGAGCCACACGAGAGATCAGGACTATATAGCTACGCTCCTTTCCCAGATATCATTTAGGACCTTCATGGTCAACTTCGCTCTACCTCTGAGCATTAGGCTCATGAGAGCCTGAACCAGGACTCTGCAGGGAGTGCCTGGTAGAATACACCCATTCCGCGTTGATGTTTCCCTCTTTTCAAGACCCCTACGATGTTGAGGCGCTCAACACGGGACACGCCCCGGCGTGTCGGCTCAGATCGTAACAATAGCTATATAAGAGAACGTTAGAACGAAGTAAACGATACTAACCTTATAGAAATTAATTAGTTAACCTAATAATAGCGTATATATACGACTAATCGATATAGAACTAGCGAGAGCTATATGTCAGGAACCTAACCCAGAGAAGGGAAACCTGACCTGTTGACATGCATACCTACGGTCTAGCAGAGGAAGGCAAAGAGGCAGGTACACCGAGACATGACACGTGGACATGAAGGACCATGATGTCACGTGACCAGTGGAAGTGATCTGTCTGCTCTGTCGCTCTGACAGAGCACCAGGAGCACACAGAGCAGGAAGGATTATACGAGTTTCCTATGTCTATATAGTCGTGGGCTTCACCCACCTTTCATAGCCTTCCTTCGTAGTCAACTTCGCTCACAAACTAGGTGATACATTTCATCAATAGTTTTCGTTCTGAATACAGACACCCTTGCTCTAGCATACGCATCGAAACATCTTCTTCCGCACGTCAGTGAACCTTGCTCGAACACGTGACTCCTTGAGGAACGATTCGTGACACTATAGAGCTATATAGATATTTATTCTTAATAGAGAGCTAACGAAATTAAATAGAATAGCTAGTATACGGGATTTTTAGCTAGATAAGAGCTTTAGGCTATTTACTACTACTTAGGAGTTAGTTAGAGAGTATATAATAATTTTATATTTTAATCTATCCTTCTACTATTAAGTTAATACGTATAAAAGCTACCGATAAAGTAGTCTATAGCCTCGGTACGATGGCCTCCTTAGAAGGGACGCGAGTTAGAGACGTAAGAACAAGCTTTCGGGGAGTTAACTACCGGTTATTTAAGATAATAGAGTGTAATTCCGCTAGGGGTCCACTTACGTATTTAACTACTATAGCTGTGTTTGTTGGCTCGGGCGAGGACTAGCTTACTAAATATAAAGCTGTAGGACTAATATCATCTTCGGATAATCTCGTCTACTAGGTAATCGAGCCGTGGCGATTTTAGATGTCTTCGTTCGGTAGCGACAGTAATTAGTAGAAATAGATACACTAGTCTGATTCGTACACCTATAGGCCGGAGTATATTAAGATAGCGAAAGTCGTCGGATGATATTACTAGACCACTTTAATTACTTAGAACCTCTAGAGAGCCAAGCACCTTTCGAAATTAGATGTATCTAGGTAGACTAGAGCTTCTTGCGAGTATTCTCGTCCTTATCCTTAACCTTAAGTATTCAGCGCTGACCTAAGCGAGTATCCTGAAGATACTATTACTATTCTCGCACCAAGATTAAGATCTAGTGGGCAGCTGGGATGGGTAAACGTATTTAAGGGTTAATAACATCTTATCCCGTATATTGCACGCAGCCGAAAACTAACAAGATGTTAAAATTCAGCCGCTCTAGAAGACGGTATTAGCGGAACATATTAAAGCCGACTACACTTTGTTTTAGAAGGACCCGTATTAAGGAGAAAGAACTATCGAGAATACGGTTGGAAAGCTTTAGTAATACTAGAGGCCAAGGATCTCTCGGTAATCCCATTACGAGTATTCTATTACTCTTTACACGGTAGAAATTTACTCTTAGGTGGCGCTATTATCCCGTTCCGTGGCACCGCTAGATCCTTCTCCGAAAGACTGTGAACCTTGGGGTTAGTCTTAGGCCGCGCCGGTTTGACCTTGACGCCTCTTTTCGTCTTCCTTCAACCGGGGATTATCAGGCTCTAGGGTAGCTTCTGGAGTTGTTAGGCCATGGACTTGTCGTGTCTCAGCAATCTTGTCACTAGCAGCAGGTTCAGAGGGAGAGTTGCGCCATGTTTGGACACCAACGTAGGCTAGTACTAGGATTCTGCCGCACAGATGTCTCTGAGAGAAAAGAATTTCACAGACCAGTTTGGGTGCATATACTGTGTACAGTAATGTGCGAAATCGAAGTCCGGTCTGATAACCTAGAGAATCGATGATGAGCGGCAGGCCCCGTGCCGGAACTGCGCTATACTGAATATAGCTTAGCCCTGTGGCACCTAGTTGTCCATTGACAATCGAGGTAGCTTTCACCGTATTGCATACAAAGTGCATTACAAGCAGAATAACGTCATTTAAAGCGCAATTAAATGTCTAGTTTGCCCACGGGAGCTTAGCGTCCCGGCTGGGCTTCCGTGACGCTATTTAGACCCGCCCAACAATTTGTGTCTTTCTATTCATGAGCCTTCATCGTCTCGAAGCTGCACTTCCAATGTCGGTGATCCCCAAGCCGGAAGTTTTCGATCCCTGTGGAGATCTCATCATCCTACTCAACAGAACGGATCAAGCACCGGATGATGGCCCCACCGATGGCCCCACCGATGTCCCTACCGATGTCCCTACCGATGTCCCTACCGATGTCCCTACCGATGTCCCTACCGATGTCCCTACCGATGTCCCTACCGATGTCCC